CTTACAAATGTAAGGTTCTTTAAGACAAGTTAGAGAGAGTGTCTCCGACTTGAATATCAGTTATCAGACGACTTAAGATTGGGGGTCTTAAGCGAAGGATAGTTCAGGTAAGACCTAGTAGATTAAAGTGAAGTCTACCTAAGTACAGGACCCAGTTTATATAGTAGTAGCCTGCTTTAGGGCAGGTACATATTCGTCATCAAGACGAGTCAGAGATAAGGAACCGAGTCAGAGACGTATTTGTCATCAAGACGAGTCAGAGATAAGGAACCAAGTCAGAGATAGGGGACCGAGTCAGAGATAAGGAATGAGTCAGCTAGCGACGGCACGTGGCGGTCGTGCTGTAATACAGATATAGACAGATGCTGGTCTAGTGATGGCACAACCTGGTGCAGTCATGACGTAATACAAATGAGTACGAGAAAAGAGATAGGGGGTAACTATCATTGTAACACATCTTGTTGATCGGGGTTTTGATGGTTTCCCAAAAGAGAGGAGGAAGACCGTTCTTCCTTCGTTCAGTGTCAACATCTTCTTCTATTAGATTACTCTTCTTGGTTCAAGAGAGTTCTAGGGTTTTGGCCTTCCACTGAATAACTGGATCCATGGCACACAGCCAGGGGATCCCTAGCAAAATTTGGTCACAATGACTAAGTTTCATGATATTGAACTTTCCAAGCATGGATCATTTGTCAATTTTCACAATGAGGACACAGTAGTGGGTGATTATGCCTCCTTTTGCATAACTTCCATCTGCTGTGGTAACTTGGAATGGTTTCATAAGTTTATGCATTCAAATTTTGTGAAGCTTAACAAAATCCTCGGAGATGAAGGTTCCAGCAGCTCCGGAGTCAATGATGGCGGTCGTTTCAACATTTTTCAGACAGATTTTGGAGATAAGGGAAATGGGAATGTGAAGTTCCTTTCTGATTCCTACACCTCAAACAAGTCTAATAGGTACATTGGAAGATACTAACGTTGATCCAGTCTTCCACATCAAAAATCCTCGTTGATACGGTGGACCTCTTCTTTGTCTTCTTTGGCTGGCTCAGTATGACGTACAGGAGCTTTGCCATTCTTCTTCTTAGGGCAGTTATGGGAGACATGGCCCTTCTGGTGACAGTTGAAACACTTGCCATTCTGGTAGTGTTCGGTCTTCTCTTCCTCAGTGAGATGGTCAACCTCCATAGCATTGGGGTCGCAGTGATCAATAGAGGGTTTGGGAACATAGCATTGACCAGTAGGCTTTGTGGTCGTGTGATTGTTGTTACAGAATATCGCACCATGTTGCCAGTCACTGTCAAGTCTAATTGCAGCTTGGACATACTTGTTGAAGTCCATAGGGACAGTTTCCATCTGATAAATGGTGTTACCAATTCCCTTCTTGAGTCTGTCATTGAAGAACATAATCAGGATAGTGTCTTGCTTTACAGAGGCTTGTGCAGCAAGGGTCCTGAAACTGGCAATATAGGAAGTGAGGTCACCTGTCTGCTTCAGGGTTTGGAGCTTATTCATAGCAGTACCAACAGCATCTGCCAGCACAAACACTTCCTTGAACTTTGCTTCAAAGTTCGTGAAGGTCCCATAAGATTTCATAGCAGAGTTATCTACTTCAGTGTAAAACATTAATGCCCAGCCCATGGCACTATCTTTAGTCATATATGCAAGTGTGGTAATAACTTTTCTCTCGTCAGTGTTGTAAACCGACACATTAACAGTGAAGTATGCTTTCACTGAAAACAACCATCTCAGTGCCTGGTCAGGGCTCCCATCATAGTTGTTGGGTGTTCCAGCTTTGAGCTCAGATGTGGACATAGGAGCAGACATTCTGATACTGGGATGTGCGGAAAGGTTTCAGGGTGGCTGTTCTTCTGGGAATTCATCTACTGATGTAGTTGAATGATGATTTGGTTCTGTGGTTACAGGGGACAGTGTTCATCTCTCTCTGTCTTCTGTGATATCCAGACCTGCAGCCTTGTGATATTCTTCTTTTGGTTCTGTTGGTTCTGTGGGAATGTCGTTTGGATCACTCTCCCACCAATACTTCCTAATTCAAGGGGTCGTCTTGCTTTGAGCTACTGGGGCCTCCCTGGATGGAGAGGTTCAATAAGGACTTTAATCTTTTGTTACGAACTAGGATAGTTCTAATGACAGATGACTTGATAAGAGTCAGGACTTCTGTCGAGATTCTATGCAAGATGATAAGTCAAGTGTTCAGTATAAGCTACATAAGTCAGAAGGAGTGCTTCTAACTTAAAGTACAGTTCAGATGACAAGAGATTGGAGGTCTCAAGCAAAGGATGTTTCAGGTAAAACCTAGTAAGATTAAAGTGCAGAACTAAAGTGTACAAGAGAACTATATATAGTGAACTACAAGTGCTTTAGGGCAGATGTGAGAACAGATGTGAGTCAGAGATAAAGGACACGTAAGCAATAGCAAGAATAAGTCATCTAGTGATGGCAATGGCAGTCGTGATGTAATACAAGGTATGTGTCAGAGATAAGTCTAGCGGTGGCATCATGCGGCTCATGACATAATCCACAGTAAGAGAGAGAAAATGAATAGGGGTGTACATGATTGTAACACCTTGCAGCTAGATCAATTGCTGTGAACTCATACCATCAAATGCTTGCTAGTTGCAGCAGGCTTGGTGTGAGCCCCAATCCAAGTTCTACATTACTCACTCACTTTGTTTGCTGGTTGCAGACTCAGCTTGATCATAACAGGCACCCCTGCCCCAAGTGCACCCCATATGTTGTCCAAGATTCAAGCAGATTTGCCAGTATGAGTGGTTCAGCAGAACTGAAACTCTGCTATGGCAGACTTGGCTTGGTGATAGGCAGATGTGATTTTTGGCTCTGTCACACCTCAACAAGGATCTCAATCATTTCTTAACCAATTTCAAAGATTCAACTTTGCAAGAGTGTATTACAAGTGTACAATGATATGTGGTTAAGCAGAATATGATTTGAAGTAGAGTTGAGTGCAATATTGCAAAGTGTCTGAACCAGTGGTTGTCTGAAGTTGTGGTAGCCAATAGTACCATACTATCATTCCAGGTAATCTGCAACATGCCTGTAATATGCAAAATGTTCAAAACACCTCAATGCACTGCTCAACTCACTTCAAAAAAATTCAGGCATGTGTAGACTACTTATATATGATATACTGTCCAAGTAGAATGAAAATTTCTTGCATGTTGCAGCTGTGAGAGATGAAATAGTGGTAATTTGTAACTATGCAGGAACATAAATCATCCAGATCCCATGGATCCTGCAGGCATACTCACAAAGTTATACCTGGAGCATGGCAATAACCTCATCAGGATTACAGAACACAATGTTGATTAAGTTCATCCTGTCATTTTAAGATGCTATAGAGGAAGAATTGATGACAGGTATGAAAACATGACAGTAGATAGGAGAGTATGTAACAAATTCAATCACCTCTATGGCACACTTGGCAAGTGCACAGTGAAGTCTTGCATTGTCATCTCCTTTGCATCATTCTCACATCCTTGTCACAATGGCATGGCCTTGTGATTACCAGAGACTGGACTCAAGGCAGAGCTGCTCCAGTGAATTGTGCAATTCTTCAATGGCCAACCAGAAGGTCCAGAGCTCAAGAAAAACCAGTGGTATGAGGGTTTATTTAATACCCCCATTCTCACAGGCAGCATGTTGAAACTGGTGATAACACTAGCTACTGAGTCAGTACTGCAAGACATGCCAAGTCATCAAAATTTGATGCACACACCATTTGGCTATCAACTTCACAGCCTATCCCTCAACCCTCAATGTCATGCATGGATCTTCTCCCACCTGGCAGGTATGCACCCCCATATTATCCCATGCACCATTCAGTGCCTCCACCTATTCCCCACTTTGTGCCAGCAGCTGGTAGTAGAGCAGATTTTTGAGTTGGTGGTGAGGTACAAATGTATGATGTTGCATGTGGTCAACCTTATTCAGGATCATATCACCAGTATACTCACAATAATTACATGAATCATGATACTTGATAATAATATGTTGCTATATTCATTGTTTATCAGAGCTTTAAGCTTCAAGCTTCCAGTTCAATGACTCAATGCCAACAGATCAAGAGCGCAGTGCAGAGAGTCAAAGTTGACTGTGCCAGTGCAATGCTGAGGTGTGACTCGATATGACCATATTTTGCAGATTAGCAGTCAGACCCTGAATTTTCTTGGCTTTCATCCAACACCACACCACAATGTCCTAAAAATGAGTAAAATTCAGATCTATGTAGAGGTGGTACAAATCTACAACACTCTAAATTTGTGGAAGATAATATGAAGTGATTGAGGAGCTACAAAATATTTGCTGAAAATGTCGCAGATTACCCAGAATCACCTTGCGGAGCAAGGTCATGTTGGATGGAAGACAATCTGTCAGCCACCTGATATGAGCATCCATCATGCTGTGCAATCATGTGAGATAAAAGAACATCATAGAAAACAAGTAACCTAGACCTAAAATCTGGAAACTCAACACTGTAGCAATTACAGAAATCCAAAACACTGGCCAATTACCTGCATATCGGAGCAAGGTCACAAGTTCGCAACGCGAACCCCTAGTGATAGTACTAGCTCTCAGGAATTTCTGACAAAGATCTCGAACTTGTCTCTTACGTAATCACACCTTGCTGTTGGTTGCAGCTGGAGGCCTTTGAAATGATATTGACTTGTAACATGACCTCAACGCCCCCGCCAGCTGGTGCTTTTGTTGTCCCGCAAATACCTCGTCTGCCATCGACAACAGGTTCGCGTAATCGAGTTTCAATAGGATCATCCTTCTCGTTTGGCCCGCAACCGATCATTTCCTCATTCTCTGCGGCGGATATGAGTAGCTCCACGCATAGTCGACCCCTTGCGCTTGATCCAAATCGTTCCATGCTTCCAAGCTCGCCCAGATCCTCGCTTCGGCGATATCGGCGAGCCAAAGAGAGCACAGGCCGCCATCCCCTTGCAAATGATTCCATGGATGTTTTTCAGGACACTGAGATGGAATCTGACAATGACGATGGCGAGTGGGGGATGATTGACCGTATGAGGCTATGGCGGCACGATTCTTTAATGCAGCATTTGTATGAAACTGCCGCCTTCTGGGGAGACAAGATACTGTCATGGACCAGTAAGTCGCGCCGCCTCGACGGTTGCCATTGCTCTGACTGTTCCTTGTTATCGGTGTATCTTCCGCGACGCGTAGATGACCCAAATGACGCGTTTTGGCTAGCTCAGACTTACTTCATGACTCATCAGTACGCGCGTGCTGAGAGACTCTTAACTAGGCCCTTCTCTGCAATGACACCAAAAATGCCGAGCGCGTCGTTGAATGGTCTTGAAAACGGGGTAGTAGATGATACTACGATGGGTAGTCTGACCGCAGACACGAAAGGCAAAGGGAAGGAGGGGCACCCTGACACAAGCATAATGCCTCAATTACCAATGGGTGACGCTGGCATGGTGCAAATTCCTGAAGAGTTACAGGATTCCGTATCAAGACTTGTGGACATGAGCGTAGCATGCAGATATCTTGCTGCGCAGTGTCAAGTGCGGCAAGGGAATTGGACAGACGCAACGGAGATGCTCGGCGAAGCGAATCCATTCCGTCATTCAGGTTGATATCGATCATACATGGCTGCTATCATCCACTAATAGATCGTTCAGCAAGGAGTGGGCGCGCCGTGCCGAATGTTGACGGTGGTATCAAGGCAAGCGGGTGTATATTCCTGACCAAAATGTTTTGACCCTTACTTGCTTGTGCAGGTCGAAGCTTCCATGTGCCATTTGCGTGGCATACTTATGCTTAAGCTGAACCGTGGAGACCAAGCAAAGCTTTGCTTCATGGAGGCATTAACTTTAGATGTCAAATGTTACGATGCATTCGATCAGCTAGTCAGTGGTGAAATGATGACCCCGGACGAAGGTTAGGCCACAAGTATCACTACTCATTTTCTGGTATCTGACTATCGTAGAATGGGAGTTTGTTCAGGGTCTCGCTTACAGGGAACAAACGCAAGACGATGCCGATTTTGTGCAACTCATATACACTTCTCAGTTGCGGAAGTATAAACACGCAGAAGAGCATGCCCTGACCCGGAGACGTCTTGTCGAAGAATTTGGACTTTCTGATAATCCTGATGTGTTATTCAGTTTTGCTGATGCACTCTATGCTCAATTCCGGTGGGCCGACTGTTATGTCATCACGACGAGGTCAGAATGCTTCATACGAGTTTACATCCATCCCAGATGTCTCAAAATAGCTTTACAGGATATTGGGGCTGGCTTCTATTCATGATTCTACCATGCCATTGCACATTGCTTGCATGTACCATCTTAACCATCTTCACTCAAAACTCTTTATTCTAGCACATGAACTTGTGGAACGGGAACCTGAGAATCCCGTTAGCTGGTATGCAGTTGGAGTCTGGTATCTGGCGTCTGGGAAATGGCCACAAGCCCGACAGTACTTCAGGTGAGTCCATCAGGTCTTCGTTCTTCGATTCCTGCCAAGCATCCACAGTAAAACATCGTTAATGGATCCACGATTTGGGCCTGCATGGATCGCGTTTGCCCACACGTTTGCAATGGAAGGCGAGCATGACCATGCCGTCACTGCATATTCGACCTGCGCTCGCATGTTTACAGGGTGAGGTTATTCTCGATCAGCTGAGTCATGATAAATGTGCTGAAGAAGCCCAGTTCCCATTTACCTTTGCTATTTGTGGGCATGGAGCAAATTATGCTATCCAATCATTTGTTAGCCGATGAAGCATTGAACGCTGCTTACGCCGCATGTGATGGAGACCCTCTTCTTATCAATGAATTAGGAGTTATGGCGTTCACGCACGGAGAGTGAGCCCTGTGCTGAGCCAATTTTCTGAGGCTCATGCTGATTCAATCAGCAGCTACCAGCGAGCAGCGGATCTATTTAAACGTTCGCTCGAACTTGCCCAAGTGACGCAAAGCTCCCAGATGTCATGGACGACAACATACCTCAATCTCGGAACTTGCTATAGAAAGTTGAAGTGAGTTTAAGGTGCGCGAGAGCGTACAAACCTGATATACTTGTTCCAGGAATTATGAGATGGCCAAGACAAACTATCAACATGTGTTGGAAATTGAACCACAGCATCCTCAGGGTCTTGGTTATCTGGGCATGGTGTATCATCATCTTGGAGAGATCGATAAGGCGATCGTTAAATATCACGAGGTATGCTGCAGCCTTGGGTGTGGTTTATTCCTAACGTCCATCACAAAGGCATTGAGCATTGATCCCATAAACGGGCACTTAATTGAGCTGCTGAACCTCGCTTTGGAGTCTGACCTTTGTTGTGGTTCGTTAGAGAAAGTTTACCCCGGTGGCGAGGAAGCTTTCCGGGCTATGATGGTCTCCCTGAAGACCAAGGTTCTAGATGCTTCCAAAAAACCCAAAGTGGATAAACCAGGTGCAGATGTAGCAATGAGCGTAGGTTGATGAAGGTAGACGATGTGTTGTTGTAGGTCCTCAGTCCCCACTACCACGCGGTCCTCGTAGTCCCAAAACGGGATTCCTCTAAATGCCAAAGGTGGCGATCTCCGTAACGCTTGCAACCTGGCAGTGTGCCTGTTTCTTGCATCATTCGTCCGAATATACAGATACCTTTGATGCCGAAATGCCGAGGCTTCGTTCTCCACAGTCTCCCACACCGGACAATACGTCGAACCATAAGAAAGGTATCGGGGTGCAAGCCTTACGCAAGACGCACAGCTGTAACATGACCCTATTTCTGATTGGGCAAAAATGACCCAATGACGCGGCAATGAGCTCTCCACCACGGGCGCCTTTGGGTGAAACACAACTTGACCATCTTCTCTGACGATGAGGTCTACAACTTATAACTTCGCTAGTAACGCCATCTTTGCACGCCTACAGAATGATCCCCCAGACTGGGACTTCTTGGTACGTTGCCAGTACAATTCTTGATTCTTTGATTAAATAGGCAAGCAGGACGCTCTTTTGTCAGAACTCATGATATTGCCGACATTGACAGAGCAAGCGTCACTGTTCTGCCGTGAATTATGTGCCCATTTGAAAGCAGAAAACGACAGGCTGCTTGCGTCAGTGACCCCTCAGCATGCCAATCGTCTGCTGAATGTCTTCACATATGTTGCAAATATCCAACAAAAAGTAGACGGCAACACAACATCCACCTTACGTCATTATATCAACGCGATTGAAACGGGTATCCGTCTTTCACCACCGCTGTCCTCGGGGACCACGTTGTCATTCCGAGACATCATTCTTGCCAGCTGGTTTGCATCGTCTGTATTTTCCACGCTACCACCACGGCCAGAACCGAATAATATTTTGGACGCAATCCAAGATCGTGCTAGCACCAACCATCTTCCATATTTCGACGACACCAGCTTGGCATTGGTGCATGCAGTCCATCATGACAGTGACGGCTTCATTAATGCTATGCTGGATCCCACTACCGGAACACTGCCCAATGTTGTGCTTTTTCCAGATCAAGCGCAGATGTTGTCGGCTGTCGTTTTCGCTTCCCCACATACGACTTCCGATGTATGGGCTGCGCCCCACTCCAGTCAATCGACCTATGAAATCAAGACTGCAACCTCATCTGCGTTGCTTACCCTTGCACGGCGCATTCAGGAAGGCGCATTGATCGCTGACCTAGGTCTTGATATTCCGCACTGTTCTAATGATGCGCTGGTGCTCTTGCTTCACTATCTTGCGTTATCATTGTCTCCGAGTGCCTCTGCATTCAATGACACTGGTGTTGTCCTGTGCGGCATGAGCAGCAATGCACCACGAGTCGCGTCTGGAAGGGATGTTGCCCGCCTTTACTACGAAAAAGGGTTGCAAATCGATCCCACGCATCCCCATTTACTTTCGAATTTCGGCTCGCTCCTCAAAGACGCGGGCCATAACACCTCTGCAGTTGGGTGAGTTGTACCAACATTTATCGTTACATATACATGAACAATGGTAGGGTTTTCAACCACGCTCTAAAACTACACCCTGAATTAGACATTGCACTGGTCAACATGGCAAATACCCTGAAAGATATGGTAAGCATTTCCTGCTTCTCGTGCAAGCTGCTGTATCCAAACATCTTTGGCTTCTCAGGGCCGTCCTGCAGATGCAGTTCCTTATTACCTTAAGGCTGTAAACATAAATCCAGGCCTGGTCGACGCCTACTGTGGACTGAGCATGTCGATGAATGCAGTCTGTAATTGGACAGCACGAGGTAATCTATGACCTTTTGCACCAATACAAGCTCAACGGTCTGCAGACCATTGGTTGACAAACGCAATAGCGATATGTGAAGAGCACCTTTCGGAGCTTTATCACCAGAACATCGGCATCCTCGGCGAGAGGAGCGTTGATGACTGGCTTCTCACTGTAGCCTTGACTACATCAAGACCTCAGTGCGACCACAGTTTGAGAAGATGGGTTCACCGATTTTGCCTTTTCACAGATATTTCTGATGGGCGACAACCTCTCCTCAACGAAGGGAGTTTCCTTATACGCCTTGTCGATTGGTACCGGACTAGGATGCAACACCGACGTTACGTTGAAACCTACGGAGAAACACTCTACGGCGAAGAGGTGCCACATTCGCCACCGGAGGCTGCTCCTACTGCGAGGCCGTTTGGCTCTATATTTTCCTCAGCGTCCTTACAAAAGGTCCCAACTGTACTCCCTTTTCATACCGTATGTCAAGTCTACAATAATGTCCTTCAAGTTTTTGGCTTACATCTCCCGATAAGTTCACGCTTCCACTCCCCAGCCGTACCATTCGGCGCATTGCACATAGAAATGCTCTTCGTGTGTCGCATAATATAATGACACAGATATCACCAGACAGAGTGCCATTGCTGCCGCTGCCTCCGTTGAAACGGCGTATTAACGTCGGTTATGTATCCAGCGACTTCAGGTACATCTAACTGACACTTTGTTTCCCGCGGTGACACTGACATAACGTAGTGACCATCCCTTAAGTCATCTGATGAGATCGGTTTTCCAGCTACACGACCAAAATCGGTTCTGCGTCTTCCTATATGCGACGAGCCCATCAGATGGGTCGGTCTTCCGACAGTACTTTGAGCAGGGCGACCTCAACTTTTTCGATGTCTCTTCTTGGTCAAATGTAGACATTGTTAACAGGATTGAGGAGGATCATATACATATCCGTATGTCACATACCTCCCTGAGCTCCCTCAGGACGTGCCATTGATGAAGTAGCATAGTTGTAGACTTGGGCGGTTATACCAGAGGAGCGAGAAACGAGATCTTCGCTGCAAGGCCAAGTCCCGTTCAGATCTCGTTGATGGGTTATGCTGGAACCTTAGCTGCCAGTAGGTTTTTACCGCATATAGTCCTGACTTTCGCTATCCTGACCTGTTCAGGCTGGTGCGACTATCTCGTCTGTGATAGCATCACATGTCCTGTCGACCTATTTGCACGAGTTCAAGCATATCGGAAACGGAGCCTAGATCATTGCTGCCAACACAGTGATTTTGGAGTTTCGGTGGGAGATGAGGGTGATCCAGAATCATCCTCTCCCCATTGGATCTAGTACGTCCTTCTAGACACCTACTGCAGATCAAGGCTAACACAAATTTAGCACGGAGTGTCCAATATATATGCCAGTGAGTTGTTTTACCGCTGCCTGCGCGCCTTTAGCTTTGAAATATTTCGCTAGCATACATATTTTGTCACCGACCACAGACAGTCTTATCGACATGGCGAAAATCTTTCTGTCGAGGAGCGTGCTCAGACGCCGGCGGACAAGCTCTGGAATGATGAAATCAAGTGTAGAGCAGATCTTAGACGAGCCCTGTTTCCTGATTTGCCCTTGTAGGTGCTGCTACCACATTCTTATAGCCTATTTTGATCCTTATTCCAGCGATGCCATCATTTTTGCCAATTTCAATCAAGTACGTGTCCTTTCTGCTGCTGTGCACTTGCCGTTGTTGACTTTTGTCCTTGGACTACAAAGTTGTACAAGGTTTGGACTGCGTTTTTATCATACGCAAATAACTGACAGACAGCGATCAAACAGATCGATCCCGTGAGTCTCTGGGAGTATTTGATGTCGTCAAACGGTCACTGAGTTCATGTCAGAACATATTTGCAACTTGGCTTCGTATTCTAGCCCGGGTTCCACGCAGCATCCTTTGGTTGCTGCGATTTCCCAGTGCTGGAGAAGCTCACCTGATCCAAACTGCCAAGGAGTGGGCGGGCGACGAGATAGCATCACGCATCAGGTTCACAGATGTTGCTGCAAAAGACAATCACATCTACCGATGCCGAGTTCCTGATCTTTTTCTAGATACGTCAGAAGTAAGTCTTTGACGATCAGTACTCGCTGTATAAGCTGACTTGTCTATTAGTGTAGCGCGCACACTGTCGCAGCAGAGTGAGTGGTTGTACGCACACGCCACAAGGTTGAAATTGACTGTCTGTTGTCCAGCGTGCTCTGGGCCGGCACGCCATTAATTGCTTGCGCCTGGCCGAGTCATCGACACAAGATGTCTTCTAGGGTCGCTGCGAGCTTGGCCAGTGCTACAGGGTTTGGCGAGTACATGGTGGTGTCCAGTAGGGATGAATATGAAGAACGCGCAGTGACCTTAGGGAACAGCATCCGTCACACTGTGCAACCCAATGGCAATATGGAAGCAAGTGGGGACCTACTTGACCTGCGACGGTGTCTTTTCTTAAACAGAGATACCATGCCCTTGTTCGACACGGAGCGATGGACGAGGAACTTGGAGAAGGCGTATCGGATGGCCTGGAGGCGGTGGGTGGATGGTTCTATGTTTAGGATGAGTGACGATGGTTGTATCTGGGTCAAGGACGATATCGATATTCCCATCCGTATGGACTGATACCACCTGTGTAATGAATTATTCACGTACGTCACGTGCGCTCGGTAAATGTTGTGTAGTAGGATGACTTGCAGTACGATGTTGATTTACAGATAGGTGTGGATTATGATCATGCGCGCCAGTTATGTATAGTTGGTCTAATGTCCTTGGTCGCCATATACTGGCAGTGAGCAGCGGGGGGTTGTGACCCCCTGACCAGAACGACATTTGCTTCCGCTCCTCGACCTCAGCACCTTCCAGATTAAACACATATCCGATCAATTTAGCGACCACATCACAATATCACAATCGATTTTCTAATCGATTCTTTCATCTTGAACTTTACCATCGTCCACCACGTTCTTACCATCGTAACCAGCCCTTGTAATTGTGATGATCAGGATTTGTTTCTGAATCACAGCATGATGGATGCGATCTGAATGTACGCGTGCAAATGTAGGGCCGATTACGACTCCGCGCGAGCGATAGGACGGGGTGGGGTAGGGTTCAACAGATCTAGTATGATATCCGGAAGACTGAAGATGACCTGCGAACATAATCAGGCCTGCTATGTGCGGATCTCGTTGTGTTCTACCGTTGGCTAATCGACCCATATCTGCTTCCCAGACTACTAGTACTTTATGAGCGCTGAGTACTGAGTACTGAGTACTGAGTACTGAAGTGCGAGCTGCTGGTGAGGCACAACGTGACTGTGTTATTTAACACCACGAGTCATCTTGGAGTCCGGCTCTGACTCATATATCAACTGTATCGCCACTCTCGTATCTCATCACAACATCTCTGAGCCCATCTCTTTTTTAGCACCATCCACAAGGAAGGCTTCAAGATTCCAGATCATAAATACTGATACAAAAACTATACACTCGCCAGCACTGCGGCAGCATAAAAATCATATAGTATGAGACATAGTATGCGAATACACTGACTCCTCCGAGCCGTGCATGCAGAAGCTAACGTAAACGACGGTATCGTACAGGGCATCCAAGGCTGCTGCCGAAGCCCGGAGGCCGGTTGACGGCCAAAACTCGAATCACAAGGTCGCAAAAGAAACCGGAAATTTGTTCCAAGGGTCAATTAAGCAAGCATGAAGATGCTAACCGAGAGATGAGCGCTCGTCAGGAATCCTGCCAGGATGGCACCTCACCAATCAAGCAGACGCACTGAGACCCATTGCTCGGGCTCCTGCGCCGACACCACCTTCCCATCCAAAGAACCGTTCATTCTTCGGTACAGAGCCCACGCCACTGTAGCTTTCATCGTCCATTTCCATCTCGGACCACTCTTCGTCATCCCATCTCATATGCGCGTTCTTCGTGTGCGCCCAGACGGAGATGAACACTATTCGCTTCAACTTGGGGTTGAGGAAGAACCAGTGCGAGGACCACAGGAGTGCACCACAGCGCCGCTTTAACCGCACATGCGCAAAGTTATTGCGCTCGGGCGATTCGCCACTACTCGTGCTCCCGCTGTTGTACCGGAATGGTATACGATTTCGCAGGGACATGGAAGTGGGTCTCGAGCTGCTAGGATCAGGGAAGAACTCGTCGATGTCATAGTCATCAAACTCAAAAGGGGGTTCATCATCTGGGTCGTCGGACGAATCCTCGTCTGCAACAGATGCGACATCATCCTCGTCGTCAGAGTCGTTGGCGTGGGGATCAGAATCGATATCCGGGGAGTATGAAAAGACTTGGCAATCTGCAAGACCGATGACCTCATCCAATATACGATACAAGGTCGGATGTGTACCAGAAACTATCTGGGGAGGTGCGTAGGGGCTGGGCACCATGTGGTGCAGAGGTGATGACGAGGTGGTTGGGACAGAAGAAGGGAAGAAAGTGGACGACATGGGAGGATAAGCTGAGTATGTGCGTGGCGCGCTCATGCCAGCACGATGAGGAGAGAGAAGGGTTGTGCTGAGCGAATTAAGCACGCTCGCACCGTTCTTCTCTTTGTTAAAGTGTGCGGGTCTGACATCTGAGAATTCATGGTCAGGGAATGCGATGTTGAGGGTAGCTATAAGAAGGTATAGTGTCTTGCGAGATGCCTGCTTGTCCATAGGGCCAAAGGGGGTGAGCTCAGGCTCGCGGTCAAGCCACGAAGGAAGTGGCGGTGAATGGGAGAGCTCGTCATTGTAGGCGTGTTCAAGAGTTTTGAAGAGTTTCTTGTCGCGCTTGATGTTCTTGCAGCTATATGCTTCAATACGAGTGTGCACGGAGCATTCTGGGCCCTCATGAGTGAGCGCTTGCGAGAGGCGTGATAACTCAGGGAATTCTATGTATTTCATAGTCGTGAGGGACGATGTCGAACGACAGCTGGTCGTCGTCAGCCACAGCGAAGAGAGGAATGGAGCGAGCGAAGCACTAGTGGCTTGGCGAGCGGTGTGTAAGCGTTAGTCACTTCCTTTCTGGATGCACAGCTTCTCGATTCTAAAGTCTATTATTATATTCCGAACTGGGGGGGCAATAATGCCTGAACAGCGATAGCAGCCATTTGTTCTGCAGACGACAAAATACAAGTACAAAATTCGAACAGAAATGAACAAAATGATAAAAGGTTCACTCTCTTTCTTTCGCAATCCACATGTTAGGTGATCGCACGTTTCTAAAGCATGGCCTTTTGATACACTAGGTTGCTGCCAGGAGTATCATCTGCACGGCATGGCCTATCAGGAGGATTCCACAGTACAAAATTCGAACGGGGGGATAAAAGGTTCACTCTCTTTCTTTCGCAATCCACATGACCAAGGTGTTAGGTGATCGCACGCTTCTAAAGCATGGCCTTTTGATACACTAGATTGCTGCCAGGAGTATCATCTGCACGGCATGACAATTGACGCCTCGAAGCTAGGAAAGTGCTTACACAACGTGCATGTACGTGGGTGTGAGACATGGAACAAAGCACATGCATGGTCGAGTGAACGTGTGCGGAAGAACTGGGTCATTCACGACCACGGGCGCAATCGACCATGCCGCCGTGGGCGGAACAAACAGGTGCCCGCGATAACCATATCTGCAGCCAATGTATGAAGAGCTAATGAGTGAGAAACGAGACACATTTTCATTGAGAAATTCATATGGTGCTCGTAGCCCGGGCCTAGAACACTGTTTAAACTTGGTCACAGACATTTCCGCGCCTCGAAACATCTTGGCGGGTAAGAGACTGACCCGTTACTTACGTCGAGGTGCTGCAGTCTGAATGACTGACGCTGCGGAAATCATTTATAGGCCTGTTCCTTGTAGGAAGCGACGTATGTATAAGCTGGCATAAACGTGTCATGCCAAGTACTGGTAGTGCGGCTGTACTTAGTCATCCGGCAACGTCCGGAGGCGGAACAAACAGGCACCCTTAAATTTGCTTCCTTTTACTGGACTGCCCATAACCACCACCAGTCTCCAGTTTTTGTATACTCAAACCCAAAGCCCATAACCTAGAAATTTCGCGGTCTTCCCCTAGCCCACGATTGCTTCTCAAACCCAAACTTTTTCTATCTTCTGTCCCACTCGAGGAGAAAACAGAAGACTTTATTTCATGCTTCGACCTCCACTCAATATATCGGCAAATACGTGTTTGTTTCGGAGAAAGTCCATAAGTACTGTCAGTCGTTTCTATCATCTACAGCATGCTGTCAATTGACTAGACCATACTCTAGCGTTAAATATATTTGCCCAGCATGGCTTCCGCAGGAATTGTGAATATTCGTCGCGATGTCGATGACAAGTTCTACCGCTACCGCATGCCCCTCCTTCTCACAAAAATTGAAGGCAAAGGCAATGGTATCAAAACCGTCGTCCCCAACATGGCAGATGTTGCCCGTGCCTTATCTCGCCCTCCCACTTACCCTACCAAATTCTTCGGCTGTGAGCTCGGTGCACAGACCTCCTCTGATGACAAGAATGAACGCTACATTGTTAACGGCGCTCATGATGCCTCTCGCCTCAGGGAACTGCTCGACGTCTTCATCGACAAATTTGTCCTTTGTCGTTCATGCAAGAACCCTGAGACGGACCTTATCATCCTCAAGAGCGGTCGTAACGAGGATATCGTCAGGGATTGCAAAGCTTGTGGTGAGAGGACGGGCGTCGACATGAAGCACAAGCTCGTCACCTTCATTCTGAAGAACCCGCCCAAGAACCCCAAGAAGAGCAAGAAGGGGGCCAAAGGCGAGACAAACGGAAATGGTGGTGGAGTACACGCATCAGCTCCATCTGTTCCTGGCGACGAAAACACTGGCGGTTCTGGTGGTGACAGCGACGACGAGCTTACCAAGAAGATCAAAGCCGAAGCCGCTGAGCTTACTACAGAAACCAAGCTTGCGGCTCAAGATTGGTCGGCTGATACATCTCCTGAGGCCGTCAAGGCTCGCGTTAAGGCGTTGGAAAATCAGGTTGGCGGACTATCACTTACGCCTGCTGGCGGCTTGGGAGATGATGAGGGTAGTGATGACGATGTGAACAGCCCTTACGCCCAGTTTGGTCGTTGGGTTGAAGAGAACAAGGGCGATGCAGGTGTTAGTGCTGTGCAGATCTATCAGAAGGCCCAAGAATTTGGCGTCGAGAAGAAACACAAGACTGTCCTCGTTCTTGTTCAAGCGCTGTTCACCGAAGAGGTTGCGAAAGAGATCGATACGTACAAGGCCCTGCTTGCAAAGGTTCGTTCTTTTTCCAATCTACGTTTGCCTTGCTAACTTAGCGTGTAGATGGTCACCTCCGAGAAGCACCAGAAAGCTCTCTTAGGTGGAATCGAGCGCCTTGTCGGGCTTGCCCACCCTGAGCTCATCCCCTCCGTACCAAAAATTCTTATGGCCTTGTACCAGATCGACGTCTTGGAGGAAGACGTAGTGACTCAGTGGGGTACTCATGTCAGCAAGAAGTACGTCGATAAGGAGACGAGTAAGAAAGTGAGAAAGGCCAGCGAGCCGTTCTTGAAGTGGCTTGAGGATGCGGATGACGATGAATCCGAGTGATGGGTGAATATGTAGTCCTCATTTATGTTTCTGTTTTTACTTTTCATATCTTGTCGTTTGATCACTGTAACATGCTAGGTTTACTCTATCAAATGTTGGTCGAGGCTCCTATTGAGAATCTTTGCAAGCCCCTGTACTGATTTATAAGGCCTTCTGTAGGCTCCACAACTCGTTCTTTCAACAGTTATGTCATTTGCAGCTCCTCCATTTGCTCCACCTCATATCGAGTCCTCCGTGAAGCGCGTGAGGGTGCTTTTCGGGGGTAAGTATGTAGTAGACACGACGCACGCAAAACTTGTGTAAGTCTCTATTCACAGCCAACATTGCCCACTATGAGCGCTCACTAACAATTCAATACATTTAGCTGGGAGAAACCTTTCTACCCGACCTATTTCTTCTCGACATCCGACCTGAACCCCTCGTACCTCCGCGAATCTTCTGATAACAAAGAGCGTGGAACGAAGGTTTACGACTTGGTCGTCGGTAAACGCGAGGCAAGGGACGCTGTAACTGTGTTCACAGATCAAGCAAGCGACACCAAGGATTTGGCTGGGTTACTCAAAATCGAGTTCTCAGCTGCCGATGCGTGGCTTGAAGAGGATGAACGGGTCTACGTTCATCCCAAGGACCCTTACAAGGTCAGTCTCCCCTCATCCCCTTACACTCGCACAATTCGAGGGGCTAATAAACCTTTGCAATCCAAAGCGCGTAGATGTATTACAATCTTCTCGCCACGTGCGCATTGCGGTCGGTGGTGTCGAACTCGCATCGACGAATCGCCCTCGTTTGTTATTCGAAACGGGGCTTCGCGTCAGGACGTATATGCCTCTCACAGATGTCCACGTCGAGCTTCTCAGGCCGTCTGATACAGTCTCGGAGTGTCCTTACAAGGTGGGTTTCCCTCTATATCGATCATACCGTGTTGTTGGACTGACATCGCATTGCTCGATAGGGGGTAGCAAATTATTACAACGTTCAACTGCCGAACGGTGATGTACACAAGGATATCGTGTGGTACTACCGTACCCCGCAGCCCGAGTGCGGTCAGATCGCAGGTTACGTCGCTTTCTACGATGAAAAGGTTGATGTCTGGGTTGACGGCGAAAAACAAAAATGATTTGTGGGGGTTGATTAGTGGTGAATTCGGAGGGGCATGTTCTTTACTTGTGTTCAACGAAAGGATGTACTGATACAGCTAGGTGTAGCATTGTAATTGAAGCGGGGGAAATGTGTACCGTGTTTGGAATTGTGCTATGACGGCCATGAGCGAGCTTGGGCTGAAAGGCTGAAAGAAGATCTTAAGCCCTGCCTGAGATCCGCGGCTGCCGGGTACCAAGGGACCAATGTCTCAGCATCGCATACCAAACAAAGATCATTGATTCCAACCGCACCCAGTGACAAACATGTAGGCACCAACACCAGCACAGCGCGGGGATCGAATTTGCATGGAACGTCGAGAGCCGTTTCTCCATATAGATTTGGACTCCAGAACTGGCTAGCAGAGAACGCCTGCAGGACGTGGCAGGACTTGGAAACTGATTGCGGCGAAGATGTCCATGGCAAGTCTGACCGTGGCGTCGACGTCGAGGCCTGTGTGATTCCGGGACTCAAATTTCAAAAGTGGTTATGAGTGTACTCCAGGACGATGACATCGAAGAAGTAATGATCGTTGAAGGGCTCCGTATTGAGAGCTTTCGCCAGTACATTGCATGGGAGGGGACACGGTGACGAAATATGTCGAATGGATCGGCTCAGCGCGAGGTATATCTTATGTTTCTGGAATCTGAGACAACCCTCGTGAGGCGTGAAGGTGATTTTCTACAGACTATAAAGGAGGTTTCGGTGCAATGACTGGGCCTAGCTAAGATGGACCTCCGAGGATCTATACACTGCAAAAATGTTGTCAGCAGGTTTAGAACCAACTCCAAGAGAAACACGTTTTGACCCCGTTGTGGTAACTACTTGGGTAAGACCAGTTAGATGGACCTCTGAGGAAATTATTCATGAGTGAATATCAAGGTGTGTTCTGATAGGAAAAAATCTTGGCGGAGGCAGGTTTCAAACCTGCGGAGAAACATATTTTTATTCTGTGGTGGTAACCAATTGGCTAAGACCAGTTAGAGGGACTTCTGAGGAAATTATTCATGAGTGAATGTCAAGGTGTGTTCTGATAGAAAAAAATGGCGTCAGCTGGTGTCAAACCTGCGCAATACAAGAGAAACAGATTTCGATTCTGTTGTGGCAACCACTTGGCTAAGACCAATGGCGAGACGGGGAGGGGTGAATCTCTCCATGTATGTTTGGACTCTAGCCTGAGAGCTGGCAGGCAGAGTGCCTGCATGCAGGACGTATAGCAGTACTGGGACTTGACAACCGATTGGATGGATGCGGCCAAGATGTCGCCGTGAACACGTTTAATCATAGCATCATCTTGGAGCCTGACAGGCCTGACACAGACACCTGTGAGAGAATTTACGATTCAAGGAAGTGTGCTCCAGGTCGAGGTCGTACTACCTCCGGGTGATTCGAAAAAAGGTTCCATCATGATTATTGAAGTGCTCTATGTTACGAGTTCCGTAAGAACATTGCATGCCAGGGTGACTACCCTTATGCGATCAATTCCATAAGACTCACGACTGAATAGTGAACCATTGCTATTGGTGTTTGCGGAAGAGTGATTATTGAATATCGATGATCCTCGCGTCACAAGTTCGGATGCAATCTGTGGTCCTTAATTGCTACGTCTGCGCTTTCTATACGTTCTACGTAGTTTCCAGCTGCAGGTTTCATATAATTATTGTTATTCTCTCATAAGACAGCAATTATCTTTCATATCTTCATCCATCCCATGTCTGACATCAAAGTTGACGGTTTCAAGGTCACTGAATAAGTTCATTCTTAATACTGTCTTCGCTTACCAGCTTGGGACACGCCTCTAGGCCTCAGACATCATCGTCGACCTTCACACTGCATTCGACAGTTTCACCGATGCACAGAGACAAGCACAAGTAAAGAAAGTGCGTACATCGAGTCAAGAGCCTTACCACTTGTGTAACACAATACTTTATAGACCAAGGGCATCTTCGAGCTCCGAATTACGAACGACGACAAAAAGGAGGCCGTCTGGACGATCGACTTGAAAAAGAAGGGCGCCATCTTGAAGGGACTGGCCTCGCCCAAAGCGGACGTCACACTCATCATGTCGGATGATACGTTCTCGCAGCTTGCTTCAGGCAAGGTTTGTATTATAGCGGTCCATTCAGATATCAGTCACTAATACGTGGCATAATAGATGGACGGTCAGAAAGCTTTCCTCACTGGCAAGTTGAAGGCAAAGGGCAATATCATGTTGGCCACAAAACTCGCCGCCGTTCTTCAGGTGAACAATTATATTGCTGTAATTAAAGCTACAACTGACTTGTTCCCTAGATGGCCAAGGACAAGGCAAAACTGTAGAGTTGTGTCTACCGCTTGTGCTTGTGCTTTGGGCAATGAGTACCATCCTTCCGCGTTGCAATGTGTAGATGTGGAGTGGTGATTATTACATATATGAACATATCCATACAAGCTAGGAAAGTGGAAGGTCTGAATGTTGAGCTCAGAACATCCCTCCAAAAAGCCCACGTTGTCGACGTGGCGCGGGTTGAGTATCTGTCCGAAGAGTCGACAAGCTATTTAGTTGTTTCATAACCTGACAGCGTCATCAGTCGAATACGTGGAAAATACTATTGTTTTACTCACTTCCTCGAGTTTGTCCTTACGCTCTTGTAAGTCGAGGTGGCGCTTGACAACAGGGTTCTCTCTAGCAAATTCCTCAATCTCCTTGCGGTCGAGGTCGTATATTAGACGTGAATCAATCCCTCGGGGGAGCTGAACATACACCGTCAGTACATGGTTCACCATCAATCTGACAAGGTTACCTGGTCGAAGAAGTGGTCCAACAATTCGATGTTGATGAACATCGTGGAGGTATACGCAAGCTTGTCGGCGACCACATTCAGGAAGACTTCAGGACACAGCACATCGCTCTCGGGGCCTGCTTTACACCGCTTTGACTTGAGCGCGATCAGGCGAAGCTTAAGAATGGACAGCCTATCACTGTACAACATAGCATGTCGAGCTGTGAATGCATCATCAGCGTGCAGTCCAACAATCTGTCATAGAATCTCACCATCAAGAATCTGCCCTGGAGGATACCGATACGACTCAGGCTCGGGCTCCTCTTGTGCATCTTCTTCTCCTGCCAACCGTCTGTTTTTCCTCTCTCTTGCCTGCTCCTCCAAGCCCCGGACATATCCCAAGAGGCTACTGAGCCTTCGACCCCCACCAACCTTCTTTTTGATTTCCTTCAGCTTGCTCTCGCACATCGTTATCTCCATCTGAAATAGCTCCGCTGCGCGCCCACGTCCCTGCTCCCACTCCCGTTCATCAACGTCTACCTCGTACTTGAATGGCTTAATGCAGTTCTCAACCTGGTCCGACGTCACGCCAATGCGCTCCCGCAATATCATATGTGAGAACTGCACCAGTCTTTCAGCTGCTCGAGGATGGTATGTGAAAGGGTCTCCGGACACAATCGAATCAATAAGAGCACGCAGACCATCAGCAACGAGAAGAGTGGAATCACGGCCAACACCAGATTTCGTGAGTAAAGAAGATGCCGCCTCAAGCTTATGTCGCCAATATGGATCCACATCCTGAGGCTTCACCTTCGAGTCCACGGCAAGCGCACCGAGCTCCGGCGTCCGCTTGTCCAGCCAATACAGTTGTTCCAGCACATCCATCACCTTCTCGTCCAGCATCATCTTTAGCTTCTCACGCACTTGCGGCTTCCGGAACTGCGTGGTGAAGTCTTTGAATCGAGATTTTAGCGTGTCCACCGTTTCGGCAACGTACGATTCGGCTGTGATGCGCCGGTCGTTGTATTGTACTTTGAACTGGTAGGTAGCCTCTTCGAGCTCGAGCTGCACCGCATTGGTGATCCCGTGCAGCGAAGACGCCATGGAAGATTCGAGCACTTCCATCAGACGCCGCCGGAGAGTATCAGTGCCGACCATTAGCGAGGATGGAGCGCCAAAGTAATCACGGTGGCTGCCAAAGTAGTCATTCTCGCTCCGTTTCGCAACGGCGCCTGCGGACTGCGACGAGGATGTCTTCCCTGCTGATTTGGCAACGACCCCCACATATCCTAGGTGCAAGGGGTAGCGGTTCCCTGCAAGGATCGTCGCACCCTGTTCAGGTGGCACCAAATCCATCTTCGTGATAACGCCAATTGTCCGCAAGCCCAAGGGGTCAACCTTTCGGCTCGCTCGTAAGGCAGGAGAATTTGCCAAATCTACGTCGGCCGCGCAGACTGCGAGGATGATATTGGGCTCCCGGATGTACCGCTCACATAGACCTGCGATCTTTTCCTTAAGTGTTTCTGGCTGGTCCATGGATGAGATCTGTACGTAGCCAGGTAGATCGATAAGGGTGAGGTCAGGAACGTTGGGACTGTAGATGCGGAGGTCAATAGCGTCATTAGAGACAGCTTCGGAAGAGGGGACGGCAAGGTTGAGGTCAGTCAGGGTTTGCTGAATATGGGCGAAGTTGGTGATCTTCCCCAGCCCAAGAGCTGGGAATTCGCCATATTCTTCGGGAGTCCTGCCATCAGCCTTGGCAGGTGTATGGACTAGAGTGAGTTCTATAGGACGGCGAGTGACCATGTTGTTGCCTCTGCGTCACCATCAGCACAATCTTAACTGATGAATATAGTTTCCCACTTTGGCAAAAACTCGTGCCCCACAATGGCTTCTAGCACTGAGCTCTTTCCTGAGCTCTGGCTGCCAATGACGACAATGCTTGGGAGCTTCAGCGCATCGCTCTGGTCAATGCTTAGCAACATGCTTCTGATCTCAATAAGCTTCCTCGTAAGATGCATTAGCTGATTCTGTCTTGAATCGACATTTCCGTCGGCCTCATTAGATGCCCTTGAATCTGACGGGGAAGACATGGTTGCAGCAATGAGAGCTGCTATAGCGGCATTCTCTTCCGGCAGTCGTCGGTTCGAGGAGTCCCCCTGTGAATCATCTTCTCGCGACTTATCACCGTTCTCCACAGATGCGAAGAGATCTTTGAGAAACTGAGGCGTTTCGATGTCTGGTAATTGGACCGCAGACACACGAGACGCGACCGACTTGATGCTGTCCGAAGCCGAGTCTATAAAATCTGTGGCTGTATCTTGGACAGACGATAGCCAAGCAGTCGACTGATTGCGCAGTTCTGTCGCGATAAGATGAACACACAGGAGTCGTATTATGTACAAGAACTTACCTTCAAACTTGTAATTGGCGTAACCAAGCCCGCCAGCGCCAAGAGCTGCACCAGCTATGGGTACACGAAATGCTCGGGCAACAAATCGAGGTATAGAAGAGTATGAAATAGCGCGGATGTGGAGGTTACGCAAGGCGGCAGGGGTTTGGGATGCATACCGTTGCCGCAGGCGGACAGAGCCTTGTGAGGATGTCAACAGCGTGCCAAATTGGCGGTGCACGGGCCTATGCGATTCAGCAGCATTCCTACTAGCAGCAATGCCATATGTTACGACCTTCCTGGGTAACAAGGCGGCAGATATACGACGGCGAAACGAAGAGTACATAACGTGTCGACGGTGCTGCAATCCTGGGCTTAAAGAAAGTAAATAGAATGCAGATGATAGAATCGACAGCCGCCCTTCCCACGCCTGGCCTTGTACAAGCTAAGATTTTGAGGAACCAAGAAGATACCGTGTTAATAGTCAAGACTCGGGTTGGACGTTTGATCCTAAGTAACAGCTTCAAGAATGTGTGGACTACAATCACGTGACAAAATGCTGAGTCAGCGCGTGACTCTGGACCTCCCTAACTTGATGTTGTGTGATTAGTGTAAAAACACATCGGCCCGTTCCCCAGCTGACCGTATCACCAATTGTGCTCTCGGAGCTCCGCCAGAAGATGGTGATGTCGCGAGATCGATTCCATATAACTGCTAGAGCAGCCGTTGTTTCTTTTTGCCAACCTGATCGATTGGTTTCTGTAACATGCCAGCTGCAGTACCCCCTTCCGGAATTTACGTGCCCGCTGTCTTGTTCTTCAAAGAGAACGAGGACTTTGATGTCCCTGCTATAAAGTCTCATGTTTTGCGGCTCGCTCAGGTGCGAAAAATTTTATGACTCCCTGATGTCAGTCGATAACATTTCAATCTGCTCAGGGAGGTGTTACAGGTATTGTCGTGCAGGGAAGCAATGGGGAGGCTCAACACTTATCACACGACGAGCGTAAACAGGCGATCAGCCTTACTCGCAAGACGTTGGATGAAAACGGCTTCCAGAATGTTGTCATCATTGCAGGCTGCGGTGCCCAATCTGCACGAGAGACGAAGAAGCTCTGCGCAGATGCAAAGGATGCTGGTGCTGCCTTTGTACTCGTGTTGACACCTTCCGTCTGGCCTGGAGATATGACGAAAGAGAACATCATTCGCTACCACCGTGAAGTAAGCCTTCCGTAAAACTGACTGGACCGAGTCGCTGACTTCCTCGAATCTGTAGGTTGCAGATTATTCACCTTTGCCATACATGGTGTACAATTTCCCAACCGTCACTGCCGGAATTGACCTGGACTCTGATACCATCCTCACACTCTCAGAGCACCCCAACATTGTGGGCACTAAGTTATCTTGCGGAAACGTTGGAAAGCTCCACCGAATCACTTCTGTTAAGCCGCCTTCCGAATTCTGCACCCTTGCTGGTGTATCAGAGGTGCTCTTGCAAGGACTCCTCTCCGGAAGTGCTGGCGCAATTGCTGCGCTCCCGAACCTCGTGCCTAAGCTACACATGAAGATGTACGCACTTTACCAGGCAGGAAAGATCGATGAGGCTATGAAAATCCAAGCTCAGCTAGGTCAGGGAGATTGGGCGACACGTAAGGCTGGAGGAGTTGGTGCTATGAAGGCATTGATATCGAAGCATTTCGGATATGGAGAAATTCACGTTCGACGCCCGCTCATGGCTGTTGCACAACTTAGCGGTACGTATGTCGATAAACTGGAGGAACTGATTGCCAGTGAGAAGATGTTGTAGGATATAACATGCTTTGTATTACGATTATCGCATGCATACTGGCACAGTCCAATTTTGCCTATCCATCATGAAAATACACGACGCGTCGTCCATGTGAACTCAATATCATTAATCCCTCAAGAGCCGATATCAGGTGCTCCTCGGCACTTGCCTTTGTCTTGCCTCATCGCTAACTGTTCTCAAGCCTCCCTTCACCATGTTCACTATCAATCACCGGGTGCATAGCGCCCGCGTTGTGGGATGACACTTACTACCTTAAATTACCCAAGCAGACCTCTCGAAATAGTGCACGAATCACGGGGGCAGACCTCGTGTGTTCCTTTTCAGTTCCGACGACTCTCATAGTGGCGCCGGCGGTCCGGTTTACACAATTGCGTATCAGTTTGTCGATCAACCCTTCTTGAACACTTGCCACGAAAGGACGATTCCCGACCCCATAGCAAACAAAATGCAAAGTGTTCTTTTACTCGTGAACCAGAGTCTTCCTAGTTTCCGGTAGGCAGATCAATAGAAGGAAGACGGTCTGTCCTTCCGTAGTGCCAGCCTGATCATGACTCTTTCACGAGGGGTGCATGCATCGGTGGAGGAACTTTAAAACACTCCTTTGAACGGCGAAACCTCGCGCTACCCATCGTCTGGTTTATTTTAATCGCAAGTGGCCTGCGATGCAAAAGTTTTTCCGCTTCCCCCTGTAGGCCTCTAAAAGTCGAGTCGAGGAATATGTCGTTGTCCCCACCGCAGCTGGGATTGCAACATGAAACTTCAGGCAAGCCTTCTTACTTTGGCTTCGGCTACTGTCTCGGTGAGCGGGTTGATCACATTGTCATGGTATTTGACTGACAGCATCTCGAGTTCTCTAAACCTATGGCTAGGCAATCGACCTCATTCGTGAAGGCTGATGGCCAAAGCTTCACTCTCGATGGTCAACCGTACACTGTCTTTGGGTACTCAGAAAATCTATCATGCGCACTCAGGTTCTCATGCAAAGTCGTGTTGCAGCTCCAACTCCTACTGGGTTGGCTTGACTGGTCTTACCACCGATGAGATGGATGTCACATTTAGGGACATTGCCGAAACCGGTGGGACTACTGTCCGAACATGGTTTGTCACTGAGTTTATATGAAAAGAAAGTCTACTGACAAGGCCTTATCAGGGGCTTTAACGAAGTCACCTCCGCCAGTGGCGACTACTACCAGCTCTGGAACGGAAGCACCCCTACTATAAATTACAGTTCGACTGGTCTTGAGAACTTCGGTAAGGAGAGCTGACCCAGTTTTCTTACGGGCTGATGTTCAACAGTTCATTCAAGATGATGTTGTGGCCACCGCTAAGGCAAACAACATTCGCCTCATTGTTACGCTGTGCGTCAGGTACTTTGTATAGCATGTTCCAACTGAACAAACATTTAGCACGAACAACTGGTCAAACTACGGCGGAATGGACGTTTACGTTGACCAAATTCTTGGCGAAGGCCAGCCACATGACTACTTCTACTCTAACCCCGAGGTCATTGTACGTGCACATCAGTATTTGGCCATCAGATTTCCCACTGACGTCGGGGCCATTAAGGCCGCCTTCCAAAACTACGTGAAGGTGTGGGTTGAGAGGTACAGCGAAGAGCCCACCATCTTCGGTTGGGAGCTGGGTAGGTGACGCGTCTTTCCTTGCATGATCCCTACCATTTACTATAATTTACAGCAAATGAGCCGCGTTGCACTGGCTCCACCAAGTATTTCGAATGTTTTTCAAATAGAAAACATTTATCTGACGTACCATAGCGCCACCTCAGGTACTTGCACTACCACTACGATCACAGATTGGGTTAAGACTATGTCTGGCTACATCAAGTCTCTCGACAGCAACCACCTAGTTGGTCTCGGAGACGAGGGTTGGTTCAACTTGCCCAACTCCACCGACTATGCTTACGAGTAGGTTGATTGTAAACCTTCGGTTCAAGACAACAAAATATTTGTTGACTTACCTCTAGTGGTTCTCAAGGCATCGACTTCGATGCCAATTTGGCCATCGACACCATCGACTTTGGAACTTTCCATGTATGTCTTTTTCTTTTTCTTATTAGATCAGTCATGACTGAAATCAAAACGAAACTAGCTATACCCCGTATGTTGAGCAGCAGTGCTAATTGCTATGATCACACTATAACTCACAAATCTTCTATGCCGACTTAGTATAGTTGGGGTGAGGAAACCCCGAGGTAAGCACACAATGCATGGAGATCGCTTTTCCATAGATTGATTACCTGCCAGCGCGATGGTCTGGGGTCAGGAATGGATCGAGAACCACCGCAATGCTCAAGCCACCTACAATAAACCTGTACTGATGGAAGAGTTTGGTGTACTCGCTGACCAGAACCAGACCGCGACCTACAAGAATTGGTACTCCACCGCGATCGATGGAGGGCTGAGTGGTGTACTCATCTGGTGAGTCTTGGGTCTTTGCGAATTTGAAGACGACAGATTAGATATTCCTTTAGGCAAGCTGGTTCGAACCTGACGAGTGGACCCACGCCCAACGACGGTTTCACGGTAGTATTTGATCGTGATATCTTTCAAGAATCGAGACTGAAATTTCTGGACGTAGATCTACCCCGATATTCCCGTGTACTACATGGAAATGCAGTTTTCGGCTCGACTCAAAGCAAAGAATTAGGGAATTCGAAAGGCAGTTTGTCTAGACATAGACAATTTATGCAATGTCATGGTGTCACACAAACGAACACTGGTCCCCAAGGACTGAGTGGAAAAAAGCAAGACCTACAGTAAGATATGACCTTTATATTGGGACTTTCCCTCGGAATACTTGGGCAGGAATGACTGGCGAACACGTGCAAAGACCGGGGAAATTTTTCAAGGGCCAAGGCTGAGTGAATATTCTGCTCGTTTCGTTTGTTTGGGTCCGTTTCGTTTTGAAACGGACGGACGTCAAAGTGAAACAGACGCTCCTCACACATTGCCACACTCATACAAACTCAGTAGATACTACTAATCAGATAGTGAATAATAACCATCAGTTTGCTTTGTTACTAGCAATGTCAATCTTCCTCATCTCATCCCATCCAAATCCAGACAACTCTCGCAGTTTTTGGACAAACGAGACAGTTGGCCTTCAATGAAGCTTCAACTATAAATAATACATCAGCACAAAAATGAATGGAACATGCTGCTCACAGTGCTCCAACGACATGAGCAATTTTTTGCAGTTTTTGGAGCACCCCCACTGGTTTTGTGACTGTCTTTGATCACCTTCACAGCAGTTGTAAATTGAAAGTTCCAACATCAGCCGAGTTTCCATCAGCAAAAGTCCCAAGAGTCAAGGAGTGTTGCATCATCCCCAGAACTCCACTTCGCATTCCGTGGAATCTTGGTGCTGACAGCCTGCTCTTGAGGTTCCTGAAGTAGATTGATGTTCTCCTTGGTATCAGAGGAGAGTTTATGTTCTATTTTCTTAGGTGGCATGGTGGGTAATACTTAACACAAAGCAGGGACAGTGGGATATTCGATTGACGAGAGCAAGCAAACAAGTACTACTAGCGCGACGCCACATTATCATCAGCGTGACAGGAAAAGAACACATGCCCAACACGTTTGTCCGTTTCAAACGAAAACGAGTGGTTGCCGTTCGAACGGGCCCTATTTATAATATTCCATCCGTATGGAACTCAGGGATGACTCGGAATCAGGTGCATCAGATGCATCAAGGGGATATCTGTCTTTCTGACTCATTGGCATGACGTGTAACTGTAAGCCTTTTGTTCGGAGATGCTTAGAACCTAACCCCATACTGCGTTTACATTTCGCTTGTCAGTTATCTGATGGCATTAAATCTAAGCGGGCCGTCCAGTCAGCGTCATGAAGTATCTGGCGAGCGTTTTGACAAATCATCTGATGCCGAACGTGTAAGTTACATCTCTTACGAATGAACTTCGAGGCAAGGGACTCAGTCTTGGATTTTAGGAATTAACGCGGAGAATCAAAGGTGCCGGTCAAGGAGGACATTACGAAAGTGACCTCTAAGCATCGCCAAGGAAAAGTTGTGCGACGTACGCAGTGCCCGTTCTGATCGGCATCACCCCTATGTTATAACGACCTGCTTCCCTGGAGATGCTGATCCAAATCATCGAACTAATCCTCCTGTTAGTGATATGAATTCTGTTCATCCTCCCGTGTTAGTAGTAAGTTACAATTTACTTATGACACATGTTTGCACCTAGCTGAATTCTTTGTTAGGTAGGCGCCGGGCCAGTGGGCCTAGTAGCAGCGTTGACGCTCCTCGAAAACGGTATCTCAGTTCGCATCATTGATAAAGACCCCCACCATCGCATCGGACAACGTGGTGCTGGAATATGGGTTTGTCATACACATCCACTTGTCATATCGCCCCGTGCTCTCACTGAATCCATTCTCTATGTAGCCGCGCTCCCTCGAACTCTACAACTTCCTGGGCGTTTCAGAAGTTAATGGTCTGGGAAAACCAGCCCCTCCCGTCCGTTCATACAAGCCCGGGACGTTGGAACCTCTTCAAGACTCATCGATGGTCCCACCTATGGAACCTAGCTCAGCAATACCATTCGTGCGCAATACTGTCACCTGATCAAGCCTTCATCCTGATTCGGGTTTTTTTAGCATTCCCCCAAATTGATGGGTCAACAGGTCCTAGATGTGATTCTGCGACGCCACCTAGAGAAATTCTCTTGTTCTGTCGAAATGGGCACCGAACTGCGCTCGTTCGAGCAGTCCGACGAGGGCGTCACCACTGTTCTAACAAAGAACGGCATAACAGAGACTTTTGATACCAAGTGGATTATCGGTGCTGATGGTGCTAAAGGTGAGACGCAGTTAAATGCATCGGCATGAACGAGACTGAAGGTGGCTTTGCAGGTATCGTGCGCAAACAACTTGAGCTCGCATTTTTGGGCGAGACCAGAGACGATACCCGGATGGTGACGGGAGATATCTGTCTGAAGGGCGTTGGCCTTGATAGAATGGTACGTCCGTTTTTTTACATATTCGATGAAAAGCTGTTCTAATCTAGTCTCGAAGTATTGGCACCGATTTGGACACTTTAGTAAACGAGGGTGTGTTCAATTTCTGCTCTTGAGGCTTGAAAACGTGTATATTGACGATATGTAGCCTCTCATTGCGTCCAACAGACGAAGTTGGCGAGGACGGCTGGCAATTTTTCCTCTACGGTCACGAACTAGACATAGCGAAGATCGCTCAGAGCGAAGAGCTTGTTTTCGAGACCATCGCGTCGATAATACCAACGGAGATTACATTCAGCAAGGTGGTTTGGATGAGTGACTTCAGGTGAGTTTTGTATTTCTGTATGTGTCGGTGCATACTCATCGGTTTGTTCCAGGGCCAATATCCGGATGGTGGATAAGTTTAGCAAGGGTCGAGTGTTCGTTGCGGGCGGTATGTGGTTCTCTTTAAGACTTGTGTAGCCGCGCTCATGCATCTCATCACAGATGCTGCTCAGTATGTCTATCTGTGAATGTCTTCTTCGCAAACTGCTGCTAACACATATCCAAGCGTCCACAGCCCAACTGGTGGTCAGGTATGGTTGATCCGATTGTTGCTAATACCTGCTCATTTGTCTATGAACAGGGACTCAATTCAGGTGTACAAGATGCAGTGAGTCGGGTAGATTTAGTATGTGTGCTACCACTGACCGCGCATCAGTTCAATCTAGGATGGAAACTTGCGCTTGTTCAGAAAGGGTTCGCCGACAAATCACTTCTCGAGACATACAGCGCCGAGCGTCTGCCTGTGATCTCCGAGATGCTCGGGGTGACCACCTCGATTCTCGACAAGGCAATATCGTCTGGAGACCCGTCGATCGGACGGAGTCCTATCCTTTATATGCTCGGCATCAACTGCCGATTCAGCTCCATCGTACTCGATGAATTTGTGACTTCAATCGAGGGGAGGCCTATCAACGCGTATGGAGTGCTTGACGAAGGGCATCTGGAAGCTGGAGATAGGGCGCCTGATGCACCCAAAATGCTGCAGGTGGGGCGCGCAGAGCCTGACGTGACGACACTTTTTAGTTTGTACAAACCCTGGTACCACACAGTGCTTGTATTCGCGCCAGATCTCGCTGAAGCCACCCCGATCCTGGGTGCATTAAAGGCATACGACAATAGCATCGTACGATCGGCAGTCGTGCTACCATCTTCAGCATCAGTGACGCCTGTCACATCTCCTGCTGACCTCGTTCTTGTTGATCGTGAAGGCTATGCTTATTCAGCTTACCTCATGGAGGCTGGCCACATGAAGGTGTTTGTGATACGGCCAGATGGAGTGGTTGGGGCGATCGTTCACGGTGCAGAAGGCATGAAGAAGTATTTCTCAAAGATATTTTTGGACGCGTAGTGGCCCGAATATGCGTTCTTTACTTACAACTTTTACAAGCACAACTCGTTCCTGTATTATGCAACTTAGCGTATCGTGTTTGTAACAAAGCGATACGATAGAGAATCACATACCAATGGCCGCCTCATGTACGAAATTCAAAGTTTTGTACCGTAAAAGACTCGATACTCGCTTGATGGCTCACTGGGTCCAAGGACCAGGTGAATTTATTCCATGATCGGGCGTTGCTGAACATTTGCAGTGACAAGTAAACAATTGAATTCATGGGCTCCCGTAGCTTTAGTCGTGGTGAGAGTGGGTAGGTAAAAATTGGCGATTGCGTTACAACCGCTACATGTGTCGTGCAAACGAGCATGTATTTGGGAGGGAATTGGCCAATGAGTGAGATAAAATTTGAGCAAAGACGTGACATTCATATCGGAGTAATTACATGGATGCGTTCAAGAAAGTTACATGGTGATGTGCTGCCAGGCTGGAGATTCGAGAAACCTCCTGACACGAGCAACAACAGCATTAATGCGGCTGTCCAGGAAGGATAGATTTCAGCCAGGTTCGAGCGCCGGGAAGTGCTAACTGCACTATGACAGTTGGATGCGAGGAGATACATTCTGGAAGATATGGAAACCAGAGTCGGGACCATGTACACAATGCAGAGGAGCTGGGAGGGCATAAGGAACTCTGCGCGGTAAGATGTGAGCTTTCTATCAGGACTTCCACGAGAAAGGCCGGGGTGAATTCGACGATATTGTGAGGGAATGATGTCTCATTGCGATAAATTGCCTTTTGAATTCATCAACCCATCGAGAAGCTCGGCGACTTTCTGGCGAGCTTCATTCTTTTCCTGTTGTACGTGCTTGAGTTCCGCATCCCGACGGTGGGCGATTTGAGCCTCGTCGGACAAGAGAAGCAGCAACTTCAAGGAATGTGTTATAGACAACAGCGAATTAGCTGCACGGACCTGGATGATTTCAATAAGGAGCAACCCGTAGTGGACAGGGTGTGTTTCATACCATAGACTCGGCGCGAGATTCGGCCTGAAATGACTCTTGTGCGATTCGAAACTTGTCCTTGTCTCCGATCTGACAGAGGTTGAGGTACAGCTCGAGGACGTAAGTATAACGCTCACCGATGCCAGACTAACGATATCGACCATACCATCCACCAATACTTCTACCTCGGTATCTAGTTTCTTGTTCCATTCTTCCTCGATGGCATCAAGGTATTCATCCGAATTTTGATCGACGAGAGCTTGATTGAAAGTGGGGCGCTGAAGTAACTTGGCTGTAGGCAATGCTGAGGGACGAGAGACATCAGTCTGGGGAGGTTCAGCCATCAGTTGATATCGTCCGCACGACTACCTTGGATGGTGCACCGGTGGAGGATCACAAGTTTGTGAAATAGCCCCGAAAAGGCAGGTTGTGGAACAAAAGCAAGGTATGTTGATGTGATCAACGCTGTGCGCTGTTGTTACCTATCATAAAGCTTGAAGAAGGAATGACCGTCTAAGTCTTCCTTGTGTTTGATCTGCCATGTTCTTTGATATCACACCAATTCGTGTTTCTTAACTCGGCATCATGCGCTTAGAATCAGTGGTTCCTTCAATTCCTGCGGAACTGGTAGCAGCACTCGACCATTCGTGCGGCATCCGAACAGACACCGATCTTCTCTTCTTTGGTTCCAGCATAGACATTATCAAGAAGTTACCACTCGGGACTGTAACGCTTTCAGACCTGGAAAAGTTCACCGAATTAGTAGCAGAAAAAGCATCAGTCCCTGGACATCGGGGAGACGAGATTCTTGCCGGCACAGGACGGATATCTGAGAAACATCCTCAAGCCACCTGCGGTGTGAAGGAGCTAGATGAACTTGTTGGCGGCTTTGGTGACCCTCGAGTCTTTGAAATATCTGGAGCCAAAGGGTCAGGTAAAACGGTCAGATGAGTTCAAGTATATTCTCGAGGTGCAATTTACAACGAGGATGACAGGCACTAGTGCTGCAAATAGTGATCCAATGTCTTCTTGCTAATGCAGATTCTTGTGCGTTATGGATCGATACATCCGGTGATTTCTCTGCAGAGAAAACTGCTCAGCTAGTGCGACATTTTGATGTAGCGGTAAATTTATCATTGTTCTCGTGGTGAGAATCTAACGAAGGACTGCCAGTTATCTGGTAAAGTGCTAGAGAGGTTGCAGGTATCCTTGGGTTTCAACATCGAGGCAGTGCACGATGTCCTCGAAGCGCTGCGCATTTCGCTTTTGGTATGCCTCCATCTCTTTTTGCGCTTATTCGTTCCTGAATTGTGCTATGTATCGCAGAGCTCTAGGACTGTTGAACCAACTGTCCAATGGATAGTCATTGACTCCATAACCCCACTTCTACTGCCGTCCTTAAGTGCGGTATCTTCCCAAGGACATGCCATGATGGCAACGTTTATGCGCCGATTACGCGAGCTTGCTCGAACTTTCGGGTTAACCATCATGGTAAGGTTGTTACACGAACTCGCACCTACTTCTCATTTTATCTAGGTGATCAACGGAACATCAGCAGCTGCACCATTCAATCAGAGTTCCGCATTTGCATCAACAATCAGAAAACCTGCTTTGGGTCCTTCGTTTACATTTATGACAGATTGTACGCTCTGGTTATCGAAGACGGAGGATATGCCTGATTCCGAGGGCTCGTTCTCGGTGCACGTGGCAGAAGTATTCCGTTCGAGGGCAACGGTGAGTTACTGGAGTAGTTTTCCTTCGTGTGGTGTTGAATTTGAATTACAGATATCAAAGACTTGGTGCACCTTCCAAATTCGCCATGGCGTCTTATCCTCGACCACTTGACCCAGTGGCTCGCTAACAAGCAGAATTCATTTGAATTACAGAAGCAAATTGCGTGTCGTTGTCAAACAGCTATAGCACATTATTCCGCATGAAGTCCGAAGTGAATCCAAACTACAAGGTGAGTTAAGCGCACGATGTATCCTTCCTAAACATCCTCCACCGTTGCCTCCCTCGAAGCATGAAGTTCATTACCCCAAAACCTTGAGAAGCGAGATGGCCGATATGTATCCCGCTTTTGACTCTGAGCAGCATTGTTCGTGCTCGTCACGAATATGTTGTTCTGAGCTCCATCTTTAAAATCGTAAAGGTCGTTGTAGAAAGGAGGACTCATGTAGTCCTCAAACATCTGACCAGACCAGAATTCAGATTCTATATCGCGTAAAAGGTTTCCGAATGCTCACGTTGTTGCCTTCGTTCTGCAGCCAGTACAATGGTTGCTTTGCTCCATGCGTACAGTTGCTAGGGGTGGGGTGAGTGATTCCGTGTTCAGGATCTGCTCCGCAGCGTCTTGCAACTTGAGGCTTCATGAGAGCTGGTGCATCGTGCCTAGAACCCGTTACTGTGCACTGGAAGGCATTCATATACACTGCAAGGCACCGAGTCAGGATGACTAGACAACAAAGGAAACCGCCTTACTTTGTTCAGAACCGCTATCAGGAGAGTGGATCCAGAACCATGCACACGTGCATTTTCCGCCGGGACAGGCGGGCATGTCAGCGGGAACCTATTATTGTTGTTAAAATGGGTTCAGAAAGATATTTGGTCATCGTAGGAATACGTACCTGGAATGCGGTGAATCTGTGCCAGACGCAAGTCTGGTTGACGCTAAAGATTGTGAAGTCCTCCGGTTTGATCTTGCTGACATCCGATTCATGAACAATGGCAAGTGCACAACCTTTCACGTCATTGATACCCGTGGTATGGAACTGGACAGAAGTGGATTTGGGGCAAGGCCAGTCCCCCTGACGAACATCTCCACTGTACCATTGAGCTCAGTATACATCCTGATGGAACATGTAATCAGATGGCTGACCCTTCGGACGAATTCCACCACGTCGTCGCGCCCTTGTTGCACCCGAGTTCTGCAATGGCGGCTTTCCCAGCGGGCAGTTCAAAGACATCATTTGAGTGCGGAGGATACCGAAGGTGGTTGTGAAACCACCATTCGTCAAACGTCATACGCGCCAGGGGAACAACAGGACGGTTGTCGTAAGAATACGCTGGGTCCTTGTCTGTGACGTTGAAGCCCCACATGCTTGGGTGCCAGAAGGCAATGTGGGCATAGGCAGAGGGGACAACGACAACGACAATAATGAAGAACAGACGAGTAACTGAGTAAATCATAATGAGTGAGCTGCTCGTGTTGGTTTCTCGACAGAGGCATCAGGCATTATATATGTACCACACAGCTTACTCATGGTCCTACTGAAGAGAATCAAGAAAAAACTTTAACTACAGAATGCAATACACCATTACACCGATGGCGAGCGCAGTCACTCACAAAGATTGCGCCCAGAAGAGCGTCTGCCCTGAGTTGCATACTTCCGGCGCACACTGGTCGACTCTGTCCGAAGGCAGGTAATCAACAACATCCCCTTCTGGAAGATCTGCAGCGTGACGGGCAAGCCGTACATATGCTTCTGACACAAGATTCTCAATGCACGGACAAGTTAGGTATCGGTACCTTGCCTCCGAAGACAAACAGGAGTTGCCCAGCTCCATTACTTTGGCCGGCAGGTCGTTCAGGTCATAAAAGTCTCCAGGCTTACGATAACTTACAATTCGTTTCAAGCCTTGGGCCCATTCGGCATAAAGGCTCATCATTATGGGGTAGGACGCCCTTTCGACGGCCCTAAGTCAACCGTAGCTTGCCGCATGACCGTAATAGTTTCTTAAAATGCCTTGTAGGGTACTAAGTCGCCAAGCTTGTATTCCAGCAGCATCATAGTATATTGCCCAGGAATAATCACAAGGAACTGCATAATTCAAATCAAACAAGGCTGTGGTTCCAATGATGTCTACTTTGAGCTTACCTTCAACAATGAACAACCAGTAGAGCGAAGCATACCACTGAAATGTGGATGATAACAAAGAAAAGTTACTTGCCCATCCGAAATCGCTCGTGACACTGACAAAATCATTCACATCAGCTCGGAGTATGGCTACACCCGTAGTCATTCGGGTACAACTGCTTGTGGTTGGCCTGTGGCGCACACTCCTTCAGAAGGCGCCTCAGAGGACGAAGGCACTTCGTCAGTCGATCTTGACTTGACCGGGCCCATTTCGCATCAAAAGCCATCGGGGTCATCCGAAAACTCGTCCCGATCACGGGAATGAAGTTGATGGAAGATTCGCGAACATCAAAAGGCTCACGAATCCATCTCGTGGATAGGAAAGAGGCATCCAAACGAAATCGTGGAACTATCAGCACGAAGGTCACCATATGTAGTACATTAAAAGGGGCGCATCATTAATCCAAAGTTTGATGGTAGTTCGTATCAAAATGAGATGAGGAAGCAAACTGGACTTCATATATCTCCAAACCTGTAAAAATGATGAGACTAGTTCGATACCGCAATCAAGATCACTTGCCTATCTGGCATCAACACGGGCGCAAGCAAGCTCCACATGTACAATAACATGCACACCCAACTGCTTACTATGCGCATCCACATCGCGGTCTCCGAGCGGCCGATGCGGACAACTTCCTCAGAGTCAGCAGAACCCTGTTCTGTGGACACCACGTTCCTACGTAGAAAAGATGGGCGGAAGGCCCCGGATATAATTAAAAGGCCACTTACCAATCAGTCAGGAGCATGGCAACATACATTCCACCAATAGCGAAGATGACATGAAACCAGGAGTACTGTGCATGTTAAGGTAATTGTTATAGAAGATGTCACAATATACTCACATTGTATCTCGTGCCGGAACGTTCATCATCTTTGGCATCTCCATAGTCATCATCCTCATCGTCTTCATCGTCGTCATCCAGAGCGGATGCAGGGATTGCTCTGGCAAATTGTCACTACCCAAATATTAATCTATAGTACTATCACTTACCCAGCCTCGACAGCAGCGAGGAGAGCCTGATATCTTGGCGACTCCGTTTTTCCTGGTTGAGTTCTAACTACATCCATTTCCGAAGGCTCACTAACGTCGACCGGAAGTTGAACTGCGCCACCTTTCTTTCCCCTACCTACCAATGCACGGCTCTGTGTTGCCGCGCGACTGGTAGAATAGGCGATAGCCAAGAAAGTGAAGACTGCACCAAGAACAACTGTGGTAGTCCGCGTCTTGTCAGTCCGGCTGAGAGGATTGCAAGATTGGTGTGCGTGGTTGCTGACAGCGGAGACAACAAGATAGGTGCAGTATGCGGCAACCATTCCGGATTGAGCGAGGCCCGACCGAGGATTCGAGTCTTGAATGGCAGGATGTATGGACATAACGGTGATAATGATGCAAAGGGCCAGGTTTAATGAGATGAAGAACCGGTTGAGAGTGCATCCGGAACTTGCGAAATAGGCGTATAGAATGCCGGTCAGGGTGATACACGCCACGTACATCGCAGCAGTAGAGCCTATGAGGATCCATTGCCATAAAGTCGAATCTGAGTTATCCCAGTTTTCCTGACACATTTCTGTCCATGAGTGGGCGAAGTCGACTAGGAGAACCAAACCGAGGAGTATAAATATGGTGGCACCTATAAGAGCAACGTAGTTGCCCCAGAACATGAAAAATTCATTCGGTATGAAGAATGAAACCACGACGAGCAAAATCCACAGCAGAACCTTTGGGCCCCACCAGCTGGCTTAGATGAGCACATATTCCAAATATTCAACACATGACAGGGGTGCTCACCCATTCTGTACGGCGGCGCGTTTATCTCTAGACTCCTTAACGCCAATGAGAGACAAGCTCAGGATTGCATGGAACAGAGATAAGGCGAAACAAATACGGTGGACCTGAGTTTACGTGGGTCAATATCAAGTCGACTGCGAGTTGCATTGGACATACCGCAAGAACACCATAACACTTGCCCTCATCGCAGTCCATCTTTATATAGTCATAACTCCAATGCTCAATCTTGCGAATTGCAAATGGAGTCTTCATGAGCCATGCTAGCAGGGAATTCAAAATAAAGATTATCTAGGCAAATACGGTGAGGGCTCTTCCAAACTCCAAATCATCTCACTCACTGCGAAACCGACTCTCGTCGCTATCGAGGAGTTGCAGTTACAAGACTTGCAAAACATGGACGCTAAGGAATGTATCAGTTGCGGTTCTACACGTGCAAAATTCCGGGACGAGTCCCACCAGCAGTTGAAGTAAAGCAGAATGCAAGACCTCCGAGGCATGATGCTGCGATGGTCCCAAGCGGACCAGCGAGGGGAATAGAGAACAAGAGACCCATATGTGACGTATCACTATATGTTACCAAGTACAAGTTTCTTGTAAGGTACAGGCTAACCGCAGGTGTCCGCAGTGTCCATCCTATTTTGGTATTTCGTTCCCACCTGTCAATACTGGCATAGCCTCAAGCGCACTCGCTCGAATCGGTTCGACCGACGACCACGGTACCATCAACGTTCCAACTTGCGATTTCGCTAGTATTCAGTGTATGACTCGATCGCCTCAGGCTGTATCGCGCAGAAAATTTTCATCAAGAACGGAATCACAGTTCCTTATTCAAACCAAAAACACTGCAGCGACTGTCGCGGTATGAACTGTATCATGTGCTTCGATATAATTTCACACTGAAACGTTCTGTACGGTGCCAGCTGCAACTTTGATAGTATCGAAACACGCGTCTGATATGCAGGTCTTCTTCATGTAGCCTTGTGCAAGCCTTACTTGACATGAGAACGAATGGAACGGGAATTTAAGCGCGCCAAGGCTCGGGTTCATGACCCCGCATTCAATGTCATGCCCTCATTACACTTCAATCTCCGGTTCCGCGTCCATTCTTAAAGACTTAAACTTGTATCGATTCTCAGCTGAAAATATCTGCTTCCTTGTTTCTCCATTGAATGGATTCGAAGTACTCTACTGACGCTATCGCAGCCGCTAGGAGTCTCCAAGTCTTCACGGTAATTCTTCCTCTGGGCAATACAAACAACCTCTGATAAGATCCTGATTAATTACTTCTAGCACATTTATGGTATGTGCTGCTTCATTTGACTCAGATTACCTTCTGCTAACGCAGATGGTCCAGTGTCGATGGCTACATTCTGGGTATAATCATCCTCACCCTTCTCGCTCTAATATTTGTCTTGACCATTCGGTTCCCACCCAGACATACGACTATGCCTGCTCAATTCGTGAGGAGGTGACACAAATAACTTCAAAATCAATTTCGCATGCTCACCATGTACTGTCTCCAGGGGATTTTTTTGTTTTGTTCTCGCTGGAGCAAGGTTAAACTTCTGTACGTCTTGACACGCTATGTGCCTTTCCTTCTTTTTGCTGCGCACTTGTACAGTACGTCCTGAGCCTGAATGGATATAAGATACCATATTGACAGACTATTGCCAGTGAACTTCGTCCCAGACGAGACTTCTGATGTATGTAGACTCACGATGGACGGTAGCTTTGCTTATTTGATGGTCAACCTAGACATGTCAATTTGTCAACAACATCTGCTCAGGTGCATCGATTTATATGTTGAAACATTCAGTTACTAACCTCTCTCCTCTCCTATAGGTCTGAGTATGATATCGATCATTTGTTCAGAATGTAATTTCTCTATTATCTTTATCGCGAGTGCAAAGTTTTGATTTCTCCAGGTTTCTTCATACTTAGGACGTACGTGCTATGGAATAACAATAAGGTCGTCCTGGCAGTCATTCTATCGACTTTTGCAGTGAGTTGTGTGCAATGAATGTCGTAGCTCTCTCATATGAACACAGTATCAGACTTTGATTGTGGGGTCTATGGTTGCCCTATTTTCCGCCACTGCGATTGCACCATGTATGAATTACACTCGCCTGTCTGGCTATTTGTTGACCTGGTTTTCATTTCGCAGTTGAGACCAGTTTGATTCCAGGCATCACAGGTTGTTATCAATCTTCAGGAAGCGTGAGGCTTTTTGTGCCTTATCTTCTTTTGTTTGGATTAGAACTGAGTGCGTCGCTGAAAATCGATGTGTAAAAATACCCTTTGATTCATGCTGATACAGTGCTAATCTCCCTCACGCTCACATGCGCCATACAAAAGTGGCGTATAACTAACAACCGTTTGTGTGTTATTATATTGAAACACAATGTGCTCTATTACGCATGTGGTTTGGGTAAGTGCGAGAGTGGAACGATTCATCATTACTCATCGTTTCCATAGTTTTCTCGATGGTGAATGTTCTGACCTCACTGCTCCTCGACGTGCGTTACCTATTCATTGAAATATTCCATTTGATTGACATTTAATGCAGTACGCGTATAGCGGCATGTTTCAAGAGTACGTCTCTGCCAAGTTTTACTGGCAAAACAACACTTACAACCTCAATCATGTATCTAGTTTCCAAATCATCGTTCATGCCATACTTGCCACTCGAATGCACCTTCATTTGTGGCATGTCGACCGCACTGATGATCCTGGTGTCTTCACTTCAATTAATCTCTCCGACCTGACACCCACAGCCTATAATGAGTCATCCTATGATTAGCTTGCATTCCTTGAGAGTGGACTGGAAAGAAGGAATAGTTGCAATTGACTGCGACTGCGATTTTGGTTGGCTAGATTGGATGAACACTTGTGATTGGAAATATGCAAGCATCGAAATCTTGTTCGATGATCGACAAAAGGTCATGTTGTAAATTAAATGTAGATTGTAAGTGTATGTATTATGCGGTATGCTCCTTACTCAGTTTTGAAAGCGACGTTGATTTTTGGCTGAGTGCAAAATCCTATGAGTGCCTAGAACGCTCAAAAACAAGCTATCGAAAGGCGAGAACTGTCATTGTCATTAAAAGAGTTGGGGTTGTTGATGGCCTTGATCGACTCTATCACCGACAATGGCGGCCTAGGTGAGGGATTTTCAAAGCTCAAGACTGCTACCTCTTGGTTCAGATCAGATTTTTGACACTACCCTAGCTAATCGTGTGCACTTCGGGCTATAGTCTGCAGACAGAACATCTGTGGACGATATCGGTACGCGGACAGAGGAAGAAAACCTAACAAGTGTTCAATCCGCAGCACCTTCCCTGGCAATAATGTACAAATTCCGATCATATGCATCCGAAGATCAAACGTTTCTTTCTGGTAATCACTCTCAGATAGACTCAACGCGTGGTTTTGTGGAAGCCGTGGAGATATCGATACTGAGAAGGCTCTGAAAAAATATACAACATCAAGGAGAGCTGCTTCATGGAAAACTGTGCCGCACCTTTCCTTCCCTTAGCTCGGCGGGAGATGGCATGAGTCCAAGTCTCAAGAGCTCAGATGCTTTGCTGACTACCGGGTCATTTTGCATGCTGTCGTTGCAAGCCTTGTAGCACACGACCTGCAGTTCGGAGAGAATGTCTTACCTAGATACAGCAACAATCTCGCCGCGATTGACATAGTACGCAATGAACTTGAGATAAGTAAGCAGACCGTATAATCAGGGTTTTCCACACACGTTGCTTACCTTCATTTCGCCAGGGTTGCCATGTATAATAATATCGTCATAATTGGCTCCAAGACCACAGTAACGAAGCTGCTGTCCCTCTGACGAAACGTCGTCAGTGATATCCCTGATTCAATTTCCGAAACGTACGGGCGCTCCAAAAGACTGGCACTTTCACAAATGGCTGTGGGTCACCCGCAATTGTCTTACCAACAGCACGGCCGTGGTTACCTGCAACCTGTGGAGAGCAAAGGTGAGCAATGGAATTTGGTAATCCTGTGAGGATGGGTATTTGCTGACATTCCAGTGTTCTATCCGACGGCTCTCTCCCGTCTGTTGCTGTGGGTACCAAGCAATATCGCCTGTATCAAAGGTCGGCACAGGGTACAATAAAACAAATAACTAAGCCCACCGACTGCATAAACATTGTGTTGCCCTTGAACTTTCAAGTATTGGTCAACCTGGATTCCGCCGTCCTTCTCGAGCTGGAAGCCGCTCTGCTTCAAGAATTCGGTTGCTGGAGCTACGCCAACTCCCATGACGACGAAATCAGCGGGGAGAGTCTGTCCGTTGACAACAACACCAGCAGCCAACGAAGGGTCGCTCTCCGATGGTATGATCTTCTCGACCTGTGTCCCCAGGTGAAACTTGACGCCTTGAGACTCGTGATACTATGACAGAGAAAATGTTGAGGTTGAGGACAATAATCAAAGAATAAACGTCACAACCTTCTGAAGGCCTTGACCAACTTCTTTGCCCAGTACGTTCTGGAACGGGTGCTCCTCCATACCGATGACATCGATGGACGCAAGTCCCCGCTTAGCGACGGCAACGACGAGCTCCATGCCGATGAAGGAACTCCCGATAACAACCATTCGCTTTCCCTCTTGAGCCGCTATAAAATTTCAGAGCATTGAGAAGGCCTCATAAGCATCGATGAACCGATGTTACCTGCATCAATGCGTTTTGAGTCCTCGATGCTACGGAATGTGTATACATTCTCGAGGTCTGATCCAGGGATAGGTAATCGGCGAGGAGTACCCCCCATAGCGAGAATCAGAGTTTCGTAGGATATGGATTCTTTTCCTCCATCAAAGACAACAAGTTTAGAAGATGTATCCACGGAGGTTACAGTCTAACAGCAGTTCAGAATATGAAATCTCCAGCAAGATAAAGACCCACGACGCCAGTGCGGAGGGTGGTACCATACTTAATCTTGAGGTCAGCGGCTGTTCTCCATTCAAGTTTTGACGAATCCGTGATCAAAGCCTTGCTCAACTTGGTTCTGTGGACGTGTCAACGATGATAATTTATTTCGCAAATCTCATACCGGTCAATCGGGGGGTGTTTCTCTTGGGAAAGAACTGTGATACTTCCAGAATAACCATGCTGCGAGTGGTTAAAATTAATGTTAGGGACATCAGGCAACTGTTCGTACCTCTCTCAGACTCTCGATGGCGTGGAACGTTGCGGATCCTCCACCGATAATGACAACGCTTTTACCTGATCCAGCGACGCCAGTCGACAAGAGCTTGGGCGAACGACTCATGTTACTCTTGAGGGTCAACGAGGGATCAGCAGTCACATTGATCTTACCGCCCACGACTCCTGTCTTAAAAGAGTGGATTGCAGCAGGAGCTGGTGCATCCTCTAGATAGTAATTTAGGCCCATTACAACAAGTTCCCACTCGGAGAAAGCACTGACCGATGTCGCCAGTGCAAACACTGAAGCAAGCTATGATCACGCTGTGAGTCTCGGGCATGGCTGCGCATGCATCCACGTGAACTTACCTCCGTGCCAAGGGCTATCATGAACTCAGAACTCAGTAATGTAAGAGTTACAGAAGTGGAAAGGCGTACCAGACGACCCTACCATCCGCAGTTAGCACGCCCTTGGCTAGGGGCGCGCCATAATGGGTACAAAAGGCACTAGTCGCATGGATGGTACCGTTCAGACGATACAACACTACCTTTCCCGCTTCCTCAAAGTCCACTTGCTTCCTGAGGAGTTGAAATGATGACAATCGTTTAAACTTGCAACTTCCTGACATACATTTGACCATCCTGTAGCTCAGATTCATTGCAAACTGCGATCGTCTTCAAGGACATGGTCAAAGGTCGAAGTCGTGTCTGAAGTCGGGTGAATATGAAAAAATTGAGATGGCTGCGAAGGAGCATATAAAGGGCGAGTCTAGCAGGTAAACCAGCCGGTCACTATGATATGACCTATCATGTTGGCCCTATTGCATGCACCACTTGAAATTCCAAAAAAGGTTACTACTTCCAAACCCAGTCACACCGGAATTACAGGGGCACTAACTACTAATGACTAGTCGCGTTACACAAACGTTAACTAAAGGTTTCAATTCAGTGGACCACGTTCGCGTTGATCAGCGTTATTGACTTGTACGTGTTTGTTATGTAATCAAATCCCAGCGCTGAAAATACGGAGGAGCTGCGGAAAGTGAGAGCAACATGTCTGAATCAGAACAAATTGTCCCAGCAACACACCTACAGGATTCAGAAGGCTTCCACACACCTAGCGCTCGTGTCTATACTTCCTACGACCCTACGAATCCTCCATCCCATCCGGGGGAAAATTGGACTCGCTTTGTATGCATCAGCGATACCCATTCTCGTACTTTCAGTGTTCCCTCTGGGGATGTCCTCCTTCACTCTGGTGACCTCAGTCGGTTAGGACGGGAAGATGAGATTCGTGTTACGATAGAGTGGTTGCATACTTTGGACCATGGCGTTAAAATGTGCGCCACACGCGTCCTTATCGTGTAGGCCAGCAGTCTAACTACACACAGTATTATAGCAGGAAACCATGACCTACCTCTTCACGAGGAGTGGTACGAGGACAGTTATCACGGCTTCCACGACAAGAAGGAGGTGTGGCTATCTTACTCAACTAACTGAAACCGTTTCTTTACGCGCATATGTAGTCACCAACCACCATCAGAAGTCTCGTCGACAGTGATGCAAATCGTGATCGAGGCCTAATATATTTGCAGGACGAACGATACGCTTTCAGCACTAAGGAAGGTGGAAGGGAGTGGTCTGTGTATGGCTCTCCGGCAAGTCACTATGCCTCGCAACCTACCTGATCCTTTATGACTTACCTTCTCACAATGAAGTGGCAACCCTATTTTGGCGGCTGGGCTTTCAATTACTTGCCTGAGGAAGCTTCTGGTACGGTTATATCTTCTACCTCTTCCATTGAAGATACTCATTCTGGACAAGATCGCGCTTCCGCAATACCTGAGGTCGACATCCTGTAATTGACAATACCATGCAATCACCATTGTGCTAAACTTATTCTTTAGTCTCACTCATGGCCCTCCGCATAACATTCTAGATAAAACCTTTACCAATGTCAATGCTGGGTGCCCTGCCCTGCTCGCACACCTTTCCGAGATGCGGGGGCCTCCGCTTCTCCACGTCTTCGGTCATATACACGAAGTAAGATTTTGAGTTCTATTTACACAGAAAGTCTTATATGCGGGCTTGTATAGGCACGTGGCGCTATGCGGTATCCCTGGACGCAGGTGGAAGAAGACCAAGATTCTTCGAATGCCGAATCCACACCCCCTCTGGGAACGAGAGACACCATAATGGTGAATGCAGCTAACCAGCCTCTCGGGCGTCAGGCCATTAAACCTGGACCAGGTGGTCAGAGGATTCCATGTGGTGGTCCAGGCTTTCAACCCATCATTGTTGACCTATTGGACTCAGCTATGCGACCAGAAATGTAAACGACTACGACATCCCCCCTGTAATACGACGACCTGCATGATAAGAGAGTTCTATCACTTATAGACGACCTACGCTACACACCAGCTTGATTACCAAGGTGTTTTGATAACATTGATCATACTGTCAGTCGCCATGACAAGTACCAGTTCGAGACCCATAGTTGGAGAGTTGTGATCCAAAGGATGACCATTACTGCTGATAAAAGCTTCTATACAAAACGTTCTGATCTACATACACAGTGATAATGAGACAAATCGAGATGATACAACACGATGCCAAAAAAAAAAGATTATCGATACAACAGTTCACTCATCCAACGTCTACCATGCAGTTGCAACGTCTGAGCTGCATCGCATCAGTCCTGAACGACATCGAAAGGTATAATTCCCACCATTGATTATTCTCTTGCATCCACTGTCCCTCTCCCCAGAAAGAAATTAGCGCCACGCTGTCGTTCTTGATATGAGAAGAGCACGACTTGAGCATTTCTTCGCTTTCTTCAGACCAGTGAAACCGATCGAGCCCCAGCATGCTAATGTCGACCTCATCCAGGCGATCAGACTTGGGAGTTTGCAATGATGACAGCTCGCTAAGAGACCCCTCGATATCAGAACGAGCGAGGCTCTTTGTAGATTTGACGGAACGGGCGGAGGATGCTATATCAAGGGGCTGGCTTATATGACGTAGCTCGAGTTGTGCATCCGGGCTAGAAGTCGGGTCTGGAATTGGAGAAAGCCGATTTGAGGCATCTGTCATTAAGCAGTGAATTCGGTCATTGTCGATAGCCTTTCTCGCGGAAATAGCGGTAACGTAATTTTCCTTGTCGCTGGTAAGTGTATCTCCAACAAGCTTACGGTCTGACATATCCTCTGGGAGCACCATGATGCGTAGAGGCGATGCACTGGATATGATTCCGCTACGTGACCTAATAGTGGATGAGCGCTTGTGCTTCGTCTTTCTTTTCATCTTTTGAACAGCAAAAACAAGGGGATCCGCGGGGTGCAAGACATGAGGAAGCGAATCAACAGCAGCAACGGAATCAGTAGTGTTCGGAGAGACGAGAGGGCTAGTCTTGAGCTTTGAAGAATTGCTAGGCGACAGTGGGGTATTATTTGACAAGTGGGCGGGCGCCTGATCTTTGGTGGCGGAAAAGCTACCCATGCTGGCGGGTGGAGAAAACTCGAGAAGAGGTAGAAATTGAGGAATGCTTGCAGGGGGAGGCAGCGATGCAGACAACTCAGCTGGAGATACACATGACGGCCGTTGGCCGACAAGATTGGATGGTAATGGCGGGAGAGGAGGGACAGGTTTCCGAGTTGATTTTGTTGAATGACGCCTGGACAGCTGTAGAGAGTCGCGAGTTCCCGTGAGAGGTGATAGAACATAAGAAGAAGAAGGCGGAAATGCAGACAAGAACGAGTACGGAACAGCAGTCACGTCAGAGGCCCCCACAAGCCTCAGAGACGGGCCAAGATCGACACTGGAGGTCACCCGACCACTTGCATACAAGTTACGAGCCCGGAGACTACTACGACCGGCATCGCATTTCTCGCAGAAGTCGCCGAGCTGTCTAGACACTGAGCTATCGATGAGTGGTGAATACCTCTGGGGAGCGATAGTGGCAGTTTTTCTCGACCGTGCTTTGGTAGGATATGCGAGGACCTGGGTATTAGGCAAATGATGGGTCCTGGGTTTCCTTGTCGCGTCTTCTGTACTCTGTTCGCTGGAAAAACTGAAGAAAGACATGGAACGCGAAAGCTGCGCGTGGGACGGAGGTGCCTGAGATGTTGAACTCCTGCTCGAACGATAAGCCACAGAATAAGATTTTGAAGAACGCTGCTTGGACTGCCGATGAAGTTGATACATGAACGATGCAGTTCGGCGTTGCTTTGTCAAGTTCGAGTCGAAGTCGGATTCGATATCAGTCTCCCATGCAGGAGATCCAAGACATCCGACGAGAATTGCGAGAGATGGTGTACATTTAGAGCGAAATGCCTTCAGTTGAGTGGCTTTGAGAGAAAGCAGAGAAGAACGAGAGTTCAGTGAAACATCGTGAGGGGAAGTTGACTGGAGAATTCGAGAACGAATGGCACTAAGCCGACGGTGTTTCACATAAATAAGCTTCACAGCAAGAAGAGCCAACAGAACTATAAAGGAAACAAGACATGCAGCAATCAGCGGTTCGGGAGTTGATGTTGACGAATTGATGTTATATGAGTCTGACTGGAGGATAACTGAGAAAGGCCGTGCAGATACAATATTAATGGTGCAGAGAATCAGTGGGTAGAATACCCGCAGAGGATATGCTGAGACTGCCATACGCAAAACAGCGGCGGCAGAACGACTTCAAGTTTGCTCGAGACAAGCTCGAGAGCGTTGAACATGATATGAACTGACGATTTCATACTCCGCGAACAATATCAAGCTTTATGTAAGCCTGGGGTGTATTCGTAAACATTTATTATAGGAGTTTATTTGAACCTGGAATTGCAACGCGACCGCGAACAAATTTGCAGGGAATGAACGTTAACGTTGAACAGGAGATGAGCGCGTTGTAGACGACCAGGAACTCCTACGCAGTCCTCTACAGCACTCGAGTACCCGCTCTTTGAGCACCAGAATGAACCAAATTCTACGAACCACAAATTGAGATTTGATCATGCAGATGATTTGCTATACCAGGACCACTGGTAGCGACGGCAGCAAAGTCAGCTGCTATGCTGGAGTTGCGGTAAGCTTAGAGTATCTTTGGCCCATTTGTTCTAGTATTTCCGTGTTTTTTTTGCTACACAAGCACTCACGATTCTTCACTGGAGTCGAGCATCCGATCATGATGGTAGGAAATCCATCTTATTGTTTTGGTTGACAATTTTGGATTGTCGGCGTCCATACATGTTTTTGTTGAGCTTATCAAGGACCTTCGAATTGGAACCTGATCATTCAGTGCCTGCCCTCGAATTATGTGCACAATACTAATCCTCTCATTTCTAGTTACAAACGCGATACGCTACGTTGCATGAGGTGTACATAAATAAGTTGTGCTTGTAAAAGTTGTAAGTAAAGAATAGGCCACTACATATCTAAAAATATTTTTGAGAAATACTTCCTCACGCCTTCTGCACCACGAACGATCGCCCCAATCACTCCGTCTGGCCGTATCACAAACACCTTCGTCTGGCCAGCTTCCATAAGGTAAGCCGAATAAGCGTGGCCCTCACGATCAACAAGAACAAAGTTAGCAGACGATGCGACAGACGTCACTGATGTCGATGATGGCAGAACAACTGCCGATCGCACGACGCTTTTGTTGTATGCTTCCAATGCACCCAAGATCGGGGTAGCATCAACGAGACTCGGCGCAAATACAAGCATTGTATGGTACCAGGGTCTGTACAAACTAAAAAGTGTCGTCTCGTCAGGCTCTGCGCGCCCCACCTGCAGCATATTGGGCGCATCAGGCGCCCTATCTCCAGCCTCTAGATGCCCCTCGTCAAGCACTCCGTATGCGTTGATAGGCCTCCCCTCGACTGAAGTCATAAATTCATCGAGTACGATGGTGCTGAATCGGCAGTTGATGCCGAGCATGTAAAGGATGGGACTTCGTCCGATTGACCCGTCTCCAGACGATATTGCCTTGTCGAGAATCGAGGTGGTCACCCCAAGCATCTCGGAGATCACAGGCAGACGCTCGGCGCTGTATGTTTCGAGAAGAGTTTTGTCGGCGAACCCTTTCTGGACGAGCGCAAGTTTCCACCCTAGATTGAACTAGTGTAGGGAGCGGTCAGTTGCAACGCACATGCTAGATCTACCCAACTCACTGCATCTTGTACACCTGAATTGAGTCCCTGTTCATAGACAAATGAGCATGTGTTAAGCAACAATCGGATCAACCATACCTGGCTACCCATTGGGCTGTGGACGCTTGGATATGTATTAGCAGCAGTTTATGAAGAAGGCATTGAAAGATAGACATACTGAGCAGCATCTATGACAACATGTATGAGCACATCCACACAGCATCTCAAACAGAACCACATACCGCCCGCAACGAACACTCGACCCTCGCTAAACTTATCCACCATCCGGATATTGGCCCTGGAACAAACCGATGAGCATCCATCGACACATACGGAAACACAAAACGTACCGGAAGTCGCCCATCCAAACCACCTTGCTGAATGTCATCTCCGTTGGTATTAACGACGTGATGGTCTCGAAGACAAGCTCTTCGCTCTTAGCGATCTTCGTCAGGTCCAGTTCGTGACCGAAGAGGAAAAAGTGCCAGCCGTCTTCGCCAACTTCGTCTGTTGGACGCAATGAGAGGCTACATATCGTCAATATACACGTCTCCAAGCCTCAATTGAACATACCCTCGTTCATTAAAGTTTCCAAATCGGTGCCAACGCTTCAAGACTGGATTAAGACAGCTATTCGTCGAATATGTGGAAAACGGACGTACCGCTCTATCGAGGCCGATACCCTTCAAACGGATATCCCCGGTCACAATCCGGATATCGTCTCTAGTCTCGCCCAAAAATGTGAGCCCAAGTTGCTTACGCACGACGCCTGCGAGACCACCTTCAGTCTCATTCATCCCAATGCATTTAACTGTGTCTCACTTTTAGCACCATCAGCGCCGATGATCCACTTGGTGTCAAAAGTCTCTGATATGCCATCCTTTGCTAGAATCGCAGTAACGCCCTCATCGAACTGCTCGAACGAGCACAGTTCGGTGCCCATCTCGACAGAACAAGAGAACTTCTCTAGGTGGCGTCGCAGAATCACATCTAGGACCTGTTGACCCATCAATCTGAGGCTGTGCTGGGAAAAAACCAAATCAGGACGAAGGTTTGATCAAGCAACGATGTTGCGCACGAATGGTATTGCTGGGGTGGGTTCCATTTGCGGGGCCATCGATGAGTCTTGAAGAGGTTCCAACGTCCCGGGCTTGTATAAACGGGTGGGAGGGGCTGGTTTTCCCAGACCATTAACTTCTGAAACGTCCAGGAAGTTGTAGAGTTCGAGGGAGCGCGGCTATATAGAGAACGGATTCAGCGAGACCACGGGGCGATATGACAAGTGGATGTGTGACAAACCCATATTCCAGCACCGCGTTGTCCGATGCGATGGTGGGGGTCTTTATCGATGATGCGAACTGAGATACCGTTTTGGAGGAGCGTCAACTGCTGCTACCAGACCCACTGGCCCAGCGCCTACCTAACAAGAAGTTCAGCTGAGGTGAAAATAAGTGTTATTGGCAGGTCACTTACGACTAGTACAGGAGGATGAACAGAATTCATATGTAGCGCTCACACTGGCAAGGGGAATAGTTGGTTAGAATTCGAGCGATTTGGATCAGCATGAGGGAAGCAGGTCGTTATAAAATAGGAGCGAAGCCGATCAGAACGGGCACTACGGTAATGATCTTACAGAACCATAGTTGCCGACGTTACATGTTACACATCCCATCAGATGATTTGTCAAAACGCTCACCAGATACTTCATGACACAGACTGAACGGCCCGCTTAAACGTATTTCCATGGTCTTCATGCCATTAGATGTTTGTCTAGGCTGACAAGTGGAATGTATGCTAGCGCGATATTGAGTTTGGTTCTGAATATACCCGAACAAACTTACAAGTGCCTGGCAAGGTGCAAGAAAGACAGATATCTCTTTGATGCACCTGATGATTGCTCATGCCCGAGTCAGGCCTCGGGTAGAAGGGTTCCGGTACTCATACTGAACCTACCAATGCGCGGAGACTCAGGAGTCACTTGGTAGCCACAGCCTCGTCGAATGGATATCCGGATCCTGCAATGGTGAGGGCATAGCATTAGCAGGATTATTTATTTTACTTCGGACAGCCTGAAACAAGCTGAGCAGACTTCATTGAACGCACCAGAAGACACCCCTGACTAAGTACCTTCCAATGTTAACCCATCCGAATGGAATATATGATTTATATTAGTTGCGATACTTGGGAAAATCGCCCGGCAATTTTTAATTCATCGACATGGACGTTGAGAGGGAAAAGGAATGCACGATCAAGACAGGTTCCAGCGTCTTCGAGAATATGTGGTGGGAAGAGGGAGTCGTCGATGTTTGTGGTCGCGACTATGAGTACGAGATTCCGTCAGAGCAGTCTTTTCCACTGCAATCCACGAAAGCCGTGAATCGGAGGTCATCGATGCATCGATGCTGTGGACTGCAGCACTAGTTTGAGGCTGAATATGCGCAAGTTTGGTCATAGCGTCGATGACTGGGGATGCATCAATGAGCCCCAGTGAGAATCGGACCTACTGGAATCAACCGAGGTGTACTGAAAAGGCGTTGCTAGATTTCCATAGTTGTTGGTAGCCAAATGAGACACACAGTACATTTTTTTACTACCTTAATCTACTAGGATGATCTGAGTTCGCGTTACTTTGCTGTACCTAGATTTCAGTAGATGAACTAATCATTCTCCTCTCGCTGACCAGATATACTGAAAACTATGCATTTCGACAAGAGCAGGTACATGCGAAAACAATGCGATACGGATCCGAAAGAAACACGCTTCCCCTCCTGCTACCTGGCTGCACTCCTACTACACCAGCTAGTAGATACACCCACCCGACAACTTCGTGATGTTCGTAGCATTGCAATGCGTCCACATCCCATCTGCAATCTACCAGAGGAGCGAGTTAGCATATAGAGTGTAAGATAATCTAGTACTCACCAATTGTGCGCACTCTGCACCATATTTCTGACATTATTTGTTAGCATCAAGTCAGTAATGTTTTTGAAAACATACCAATATCTGTTCAGCACTCAAGCAGTCCCAGTATGTCTTGAATTCTGCAGAAGAGCCTGACGGATTTGTTTGCTTCAACCACCAATGCGCACAAAGGTTCCTGTCAAGCTGGTTAGAAATGTTCGAGTCGAGTTGGAATAAACGCTAGAGCTAGGACATACCTGCCATTCTTCGTGTTACCTGGCTGCATCTTCTTTGCAATCATGGGTCCTGATGGTGCCACAGGCTTCGGCTCACTGGAGCCTGAGTTTGATGCAGGTATGGCAGGGGGGATGGTAGTAGGAGGATCTGAGACAGCCATAGTAGAAACTGCCAGAGTCGTCATCGGAGTCGCGTTACTATTCATGAATGCTGCACTATACAAAACAATTATCAGACACAGGAACCCAGTAGTAAAAAAGCATACAGAGGATTCTTAATAACAATCCTCGCTGTGTGCTTTGCATCGGGAATGGCATCGGGAATGGTAGAGTCAGGAATGGTATCGGGGATGGTACCCGGTGCGGTAGACATGCATGCTGCAGGAGAGTCATTGTTGGATGTGTTCGTGAATATGAGAGTAGCTTTATTGGATGAGTTTGCAACTGCGGGAATGCCATCATTGGATGCATTTGTAAGTATAGAAATGTCCTTGGATACGTTCATGCTAATGGAAGTGTTGGAGCTGGAAGTGTTCGTGGTAGTGGATGGGTCTGTGTCCGATGCGCTTGTGCTTGCAGGATATTCAGAGGGCGTGGATGCAGTGGTATCATGGGGGGATGAAGTTGATGTCTCGTAGTCTATCAAGTCGCCACTGATAGTGGGCGACAATACAATGCTGCTGTCGGAGTCATCAGAGTCACCAACCCTGAGCCTCTTCATGGCACGTTCAGAGTCGTCATCGGAGATTTTCACTTTCAACGACTTGCGTTTCTTGCACGACAAATTGTCCAATTTAGCCTCTGATTGAATCCCCTCAGAGTCAGTCAAATATGACTGCTTCCAAGACGAATAACGTGCCGTAGCCAATGCGTTAATCTTCCAATAGTGTTCGCAGAATCCCACCTCAGGATGTGCCTTCACCATCTCTGCAATGAACTCATTCTTAACAGCAGAGCTCGCACCCCCCCAAGTGACAGGTGCAATGTGATGCAACTTGAAGCCATGCCAGATTGCCCGCATTGCCTGCCCAATGGCAGCAACATGATCTTCTGATAGTAGATGACCATCCTTATCTTCGAGGAATGGAAATGCACTGCGGTCTGTAGACTGCGCATTTGCACTCTTGTCATAGACCTTGAAGCTCTTGTGCGTCCAAAACCTGACATTGGGGTAGTCTGATTTATTGAGCTGAGGAGGGAGCGTTAATGTCATAGGCTGCAGCATGACAGGATGCTCAGTAGTGGTGCCAGGCTCTGATGGAGTTCCAACTTGAATCAGCTGAAGTGAGGCTACAAGTTGGGCATATGCATCTCTGAAAATTGTACATATTTGAGTAATTCACGGCAATAATAACCAAACTCACTGGTATGAATCTCAAGAGGCCAGTAGAACTGCATTCTCTGCACGAAGCAATACAATAGTTTCCTGTAAGGCTTGCATTTGCTGCATATATGCATCATATTTCATGTCAATTGAGCACTATTTCCATCATATACACATACCTTTGACAATAAGACACCTTGAGACCAGTTGGAGTGAGAATCACAATGGAAATTATTTGGATCGGGTACTGGTGGCAGAGAACAATGATCATTAAGAAGAGGTGATGTGGATGCAGTATAAGGAGTATCATAAGCATTAGAAGGGAGGAATGAGCGTAATAGGGGGAAATTATACTCAGTCATCGTGGTGGTCATCATGAGCAGTAGTGAGTAGACGACCTTCCTACACCAGATGCTTGAGTATTTCAGTCTCTGCTGGAAACTTCTGAATGGGAATATTTCATTCTAAGTCCAAACTTTACACAAGTTACACTACACAATACATGTATATGTAGGTCTTTGCTCTCAATTTTTGTAAGAAAACATATGAATGGGAGCATACTAAGATGAGGATGAAGATGGTGAGATGATGGGAGGATGAACATACTAGTGCGGGACTTACATCAATCAATGTCACCATTATCATCTTGTAATCCGCAGCGTGCAATGTCTAAACCTGTCTTCTCCACAAGGAAGAACCACTCTTCTACTTGTCCATTTGGAAGGGTGGGCTTGTGAGGTATCATACTGACAACTGACTGAATGGTGTTGACATCTATGACACAAAGACTTTCTTCACCTTTGTGAATGCAGGAAATGAGAGCACCATAGGATAGAGCCAACAATTCTGGTTGGGGAAGTGAGTATAGTGTGACCAGGGTGACATTCACAAAGTGCCAGTTATTTTCATCTTCCTCGTTGTTGGAGTTGTGATCGTCATTTTCCATGGCGAGTTGCGCAAAGTATAGTACTTCTGCAAAACGCTCTTGGCCATGTAGGAGTACCTGATGTTTATTGTGGTCAAAATCAAACAAATGAGAAAAAAAAAATCAAACTTTGATGTTTCAAGCCATGCAAACATCTTCAGGTGACTTCTGGGTCTCTGTCCATGCAGACCTGGCAATCTGTCCATTAGGCAAGCGAAGGCGAGCCCAGTGGCGAAACTTGGGGGAGGGTTGACCTAGAAAGTCTGCGATAACTGCTGATTGAAGGCCATTGACAACAACAGGCTTTTTGTCACTCTTTGTGAGAAGGATGTAACCATTCCCGAGATCTCGTGAGCCATGGGGGTGGAGGTTTTTGGCATGGTCAAACTGGGGAAGCATGGCTTTGAGTGCATTTATTTGACAGTGGTGAATTCCTTGTTGTGCAAGGTTCAAGAATGGGTCCGATGGCTGCCTGATTTCTTGTCCGAGATTCCCAATTGTCCATTCCATTGTCCATTGAGATGAACATATTGGTGAGCCAACTCATGTGCACTCAAGTGCCACATGATTAGAGAGGTGAGCACACGGGCAGATCATGTGAATCCAGTTGAAATGATGCTGGTAGTACAGGAGCTCGAACTCATGTTCCCAATCTGCAAATAGTTGGCAAGCTTTGGCGATTTGTGCAGGAGTGATTCTATATTGACTCATGATGTGGAGAGCGGTCACAAACTTGCAGAAGTTTCGCCAGACGTTGTCAGGGAGAATTCCATAGAGAAGGGCTGGGCAGAGATAATACAGCCACGTTATATATTCAACTGCCTTGTAAAACGAGTTCATCTTGAGGTTTGGGTCATGAGGGGCAACATCGAAAGATCCTGGCAAGTAAGATTTGCAGGCAGCGACCGCACAACCATGTTCTTCCCAAGTGTCATATCCTGTATGCCAGACATAGATCCCATCATATTCCCACGCTTTCCGGACCTGTTTCTGGACCCCATATCCAACTCATTCCTGGATCCCCTATCCTGTCCACCCTACGCACATTCCGTCCAGCAAGACATCCGGACTTTACCTCCTCTCAGATTCCAGACTACATCCACCACCTCACATATCTCAGTCCTGTTTCCATCCTGCCTTCCGGATCACCAGATCTCTGGACCTATTCCCACCCTCCGTCCGAGATCCTGCACCTATCCCCATTTAGGCATCTCTGCCTTTCCGGTTCTCAGTTATCTCTGTTTCCATCTTGCTGATTGATCCTTGTACTAGTTTCATCTCCGAGTTCATTTACATATGTTCCATCTTACTTACCAATGTGTTTCTGCATGCTCGTACATAGCCTTACTCCATTGCTTACTGATCCTCTCGGATATCCTCTAGTATGTAACCCCTGTACAACTACAGTAGAGTCCTCAGTCTGAATATCATCTTAGATCCTGTTCCACTTGCCAATCATCTTCCAGACTTCAGTCCGTCTGAGTCTTGTCCTTTTCCATAAGGCCTAGGGAAGGATTCCCTAGGCCGGAATTCCAGACCTTCGGATTTGTCCCCTATGTCTCTGTCCCAAGTCTAGGGATTGCTTCCCTAGGCTAGAGTCTTGCCTTTCTGGCACTTACCCTCTTTCCGGACTTAGGTCCATTTCCTGTCCCTCCGACTCTACCTTAGGGTAGTCTACCTCTGTTTGCTTCTGCATCAGACTTCATCCGATGTAGCCCCTATTCCTTCCGGACCTCCGGACCTCCTGTCTTCTGTACCTCTGGACATCCTGTCCCTCATACCTCCAGGCATCCTGTCCTTCAGATGTTCCATCCTCCATACCTCCATGTCCATCCTCCATACCTCTGGACCTCCTGTCCTCCATACTCCAGACCTCCAGACCTCCGGACATCCTGTCCTCCTGTCCTCCGGACCTCCTATCCTTCCATCCTGTTTTCCTGTAGAAGTATTACCTTGCAGCAGGAACTCTCCCATGCTCCTCCAGACGTTTCCCACACTCCTCCGGAAGTCCTCCCACACTCTCCACCAGAGTAGCCAGCCTCCGGAAGTCCTCCGGACTTCATCGGACCATCATCAGACTTCCTCTGAAATGAAGGACACATACTCAGGTAAGGGGCACAGCATACGAGCTGAGGCCAAGCCCCTCTGAGTCAGTCTCTCTTTCCTTTGAGCATGGTTCTTAACACCAAGTATCTCCTATGAGAACAACCCAGGGCCAGTTTTCATGAGTGTCAGTGCCACTGCAGTCCATCGTGCCACGCCAGAGATCAGTGTATAATGAAGCCATATTGGCTCCAGCATAGTGCATGATTTTGGATGAAAAACACTCAGGGACTCCAAGTACATGCTGGGGCTGTAAGCCAAGGAGAATGCTGGGGCCAACAATGCCTGTCTCGAGGCATTGTTTTTCAAATTGAGTTTGATTTGGAGACACCATGAGATGTTTCAGTTGACGGACATAGCCTTCAGAGGTCCCAAGAGGCAGGTTGTAGACATTGACATTGTTGTGGTCACACCCCACTACACTGTAGTTGTGCAGCTTCAGAAGCACAGGATAATATTGTGAGGCACCTGGTTTGCGACGACCTTTGATTGGACAGTGCATACAACAACCGACCTTGCCAGAGTGACCCACAAGATTGCTCATGCATATGAGACTGGGACCATCAGCGCATGCAAGGAAGAGAAAGAGCTGTGAAATGAATGTACGATCCCTGGATGCATCCCAAATCGTGAGACCTTCACGCTGAAGAGCGGAGAGATGGTGAAAGCCAGGAAACAAGAAAGATTTGATAAACTTCGGTTTATTGGGTCCCGGAATGATAGCACCAGGTAGGACATTCTTCTTCTTGTAGCACTGGTCAGGGGAATGCTCGATAACAATCCAGATATAAATCCAGCAGTCCGAGGATTTGCTTTCATACAGCTGTGCACCATCAATAGATATGATGAGTAACATATCTTCAGTTTTGATACGGCCATCCCGAACAGCATTGAGATATGCACTACCTGTAAGGATGTCATCATAAGCATCTACAAGACCATCATTTCATTCAAGTTCATCAAAGATCTCTTGTGTGCGTCGCTCACAATAGTGCATCTTCTCGGCACTCTCAGGATTGCGCCAAAGAGCTTGTAATTGAGGACCTATTGGAATAGTATGAAAAACAGCCTGTGGATTCTTGATGCAACCATTGGACTTCGTGAATTTGATCTGGTCGAAACGATGCTGACCACATTCTGGACACATCATAGTCTGCATAAGGCCCAACGAAGGCAGTGCATGAGTTGATACACATGTGGTCAATGAGAGACTCCACTCCACTAAGGTCGGCGAGGATTGTCTTGATGTGGTAAAAGGGCGGAACATCAGAGTCAGGATAACACTCAATTACAGCCTCACGAATCTGCGCATAGGTATCTTGAGATGAATGCTCGAGTGCCATGAACATTCTGAGAGCAAGAATGGTAGATGGATCGTCGATACGGAGCGATTGTCATGGTGGATTGCAGAGTCGTTCGAGTTTCTCGCCTTTGAGTCCTGTACCATCGTCAAGTGTAGCGTTTCGGAGAGCCTGAATAAAAGAGATGTCACGCTTGAGATTGTCAAGCCAAGCAGATGCTGCAAGTGCATCTAAATCAAGGTCCGCAAGAGGGGATCGTTTGGGGTGTTCCTGTGGTTGGTCCCCATGAGATGGAGGCTCATGTGGTGGCTCCTCATGAGGTGGGGGCTCGTGCGGTGGAGGCTCGTGTGGTGGCTCCTCATGCAGTGGAGGCTCATGCAGCAGTGGCTCCTCGTGAGGTAGAGGCTCATGTGGTGGAGGCTCGTGCAGCAGTGGCTCCTTGTGTGGTGGGGGCTCGTGCAGGGGAGAGCTGGGATGCTCATATGTCTACCACCAGATAGTGACAATAGATTTTACTAAGTCAGTGAAGGAAAAAATTAGTATTTACATACCTGAGTATGTTGGTGTTTTGATGGCGAAGCACGTTCAGCACTGTCTAGCTCATTACTAGGACGTTTGGAAGTGCCAGGCATATTATACTGCCCACTAGTAGATACAGTAACCTGAAAATTATCAGAGAGTCCTGCATTGGCAGCTTCGCGAAGGTGTCGGTACCATGTAGGCCGCGAATGGAGAGCGGTTTTTGTGCTGGCGCAGTACTTGCTACATATGCACCACCAGGTAGTTTGATCTGGCATTGGCTGATTGCACACGCGAGGGAGAGAATTGCAAGGACATCAAACTCGCAAGCTCGCAAGGACATGAAAAGTGCGAAGATCTCATATTGTATTGCAGTGGTTTGGACATTCAATGTGTCGGAAAGTGCAAGGTTGCGTGTAAGCTAATGTAATGTGTACTGAAACTAAGATCTCGGTATATTTGGGTCTATGACAAAAATAGAAATAGTATTTTGGTCGTTTGTGGTACATCCCAGTAGGTCCTATTTTCACTGGGAATGAGCCGCCAGCTGGAGTTGCTGCTTCTCCTACTCCACTGACAATATTGATAAGACCTGCCAGTGCCACAGCATGACGTGTAGGACCAACCGGACACAATAGCCACCGAGGTTATTCGTGCTTTAATAAGCTTGCGTAATCAACCATCAATTGGCTGAAGTTACCGACGAATTTCGTGGATGGCTGGGGGGTAGGATTTCTCTTGTCTTGCAGTACAATTCCCGATACATTTTTATTTTATTTTATTTACAGATGCTAGTCCTTTAATAGGAGGAAGGCTGACTCAACCAGTAGCTACGCTTCCCGAACTATGGTTCGGGGAATTGGCGGTGGGCAAATTTACCCAGCTGATGCTATCCAGAAAATCTTTGGACGGTCAGAATCCATAAAGTTCTATCCATACTTCCTTGCCTGTTTAGCTCCTGCAATGTTCAGTGCAATAGTTTGGCTGGTCACGTTCTTGCTGTTAAGGAGGTATACACACGAAGTCAGGCTGATATGCGCAGGTTACTTATGTGGAGGAATGCTTAGACTGTTGAACAAACAAACCTTTTATCAATTCTTTACAGATGATTAGGCACGCGAAAAAGGTCTACGGACACCGTTAGCGATGAATATTCAAGCACACAAGGAAAAGATGACGCTTCTTCCCATCCACTCAATTCTCGTTCGTGCAATCGTTGCTACAGCCGGTTACGTGACTCTGGTCTTGATGGACATCGCTATTCGTTCAACTCACCCCTGGTTCCTTGCAATACCAGTAGGTATGAGAGGAGCTTTCGGGATTGCTGACGGCATGTTCCAGATATTCTTCTTTTCCCCGTTGCATGCACGCCCTGGCAAAAGTCATATATGTCTCTAGTGTTGCCTCTTGGCATTCCAATAATCATCGCATCAACGCTCTTGTTTGAAGGAGAAGACCTATGATGACTGTATGTATGGCTACTTGTCGCCGGCCAGCTTGCACTTGGAGTAAACACGAACTTGGTCTTCGGCACGCTCTTATTGTTGTGTAAAGCGTCTTGACTCATGGGTTCTTGTGCGGCACCTAATCGACGGTCTTTGCGTGCGACCAACGGGTTTTCACAGATGATCGCCTCAATTGTGCACATTTTTGACCCAGCGTTAGCGGGCGTGATGTTCTTCCAGCATCCTCGGTTTGCTTGGTTAGTTTATTATTTCTGTCTTTTACTGCGTTTCTCGCGTTGGTCGCATTCCCTTTACTAGCCGACGCGTCACGCGTCAAGGATTGTGATCCACTTCATGCATTCACAGATCTAGATAAACAGACATGCATCCGGCTGTCCTACCGCTATAGTACTATGTATACTACCTCCTTTATAAAGTCCCTCTTAACTGTCCATCCATACCCCATGGCCATTAATACCAGCTCAATTGTATCCGCAGGGAGTCCCGCGCTGACGCCCTGTTGCGCTTGTCAGCCTTGCGGCCCGAGATAGGCGCATATCCCACGTTGAACTAATCGACCACTAGTATCCCTGCACAAGAATTAAATGTTACCATACTGAGCGCTGATTTCTAGGGAAAACAAGTATTATCTCCTGTGGGACACATCCCTAAAGCATGAAATCACAACATACATGTGTCCACGCCCTAACCAGACACCTCCACAATGCCTCCTCACATACTCGCCTACTCCGCTACAGCCGGATTCAGACACGACAGCATCGAGGCTTCTATCGAGGCCCTCAAAGCCAAAGAAACTGCCCTCGGCGTAAAGTTTGACTTCACGGAGGACAAGTCAAAGTTCACAGATGAGAACTTATCTCAATATGATGCCATCTTGTTCTTGAACAACTCTGGCATTGGTACAGTCTACATCCTTGAACGACCAGTGCAATGGAAATTAATAACTTTACACCAGTCCTTGATGATACGGGGAAGGCCGCTCTACAGAACTATTTCAATCTCGGCGGCAACTTCCTCGCTATTCACTGCGCCGCGGACGCCCTTCGTGATTCTCCTTTCTTCGGGAGACAGATTGGTATGTTGAGACGTCAAGGACCAATGCCGAGGTTTTACATCTACACAGGTGCCTATTTCGACTACCACCCTGAGATCCAGGAATCAGTAGGTCGTAGCAGGCTTTGCGGCCACACGATTGCTCACGAATGCTGTCATTTCAGGCTGTGGATGTCCTGGACAAGACGCACCCTAGTACCGTCATGCTACCAGATAAATGGCGCTTAATGGACGAGATGTGTGCTTGTTTAGGAGCCTCTTTTGAAACCCACTGACTGCTCGAAGGTACAACTTTGAGTCGGATCCCCATATCGTCGGGGCCAAGGTCCTTCTGACAGCTGACGAGTCAAGCTACCAAGGTAACGTTCATGAACCGAGTAGACGTGTGGGCTGACCATAATCAACGATTTTAAAGACCCTCAGGCAAAAGAGAAGACTTTGCGCCATGGATCTCCCCACCCAATTGGTGAGTACTTAACCCGAGCAATATCGACCCACTTCGATGCGTCGTAGCTTGGTATCAGGAACGAGGTGCCGGCGTCGAAAGCCACGGTATTGCTGGTCGCAGCTGGTTCACTGGGCTCGGTCATTGTATCGAGATATGGAGCGTAAGTCTGATATACTTGTCTTGGTTTGAAAGTAATCAAAACCTTCTCAGGATGACCTCTTCTTGGGTCACGTCATAGGCGGTATCAAGTGGGTGCTGCAATCGAAGACCACGAAAGCATTTAACGCCAACGGCAATGTCGGCAATGCGTCCTGAGACCTGAACAAGAGCAGTGTATCGATTAGCGATGAAATGTATACAGCGTGGGAAATGACATGTAAATGCAGAGGAGTGATTAAGAGTGCGGAATGGAGTATGCGTGTTCCCGTTAGAGGGATGATCATTGAGGTCTGCACTCTGGCTCGCCTCCCATGTTGTCATCGTCATAGTCGTCACCGTCTTCGTCCTCCCAGTCATCTTCGTCTCCTTCTCCGAACTGCGATGCAAACCCTTGATCAAAGAAGTCCGAACCAGCCGGGAAAGACCGGGCACGCACGTCCACAATATCCCCCTCTTCATATGGGACTTCATCGACAACTTCAGGCATTGGGTCCATGTCAGGTTTCTTTGGCGGCAAAAGCCTCTCCAAAGCCTCCAAGATCAAGCAATTAGCGAATACTCTCCACAGTTGTATATACACATACTGGCTTGTTGACGGTTTGTAGCCATTGGGCGTCGGGCATTTCTATGTCAAGAACTATGAACAGGTCGCCTTTCTGATCTGGGTGTTTGTGTGTGGGCATGCCTTCTCCACGAAGCTTTATCGAATCTCCGGGTCGGATAATCCTGCCTGGTGGACTGGAGACCCGAATGCCCCTTCCGTCGAGGTGCTTAATCAAGATGCGAGAAAAACCTAGAAGTGCTTCGGATAGCGTGATCTTGACATTTGTCAACAAATTGCTGCCTGAGCGCTCAAAAGACTCGTGGTGAGTAGTTTTGAGTTTGAAAATCACGTCACCAGCAGGGATACCGGGCTGTTGTGCATCAATCAACGCCGTCATTCAAGAATCCATATTACCTACCTGCTGATCGCCTGCGCCAGCAAGGACAATCCGGTGTCCATCTGGCATGCCCTTCTCGATGAAAATTTCTTGCCGAGTCTTTTCCTCTACTGTCTTCTCACCCTTGCATTTTTTACACCTACCTATCGTGAGTGATCACAAATGCACATGTATAGCCGAACGAACCGGTCTTTTTCTTTTAGTTTACTACCTTGACCGTTGCACTCGGTACATTTCGTCCGTGCTGTACCATACCGTGAAGCGGCAATCTCAAAAGAAATGTCCGATGGAATGTTCGAAAAGTAGTTGAACTTCGTACCTGTGTTTGAATAAAAGTCCAGCCTTTTCCTTCGCAGTGGACGCATTCCTTGGGTTTCATGTTACCCCGAGCTCCAGAACTAAGTTGATGGGGCTTGATTAACTGGTAGTCTAGAACGGGCTTACACCACATACCCTTGACAAGTGCTGCAAATGATCTCTCTCTCCATATTCATCTTCACAGACTTTCCATTGTATAAATCTTCCAGCGTAACATCGTAGGGAACCTCGGTATCTTGGCCCTTGTGTCGGCGGGCCCCCCTCCAGACCCCCCTCCACCCAAGTCGAAGAAAGTTGCGCCACCACCGAAGAATTGAGCAAAGAGATCTGCAGCATCACTCATGCCACCTGGTCCCCCTGAACCTGGGCCTAGTCCAGCCATACCATTTTCGTCGTATAGTGCTCTGCTCTCTGGATCACCGAGGATCTCATAGCTAAAAGGTAGGCGTGACCGTCAGGTGAGTTTGGGGAAACAAGAGATGGAACGGACGCGGCAGCCATCTCCTGAAATTTCTGAGCAGCTTGAGGATCATTGGGATTCTGGGTTATAAAAAATCGTGACCAACGGCCGGGGTAATTGCATGAAAACACACCTTGTCCTGTCAAACGCAATGGTCAGCCGATTTTGGAGAACGAGCACCGAATAACTCACGGGGTGATGCTCCTTAGCCTGTGAAGGTGTAAGAGTCTATTAATGGATCAAGTGTGAACTCGCACCTTCTTCCGATAGGCCTTTTTGATATCATCTTGTGCAAAGTGTTCAGGCCAGGCGCATCGGAGCAAGGCATCCAGGACGTACCTTCACTGGCCGACGGAGGAACACCTAAAAGATCATAAAGCTCGGTATCTACGGGCACTGCATAACTGTCAGTAGTCAATTACAGAGATGGTACTTTAAACCAACTTTTTCTTTCTAGAGATGGAGGAACACGGCAGTTAGCTTTACGCGCGTTTTGGGAAGACGCGCTTCGGAGTTTTAAATAAGCGACTCTTGAAAAAAAATACTTGGTTCTCGAAGTTGTACTTGCATTAGCGCTTGACCTGAAGCTTGGCACATGTTACTAGGATAGGCTATAGCCAGGTGAGCTTCAGTTTTGTTTTTCATCTCCAGAATGATGTTCAATCATTATCTACATTGTCTTACTGGGCTCGCCTAGAAATGACGAATATTTAAACCTGACTTCTTCCAACACCCCACTCGTATCCTTATGCTTATCCTTCCGTTCCCTATAGGTTCTTGTCTTGGCACTGATGCCTTCATACTTGTACATAGTGCCCTGCAATGAACTTCTACTTTGAGGCTTCTGAAGTACTTAATCGTCTCGATGCAAAAGAAGGCTCCATCAAAGGCATTCTAGCCACTTTGTCCGAGAACAACAGATCGAGAATAGCTGCACTTGTCATCGAAACACTCAAATGTAAGTCGCGGTGCATCATGTTATTAAATGTGATCATTTACGCGTCCTTCAGACAAATCTGTCCTCTCCGATGTCATCCAAGCATCCAAGCTTCTCACCGAGGAAAAGAAGAAAATCCATTCTTTGAATTTAGCTCTTGTACTAGTGCATGACACACTGCTTGCGAATGGTATTCAGGCCGGTGACGGGCCCATCAAACAAGCAATTTTGAGGCACAAGACTAGGCTGAAGAGCGAACTTCAGCGGGTCAAAATAAAACGAGGCGTCAAATCTGATCTGGAGTTGGCTCAGACCAGTGACGATAGAGCAGGTCAGAGCACAACCAGTAGAAATGTTTTTTCGTGAACCATCTTCACAGCGAAAATCCCTCGTTACGTTCGTGTCAATACTTCGATGTGGTCGACGGAGGATGCCATATTATTCTATACCAAGCGTGGCTTTCAACTGCAAGGTCCCTTTGCGTCGAGGTCAGCCGTGCGTCCTGCGACGTTCCTGAGTGCTGATGCCGTCTGCTTGTCTCAGCAAAGGGTTTGGAATTGACGAACACATACCAGATCTGCTGGCCTTCAACCCTGCTCTACAGTTTCGCGATGATCCTTCCTACAAAACTGGGAAGATTATTCTACAAGATAAGGCGTCGTGTTTCTCTGCGTTTGTGCTATCGCCTCCCTGTGACGATTCAAATGCTGTCGTGATAGACGCGACAGCTGCTCCCGGAAACAAAACGTCACATCTGAGCGCACTGATGGGTAACAAGGGAAAGGTAATCAATTCACCCCACTTCCAATTTGAAAACCTTTTGACGTTGTGGTAGTTATATGCTTTTGAGAGGGATAAGAGGCGCTTTTCAACGTTGAAAATGATGCTCGCCAAAGCTGCTTGCCGAAACGTAGAGGCGGTCAATGCTGATTTTCTCACCATTGACCCTTTCCATCCGAAATATTCACTGGCAACTCATATGTGTGTCCTACTCTGAACATCCTCGATTTTCACTCACTTCTACTAGCTTGCTTGATCCCTCCTGCAGCGGTTCAGGTATCGTAAATCGTCTAGACTATTTACTTGAAGATGGCGAGTCTCTTGTATGTTGTGGCTCAACTCGGCTGATATCTCCATAGAGATAGAAGCAGTGGAAGAAGACCGGTTGAACAAACTGGCTGCTTTCCAGCTCATGATGATTAAACATGCCATGAAATGTGAGTAGTTCAGAGAATGGTGGATATAGAATGACTTATTGTTTCGTCTTTAGTTCCACATGTACAGAAAATTGTTTATTCCACATGTAGCATTCACGCGACAGAAAACGAGCATGTCATTAGCCATGCCCTTCAGTCAGACGAGGCAAAGAACAGTCATTTCAAGCTTGCGCCTCGGAATGACGTCCTGCCCACATGGAGCCGTCGAGGGCAGGCAGAAGAGATGAAGGGCACAAGTAAATACTCGTTCCGCCTGACACATGTGAATTGAAGTGATACGCGTTTTCAGGTAATGCGGACAGTTTAGTTCGTTGCTCCCCGGGCGAAGATGGCACAAACGGCTTTTTCGTTTCGTGTTTCATCCGAGAACATCATTCTGTGCTCCCTCAGCCTGAACCATTGAAAAAGCGTAAAGCGAGAACTGAGGAAGTGGCTCCGGAGAAGAGGAAGAAGAAACGCAAGAAAAAGGTCAAAACAGAATGAGATCTTCGCTTGATCTGCCAATACACATTCACGTCGAAATTTATGTTTGCAATATATGTATAAGCATATTTGAGCTGTCAACCATCCGCGTGCGCTGTCCCCAGCGCAATGTGAACATTTATTATCAGCAACCTTTGCAGTATACAGAAGGATGTCTGCAGTGATCCCTCACTATCTCCCGCCCGCGCGTGAATCACGATGATTCTTCAATTTTATAAAGAGCCATCTTAGTGTGTTACTTTCTTAATTCCTCTTCAAAATCCGCAAAGCAGTGGGCGACAAAGCCATTCTCTGCGTGCTTGAGGTGATTCTAATTTTCTTGATAACACCGTCAGCAGTTGAACTGATTGATCGATCAAGGTTGATGCTTCAGGTTGACAACTATATGCCAACAATGGATATGCAGAATACGCATTGCTGGAAAATAGTTGCAAAGAGTCTTCCAGCCCGGCTGCCCATTGAACGACTGAATACGACTTGACAGGTTTAAAATGCATGGCATAAGACATATGTAACTTCATTCAATTCCGATTGTAGAGTTGGAACGAGTTCAGTCATTTTCGTAGCAAGCGTAGTTCACCTCGAGTTGAACTCGCCTCGACAGCGACAACATGAAAACCATATGTAGACTATCCCTGATGCCTGCCGCTCAGAAGATAGAGCAGAGCGACGACAATGATCATTTCTAAGTGACCGCATTAATAACAACACCACAAAACGAAGAGGAAAGTGACACACCAAAATGATACCATCGAACCGCTGCTTGAACCAAGCCATGGTGTCATCCCTCCTCACTCGGTGTTGGAACCCAATACGTGCCCGTCTCTCCTTTCTTCTGGCAACACGAGCACCAGGGCGACCCATCACGACGTAGAAGTCCATTCCGAAGATACCGATTCCAGGATCGTATCTCGCACCAAGGTCGATGTGCTCCTGGATACCGAAACCGAAGTTACCGGTCTCCGAGAAGTTCTTCCGACGTAGTTCATACTCCTTCACTTTGAGACCACGCTCAAGAATCTCCTCTGCCTTAGGCCCACGGATAGTGACGTGGACAGCAATCTTCTCGTTACGACGGATACCGAATGTACGGACGGTGTAGCGAGCTTTCGAGGTGACAGGTGTTTGACCGGTGAGCTGTTCGAGGACTTTGGATGCACGAGTGAGACGATCACCAGACTCGCCAACACAAATGTCTAGATGAATGCTTTAGCACCACATCAGAACACGAGAAGAGAGGCGCACTGATGACGAGCTTGTCAATCTTCAGCTCCTTCATGGGGTTGGTGGGTGCTGTTTTTTGTTCTGCCTACAGCATGAACTTCGTTAGGAGAGTTTGCAAAACCATATAGGTCACTCACCATTGCGTCGTAACTTCTAGTTATCTTCCAGCGTTATTTTGTCGCTGTCGAGGGATGCGCGAGGCTGGATGTGTCCACATTTGGGTTCTGGAGGCTGAACTCTAATTAATAAACTAGGCAGCTGGTTCGGCAGAGTCCGACAACAATTAAACGATAAACACTTTAAGCATTACATAATATACTAATTATTACTAATTTCCATTACTCATTCAAACAGTACCTGCTGACAAATCAGCGCCGTTCTTGACTGCCATTCGGTGCCGTGAACTCCGCCGACCCATCTTGTTCAGTGACTACCACTGCACTGACCAAAACATGGCTTCAAAACGCGGATTTGAAGGTGTGCTACTCTCTAAGCATTGTTTGAGCGCGAGGTACTCATGTATTTATTTCATCATAGGACCTGGAGAGGCTGGGCCGTCGAAACGGAGACGGGCTGAGGACAGTAACGATTATGTTCATGAAGAATATCATAGTGAACAAGAGGACAACGCCTCCTTCGTTCCTAGGGGTGCAACAATCAATTTCAGTGCGCTAACGAGGAAACTGGCGGAAGCGCGGAGAGCCAAACCCATCGACGGTGACGAAAGCTCATTGGATGCGCACCGTCGACAACAAGACGCACTCGTATCCCACATATTCATGGATCAGGATTTCTCTTTTCTTCATCTTAAACCTGACCATGCCTCGCGGCCATTATGGATTAGTCCTGACGATGGCCACATTATCCTCGAGGCCTTTTCACCCATTGCAGAGCAGGCTCAGGACTTTCTTGTAGCTATAAGTGAACCTGTTAGCAGGTACGCAGATTCCTGCTGTGTAATTTACACGTCTAGACACGCCATTAGGCCGGCCTTTATCCACGAATACAAACTCACTTCTTATTCACTATACGCCGCGGTGTCGGTCGGGTTACAAACAGAAGATATCATTGAAGTTCGTGTGCACTAAGGTCCTCGTGCTGCTTAAGTATGCTAATACATTTAATCTTGCAAGGTGTTGAACCGGCTTTCTAAGGTGTGTCTCATGGGGCATGTGGTCTAACTAAGCTTCATAAAGATACAAGGTGCCAGTGCCAGAAACGATCACTAACTTCATCCGGGAGCGGACGCTATCTTACGGGAAAGTGAAGCTTGTGCTAAAACACAACAAATATTTTGTTGAGAGCAGCCACCCGGAAACCCTTCAGCTTCTTTTGAAGGACAAAGTGATACGTGAGGCACGAGTGGTTTCTCAACAAACGGACAACAGTATCAAAGCCGCCACTTTTACGACTTCAAAAGCCCCTGTGAAGGGTAGCCTTGTGATCCCTGGAACCAAGGAGGCTGAGAAGAAGAAGGATGAGACTGCGGGCACCAGGGCCGGAGCATCCATGTCCGGAGGAGCCGCGGACGCTGACCTTTTTACCTCAATTGTTGGCGTTGACAACGGTAAGCTTGTACCCTCTGCCGCCGATCTTTCTCATCCCTCTTGCCTTAGATGAAATCGATGAAGACGACGACAATGTTCATGCATTCGAGATTGATGATGCAAAAATCGACGTGAGTTCTAGAATGGATGGCTTCTTGTGGATTTCTCACGATCTCTTTCAGGATGTCAAGAAGCGGTGTAATGAGTTGGAATATCCAATGCTTGAGGAGTATGACTTCAGAAATGACACGGTCAATGCAAATCTGGACATTGACCTTAAACCGGCAACCGTCATTCGGCCATATCAAGAGACAAGCTTGAGCAAGATGTTCGGAAATGGGTATGTCGCGATTTTTAGTTGTCTAGGTACCTTCTGACCTGTGGACTTAGCCGCGCACGTTCTGGAATTATTGTTCTTCCGTGCGGGGCGGGAAAAACCCTCGTCGGCATTACAGCAGCCTGCACGATCAAAAAATCGTGTCTAGTATTGTGCACTTCTTCGTATGTCTGATAGCACCAATGCTGTGCTTCGGAACATTCTCATGAAAGTCTTTTTCTCGCAGCGTGTCTGTCATGCAATGGAAGCAACAATTCATGCAGTGGTCCAATGTGACAGATCGCCAAATTGCCGTTTTCACCGCAGATCAGAAAGAAAGAGTAAGTATTGGCTGCGATCTGTGCCTTTCCCTGGACTCTGATGATAAGGATTTCGCATAGTTCGCAGGAGAGAGTGGTATCGTCGTATCGACGTATTCCATGGTCGCGAATACGCACAACAGGTCCCATGAGTCCAAGAAGATGATGGAGTTTTTGACTTCACGCGAATGGGGTTTCATTCTGTTAGATGAAGTGCACGTTGTGCCGGCTGCCATGTTCCGCCGTGTTGTTACAACAATCAAAGCGCACTCAAAGCTTGGCTTGACCGGTGGGTTACTCGAGTAACGTCGAAGAATGCATACCCAATCACTAATTTCACTCTGATCACAGCGACTCTTGTGCGTGAGGACGACAAAATTGCAGATCTCAACTATATGATAGGACCTAAGTTATATGAGGCCAACTGGATGGACCTTGCAGCCAAGGGACATATAGCCAATGTCCAGGTAGGTTTTGTATCCTGTACCCTACACGACTTTCGCTGGACCAATCACCCTTTCACTAGTGCGCCGAAGTTTGGTGTCCTATGACTCCCGAATTTTACAAGGAGTATCTTCGGGAGCAATCTCGGAAGCGTATGCTGCTTTATTGTATGAACCCAAAGAAATTCCAAGCGTGCCAATTCCTCATCAAATTCCACGAGGCAAGAGGAGACAAAGTTATCGTCTTTTCCGACAATGTCTTTGCGCTCGAGGTAAGTTTGACGTCTTTACGAGTACGTCTGCTCAAGTATCCCAGGCGTACGCCAAGAAACTTGGAAAACCTTATATCCATGGTGGTACAGGGCAGGTTGAGCGGATGCGGGTGTTGCAATGGTTCCAGCATGATTCTAACGTCAACACCATCTTCCTCTCCAAGGTACATTTTACGACATCGAGTAGAAAGAGACTCTTCATTGACTTCTCCTGTGCAGGTCGGCGATACGTCCATAGATCTGCCGGAGGCTACGTGCCTTATTCAAATCAGTTCACACTTCGGCTCTAGGCGACAGGAAGCCCAGCGCTTGGGTATGTTGATATGGCAATATTTTGCTCTACAATTTCATTGACATCAATGGTGACATCACAGGTCGCATTTTACGAGCGAAACGGCGTAACGACGAAGGCTTCAACGCTTTCTTCTATTCGCTAGTTTCGAAAGACACCCAAGAAATGTTTTACAGCACAAAACGCCAGCAATTTCTCATTGACCAGGGTTATGCGTTCAAGGTCATTACGCACCTGGACGGACTTGAGGAGCTCGAAGATTTAGTTTATAAGACAAAGGATGAGCAAATCGAGTTGATTTCATCGGTGCTCTTAGCAAACGAGAGCGAAGCTGATCTAGGGACGGACATACGCGGGAATGAGGGGGACTTGGCAGGAACGGTGACATCGAAAGATTTTGGACCTACAAGGTTTCCAGCAGCGCAGCGGACGACAGGGTCTCTCACGGCACTCAGTGGTGCTCAACATATGTCCTACTGTCGAGCAAAATAAGTCGGCCAACAAGAAACTAGCGCGGGATGCAGCACCACGCCACAAATTATTTTCCCGTCGCGATAAGGACAAAGCTACCGCACGGAAAGAACAGCGAGCGATGGGGCGCACTTGAGTGCTATCCTTGGAACTCGAGGACTGGGCCCGCGGTTTCCACCGTTGTCACGTTGTTGAAGCTTTGACAATTTGTCATACTGTCCATAGGGTACCTTAACGCCACCGAAATACATTGTTTTTTTTTTGTTAATTCTATTGATGGGAAGCTCTACAGTAATGAGACTGGGGCTGGACCGGCTACGTAGCAGATCTTATACAATCTAGTAGTATACGTAGGTCACGCTAAAACCGTATCGTACCCCCTGGACTTGTCTTCCAAAAGGGTACTTCCTAGAGAGACTGGAAGAAGCGAAATCGGATTCGAAGAAAGGCACGAAACTCAGATAAAAATGTAGAACTGCGGTAGTTGTATTCAGAATCAACGAAGTAGAATCCGGGTCATGTACAGCAGTCGTATCGAGGTCAACACGGCCTCTGATTGTAACCCAGCTCGATACTCGGTGAATTAATTGACGTGGCTCATGGAAGTGAACGAACGAATCATGACAACGTCGTCACATCAGTTTACTAAATTTGGGTTGCCGAAAACGGCAAAAGACTGAGTTTGTGCGGAGATCGGTTCGGAGCCAAAAAAGTAGGTCTGGCCCAGACAGGGCCCAGCCTGTGACATTGATCGAATAGGGATCGAATGCGGACGTGATACACAAAGATCTGGCTTGCCCGATGAATTGGTCCCTTTTTATATGTTCTCCTGCCTTCCCTCTCTTTAGGTCCTTTCCTCCCCGCCTTCATCTCCTACTGCTTTTTTTCATCCCAAGTCACTTTTAAATTTAAATGTCCTCAAAGCGTGGTCGCAAGCGCAATGATAACCTCCCTCCTAATAGAGCTAGGGATGTTCAGAGAGCATTTCGTGCCCGGCGTGCTGCCCATCTACAAGTGCGGCATTTTTATCCAACTTCTATTTCCAATCGTCATCTAATTTCACTCCTTTTCCAGGCTCTCGAGTTGCGAGTATCGGAGCTGGAGGAAGAGAATAATTGCTTAAGAGCTGCACTCAATCTACCTGCAGCTAACCGCCCGTCCCTCGGTAAAGGTCCGACAGGCAAGGATAAATCAAAGTCTCTGGAGACAACGCCTGTTGCTGCCCAATCAAATTCTTCCAAAAGCCGAGAGTCATCGCCCGTCGCAGAATCACCTTCTCCGGGTCGTTCAGAATCCGCTTCTCCCTCTGTTGTCAGCGGTAACTTGCGTACTCCTCCTGTAATGGACGGTCATTGGGAAGAAAGCTTTATGATGAGTGATCAGCAGTCACAGGGCTCTCATGTATCATCTTCGTCCTCCGCTTCCTATAGTCTTCGCCCAGTTCCCCCGCCTATGTCCCAGAAAAGCTCCCATCAATTCACTTTTTCAAATCCGATGCCACCTCCGCGATCTATGATTTCAAGTAGTGTCTCTGCGCACTCCATTCAGCCAAACTATGCACATACCGCTGATAGGCCTATTGGCACTGGATATAATGATATGAACTATCTCCTATGCGACGTCCGAGAAAGCGCACATTATCCCTACTCATATCAACCATCCCAGTTCAATCCAGATCATGCCATGTCCCCACCATCTCAGCATCCTATTCATCCATCCCAAAACCATCACCCGCAGCGCACGCCCCTACCGCATGCGTCAATAACGTACCCACAACGGCGTTCAGTCAATGAACCTTCTGGGTTCAGACCGCTAGGCACCGATTTACACCTGCCGAGCCCCCCGCCGCATCCACAGGCGGTGCGCTTAGCATCGCCTCCAGCCCCGTCTGCGCAGGATCCGCGATCCCATTATACCTCTCATGGCAAGCATCCTAATGCTCTTCGGTGACCTTTCAGTTGTTATCATTGTCGTCGTCCTGTACTTCTTAATTTCCGTTTTTGTCGTAACTATTCTCATCCTTTGTACTATCAGTCTCTTCCTCGCACGACCTCAGGATTCTCATTGCTCATTGCTAAATGATTTTAACAACGTCTGTATCGCTATCGCTCGCGAGCTTTCTTCTAGGCACTTAGTCAATTTTACAATAGATGTATACACAGCTATCTGGTAAAATATTCTTTCCATGTAATAGCTTTAATTCTCCCTGCCATGCTGGCAATTCCGATGGCCGGACATGATCCAGCACGACCCATTGCGTTCGAGTCGGTTCGAATCCGCGATGAGTCACTCATAACTGAACCAAGTTTACCAAATTTCCTCTTTAAGCAATTAAGGTGACAGGCACCGCACAGCCACCGGGCGGGTACGACCACATAGATAGCCAAATATAGTCTTCACATAAAGATCCCGTGCCAAGGTAACCTTTTTCTTCTTTTGTATGTTTTGCTGGCGACCGCCTCCGACGACGCATCATGGTGGGATAACATGGGACTATCCGGGACTATCATTGAATCGCATCAGTCGCGCCGGAACAAAGCACCCTCTGTCACCCTTTCCAGCACTCATCTGATGGTGGCGTTCAATTTTTTTGCGTTAGATTATCTGATTACAAGGTGACGGGGTATCCATGGGTGTCGGCATGTGATTGTTTACGGCCGCGATCAATGGTGGGAACTTGCGAGATTGAAGATCTGTGCAAACAGATTATGCATAAATATTGCGCTCACAACTTAAGACGTGTTGCGTCCTAGATTCTCCCGCTGTATCATCACCTTATGCAGTCGTTCACGCGCGCCAGCGAATCTAGACCTACTAGCAAAAACTACGCAATGTATACAATATGTGCAGGCAGTATCCTGTAGGTATATTAACAAGAGTGGTATCTTATGCTTTTCATGCGTTGATTAGTTCAATTAATCCAGATTGCACCAGTCGACTCTGCCTTGAGGTCCATACTTCTTCTCGAGCCAGTCATTCGCAGCCTTGAAATGACCATTGCCCAGAAAGCCCTTATGAGCACTGAAGGGCGAAGGGTGCTATTTCAGGAGTCAGTCAAGAATGCCATCAAACCTGAGCATTCGAGGACGTACGGCACTAGTCAGAATCAAGTGTTTTATCTGGGCGTTCCTAGTCAGCGCTCGAACGTCACCCGATGCGGCCTTGATGAACTCACCTTGTTGAGTTTGGCCACACGCTTTGCGGCCCATGACCCCCAAGCCAAGAATACCACTCCACGCCCAATCCCGTTCATCTCGGAATCTCCGCCGGACGAAAGATTGGCACCGCCGTACTTGTCAACCACATCCACAACCTTGTCAGTAAATTCTTCCCAGCCCTTGCCGGAATGGGACCCTGCTTTGTTTGCCTTCACAGTAAGACAGGTGTTTAACATGAGGACACCATTATCAGCCCACGCTGTGAGGTTACTGATTATTATCCAGAAGTCCGTGTTAGTACATACATAATTCGGACTCATCCACCTTATCTAATGCTTACCCATGCTTAGGAGGTTCGAATTCGGGATACTCGGCCTTAATCTCAGCATAGATCTAGAAATGCAAGAATGAGGCGTGATGATCAATCAACGGTGAGAGATTGCGCACGTTTTTCAAAGAAGGCGGCACAGTGACGCCCTTGGGGACGGAGAAACAGAGGCCTAAAAGTCGCGTGACGGTCAGTTAACCTGGGACCGAAAAATAAGAGCGGTATAGGGACGGCTCACCATGAGCTTGATTCGGACCGTGGTAGGGGTCCTGGCCAATGATTACGACCTTCACCTTTCCGAGGGGCGTATTAGACCACGCATAAATATTTTTTGCTGCTCACGGGGCTCAATTACTTGGCTGACTGGATCTCTTCGCGAAGAACAACATACGTGAGGGGTATACTTTGAGATTTTTAGCACTCTCGTCAGGGCCATGAACTCCTTCCTCCCACAGGAACTTCTTCAGTGAGATAAAATATGGCTTTTTGATCTCTTCCTTTAGAAGTTTCAACCTGAAGAATGGCTCGGCGTCAGCGGAAAAATTATTACACGGTGTCTTATCAGAACAGAATGTAGCACGGCGTTGTTATGTGAACCGCCAGGACGCACCAACTCTTGCCCATGCATTCGGATTCCAGCTTTAGCAAATATCTGCGATCCTGCGGAATTGATTCGATGTATTGGGACAGCGAGAAAGGTATCGCATTTAAACGCTGAACTCCGGCGACTGCAATTTTGGCAGAGTCAGAGCCTGACGACGAGGCGCCCAGCTTCAATTTCTTAGCTGCGGGCTTTGCACTTTTACAATCCTGTGGTCCAGATAGCATATCCATCAGAGTGCGCTGCCTCTTCAACGTGCCTGTTGCCTGTGTTGCCGTCACTGTGGCCTTTACTGCGCCATCTTGTGATGTTGAGCTAGGTGATTCGGAGTCTTTGTCCGGGTTAGAAGTCGAAAGCACTGCCGCTTCGACATCTTCCAGGTAGACGACGCGTTGTTCATCAGACATGACGTTGAGAGGCTATGAAAGAGAGAAAAAACGCGAAAATCTAGCCCGGACGCGACATGGATCCCTTCGGAGTCTACATTTTGATTGCTAACTCATGCCATAATATTAATAACGGGCTTCGGAGTCTTTTGCTTGTCCTTGTTTCTTCACTCACGAGTCGGAGTACTCGCCGCCTCCATATTCGATACGTGCCATTCATAGTTTTGCCTTAGGACATTTCGCCAAACTGCCGCGTTCAAACTCTTCGCCTTCGCCGCCGTCTGCAAGAAATGCATCTGGGCGTGCAGATTCGTCTAGAAGGCAATTCTTGAGTTCTAGGCCTACAAAACGTCACCTAGGACCATTTGGGACCACGGTGACAACTGTTCAACCAGATCATACTAATATGGAATTGAGTTCAACCTATCATGCAGGGTCTTCGAGGTAGGAATTATTCCGGCCCACCAAGTATAAGGGAACTTACGCAGCGTACTCAATCCAGCGATCAGTCGAGTAGTGAAACAGTCGATGAAGATTCGGATGATGACCCTCATGATGTTCGAGGACGCCGTCCTTCTCAAAAAGGCCTGCAAAGGGACGTTCGGGACGCCATCAGGAGAAAGCGGCGCCAAACGTCTCCTTCCCAACAGGCGTCTGGCCCCGTGCCTCTTGACTACACTAACGATGGCAAGCAAATTGGTTCCTTACCACGAAGAATGTCATTCACTCGTTCGCGCTCACCTCACCCACGGACCTTCGACAATGCAACTAATGTAGCACATCCACCTTCTGGAGCTTCTTCATTTCCTCAGCGGCACAAACTGCTTCCAGTTGTGCATACTCTATTGCCAGCAACGATCTCTGGCAGCCTTTCTCTCCCTCGCCTTGGAACTTGGACATTTTGCATGAACACTAGATATATGGGAGAATCACTTCTCCTCATCGGATCTTTAGCTTTTTTCAACAAGAAACTCTCGGATGACACTCATGACATCATTGACTCGTCAATGTCCGCAGGTGAATATATTATCCACACATTTGTAAAGTTGTCTCCGTACTAATTTCCGACTGCAGAAATGTATATCCTCCTTATTACAGCTATAGTCTATATTATACGTGCGCACACCATACTACCACACACCAATGCCGCTGCACCTACTGCTCCAGAGTCTCGCCGTACAGCGTCTCCTCGTACTGAAACTCGTGAAATTAGACGCAGTGGCTCACAGTTGAGCCCTACAATCAAACCGCGCTTTAGTTTCATCTGGATGAGTGTCCCAAAGAATTACAGGCATGTCCGTTCCTTAGGCGTTCGTTTTCACTGGAATGAACTTCCCACAGGGAGTCTCCGAATGATGGCGTCCTCACAGGGCTCCTACTCCCACCCATGATTGCGTTAGCCCTATTATACTCAGCCTTGCGGCAAGTTCACTCTCCTTCGTCTGATCCCAATCTCCCTCCACCTCATTGGTTGATAGAAGCTCCCAGTGTACTCCATAACCCTCGATCACCTGATTCCGCTATCGATGCCCTCATACAATCTCGTCGTGGCCTAGTGGATTATTCCACAATGTGTTCATTTATATTATTAGCCCAAGTATGTTCGTCGTGGGTCATTGAGACGCGCTATCGCGGACGTCCTAGCGTCCCTGAGGGAGAGCGCGGCTCTGTTCCTCGTAGTGAAATTCGTAGAACATGGCTTTACGTGCTCTTCACTTTCGGCATGACCATGCTCGCCATTACCGTTCGATATCTTTTTGCGTTGGCGGAGATCCCTATATGGCGAAGTGAATCGATTTATTTTTTTAATTCCGCTGAGATATTTACACCTTGATTTCTCAGATATCAGCTATTTCGACATTGCCATCGGCTCATTGTTCTACCAACTTTGTTTATACAGTGCCCTTCGCCTAGCGCATGGCGGGTTTACGCTAGGTGAATTGGCCCTTGTCTGCTTTGGTGGGCTATCCTTGGCCACGGAACTGCTGGGATTGACTAGAGCGAGGGTCTGTCGGGCTTTTGCCTCAAAATATTTATACTGACTTCTTGCTAAGATATGGCCGAAGACAGCGCCATTTATCGAGACCTACCGCCTGCCAACACCCCTGTTGATTTTCCAGATTGCTCTGATCGCAGGTTCTTTCATTACTGGCTTCCTACTCTCTCCTCTTCTCGCCTTATCACGGCATATTGCGCAACGACCGGTGAGGCGTCTTCGACTCCCACAGGAGAAGCAACGGCATCGACGAGCTCTTGCCGCGGGTTTTTACATAGGAACCATTATCATTGTAGTTGGCCTTATTGGTTCGTGGACGTGGTGGAACCTCGGATGTAGAAATCCGTGGCTTTGGACTATCCTTTGGCTCCTTGAGGGGCGTAAGAAGTGGAGTCGACCTATGCTTCTTGCCTACTGGGGCCTTCTCGGAAGCATCAGCGTTGCCGGATGGAACCGACAGCTATCGAGGTCAAGGCGGTACAGGCATAGAAACACGAGTGGGGGTACACAAGATAATGTGATCGTTCCATTTACTGCGAACTCGAATCAGAAACTACAAACGGAGATATCTTCATCGGCTCCCACCACTACACTCGGGCTTACATTCCCCAACTTGGCTAATCTCCCTAATCTGTCCAATGGCTCACAAGTCGCCACAGAATTGTTGGATGCCGCGGATAAGCACGTTCCTACACTTGGTATTAACGCGAGGCGCAAGTTCTTCCACGCGTTAGCAGTTGTTATGTTCCTGCCTGGAGTGGCTGTTGACGTCAGTAGCCTTCTATGACACATACTATCAGTGGTCTAACAAGTATCTCTAGCCCGCATTCACGCACTTGTCCTTCAGTGCGGCATTTGCGCTCTTTATCTTTGCAGAGTATGTCAGATACTTCGCCATTTATCCTTTTGGTGCGGCTGTGCACCTGTTCATGAACGAGTTCCTCGAGCAAAAGGACAGCGGAACTGCCATCCTCAGTCACTTTTATCTGCTTACTGGTTGTGCGGGCCCGTTGTGGCTCGAAGAGTACGTCTTTAGCCTTGACGAAGTTCCAGGTAGAATCTAAATCATTATAGGCCATCGCAGTTGCTACAATATACCGGTATCCTCGCTTTGGGTATTGGCGATGCTCTGGTTAGTTTCCTTTCCGTCTTAAATTTTTGAAAATTGACAATTGAATTGGACGTTTTGTCAGGCATCTATTATTGGGAAACGCGTTGGTCGGCACCGTTGGTCTTCAACATCCTCTAAGACCCTAGAAGGTAGCGCTGCATTTGTGCTGTCCCTCGTGGGTTGCGCGTGGCTTTTGAGACTTTGCGGGCTTACGGAAGAATTTTCAGTGAGTTCGTCCGCTTCTGTTGCCCCTCAATCTAACGCGACCCTGAAACCGCAGACATTACGCTATTCTATTGTGGTCGCTCTCTCATGTGTACTTGAGGCCCTGTCAGACCAGAACGACAACTTGACTCTACCGTTGTATATGTGGAGTTTACTTGTAGCTGTCGATGTATAGCGGGGTTACTATACGTTAAGATTGTTACAGAACACGGACATAGCATGGCAGGCTTGACGGAAGACACTTGTGCTCCATCTTAATTTTCATTAATGTTTTCGCTAAATTCGCAAAAAAAGAATGCAAACAAAAATGGAAGGAGCTTGGTTCCTGATTGGTCCTGACGTCAAGTGAGGCACGGGGTTGTGCTGGTGGGGTGCTTAGTAAGCACGTCAATAACCCTTCTTCGATGAAGGAGACCGACTTCAACGATCCTCTCTACCCTACCATCACCAGCGACGACGGCACTGGACATTCTGTCCTTCACCTCACTACTGGAGCTGTCGTTCGTCGATATTATCGATTGCTTCATTTGAATTGTGGTTAACTTCCCATTTCAGTATCCTCCGGGTAATGACCACAGCTTCCAATCAGTGATCGTCGCGTAGCTGTACCTAGTAATTGTTTCACGACTACTAGAAGGATACGGTGCATTCTTGCTGCATAAACACTTCGAACTACCACCATGCAGTCCTCGACAATAACAGATACAGCTCTAGATCTACTTCCATCATCTCTACCTCTCGCAACGCCCTTTCCTTTGCCATCACCATTTCAAATGCCCATTCCACGTTTGCCCAAGGTGAAGCAGCGAAATCCTCGACTACCGCGACCAGCAACTGCCTCTATGGCAGAGGGCACTCAATCATACCTACCCCCTGCGCCCCAGGTGCCGTGTTTACCTGATAGTCACATCCCTAGGAGCTCGGATCCTCGTGTAAGTGTCTTTTTTGGGTACCACTAGGGTTACTGCACTACTATCACAGATTTCTTTAAAGGATGTAGATAATACTCGAGACACCGATGCTTTATCCATGAAGTCATTCGAAGTACACCCTGCAGACATGGGTGTGTGCCTCCCCGTTCTAACCAGCGTAAATTCTGAGTGTCCTCTTAACAACACTAGTTTACTCAGCTCCATCCGGTAGTCTTGCGAAACCCTCGCGACGGCGGCGAGCGTTCCTGGTGATACCCGACCCGACATCGACGGGGCTGAGCACGACTGGGCTACCTTCATGACTGCTTATGCATCGGGTCAATGGCATCCTCATCAAACGCCTCGTCATCCGCGTTCAATGATGTCCACTCCTATCATGCGGGAGGGCTCTTCGCGAGACAATTTCGCGTTGAGACATGATCCTACGTCGATTATTGTCGAATCACCGCAGCACTCGCATCTTGTATCACCTGCCTACCACACTTTTATTCCTTCCTCATTTTCCAATGGCAGTAGCAATGAGACAGAGTTCAAGCCCGCTCCCGAGAAAGCGGTGATGATCTCTGATTTTCCTTCATTCATATATCCTGACAAATTATCGTCAAAGATTACATCAAAGTCGTCTTCACTTAGTGGCCGTAGATTCCGCAAGTCATTCACAGATCTGCGACACACAACAGGAGGGCAGACGATGCATCTCCATTTAGATGGGACACAAACTTTTAGCATTAGTCCGGAGGCAACTGCTGCGGCTGCAACCATGCGATGGGCAGCAGCACGCGTTAATTTGTCTCCTCTTGCGTTGCCCTCTCCTGAACATGAGTTAACAGATCCAATGCGAGGTGTACATGCAGCAATACCAGGATCACATCCAACTGCCAGTAGCCCCCCTGCCCATCCGACAACGCCCGGAATGTCTCGAATCCGCGCAGGCAGCTTCTGGGAGGGCACACAAGATGTCGAAGATGAATTAACAGTGCTCGCCCTACCCGGATCGTTACCCAGAACTCCCCTACGCAACATAGCTGAGGGAGAGCTACATGTGTCTCTCCCCCCGCCAGCCTCTGTTCCACTGCAGCGTAATTATTCACCTGAGCCGACAGAAGAAGGCGATTACTTCACCGCAGTCAGTACATCCGCTTCAGAGCAATTTCCCATAACCCCCGACCCCGCTCAACTTTGGCAGGACTACGTAAACCACAGACGTGAACCCGGGTCAATGGAACTCAACGTTTGTACGGCACCACCCCTTCCGCGAAGGATTTGTTTGACAAGGCAAACCTCTTCGCCCCTACCCGACAGCAACGGCAGAGATCGTGGTTTACCGGGCGGACGATCAGTGTGTGACTCGGTCAATAGTTTTCGTGCCGGTCGATCTGCGAAGGAGGAACAGATGTTCCTCGATCTTGGCTATTTAGCTCCACCAAACCCTCCGGATGAGCTCGAGCGAAGACGTGCTCTATACAAGTATATCTGTTTTTCACCTTTGAAGGCCATCTCAGAGAGCATGTGAAATAGGTTTAACCTCTGGAACACCGGTCCCGATATCAACTTCGATCGCATTGCACATCTGGTCAAACTTGTGTTCAACACGAAATGCGTTTACATATCCCTCATCGATGGCACAGAGCAGTGAGTATTAGTTGGAGTTTAACGTGAATTTGTTGGTAACAACCATTACAGGTGGTTCAAATCACAATGTATGGTGCTCAATTCCTGTCATCTACGTATATCTCCAATTTTTTGCAGGTGGGATGACTTTAAAGCGCAGTGCAAGACTGACGTCCTTCTGTGCACACGCTATACTGCAAAGGTGTGGATACTTTCCCCCTGAGAACTCCAGTCTTACTGTCCGCAGGGGTGACGAGCCAACTGTTATCCTGGACACGAAATTAGATTGGCGGTTTGCTAAGAATGTCAGTGCGCCTTGATATGAAGGTTCATCTGACAAATATACTGAATGGTGTAGCCTCTGGTCACCGGGTTCCCAAACGTTCGCTTTTATGCTGCAGCTCCTTTGAGAACCTCCGATGGATTTAACATTGGCAGGTAACTAGAGTCGCTATCTACGTGACATGCCCAGTTGATGTACCACGCATCTCAGTCTTTCCTTGATTGATGATTCACCGCGGCAGGATTTCGCCCCGCGTCAGCGACACACTTTGAAGGAATTTGCGGTACTTTGGTTCTAGTTCAATGATCCTAAATCTATTAACACGAGTCTAGGCCGTTGTGATGCGTGAGATGGAATTGTGGCGTGATAAAGTGAGTTGGGTTAGCTGTCATATTTCCCCCCATGAACTAACTACCCCAACCCAGATCCAATTGCGCATACGAGACAAAATCCAGACCTCCGTGAGCACCGTCTGCCTCAGTACCATCCACTGTACGTTAACTCATCGCATCTCAGATGGAGCAATTTAGTCGAGAGTGCCTTGAGATCGATCAGAAAGATGCAAACATGGATGATGACCCTTACACTAACGCGTCCATGGACAGAGTGTATGATCGTGCAGCTAGACTTGTGAAGCGCACTTTAGATGTCGAGGAGGTGGTAGTCATGGATGTTTCACACTGCGAAGTACTGGAGACGCTCAGTGCCGAAGCAACGATATCTGTTGTCATGCATCGCGGGGATCCACAATTCCGACCAACATCTCGCACACTGACGGCGGATGAATACCACAAGCTAAACGCGTTCTTTGATCAATACCCTGACGGAAAAATATCTGAAGGCATTTTACCAGTCTGCTTCCGTCCTTTTATCCCAACGCACATACAGTATGCACTCAGTATGTCTTTTCTATGTTGATGTTCTTCTAGTCCACTGATGATATTCGCTAGCTGTTCCTGTTTTCAATATCGACAAAAGGCCATTTGCCTTGATTTGTGCTTACAATGCCACTGATTCATCACGGCGATTTGTAAGGATCTAGCTAGTTCAGTAAGACAACTCCATCCTGACTTTATTCTCAGCTCGAGGGACACGAACTGTCTTATCTTCGTGCTATAGGTTGGTTCCCCGAGTTTCATCTCGATAATCACTGAGAGAGAACAGGTGTCATCATTCTCTCCGCTGTCCTCAAGAGGAGGATGATGCTAGCGGACCAGGCGAAGAGTTTATTTATATCCAAGTTTGGTGCATGCTTCGCTTTCATGGGTGACATTACTAATTTCTCTCAAAAGCATATCTCACGAGCTTCGTACGCCTTTGCATGGGGTAAGGCATGACGTCTTTGCTGGCATGTCTTCCTCCTGATGGCTTTGCATAGATTCTCGCTGCAGCTGAATTACTTTCCGATACATCGTTAAGCCATAGCCAGACTTCGTTCCTGCACACCGTCCAGGCGTGCGGGACATCACTTGTTGAAACGGTGAACCATGTTCTCGACTTCACGAAACTTAGCGGCAATATGAAATCAGGTGGTGTGGACAATGTCATTACAAGGAGCATGTGAGTTGGGGTAGGTTTTATGCATGTTGTTGTCGCTTATTGTTGACACATAGCGTTGATCTCGAACAACTTGTTGAAGAGGCGATCGACGGGTCGTGGATTGGATACTGTGCCCGTACATCTGCTATTCGCGAGTCCGAAATTGGGAGTGTTTATGCTCCAGCTATGGAACAGCGGTCTTCGAGTGTTATGGCTGCTCCAGCCTCTTCGAGGCACGTGGAGATCATTGTTGATATCGACCGACGTGAAGGCGTAAGTCCTCCAAGCTATTTCTTCCTGTCGACCGTTAACTGTCGTACAGGGATGGATTTTGAAGTGCGACAAAGGTGGTATTCGAAGGGTGTTGATGAATCTTTTTGGAAACAGTCTCAAGTTCACGACCGTAAGTATGATTAAATGCCTCTTACGAGTGATTCTTAATGACTGTGCAGGACGGTTACGTTCACGTATCTTTACGTCAAGTGTCTGCGCCAAATGAAGAGCCTAGCATGGTGGAATTATGTGTCAGTGATACGGGAAAGGTATTAAATTGGGTGCAGCAGTTTATTCCACGCTGACACTTAGTACAGGGAATCAGCCAAAATTTTCTGAAGGTAACGGTTTTGCCAGACCAGCAGTCATCTTTCACTAACAAGGAATTCAGAATCACTTGTTCCATCCCTTTTCCCAAGAGAACCCTCTACAAGCTGGAACTGGTTTAGGCCTTGCGATTGTCAACAGCATCGTCCAGTCTCCAAGTGTGGGCGGAAAAGTTGAAGTATCCAGCGAAGAAAGCGTTGGTACCGATATCAAGATCACCTTCCAAGCAGAAACTTTGGAAGATGGCGCGAGTGCTCTTCAAACTCCTTTTATGTTCGATGGCGTTGCCCCCCCCGTTACCTTCCTCGGGTTCAAGCAGAAGAGCAAAGGTGTTCAAATGCTCAGTGATGTGCTTCGCAAGTATCTCCAGGATTGGTGGGGATTCAGAGTGCAGACTGACGGAGGTGAGTTGAGCGACATCGTGATCATAAACGAAGACTCGTCGCCTGTTGTTACCGCTCTTGAGAAAATGGACTACCGTCGGTCGTTCATTATCTTGTCTTCAAGTAGAGGTAGCCCGAGGGTCATGGGGATTTGCAGTTCATACGAGAACTTCGGTGGTTTTTGTCGCATCGTTCATAAACCAGGCGGGCCTTTCCGATTGCGCGCTGCGCTGAAACATTTACTCCGGGCCAACCAAAGACGTCAACAACGTCCGCCAAGCTTCGCCAGCTCTATGGCTGGGGTCTCAGATGATAGCATCTCTTTGCACTCCTCCATGCTTACAGACGACCTATCGAGTTCAAACCGGCATCGCCGGGCGAGCATTGATTGGGGCTCACACAATCGCTCACCCGCATTTCCCAATTCCCCACCTGAAATGCCTGCATCACCGGATGTCGAGGAAGCGTCATCCTCTCCGGAGAACACTGAAACTGAAAGTACATCCTCAAGCATCTCAAATTCAACAGTAACCATCGGCACGGACGGGATACTCCTGGAGTCGTCAATCCGGACACTGGATTTAAATCGCCCTCGTCCGAAAGTTTTGGTGGTTGAAGACAACAATATCTTGCGAAACTTACTGTGCGTGACTGAAGTTCGCCATGTTTGCTGTGACTGATACGCTCATCTCCCAGTATCAAATGGTTGATGAAGAAGGTGACGTCACTTATATCTGGTAGCCCAATAAGCTTACTCATTTTTACAAGGGATTTGAATATCGTGAGGCAGTCGACGGTCGACAAGGAGTCGAGACATTTGAATCTGAAGGACCATTTGAGTAGGACTATATTCTCTATATGGCTACAACTGGCTCATCACCCGAATCCAGCGTCGTTCTTCTTGATCTGTCCATGCCCATCCTCGATGGTGTGCTCAGCGCCCGACTCATTCAAAGATTGTTCTCACATTTTTCACAGGGCTGGGTGCCACCGTCGAGATTCGCCAGCTTGAAAAGGCTCGAGAAAGTCGGCAGCCAAGCGTCATCCTAGCTTTGACTGGCATGTCATCCCTCGAAGACAAACGCAGGGCATTCGAGGCTGGCATGAGCGGATAGTAAGCATGATTAAATTTTCTGATCTCCCATCAATTAACACCTCATTCGCACCAGTCTTGTCAAGCCCGTAGCATTCAAAACGCTCGAAGAGATGTTCCGCAAGATAGGGCTTTCGTGACCGCTCATGCAAATATGTCTGCCCATCTATAGACTTGCTTCACGTACGTATATTACACCGCCTAATGGCATGGCCACACACACGATCGCATGATATCCACGTTCCTCCGATGACATCGACAATTGTTTACGTTCAGTTCTTTTACACAGCATGCCCCAATATCACATTCTGATCGCACGTTTCATTTTTCGGATCGGTTATTATCTAGACCATGTATTATATCAAGGCAGTGTTACGATTGAATGCGGTGCATTTCATTGTTGTATGAATGGATATCCTCCATCTAAGTTCAGGAGATCAAACTATACAGTATTGGGCTGCTGCGCACTTCCCATTCATTTTATGTGCCACCGGTATCTGACCTGTTCAATCGCGTGACGTTTAAAGTGTGATGAGGAAGGTGTCTTTCCCCAGGGCCACAAACAGAAACAGACTTTTCCATACACTACCATCGTGCCTTTCTGATAAGCGGTCTTTCTGACAGCGGCCTCCCAAAGCAGACGGTGCGGCAGTGTTCTTCGGCGTATGATGGTCATTCTTATCGAGCGGAAAAAAATACAATCACACGTCGAAGACATGCAAGGAACCAACAATGAGTTGAGCACGCTAGATTTCGTCCTGCTGCGAATTCTCGTTCAAAATGGCCACAAGTCTACCACTACCATCTGCTGTCTTCCGACGCTAAGTGATGTCATTGAAAACGCAAAATGAAGAGCGAAGAGCAAGAAATTACTGGTTCATTCAAGGATGTCTTCACGAGTCAGTGAGGCGACGCCTGTCAAAGCCAGCAGGTAGCCGTTTGATCCAGATTGGCATACCAAATCGATGGAGAAGGATTCGAGTTTGAGGGCGGCTTATGCCCAAGTTGACCAGGACGTTCATGGTGTGGTGGCCCTAGCTTTCCTGCCAACTGAGTTGAGAAAGAAATTGCGACCGCAGAGGCAGCTCACCTACGGATGAAAGATGTAGATGGATACCGACAGTATGATTGCTATATAGAGACTCAGATGACGCGACGTTCGCAGCGTGTTTCAGTATGGACGCTCTCGCAGTTCATGTCGCAGTATGGCATGGCACATTTTTTGCATCTGTATGCGCCCTTGTACCCGCACACGGAGCATAGAAGACGTGGGGGCAACTGAGGGGGAGGAGCAGCAGCTGTTAAATATGTCGGAACGTGGCAAGGAAGATTTGCTATGCGCTGAGGATGTCTTTGGTATTTAGGATGAGTTTAGGCAAGGAGATGAACTGACCGATTCCTCGATTAGGGTAGCGAGATTCTTGCGATATAGGAGCGCCGTTCGAACTTTCATGGACGACTTTTTCTTCTTCGCGTTAGGGTCATTCAAGTGACGTTTATCAGAAACGATCTGGCGGACGCGATTCTTTCCGCTTATGGCTCCCTCATCGTTATCGTCAAGGGTGATTGAAGGCTCTGTATAATTGGAACGCTGTAGAATATTCAGGGATGACGACGATGGCTGTATCTGAGCTGTCACACCTCGAGCTCTTCGAGATGGCGTTTCGTCCGTTTTGTGATTACGTCTAAGGCAAGTATCTGCTTCGTGGCATTGACGTGTCTGGGAGCTTTAGTGGTATGAGAACTGAACGAATCTCAATGAGACAGCAAGGCATACCTTGCTCTCTTGCTCTCTTCGGTGCCATCAAAATCAGCTGACAACAGGAGCGAGAAAAAGCCTGAGCACGCCATCCAATGACTATTCCTTTTATAGAAAGAATATTCGTCGATAATGATGAAAATGATGAATTCAGTAGCTATTCGGTACCGAATAAGGATAATATAGTAGGCACGTGATGAAAGTGGTCTCATAGATCATCTCGTGTTATAGCCAAGCTGATCGTCTGTCTCTTACTCTCTAACCCATTTCACGATGACTTCGACCAATCCCAAAGTGTTGATACAAGACCTTCCAACTCCAGAGCCAGAAACTCCTTGCAGGCCTCGCCAGCCTTACCGGTTTTCGACCCTCTGTGCTACAGTAGAGAACCCTTCTCAAAAGGATCAATATGGTTCCAGCTCTGTACCAATATACCAAACTGCCACTTTTAAAGGTGTCGGTGGACAGTATGATTACACTCGCAGTGGAAATCCAACACGCAGTCATTTAGGTGGGTGTCATCTCATCGTGTGCTCACAGATAGCCTTAATGCACTCTTTAGAACATCATCTTGCTAAAATATCATCTGCTGCTCATGCTTTTGCTGTGTCTTCTGGCATGGCCGCCCTCGATACCATCTTGCGTATGCTCAAGCCTGGTGATGAAGTCATCGCAGGAGATGACCTTTACGGTGGTACTAACCGCATTCTTGCTTATCTCAAGACACATGGCGGAGTCACCGTACATCATGTAGACACCACTAAACCTGATACTCTCCTTCCTTACATCAATCCTGAAAAGACCGCTATGGTTCTCCTCGAGAGTCCAACTAATCCTCTGCTCAAAATAGTTGATCTTGCCCGCATAGCTGCCGACATCAAGGAACGCGCCCCCAATGCCGTCATCGTGGTCGATAACACCATGATGAGTCCCTACTTGCAACGCCCTCTCGAGCATGGCGCAGATATTGTGTACGACAGCGCTACCAAGTATCTCAGTGGGCATCATGACCTTATGGCCGGTGTAATTACCTGTAACAGGGATGACCTTGCCAAGGTATGTAATTCGTCCTTTGCTTTACGCTCCCTTCTCATATTCGAATCAGCAAATGGGATTCATCATCAATGCTGCTGGCAATGCACTCACTCCATTCGACTGTTTCCTCCTTCTACGAGGATCGAAGACCCTTGCCATTCGCATGGATCGCCAGCAGGCTACTTCCATGCTCGTCGCCCAGATGCTTGATCGCCTTGGTTTCAAAGTCCACTACCCCGGTCTCGCAGAGCACCCTAACCGTGATGTACATGAGCGAATTGCAGACGGATATGGTGCCGTCCTCAGTTTCACTACTGGTGACAAGGCTCTAAGTGAGCGTATCGTCGGTGCGACACGTCTATGGGGCATTAGTGTCAGCTTTGGTTGTGTCAATTCACTGATCAGCATGCCATGCGTCATGTCGTATGTTATGTCTGTCTCGTTTTCCTCGATCGTTTTATTGATGTTTCCTTAGACACGCATCTATTGACCCTGCTACCCGCGCTGCGCGGGGCCTGCCAGAAGACCTGATCCGACTTTGCGTTGGTATCGAAGACCCAGCTGACCTTCTCGACGACCTCGAACGTGCTCTTCTGGAGGCTGGCGCGATCACCCTTACCGCAGGTGGGGACTCGCACCAACGCTATGTTCGGACGATCCCTTCAGAGGGCACTGCGATCTCTCGTGCTGTCCAAAAACTTGCGTTTAACGAGTCTGCGGGATATGCGACAGAGCGCAATGAGGACAGAGAGTGGTTCGTCAGCGCACCAGGAAAAGTCATTCTCTTCGGTGAACATGCTGTCGTGCACGGTGTTGTGAGCCTACTCTTTTATTCTCTGCTCTGCACGCATTAACAGATGTTTTAGACCGCAGTGGCTGCAAGCGTTGATCTCCGGTGCTATGGTGTCACGACACCTCGTCATGATGGTAAAGTCAGCGTGCACTTCATCGATATCGATAGCTTCAGGCAAGAGTGGGAAGTGGACGACCTCCCTTGGGATGCAGTCACTCCCGTGCGAGTCGGTGATTTCCACCCTGACAGTCTAGACCACAAGCTCGTTGATGCTATTACTACTCGTGCGTTGTCCCCCGAAGTTCTTGCAAAGCCGAGTGCACGACAGGCATGTATTGCGTTCCTGTACATGTACATGATCATGGCACATGGCGGGAACAGGTGAGCCCCCCACTACCTAGACTTCATTCAATGATTTATCAAAAGTCGTCAGACCATCTTTTAACTTCTCTGCTCGCGCCACGCTTCCTGTTGGCGCAGGCCTCGGTTCCTCCGCATCATTTTCCGTCTGCGCAGCCACTGCTCTCTTGCTTTTGTACTCCCGTATCCAGCTCCCAGCACAGCCCGCCCCTACCACCGATGGTCACGTCCACGTCTCTCACGAAGGTCGGCGTGCAATACCGCCAGCACTTGCTGAGGAGGTCAACCGATGGGCATTCGTGAGCGAGAAAATCTTGCATGGCAACCCCAGTGGCGTAGATAACTCTGTTGCGGTGTTTGGCGGCGCACTTTCGTATACTAGACCAGGATTTGGTAGAAAAGCGGGCATGATTCCCATTCAGGGGTATGTTTAGTACCGTTTGGGTTTTGGTGGACTACTGATTTTTTGCAGTTTCAAGTCTCTCAAATTCCTCTTGACGGACTCGAGGGTACCAAGGAACACAAAGCAGCTTGTGGCTGGCGTGGCTGCATTGAAGGAGCAAGAGCCTGAGTTTGTCAACGGGCTGCTCGGTGCAATACAACACATAAGCGACGAGGCGCAGCGTGCGCTTGCTGATCCCCAATTGTCACGGCAAACATTGCTGTCAGCTCTATCGGTACGTTCGTCCCTTTTGTTTGTTTCCGGAACGCTCAGAAAATATACCTTTTCAGGCTCTTATCGATGAGAACCATGGCCACCTTGTGAAGCTTGGGGTATCACATTCATCTCTCGAAGCCATCCGCTCCAAAACTGCCTCCCCTCCATACTCACTCAGCACAAAACTCACTGGTGCCGGAGGTGGAGGTTGCGCAGTAACGCTCGTCCCTGATGGTAAGTACCCTCTACATATAGTTGATCTCTACTCACTCGCTCTCAAGACCTCTCGGAATCTAATCTTCGCAAACTGATGACAGCATTATCCATGGACAGTTTCGTGCCCTACCTCACGTCAGTCGGCGGAAGTGGTCTTGGCATCCTCTCACCATACAACCAGCCTCAACTGCTGGCGACGCCCCCCGAAACGCCCCGTGAAGGCGAGGCCGGTGCCGGGGCTGTCGAATTATTACGCGATACATTTGCTGGTAAGGCGACGGCAGATCTCTCGGCGTGGGCAGATAGTCTGGGACGATGGCTTTTTGTTTGAAAAAGTGAACCGAGGTGTGGTCTGTTTGCATAGATCTATGTTATTTGATGAATACGAGGAGTGTATGTATGTTATGGGACGTTCTTGTATGATTGATGCTGTAGCGATGGTTTCAATGGCATAGACCAGTAAAGACATGCATTGATGTGAAAATGCGCTCGTTCACGTAGAGCAGCCTACCAATCGTAGCCAACTAATGTGCATAAGTATTATTATGACAGAGATGCGTCTTGATCGGTAAGTCATTCCGTGCCGTTCTCTCAACAATCCATGGTCATCAACATGCGGTGTTGAGCGTCGCATTCAGCCCAGATTTGTGTGAACGTTTAATGCATTCAAATCACTGCGGCTCGCTAATGTCTTGACTTTGTTATACATTGCCTCCCTCAGGGTTTTCTCGGTTTCTTTTCCTATACTCGTGCCAGTCGATGTCGCAAGGCGGTCCGCTATTACTGCTCTGAGTGCTTTTGAAATCGTAAAACGATGCCCCTCAAGCGCAACACGCGCGTCGCTTTGAGAGCCGACTTTTGCGTTGATCAAAGAATTGCAGTGAAACTCGGAGGCGCCGGAATAAATCTGCGTACCATGGGCAATCGAGAATCAACTTCATGTTTTATTGCCTCATTCATGCACCCTTCGCCTGCCGGCGCGAGTCATGACCCAGTAATCGCAAGGGAGAACATCATTCCAGCAGCGAATGCACGCCGGCTATCAATCACTGCTACAGCAGGAAGTATAACGAAACAGATGAATAACAAAAGACAAAGAACTAGCAACATACTTTGGTATGTGAGAAGATGCGCGAATAAGAGGTTATATCTGTTAAGAATGTATTTAGTGCTTCAAACTCCTTGGACAAGATTGAATGCACGTATACCATTCACTGCTGTCTCGGACTTGAATCTATTGCTGAAGAGAATAGAGCTACCCATCAAACGAATTTAGGTGGCCAAGCAAGGCACATAAGAGCACATTTTACACGACGGGGGCATACCTTCCATCGGATCACATTCTCTTGACTGACAAGCACCCGAGTCGCGAGTTCGGTGAGCGGTAACAAGACAACGGGGGGAAAGATGGACGCCGAGTGTGATGGCAGCACTAGGCGCGTCAGCGGTCTCTGAGCAACGCGTGGATTTTGGAACGTCTAGCATCACAGTCTGCAGTTTTGCATCAACTCTTGACGCGCCAAAAACCTTTTGGAATGGACTGCCTTCCATTTCGAGTAATTATCCAACCCCGCTGTCCATTGCAAATACAAAGTTCCGTCGACGTGCCTCTTGCCGAACTACTGTTTAATGTCCCCTTCGGGGTGACATACGAAAAATTGGAACGATACAGAGAAGATTAGCATGGCCCCTGCACAAGGATGACACGCTTTCCCGGAGTGGTAGACCTACGGGTCTCAATATTTATTATTTCTTTTTCCAAAGGTTTATGGGTTGCTCGTCCCTTGCGCAGACCTTGTGTGAAGGTTGGCTTGGCTGCCAGCAGTACCCAGGAAGGTCAGCATCAAGGTTATATTTGATTCATTGTCTACGCAACATTTCCGGAAATCCTTCTGTTAACCATAACCCTATGTAGATGTGTCATAATCCTATTTTTGGGTCGTGACAACGTTTGTGACGATTTTCGGTGTAGGCTAATATACTATATTTTCCATGAAGACGTACTTTTCTGCGATAATAAGTGATAAAGTTGACTAAAACCAAATCATTCTGCAAATTTCGCATGGGAGGTTTTCCCTGATGAGGGGATGCCCGGATGTGAGGATGAGCATGATGATGAGTGACCCTTCCTTTTTGATTGTGGCTATTGAAGTTTCTTGTTATAATTGACAATACAGCATTTTATAGGTACTTACAATCTTGATAGCTTTGATTTATCGCTAGTATTACCCTCCCGGCGACGGCGTACACATTTTGCCACTGTTTGCCACTTGTACTACTGTAAAGTCTTTGATTACATAATGTCACACTTTTCTTAGAGGCGTTGCCCATCCCCACTATTTGCTTGCGACAGAACCCTCTTCCACTAAAGTGGAGTCGGGGATCAGTGCTACAGGGACTTGTGTCCCAACAGCTTCGTGAGTCGTAATTTACTTCACCTAGTCTCATATATAAAGATCCAATTTCTCACACATTTATCAATACAGAGTTATGAAACTCGATCGTAGCCCTTAGATTCTTCCTGCTGAATCTCCAGAAACCGACTATCGAAAACTCCTTGACGAGGACACCCGATGTGCGTCCAATATCACCCTCAATTCAATGTCCTCTATCTTGCGGAACCTCTACTTTTCATATCGCCTCATTGTCACCCCCCATTTGCTTGCTCTTACCCAGTGCCTTTTATCCTCCAGCTGTTTTTTCATACCTCACAGCCCACAACATCCCTACACGCATCGTTTTCATGTTGCTCTCGTTCTCACTGCCTTCGTCGTAGATATCGCGACTACATGCTGTACTGTATAGCAATGAACTACATCTTTCGTCCCATCCAATTTTTAGCCCACTTCGAATGTACTCGGTGCAACGGGGACTTGAACGACCACAGATGCTAACCGCAACAACGATGTGCTTCTGCTCAGCTTCTCAGTTTGCCATGAGAAAGCACCGATGTTATGCATCGTGACTTTGACGCAATCCACGGCGCACTCGCAACCGCATTTTTGATGGAATCGGCATGCCTTGTCCCTCGTTATGTGTTCTCACAAACCAGCACTAACATCATGAGTACCATACCGTCAGCTCACGTCGTTCACATGTACAATCCTAAATTCGTTGGGTATGGAATATAACACCAAGTATGATCCACTGTACACTCGCTCACGTCTGATTGTTGCGAAATCTCCACAATGAATCCATTGCCGCAAGCATCGCTGGTACTAAGGTCTGCAAATATTGATTTTAGTAAGTGAGTAACAGAAAGGGCATTGAGGAGACTCACTCCTCTCGGCACTCTTTCCAGTGTTGTCCATGTTTCATGCGGCTCAAATCAAGTTCATCTGGGTATCACTAATAAAGTTCCCGGGCTCTAAAATGAATTTCGAGAAGCAGGTGGTACCCAAAATAACAGTTGATGTTTGGGCCCTACCACCCATCCACTGTCATCATTTACGACAAAGGGGGTCGAACTGCGATCGTCATGGAGTGCTCCCTCCGTTAATCGAGAAGTGTTGCGCAACGCATGGATAGAGTTGGGCGAGAAGCAGACGAAGTGATTGTTCCAAGTACTCAATGTCATGAGAGTGGTGGACTCGATGGGATGCATGACGCGATGTTTATTTGATAATGCTGAAGGATCTGACACGCAATATTGCGACGGCTGGCTCATCACTGCACCCCACAGCCGAACAGTCTTATCGCTCGAACCAGTGACGATGCGAGTGTCATCCGGCGAGAACGAGACTGAGTTTACTAAATCAGTGTGTCCCCGCAAGGGCTCACCGACTGGCTCCCCCGTCCCTGCATCCCACAGTCGAACAGTCTTATCCTCCGAACCAGTGACGATGCGAGTGCCGCCCGGCGAGAACGAGACCGACATTACTGAATGAGTGTGCCCGCGCGAGGGTTCACCAACTGGCTCCCTCGTCCCTGCATCCCACAGCCGAACAGTCTTATCGTCCGAACCAGTGACGACGCGAGTGCCGTCTGGCGAGAACGAGACCGAGTTTACTGAATGAGTGTGCCCCCGCAAGGGCTCACCGACTGGCACCCCCGTCCCTGCATCCCACAGCCGAACAGTGTTATCCGAAGAACCGGTGATGATGCGAGTGCCGTCCAGCAAGAATGAGACCGACATTACTGAAGAAGTGTGCCCCCACAAGGGCTCACTGACCGGCTCCCCCGTCCCTGCATCCCACAGCCGAACAGTCTGATCCCTTGAACCAGTGACGATGCGAGTGCCGTCCGGCGAGAACGAGACCGACATTACTGAAGAAGTGTGCCCCCTGAGCACGGTCTGAACAGCTGGCCAATTCATATCATGTCCAGATGCCACACGAAGAGTATTCGCAAACCGTGCAGAAAACTTTCTCGATAGCAGACTGTTGGCAGGTGAGAATGGGAGTGCTGATACATACAGATGTGGCGTGCTATGTAAAATCATGCCGCCGAAGACTTGAATGAACCTCTGTACGTCCATTGCAGTCGACAAGACATCTTTGAATTTAGGATGGCCCTGTGGTTGCGCATAAGCACTTTATCTGGCACTCAGTAGCAACGCACTCACCTTCAGCCACTGGGGAATGAGTGAGAGAGCAGAAACTGCGCCGCTGAGCGCATTGATCAGGGCGAGCGACTCAAGCTAGAAAAACAGCCGCTCGTTATCGAAAAACAATTTCACTTCTTTCGCGAGCTCCTTGTCAAAGGATGTGGTTCGTACGTGCGAAGTCCAAAATCGAGAGGAATATGATAGATGTTGGGGGATGCATCGTTGGATTCGTCCTTGCAGTCCAGGATCTTCGCTATTAGGAAGATACGACGACTTTAAATCACAGATATTGAAGCGAAGGCCGTGTTCCATAACTCGAAGTGACGCGAATGCAAGGTCGCGTTGCGACTCCAACACGTCGACGAAAAACTCTCCACTGCACGGTTGATCCGTCAGGAAATCGCGGAAGGACGCGTGAAGGGGTCGGATTGGAGAGTCTGGGTTGGTGATCCCGCTAAGAAGGGAACCCATGTATTTTACAATGAGATTCACGTTAAAATTGTCCTCTTTCTTTGGAAAATGGTCCCTCATGGTGTTCAAGGAAGCTAAAGGAAGGGGTTCAGCTGTGCCTAGTATCTGTCCCATCACTGAGCGAAACCTCGCTAACGCAGTCGAACGCAGTTTCTGCGAATGCGGAGATGCATCCCCGGGCATGATATCTTTTAAAATCAGGCGATACATGTCGTGCAATAGCGGGCTTCTCTCAGCAGGATTGCGTGACACCACAGCCTCGTAGCACTCCATTGGAGATAGCCCAGCATGGGAATCTCTGATGTATCCGCAAGCGAGACGCGCCCACTCGAAAAGTCCATCGGCTTTCTCCGCGAGGACTGCGTACTCTCTGTTCTGGAAATCCAGTCCCTCCAACTCCTTGGATACGTAAGCACGGATGTCGCGCTCTGCATCTGCTCGTGGAACGTCATCCATCGACACCTGTTGAATATGCTGAACGTCACCAAACTTGTCTTTGATGTCATCAAGCGGGCGAGAGGTAACGATAAAGCGAAAGTTGCCAAGGAGATCTGTGATTTTGGGAACAGCAGGATTGTGATGATTGCCGGCTAGAATACGGAGGAGGTCTCTCCGTATCTCTACTCCACCGCTCTCGTCCAGTGCATCGATTACGATCACGATGAGCTCTCCAGTTGACCCAGATGACTTCTCCAGCGGTTCAATAAGAATCTTCTGCCACTGCTGGACGATATCTGCCGTCTTCTTGAGCGAATTCGCGGTCTTAACTGCATCTGCCAATGCCCGCCTCATCTCCGGATCACGGTCAGCCAGGTCGCGCGCGATCGTGGAAAAGATCTTTTCATGGCGACGATCTGCATCTCGCTGGCGGTCAAAACAGTAACACGAACTAAGCCCTCCCACATCATTGGCCCACTTAGCAATGGTGTGGGCGATGGCCGATTTGCCCTTGCCCGCAGGGCCAGATAGCCACAGCACGCGTGGAACGTTGTCCCCAGTGCTGTTGACCCATTCTGTGATCTGGGAAAGGATTTCCTTGCGCGTCCCTTCAAGGCATTGTTTCCTGGTATCTAGTCCCGCGCCCTCTGCATAAGTCATACCGCTTCGGTCCGATATTTCTTCTGAAAAAGTATGAATATATGTCAAGTCACAAGGACGTCCGAACCCTTACCCGTACGGTGGATGTGTATGGATATGTCGTGGACCTGTGCGCCTATGTCGTGGACGCCTATGGCTACGTCGCGAGCAACCTGATCCCGGAAGTTTTGCATGAGCCCCTCGAACACGTCATTGTATTTTTTGATCGTATCGTCCGTTTCCGAGAGCACGTCCTTTCTAAGTCTCTTCCCTGTGATTATCGTAAAAGCTCGAGACGGTACAGAGCCCCACAGCTTGTAACTCTCACAAATTTTCTTTGTCTCCGAATAATTTGTGATAAACTGAGCACATTCACGGGTCTGCTGAGAAATCTTTCCCAGGATGGCGTGCATTGACAAAATTTGTTTAAGCTTCTCGTCTTGTGTCATCAAGCTGTAAACTTCATATATCTTCTCGAGAAGTTTGAGTACTGCTGCATCACGATCCGCTTGAGCTAGAATAATCTGTACAAATGATTGCTGAGCGGTGGGAGATAGGAAGACATTGAGAGAAAACACACATTGGCTGCAAAAGACAACACACTCAGTGCCATCTTTGCATATGGATGTACCTGTAGAACTAGATTGGTTCGATTACGATCGAGAGGAGGGCCTGCATACATCTGCAATCTTCTCAATAACTTCGTCGAATATCCTGAGGGGTTTGAGATACGTCTCCTGGAGACTGTCAGCAGCATTGAGATCCACTTGTGTGTCTTGGCCGATAGACGCCACAGTTATCGCAGGTCCAGAAAGTGGATGCATGCGTTTTGCAGCCTCTTGCGCATCCCGAAGTGCGGATTGGGTATCAGCCTCCACTTCTACATCAGACGGCGCAGCCTGATCCTGTGTGACCACCAAAATTTAGAGAGAGCAGAGACTAAAGGGCAAGTTTGAGAACCTACCTCGATACTCGGGCGAGCAGGGCTACGGCTACAGGAATCTTTCGAACGCTTGTTGCAATGTTAGTCGGATTGCAGGATCTCACTACGCATGCTCGTTGACTCACCGAGATCCTTAACTTTTTTGCACCGTCCTTAACCTTTTCCAGAAATCGACGGACTTTGCCACGGGGTCGGTGCTAGACGAAGGATGAGTCAATGTTAGTGTTTGGAGTGGTGTGAACGAAGTGATCCTGAAGAACCACGTACCTCACTTCCACCAGCTGCTTCGCTAGATTTCTGAGCTTGTTGAGTTGAATCCTTCGACGATTTGCCTTTTCTCATTATGAATAGCAGTTGAAGGGAAGTAAGATAAGAGACCCACATCATCTATATAAAACAACAGGCCATTAATGCCTCGAGGCAATATTTGTTCCAGTGTTGCAATTGGCGCTAAGCGATAAGGATTTGAATTTCGACCTGCAGCTGATCATCGAACGCAGTATGTATGATTGTGACAAAAACAGCCTCGGCAGCGCTTGTGACTTGCACCCTTCCGGATCCTCGGACCTCAAGCGAGTATACATCATGCTCGATGAGCCCTAGTGCTGTAACGCCTGACTACCGTCATCCTTAATTCTAGTTCGTCTCCTCGTTGCACCTACCGAACGCGACATGAGCATCATCAACTGCAGCCACCACGCCCTCACGGAAGTGAAGTACTTGACCGGTTTCTCTATCTGGGCCTAGTAACATTCCCCAATACCACGGTATAAGTAGGATGCGTCTTTTATACAAGCGGGCATGTGTGCACACTGTATTTTCCAAGGATGGTAGTGAAATAAGCAGATTCATAGGCGGGCAGTGTTAAGGAAGACACAAATGCAATACAATATGTATATTTTATTTATGACAGATGCAGCTCAAAGCTCCAAGCTCCATGGCGAGATATGACACAAACGATCCACGGTCATTATGACTTTGTTACAGGCATGCATCACGCGGGGGTTGTATTGATATTAGAATTCACCGTAGGCCCGTAGCGCTTAGCTAGCCCTCGAGAAACGAGATGTTTTGGTCTGTTGAGCAAAGGCTTCCAAGAGTTTCCTTATTCGAAATTTGCAAACAGTCATCTGCTTCACTCCCAACATGCACCCTAGCACTGTCTTCGCGCATACTTATTGCCTGATCTCATACCTTCACTCAAGATTGACGTTCCATCTTCTGACTTGCACTCACCTGCCATGCATTTCGCAATTTAACACTTGATCTTCTTTGTTCTAATCTGCAAAACTTCTGGCCTCTTATTCTCTCATCCAGACCTTCACAGTTCCATCATACACCTGAACTATTCCATCCATTGGTTCTCGCTTCCTGCATACAGATTCTCTCACAACTATGTTAAGATAACACCACATACCCTTCCCTCTGTGCATGTGCAAAACAAAAACACCCGTGTCCCAGTTCTCAAACTCCTCCTACCCACAGTTGAGATACTCTCCCTAGATCTCTCATCTCCATTTTGCAAAGCCATCATCCCTGCACTCCCTACCTTTGCTCTCTGTCTCAAAGCTCTTGAGATCAAGGACAGCCTCTTCACGACTGACAAAAATCTCCCAGAAATCAAGTGCCTCCTCATCAGCTATCCTGATGGTCTCACAGAGCTTTCATTGACATGCCACTGGCATGATATCCCTAGCACTGTGCTCAATGTCATTGCATCCTGGCCATCTCTCTGATCTCTCACCTTAAAGCTAGGTCTCAAAAGTATCCCTACCACACCTCCTCACATCCCCCAGCCCTTTGCCACACTCACCCACTTGCACATTTCATCTGATGACACTTTGGACATTGTCATATCCTTCCTGTGCACCTTCTGGATCCTCAATGTTGACTCTTCCAACACCACATCCCTCAACCTCAAAACAATCCACTTCATCGCAGAAGGTTGCAGCCCAGCAAACACCTGGTCCCAATTTCTCACCTCTCTCACTCACACACAAAACTAGAACACATCATCCTAACCGAGAAATCCGGCTATGAACACCTCCTACATTCCTCTTTTGACTTTTGTCTCCTACTCGCACACTAGAGTCATACATGCCTCAACACCCTCATACTTTCCACATTCCATATGTTCTCCATTACACTCACTGATGCAGACATTCTCACCCTTGCCCATACATGCCTCCATCTTCACATTCTTGACTTGGGGTTACAGAATACCCTCGTATCATTGCATACTTTGAATGTCCTTATCAGGTGCTATCATGAGCTGCGCCAAGTCTTGCTCTGCCTGGATGCACGGGTTGATGTGCTCTTGATAACACTAGAATCGGGACTCTCTTATCATGTATGTGGGCCCTCTGCACTTATTGCCAGAGCTGACGGAGTCAATCCCATGGTTCTTGCATGCAATGGTGCTGAGGCTTAAGAGCATCATGAATGGGATGTGGTGCTATGGAACACTTAAGAATCCATGGCAGGTGGTATCATACACTTTGTGGATGATGGTGATAGATGAAGAAGATGACTGATGGTATTTTTTTGAGGGATATGTGGCAAGATCAATCATGGGAGGGTTCAACTAACACTTTTGGAATATATGTGCATCAACACTTCATTGTAACTTTATGAGAACAACAATTTGGAAAACTGTATCAGGTAGGATGATATACATGACAAGAAGAAATGATAGTCTAGCCTTGACTGACACTAGGATGTGGGACTACTTATGCGTATGTTTGAGTGGCGTCAACTCTCGGTAACCCTAGATAACTGTCGATATTTGTTTGTATCATTAAGAACATGCAGTACAGCAATTCGATGTCAGGGGAGAAAAAAATTGCAACAGGGTTGGCCACCATGGGCTGTCCTGCCTACATCTTCATTCTTGTTTCCTCCATTGTCATCCTTAATATGCAGACCCTGGATACTTTGGCATTACGGGGAGTGGATATGGAACAGCAGTTGATATGCATGGTGAATCTGGTGATGGCCCTAACAATCACAATCAGCAATAGGGTCATGACTTTTACCTTTGAGTACAAGCTCTGTCACTTGTAAGGGATGAGATGAACAAGGTGGATCATGGGTGATATGGTGCATTAAATTGACAGATGCTAGATGGCATGGAAACTTTGTCCTGGACAGGAAGGAACATGCCTAAACTCTGATGACTTCAGTCCCTGCAAGAGCAGATCTAGACTCAGCCTTGTGAATTCAAAGTCTGGAGGAACAAGTCTTTTGGGATAATCTTCAAGTTTGGGTGATTACATCAGGAAAAGCCTGGTCACTATATAGTACTATATAGCCAGGGTAGACTGTGTAGCTCAGTAGTCAAGTCCCTTCTATTTAGTATGTGAGGCAACTATGTAGTACTATGTAGTACTATATAGTGCTATGTAGATTTGGGTAGTACTACAGTGGTAGACTGTAGTTCCTTGGAGTTCTACTACAGGCAGCTATATAGCACTACATACATAGTTCATGTAGTGCTACTACTGCTAGCTTCCAGCAGCTATATAGTAATACATATATCACATAGTAGCATGCAGAATCATGAAAACAAATGAATTTGAATGCCTGCTAATCAACAAGTCAACATATTTTATGACTCGCTAGCCTCTGCATCATCCTGCTCCTCAAGTCGATACTCTTGGATGGCATCTTCGAATGCTGCATCACTGATCTGGGATGCAGATGACAAGATAGTAAGGGTGTCAACACCTGCATGGAAACTTCAAAGCATGAATGTTAGAATATAATTTTCCAAAAGGACACCATTCAATGCACTGAGCTGTGTCATGCAGAATGGTACGAATTCTTTTGAGGAGCTTATAAGGCACTGTGCACTCATCAAAGCACTGCAATGAGCTGAAATGACCATGGTAGACAGTTCCATAAGTAGCCAATGTGAATTTGATATCCTCCTTCAGACCTTGTAACCATTCATCAATACAACATTCAATCTACCAGTGATTTGTCAGCACCATCAACTTGAATATAGAATAAGAGACTCACAGTTGTAAGCACAAGAGTGATAACTTCAATGGGCATAGGATTAAAGTATTTATGGTGTATGACACCTTTGTCGTGTTGATTCACAAACCACATGACATTGATACCCAGTTGCAGTAACTCTGTCTTATAGATTCCTGTCTTCAATACCCAATCCTATTAGTCCAAGGAATCAGGACTTGAAACACCATGTAGATCATCAAAATGCATACCTTGAAAGCAAACACAGCACTGTCTTTCAAAGACTCTGCTAGATCCCTATTCTGTCTTATCACATTGTTGGAATTGCTTGTCTGGAAACCAAAAAAAGATGCAGTCAGTGAATACATTTTCATTTTGAGTTCCCCATGAAGTTGTGATGTGTGGGTCAATAGCTTTGCAAAGTATGATATAAATCAGATGAAGAACACATGGAGAACAGACAACTCACCATTTTGACCCCTGAAGGTGTCAGTTTGACATTGATACCTTTGATTTGACATGCCTCGTGCCAGGCTGCTTTTGCCAATTTTGTCTTGACAGCAACATTATTGGGAAATGGCACCTGGGTGACAATCAGACACTGGAAAATAGAGGTCACTGTCACCAGAATCTCTTTGGAGACATCATTGAAGTCACTGGCTTTCATGCATTAGTGTGAACCATCCAAATTTTTCTTAATCTTTGGCAGTACCATGGCATCGTCCAAAGTCACATCAAGTGGTTGCTTGGTCTGTCAAGCTATTGGTGATAGTTCTTCGGCAATGTTGTTATTGTCCTCTTCATCAGTGTGGTCAACCTGACCTTCAGGTTGAGAGTCACTGTCTGTTGACTCATCATCAGATGGACTCGGAGTCGGAGCTGCTCAATAGTAGCAGAGGTAGATTAGTCTTAGTATAGAATCAACAGAGTAGACACATACCTGTGGTAGTAGCCTTGTGGGTGGCACTGGCATTGTGCAACACTGGGGGTATTTTACCAGCACTGCATGTCAGGGCCCTGGGTTTGGACCAGGACAGCTTGGACAGCATATCGTGATCTGAGAACTAAATAAATATTTTATCAGTAATTATTCTGAGTTGTGTCAAAGAAAATGGGTGATCATACCATAGTTTCTTTGTCCCTATCAATGTCACTATGCAGCTCAGATGGCTCTTGCTCGAAGCCATTGGGATCAGCTTCATAAGCAGCCCTCAGTGCTTTTTTCTTCTGTTTCTCTAACTTCTTTTCCTTGTTCTCTTGGTGATGGGTAAAATGCTAAGACTCAGAGACTGTAGAGTCGCTAGTGAGTGAGATGTTCTCACACAATATTGTCAGGATTTACCATGGTAATTTTATTTTTTGGTTGGCTGTCACTGTCGACCACTTGAGGTGTGTGTAGGTGGTTGTGCTGGTTGCATGTCCTTGGATTTTGTGTGCTTCAAGGTGACCTTGTGACTGGTGGCCATGGTTGTCTGAACACAAGGGAACATTAGCCCATGGTTCAGTGGATTTTATAGCACTATGAAAGACACAAACAATGACATCTAAACCTTGAATTTTTTTGTTGATTTCAGGGCTTGTAAAGTTCTGAGCTAAAGCTGTGATCAATGGACAGAAAATGATAAAAGCAGTGAGCATACCATTACTACATTGCAACATTTTCCCTACCATGGATATCTCAGTCAACAAGCGGTATGGAGTCTGCATCAAACACTCACTGGCGTGCTCTGACAAATTGTATAGTCCTGTGTCACCAGCCATAGGTGATAAAACTGCTACCTGCAAAAATGGAAATGTTATTGTCAAAAGGTTAGCTGCATATCTTCATCACAGCCCCAATACTCACCAGTATTGCAGGCCAAAGCTCAATGAGCCTATGTATCTGCTTCCTCCACCATTTTGCCAAACACCCAACCCTGTCATGGCTCCTCAGTCCTACTTGCAAAGACTGATTTTGGACCACTGGGAGGCAGAAGTGAAGGGTTGTGAGCATGCAAAAAAATTGCAGCTTTTAGAATTAGTGCCAGGTCCAGCTCTCACCTTATTGCAAGCAAACTTGTGAAGACTCATCATAGAACACTGGGAGGCAGAGGTGAGGCATTGTGAGGAGGCCAAATGGGTGTAATTTTTAGAGTTAGTGCTTGCCACCCATGGTATATCTAGACTAGTGTAGTGTGGTGCAGGAACCAGGGCCTGCATTTTAATTAGTAATGTCCAAACCAGCAATAGAGTCGGACAGTGATTCTGGAATGGCACCATTCACTGTTCTCACCTCATTGTTGTCCATTGGATCCTCAGCACTGTTGACTGAGCAATCTTTGCTGTTCTTGAGCCGCATGACCTTGATGTCATCTGACTGAGCAACTGTTCTCAAGTCACATGACCTTGATGTTGTCTGACTGAGCAATCTTCACTGTTCTTGAGTTGCACAACCTTGGTGTATCTACCCTGACAGGCCTCTCCAAGACTAGCATAGTGTGCCAGTGTCATATCCATCCTGCTCCCTGATCCACTACCTATGTTTCATTTCCGTTTCATGATTTGTGATCTGTTTCTACTTACCAATAGACTATCCACATGCTTTGTACATAGCCTTGGACTCTGCTGATTGATCATTCCATTAGATACCTATAGTATATAACCTCCTGTAACTTTCTGTAGTACCTCAGTTTGAATATCATCTTAGTTCTACTCATTCCCATCCTCTGGACTTGAGTATCTCTACTCTTGTCACCCTCCAAGACTTGGGATTGATTCCTATAGTCTATCCGTATCCGCCTCTGTCTCTGACAGTCTATTACCGTTAGTTTCTAGTCTGGACTTGTCTGGATTAGCCCTACGATACCTATCCTGCATCCAGAAGTCATCTGGATCTGTTACAATACTTGTCTGACCTTCCAGACATGTTAGTCTTGCCTTCCTGAAATAAGGGGCAATACTCGGGTAAGGGGCACAGCGCATGAGCTGAGGCTGAAGCCCTTCAGATTCAGTTATCCCTTGAGTACAACCTTAACAGCGACAAATTTGATTGCACCATTCATCAATAATGGGCTTGAATTCTGCAAAGTAGTCTGATACCCTGTCTATCAGAATATCACCTTCGGACATGGCTCCCTTCTTTGCCAAAAAGGTGGCAAGCAAATTGCTTGTAGTGCCCAAATTCTCATAAGCATCTGCCCATGGCATAGTTGTCTTATCCCAAGTCAGAGCAACTGCACCATGTGCACCCCCATACTTCAAAATGAATTCGAAAAAAATGTAGAACAGTGACTTGAGGTCATCACTGGGGTTGTGCTCAACCAGTTTCAGCTGAGCAATGCTGTTGGTGTTGGTGCTATTCTTTGCGTTAATGCTCATCCTTGACTTCTTGAGGATGTCAGTGTTCTTTGACATTGTTTTCAAAATGTGCATAGAAATATATGGCACAGTTCCCTGCAATAGTGAGAACCGTGAACTCCACATTTAAACTTACAGTACCAAATGAAATAGTAAATGTCTTGCCCTCCTTCATGATTGACGTGTGGTCAAAGTCAATGAAATACCCAATGCCTTCATGGATAATGAAATTGTTCAGGCTAAGGTCTCCATGTAGAACTCATTGTTGGATCATCATTTCATGAGCTATAGGTAAAATGTTAGATAATACAACAAATCAAATGCATGAAACTGAACTCACTGACCACAAAATTGTGAAAGGTGCAAATCAGTTCCTTTCTGGAGCTGAAATTTCATAACAGATCTCTGCAGGGGGTCAAGAGAAGGCACCAGTGATACCTGTTAATGAACCTCTTGTCTGGCCTATCCTCAGGCAGGATACCATATCTATCCCGAATGTGGGCTGTGCAATCAGGCTCCCCATTGAATAGGACATCCCAATTGCCTATGAGTTGGACCACATTAGGGATGCCCTTGACCTTCTCAAGGACATCTACTTTGTGGTATCTCTTTGCCTCAGCCACCCAACAATCTTTCATCACATATTCTTTCCCATCTACAGGATCCAGAATGCAGTAACAAACTGTTCTGCAACAAAATAGACCCTGGCTCTTCCATAGAATAGCCATAATTGAGTATATTTTACCAGCATTTTTGGTTACCCAACCGATTGCCCCCACTACTAGGTCAGTGTGAGTACCCTTGCAAGAAGGGATGCACATATGAGTTGTGGGGTCAAGACTCAAGAGGCTTGGATCCACTAACAAGAGAGTAGCTATTGCATCAGCAACATGAGCAGGTGATGATTGGATGGGAGTTGGAAGAGTTATGATGAGGCCAGAGCAGTTTCAATAATGGGTGTAAAGTTGTTCGGCAGAGATAAAGAATGAGAGGATGAAGTGATGCCACAGCTGTTCTCGCATGATGAGATATGCTTTAGTGGCGGACCCCCAGTACACTCCTAGGTCACACCTTTTGCTGAAATCAGAGGATGTATGCTCAACAAAGCTCAGGACATCTGTCCATGCTTTCTCAAAAACTTTACTCCTGTAATAAAACAGAGCAAGATCAGGCTTTTGTGCATTGTAAGGGTCTGGTATTGGTGAGTTAGCAAACTCTGCAGACCAGTATCATTTGATGTTCAATATTTGGAAGGGAAGTTTGGCCCGGATTTTCGATCTATGGCATATGGCATACTGAACAGCTTTGAAGAGGCACTGTAAGTCTTTCTCCATCAATGAAGGCTTACATGCCCTCTTTGATCCTGGCTCTGCAGTCCCATCATATTCATCGCGGCTCCAGGTGCCATCCATGTCTTGAGACATTATCCCAGAACATTGAGAATCCAAGGCCCCAGTATCCATGTCAGTGACATATGTGCTAGCCTGAGTGCCATCTGAGTCATCTGACCTGGAGTTGCTGTTTGTATTGTTTGCTTTGAGCTTTTTTTCTGATTGAAGTTCCATGTGCCCTGGAAATATACTGGTGGTCCATTATTTTGACCATAGTATTTGATCTTTGCAATATGCTTAGTCTTCAATAACGATTTGGGAACAAGGTGGTGGAAAAGGCTAGCACTGTGTTTGATGTCCAAGTTGCCTTCAAAGATGACATGGCCTTCAAGCTCTGATTTGAGCAGGTCTTTGACGAGATCATTCCTGCGACCACCCTCAGGCAGGGAACCTGTTGAACTGAGTGAAGGGCCACAGAGATAAAGGTCGAATGAAGTAGTGGCATGTGAAGTTGGGGAAGTTTGGTGAGTGAGCAGGTCAGATGCCATGGCATCTAATAGATTCAGAGTCAAGACCAGTCAACACTATCACATATTGCAGTGACCTACCTCTGTATTATACAAGTGAACAGATGTGCATAATATCCTGTATAATATGGGCCAGCAGACCATGGGCCAAAGGTAAAAATATCCCCAACTATGACAGATGGGCCAGGAGGGATATTATTTCTGATGGGGACGGGTGGGCCCATCTATGCCCATGTTATAAATATCCTTGACAATGGCGGATGGGCCAGAAGAAATATTATTACCAATGGAGATGGGTGGGCCCATCTGGGCAATATGTAGAGTAGGATAGACATATATGATAGACAGCTGGGCTGAAGAGAGATGTATGGCAGATATTATTATATAGACAGGTGGGCCGATGTATTAGTATTATTTTGTAGATGAGTGGGCTGATGGGGCGGTGAAATACTTATTATATATACAGGTGGGCCGAGGTGGGGGTATACTAGATAGATGGGTGGGCCGATGGGGTGGTGAAATATGTATTATATATGGGTGGGCTGACATAGGGGTATATTACATAGATGGGTGGGCCAATGTAGGGTATATTACATAGACAGGTGGGCCAACATAGGGGGATGTCATATAGATGGGTGGGCCCAGATACATATCATTTAGACATATGGGCCAAGGTATTGGTATACTATATGGACATATGAGCAATGCTGTTGCACTAGTTTTGATCCGAGTCGTGAATGACATTCAGACTCAGATCCTGTCAATGTCGATCAAAGTCAACACAGCCAAGCACCCCATCGACTCAGAATCCAGCAATACCTTGGAAGATGGTCCATAGATGTAAGGGCCAAGGTATGTGTACAGCCAAGCACCCTGTTGACTCAGAATCCAGCGATACCTCGGAAGACGGTCCATAGATGTAAGGGCCAAGGTATTTGTATACTATATGGATGTATGGACATATAGGCTGAGGTAGTGATATATATTATATCGACAGGTGGGGCTAGGTAGTTGTTATCACACATAAACATAAACCCAACACCTGAAACCCGAAACTCAAAACTCAAACATCAAAACAAATTTCAAAACTCGAATCACTGAGTACTGAGTCCCGAAGCCCAAACATTGAACCCTGAACATTGAAACCTGAAACTCAGAAGTCGTAAAAATGTATGAGTTTTGTAGGTAGTTGTATATCATCCAAATCAAAGGAGGTAATAATTCAAAGTCATCTAATGATGAAGGTCACAAGTGCCAGAAAATCGAGCACCCAGTAGAGACGCGAACATGCAGCACTGACTACCGAGTAGCTAATGCACACGGCATGTGTTGCCCTACAAGAAGCCAAGTTCTGACTACCAAACATCAAGTGAAGGGTACCGAGATCTGAGGCCCAGGTCTCAACAAACAAATATCTGATATCCAGCACACTTCCAATCATCTGGTATTTCATTGAGCAATGGACAATAACACATCTTTGGATGATAACATCATGCCAGGCTCCCTTATCTGATCCTCACTATCTCCACCCCCTTTAACTCCAAAGTGTGGACATGCAGGGTTCGGCGTCCGATTTCCCCAGATCAATTCCATCATGACTGTTTCTTCCACTTCCGATATTGAAATAACCCTCTGGTGCACTTGGGCCCTGACTGTCACTCACGAGGTATGTGAATATACCAAACAGAAATTCAATGCAGAGAAGACAGGAGGAGACCCAGTTATACCTTCTCTGAACCTAGACACTGATCTGGTGATGGCTTGTGATTGATTGGTTGACTGCCTGATAAAGGCATATAAAAATCCCAGTGGGTCTTCCTGCGGATTCAAAAAATTTGTTTTATCAGTCAAATTGCTTCATCACAGTTCAGATGCAGATCAATGTTGTAAGATACAGCAAAGTGATCTCCCCGAAGGACACTGGGCATAATGAAGAGAGAGAGGAGAAGTTGCTTGAGAGGTGTCCTCCTGGCCATGAGGGCACAAAGTTGGTGGAGATACCCACGACAATTCTTGATGCATCTGGTGCCATCATCGCATGGTATGTCCTGGATACCCTGACCGATGCCACCCAGGTGTGTAATATATATTGTTACTCGATGGATATTGAACATCAAATGGTGCCCACAGAAGGAAATTTGGGCAGCCTCTGATTTGCTCGCTCCAATCCTCAAAAAAAGTGTCAAGCTTGATGGCAATTGGCGAACTAATCAAGAGTGGTTCAAACCAAGCTCGGAAAACGATGTCTTAACTCCCAGATGCATCAATTTGTCTCCAGCATGGTTTCAACAGGGGCACAAGGTAAGATCTGATGTGATGGTGATTTTGGTAGTCAAACTCATGAATCCCCTAGAATCAGTCAGATCTGGAGGTATCTGCATCATTGAAGGGGGCATCCTCTGAGAAGATCCTCAAAGTGATTGTGAGGCCAGCAGCCATTGCAACAGCAACACTCAGGGTGATGCATCCTGAGCAGTACTGGGCAGGCTTGCAAGCCTTTTTGAGCCTCGGAGAAAAGGCAGAAAGCAAGGAACTGCTGAAGATGTCAGAGACTCTCCAGTACTGGGCATCCATGTTTAACAGCCTGTCTGTCATTTCCAATTGGGAAACCCCCAATCATTGAGACCATTTATCTATTCCTGAATGCTTTGACATTCTCACTACCGTGGGGAATTATTCTAATGCTTGGATGAGCATGCCAAGCCTTCAGCTGGAGTTCAGGTATGATCCAGGTTGCATGATTGCATTTTATGGAAGGATCATGAGACATGGGGTTCATGCAGTGGAAGGGGATCAGATTGCTTGGGCATGGTATATGAGGGATTCTGTTCATGTTTATGCCAGGGTTCCATTGTGTGGATGGGCTAGGGTGGATTACAAACAGTGAATGATGAAAGAAGTGGAAAGTGTAGTTACCCATGTTAGCACATACTGTCAAATACCAAATATTAAATATCAGGATCTGGAATATTCAGGCCTCAATATCCAGAACTCAAGACTCAATGGTCAATATTCAATACTCGATACTTGATACTTGATAGTGGACATTTGGTACTTGATATTCAGAATTCAACATTCCATAGTCAGGTCTCAAATATCAACACCCGAATGCCGAATACTGAATACTGAGTCCCTAATATCAACACCCAAATACCGAATACTGAATACTGAATCTTGAGACCTGACCATCAAATATTGAGTTCTGAATACTGAATACCAAATACCAAATACTGACTACCAAATACCAAGTCCCTAATATTGTGATAGTGGACATTCGGAACTTGATATTCGGAATTCAACATTCCATAGTCAAGTCTCAAATATCAACACCTGAATACCAAATACCAAATACTGAGTCTCACATATCGACACCTGAATACCAAATACCAAATACCAAGTCCCTCATATTGACCCCCAAATACCAAATACCAAATACCGAGTCCCTAATATCAACACCCGAATATCGAGTTGGGTTTTGATAGTCGATACTCACTAGTCGGGACTTGGTATTTGGTATTTGGTATTCAGGGGTCAATATGTGAGACTCAGTATTCGGTATTCGGTATTTGGGTGTTGATGTTTGAGACCCGACTATGGAATGTCGAATTCCGAATATCAAGTTCCAAATGTCCACTATTGTGATATTAGGGACTTGGTATTCGGCGGTCAGTATTTGGTTTTTGGTTTTTGGTTTTTGGTATTTGGAACTCAATATTCGATGGTGTTAAGAACCATGTTGCTCAAGGGGGAGAGAGACTGACTCAGAGAGGCTTGGCCTCAGCTCATACACTGTGCCCCTTACCTGAGTATGTGCCCTTCATTTTGTATGAGGTCCAATGATGGTCTGATGAAGTCCAGAGGACTTCTGGAGGCTGGCTACTCTGCTGGAGAGCGCTAGAGGACTTCCAGAGGAGTGCGGGAGAGTTCCGGAGGAACGCAGGAAGTGCTCAGGAGAGTTCCCACTGCAAGGTAATACTTCTACAGGAAACAGGATGGAAGGATAGGAGGTCCAAAGGTCCGGAGGACAGGAGGACAGGAGGACAGGAGGACAGGAGGACAGGAGGACAGGAGGACAGGAGGACAGGAGGACAGGAGGACAGGAGGACAGGAGGACAGGAGGACAGGAGGACAGGAGGACAGGAGGACAGGAGGACAGAAGGACAGGATGTCCAAAGGACAGGAGGATAGGATGTCCGAGGGTTAGGAGGGCAGAACGTCCGAAGGACAGGATGCCCGGAGGTATGAGGGACAGGAGGTCCAGAGGTCTGGAAGGAATAGGGGCTACATTGGACTTCATCCAATGTAGAAACAAACAGAGGTAGACTACCCTAAGGTAGAGTTGGAGAGACAAGGATTGGACCTAAGTCTGGAAAGAGGGTAAGTGCCAGAAAGGTGGAGCTCTGGCCTAGGGAATCAATCCCTAGGCCTGATGGGTAGGACAGACTTAGGTGGACCAAAGTCCGAGAGAGGATTGGGCAAGTCTAAGTTTATATTCAAACTAAGGAAACTACAGGAGTATCTACAGGGGTTATATACTGGAGAATATCTGAGGGGATCAGTAAGCAAAGGAGCAGGGCTATGTATGAGCATGCAGAAACACATTAGTAAGTAAGACGGAACATAAGTAAATGAACTCAGAGATGAAGACTCATACAAGGATCAATAAGCAAGACAGAAGAAGAGGTAACCAAAAGCCGGAAAGGTAGAGATGCCTAAATGGGGATAGGCGCAGGATCTTGGACAGAGGGTGGGAATAGGTCCAGTGTTAATATCCGGAGGTCCGGAGATCTGGGGATCCGGAAGACAAGGTGGATACAGGACCGGAATACAAGAAGGTGGATATAGTCTGGAATCTGAGATGAGGTGAAGTCTGGATGTCTTGCTGGATGGAGTGTGCATAGGGTGGATGGGACAGGGGGGTATGTATCAGGCTAGCAGTGGAGATCCGATGGTCCGGAGCTCAGGGGTAAATCCAGAGCATAGTCAATCCTGCTGAGGTGTGGAGCACAGTGGAAGGGGATCTGGGAATGAGCTGGATATGAAGTGGGGTCTGGATGTAGGCTTGGAAGGCGTGGGAATATGATGGAATGTGGGTCCGGATTGTGGGATATGACAGATGGTTGGGTCTCGAGATTCGGTAGTCCATGTTTGGGACTCAGTATTGTGAACTCTGTACTTGATATTCAGGACTCAGTATTGGGGACTTGATATTCAATAGTCGAGTCTCAATATCTGAATCTCAATACTTGATACTCAATATTCACCATTCGGGTCTCGATATTCGGGAGTCCACATTCACAATGCAATATATGACTGTCTGTACTCGATACTCGATATTCAGTATTCAGGACTTGGCACATAATGTTAGGTTAGATATTTGGAAGACTGTATGTCATTTTCATGGAGTTTGGACATCAACATTCTGAACTCAAGGACTAGCACTACTCTCCTCTGCCTCTCTTCAATCTGGTCAGGATGCCAGTGTACACATCAATCTCTGCCATCTTTTCACTGATGCCCTCTTCTTGCTCCTCAACCAATGTCCAGAGGCATTCTCTAAGCCACCTGAGTCCCATCAGTGATGGAACTGAGGTATTATCCACCTGCTCAGGAAGAATCAGACCATCATCCTCAATGCCACCCTAGAACAGATTAATCATCACTCAAGGAAATTGTTCATAGTTCTTACTAGCCAATGCTGGTATTGAAAGACACAGCAACCCATTACCTGGTCCCATTGCCATAATTCGTCTGGGATTGCAGTGTGTCTGATCCACCATGCAGTATCATAGCTGGATATAATCCTGGAGGGATCTCCCGGATCTGCAACATCATGAAAGAGACATAAGTGGGATGAAAAGATGTGGTCCAGAACCATGTTCCAGGTGAGCTGGGGAAACAACTGAAGAATATGGGTGATCAGGTTTGGAATGACCAAGATGATGTGCCTTGCAGCTGAGTACTGCAGGATGGGTGTCACAAAAGTCTGTTGGAAATCTCAGCATTGACCACTGCAGTCATCAGTCTCTTACAGTGATCTCCCATTGCAGCCTGGCTTTAAAGTGCATGATCCAAGCAGTGGAAGGCTCCTTGGTGTTGGCAGCCTCCGTCTAATATTGGGAGATTGCTGCTCGGATGTGCAATGCAGCCATTGACATTGTGGCTGCAATATCTGCAAGACCAAGTGTGAGGGGTCAGTATTCATTGCCAGAATCCATGGCATCAGAAGGGGATGCAGGAGGAGTGTGCAATACAGGCATGGCTAATGCAGGAGTATGAAGCTGGAAATCACAATCACAATCACAGTTGGTTTGGATGTGAAGATATGAGCCACCGGTTGATGGATAAAAATATTCAAACTCCAACATTTGTTCATCCAGGCATTTCCTGAGACTCAAATGTTTGGGTTGAAGTAGCTGTTTCATATCATTGGCACAAAAGTTCATTCATCTCGACTGTCTATGAACCTGCTCTGCAGGTCTTGAAATGCTGCCTGGGCATCCTGTGCCAGTAATGAATACATTTGGGATTGCCTTCCCAAGTAGCATGAATGACCCGGAAGGTGTTTCACCAATGATTCCTGCATACTGTCGCCCCATTGAGTTGCTTTCCACAAGAAAAAGTTGCATGTCCAATCCATCTCCAATTGGACCAATGTCATTTCTTCCTTCCATCGATCCTGTAGGGCCTTTGCCCAAAGCCAATGAACTTGGTAAACTTCAGATGGGTCCCATCAGCTGAGCACGGGATATGTCAAGCATGCCCAAACTCGCATTCTTCATTCCATGAGTGATCTGGACCCCCCAGGTCCACATCAATGGACCAGAACCAAGCGAGGGACTCATTCCACTGACCTCAGGCATTTGGATTGCCAATGGCAGTGCTGATTTTGAGCTGCTCCCAAAGCAGTGGTTTGTATGTCTGAAGCTGGTCTTGCCCTGGTTCGAGTTGCATCATTTGCTTCCAGGTCTTTGTATATATACTGGCGTGGAGGGACACTGCTTGCTGCACTGACGTCACCTGGGACCAAGCTCGAGTTTTCAGGGCTTGAGATTTGGCCTGCCTGACCATTGTTTGGAACAGGATCGCCTTGTTGCACAAGTGAATCCAGAGGTTGTGAAGGGCATCATTGGCCTGCCCTTCACAAAGCGACATCTCCAGCAGAATCAGATCCTCTGCCATACAGTGTCTGCTTCGATCTACCCTGAGGTTTGATGGCAATGGGATGACAGTGAGCTCAGGGGAGTTTGCCCATGTATCAGATGTGTTGGTGAAATCTGCTGGGTCATCATTGAGATCATCGAGAATGTCTATGTTCAAGTCATCAGGATCATCGTCTGCATCAAATCCCTCTCCCAGATGCATAAGAGCAGACTGAGTGAATCCATCTATCTGGCCTTGGAGATGATCACATTGCCAGGCGATGTCTAATCTCTGTGTCTCTGTAGTTCTTCTTCCAATTCTTCGGAGCTCAATGACCAATGCAATTTGAGCCTCTTCAATTGCCAACCCCATTGATATCCATGTTGCCACTGATCTGCAAGCAGGTGCTGCATTACAGGCATTACCCTCCTCCAGCAGTCTAAGCTTGATCTCCTTTTTGCTTGGTGCTGAGTGCAACAATTAATTCTGACTTTGATGTAGCCAAAGTCAACTTACCCTTCTTGATATTAATCTCATATACATCCATCGCCGCAGGATCATTTATTCTGCTGGACTGAGCGATCCTCTCGCTGGCTAACCATTCTTTCTTTGAAGCTGCAGGTGCTGCTTCATCAAGTCTGTTGAAAGCCTTTTCACTTTCAGTGATGCCATTCTTCACCTGCTTGTATTTACGGCAAAGAGTCCTTTTCATGCAGATCATCTTGCAGAAATTGGAATCATTCATCTGATAATCAAGACATTCCTTTTGATGCAGGGATGACATTCCCTGAGCAGCAGGGGAAATCAGGTTGAGATGCAACCATAGGGTCTCCATGATCTCACCATTGATCCAACCAATGCCTTCAATAAAATTCGATGCATATCAGACATAGCAGCTGTCCTGATGTCCATGGACATGCCACAACCTGATTCCAGGAATGATGGTCAATTCTGGAACCATTTCAAGAAATTGGCTTCAATCCACCTGAACCCGAAAGTGCTTGTTGTATTGACAGTTGATGTCATAGAAGGTGACAGCCCTGGTTATGCCTTCCATGTTGTGCTGGGCAGCCTCACAAAGGGCATAATCCATGTTCATTTGTCTGCAAATGATGCACCGTTAACTTGTTGATGTAGAATGGCATGGTTGGCTTGCCTTTTGCCTTTCTGAAAATCTACCATTGAGTGAGGGAAAAAGCAACTGTGTCAGGCACAGGCAACTCCCCCAATTCCTGTAGACTCCAGCTTGTGCCAAGCCACATTTGCTTGATTCACCGCCCGGTGATTGTTGCAGCTCAATTTTTCCAATGTGTCAGCAGCCTCTGCAAGATGGGTTTTATACCTGTCCTTTCCCACCATGAATCCCAACCCATCGGAAAGCCACACTTCATCAAATGGCTTGATGGGATGCAGGTGTTCTGCTTTGAAATTTCCATCCATAACAAATGACTGGGTGTATTTCCAGCTTGGAGTTGTTATTATAGCTGAGGTGACTTCAGTATCAAACTAGACTCACTCATCAAGTGATTCATCCCCTGACAAGGATACATTAATCCCAGGTTGAGGACATGTGGGGCAAAACAATGCGAGATCTCCTGCATTTGGGTTGTTGGAATGATGGCCAAATCCATGCCATTTCATGGCCTTCAACTGCCTTCACTGTCGAGTGACTCTCATGAGCTCTCTATATCGGTCCTTGCCGTGTGCTGTGTCAATATAATGTCCTTTAGATGTCGGAGATTTGGCATTACCAGAACAAGATGTGGAAACATGCTCAAGGTCATTTGCTGGAGCTTGCTGTAATAGTTCATCGCTGAGGTGCCACATTCAAGGTTGTCCAATAGAAAATCATTGAGCACCCTGAAGGTGAACAAAGTCTTCAGCTTGTTAAATGATGTGGGGAAAAATCCATGTCAAAACATTTGAATGTCTGGACTCATGGCATTTGGACAATCACAGCATCGAACCTTGAGACGATGAACTCTGGACTTGTCAATGATGACCATGGTGTTTTCCTTCAGCTGGAACTCGGGTCCCAACACAGATGGTCGATCATCAGGCTCAAGCTGGTCTTCATGCTTGTCTTCTTCGAACAAATCCCACCTATCTGTAGGGACCAGACATTGTTTGCCATCATGACTGAGGTGTATGACAAGTCTGACATGGGTGAGACAACTCTGCTTGAAGAATTGACCATTCCATTGACTGATCCAGTGGAAAGGATTGCAATGATGTTGACTCCTGCAACAACCAGTGCAATATAGTGGCTCCCCAAGACAATCTTGACATTTGTAGACCCCATCCTCATTGCAGATGACACATCTCCTATCTTCTGGTGGAGCTTCTTGATCCAGGAGGTGATGCAGGTATGATTCCTGCCTTGGCAGCCATTGCCTGAGGTAGTCATTCTGACTCTGCATTTTTTATGCTTAGCTATCGTTTGAATGACAATCCAATGTTTTACATGAACTTGCCATGGTTTTTGGGAGTTGCAAAGGCTCAAATGAGCCTTGGTCATGCTCGTAAGCATTGTCAGGAAAGTCTTCCCAAGGAGGTGGTGCCTCAACAGGCTGAAGTGTTGGTGATTCTGGGGGAGAGTCAAGCATGGACCTGTAGGCATGTCATTTTGTGCTTGCAAGTGGGACCTTGACCCAAGTTTTCCTACCCTTGCTGCCCCTTGCTTCTACCCTGTGGGATTTTTGCAGTGGGGTGCATCTACCTATCTTCATCTTATTTTCTGATGTTGCAAGCAAAGCATTAGCTCAGGAAGGTTGAATGAATCATTGTTGCAATATGATGTTATGCAGTCTTGATGCATCATTACAAATTCATTTCCACTAATGGCATTGCGTCCAATATGGGTTGATTAACCAACTGTTAGGCTTTGCTCAAAGTTTGACTTGTCACCATTATTACTTACACCTTGCTTATCCTCAGCCCATTCTGCAATCTCATTCACCATGGCAAGATCAGGTCACTCCACTCAGGTGACTTCCGGAAGACATAGGGCACGTCAACCACAGACACAGAAGCTCACAGAAAACAAAATTTTGGAGTTGAAGAACTACCTTCCTGAGTGGACTTTGGCAAAATGGAAAGAGAGGTGAGCAGTTTTCACTGCCATAGCTAGGGCTGCCAGGTTATTTGCTCCTAAGGTTGACCAAGCACAATGGAAGAAGAGGAAGCAGGTGATTCATCCTCACTATGTTGAAAAACTAAAATTTTAATATCTTATTCTTCCATCAATGCTCAGATATACAAGACTTGGTTGTTCAACAACAGGAAAAAGAAGGAAAGGAAGGACATGATAAAGTATGGGAGGAAATGGACCCCTAGGATGGTGATCTACCAGTGGAACTGGGAAGAGGTGCTAAAGAGGATCAAGGATGAGTCCAGGGCAAAGCCAGGAGGTCCCAGTATGTTCAAGCATTATCAGGTGGCTGTGAAGAGAGTCATGGCTGAATTGTCTGACAATGAGTTGGAGAAGGCAAAGGAAACAGCTGAAGAATGGTCCAACAACTTTCCTCCTCCTGAGATACAGGCACAAGTTGCTTGTAAGAAGGGACCTGCATATATGGAGCACTTTTCGAAGGAGATGTGGAGGCAATGCAGGATGAGAGTGTTTGTGATGTCGGCTTGGAAGAATGAACAGGGAGAGGTGCTGTTTGGGATGTAAGTGAAATGTGTTGGCCATCGCAGATCTTCGATCTCAATTTATGTCATGCAGGCATGATGATAATGAGGCATTAGGAGATGGGGACAGCTTCATGAAGATGAAGGACTGGGAGGACATCAAGCCAGTTTGGCAGGAGTATGCACAGGAACAGTTCAGTGAGTGTTTTAACTCTGGCTACTAGAAGGAATTTGTTGATTGTCGTGATGATAGGTGCTGGGGCACAGGATGGAGGACAACAGATGAAGGGAGGTCAAAAAAGAATCAGAAAGCCTGCTTTCGAACTGGAAACTGACAGAGATGGAATGCTGTTGCTTCCGGACATCACTGAAATGAAACTTGAGGAGAAGAGGGCCATAGTGAGGGCATTTCTTACATCGCACTATCATGAGTCTATCGTCGCAACACCCAAGAATTTGTTGAATGCATGGACACAGGAATCTGTTCTGGGAGCAACAAGGCAGTCATGCCATGGAGCGCCATCATACAAAGTCATGATGACTTTGTGGCAAGGAAGTATGTTCTGGCAGATGTGGACTTGAAGGAGCCTTCCAAGTTACAAAATTGGGACACTACGGCCTTACTCAATTTCTGGCATGCTCAGCAGGAGAAAGGTGAAGGACCAACATTCCTGTTCAAAGCATGGAAGAACAAAGATGGAGACATGGTAGCATTGGTTGTGTCTGGGAATTTGCCTTCTCATTGGACTTGTAAAGTCAGAAAGCAGATGATCCAAAGGCCTCGGAATTCATCAACCGACACCGAGAGTGATCCCAGGAGTAATCCCAAGAGTGACTCTCATCACATGGAGGATGATGTTGATGATGATACAGCTGATGGTAGATCCCCACAAAAGAGACCCAGAAGAGAGCCAGGTCCTTCAACAGCACATGATAGGACAGCAGTCCCACATGCAATTCCAAAGCCTCACCTGGTCAAGCCAGCAAAAACTGGTGCACTGCTGACATCATGAATGGGTGACCTCCTGGCTGGGTTGACTGACAGAGTCACCAGCAATGTTGAGGAAGATGTTGGAATGGAAGAAGGACACATGTCTCTGGTGCCAAAAAACATGCAGGGAAAAAAACCGGCAATTGAGCCATCGGCGAGGACAACCCAGAGTAAATCAACTCAACAGCCATCAGACAATACCTCTTGAGTGACAAGAGCAAGGGGAAAGAAGTAATGGACTGATACTACACTGCCTGCCTTTATGTACATGTCAATGTTATTCAATCTTCATGGCTCAGGAGTCCCGGGTGTCGAACATGGAAGTGTAAGTCTCACTTTGGCTCACCGAGTCCTGAGTGTCAAACACCAAAGTTCAATTCTTGCTGTCCAGAGGATCGCCAAGTCCCGAGTTCAATTCAAAGATCAAATTCAGGACTCAGCGATCCTCTGTACAGCAAGAATTGAACTTTGGTGTTTGACACTTGGGACTTGGTGAGCCAAAGTGAGACTTAAACTTCCATGTTCAACACCCAGGACTCCTGAGCCTCCGGAACTCAATTAGAAATGGAAGAGGAATGCATCGCAAATTCAGTTGTTTACACAATGTGGGTATGTTAATGAAAATTCAGAAGTTTACATGTGGTTTGACTGCTATCAAACATTCAGTACTTTACATTTGAATCTGATCTTCAAACCAATTGATCAGTGAGTCTACTACCTTGAGCATTTCAATGCTCATCCATTGGGCTCTTTGCAACCTCTGGAGGTCCACATCAGCTCTTCTGAGTTTGTTGGAAGTTTCTGCCCAAGCCATCCAGAAGGGTCGCTTAGCCTCAAGTAGCAGTGGAATGGAAGGATCAGGAAGATCCCCAGTACGGTGTTTGTAATCACCAAGTCGATCTTGAATGGATTGCACTTGCAGACAAATTAGCACAGAGATAAATGATCTGCTTGGTCAGATACTCACACCTGGTGTGTTCATATGACCCGAATGGTCAGAACTCCTGGGCCATTGAATGTAAATCTTCATTAGTGAGCTCCGGCTGCTCTGACTGAAGTTTGTTAGAGGTGTCATCCACTTGGGAGATACAATAAGTATCTATAATCCTCTGGAATGAATGGACTCACATGACATAGATGCTTCTGATGCAGCCAGAACATCAATCTTAGGATCGGCAGAATCCGGCAACTCATCCACATCGATGATATCATCCTCAGGCCTGAGGTACAAGTCTGGATCGATGAGAAAACCTGGATGATCAGCTTGAGCTGGAGGTGATTGATCTGCAAGGGGTTGGTGAGCATGCATGGTGATCCTTGATCCTAATGAATGGATCAACTCACTGGGTATTGCAGCCAAGACATCCGGTGATCTGGATGATGGAGAATCATATTCTATGTCATCATCCAGCCCTAGGTATAGATCATCTAAGGGATATCCAGTAAATAGACAAGGCATGATAAAAATACAACACACCTAGTGATGCTGTTAAGGTCATACTCAAGGGATAACTGGATCCAAAGGGCTTCGGTCTCAGCTCATGCACTGTGCCCCTTACCCAAGTATTGCCCCTTATTTCAGGAAGGCAAGACTAACGTGTCTGGAAGGTCGGACAAGTATCGTAATGGATCCAGATGACTTCTGGATGTGGGATAGGTATTGTAGGGCTAATCCAGATGAGTCCAGACTAGAAACTAATGGTAATAGACTGTCAGAGACAGAGGCAGATACGGATAGACTATAGGAATCAATCCTAAGTCTCGGAGGGTGACGAGAGTAGAGATACTCAAGTCTGGAGGATAGGAATGAGTAGAACTAAGGTGATATTCGAACTGAGGTGCTACAGAGAGTTACAGGAGGTTATATACTATAGGTATCTAATGGAATGATCAATCAGCAGAGTCCAAGGCTATGTATGAAGCATATGGGTAGTCTATTGGTAAGTAGAAATGGATCACAAATCATGAAACAGAAATGAAACATAGGTAATGGATCAGGGAGCAGTATGGATATACAGATAACTGAAGTACCAGAGTTAGGGGGTTACCAAAAGGAGATGAGCACTGGGTGTGGATTCAGATGAGTTGTGGACTGGACCAGACAAGTGGACAGATTGAATGATGAGATGTTGGAGGGAGATGAGATGTGGATCTGAGATGAGATAAGGGTTGGATCTGAGATCCAGATATGTGGATATGACAGATGCCTGGGACACAGTGGACTCATCCACATCCATTGAATTGTAGTTGGTCACCAGAGGGTCATTGAATTGAACGGCTGACTGTGGACTCATGTTGTGTGGGGAACTTACTGATTTGTTGACTGATAATTGAAAAAACTTCGAAGTTCAACACAAAACTGGCAATTGCTGGAAGTTGAACTGGGACCAAACAAAGACAAACAATCAACGATTTTATCAATCATCCATCAAATGTGTTGTTTCTTTTGAAACTTCATCCTTGTGATAACTGATTTCAACCCTATTTGAAGATCTTTAAATCTCTCACTCAATCATCATGTCCACTCCAGTTGACAACTCTTTGACCGGTCTCAAGGCATCCACTGCCCAGATCATGGCCATCATCAGCAGAGCCCAGCAGATTCCCCCAGGTAACAGCTACTTTTCTCTGACAACACAGATCAGTTCACTTGTGGTATGTAGCTTTCTTTTTTCTTTTCTTTTTTTCTCTCTAACATCCAGGCAGGCTCAAGTGATCAAGGACTATGGGTCTGGACCCCTGCCCGGCATTGTGCTTTCATGCTCCAAGGAGCTATTGTGCGTCTGGGGCATGACTCCCCAGGTCTGGCCCAACTGGCACAACATCGGGTACAACAATCCCCGTCTCTTGACACATGTCTGGCGCCCCAAGCTCCTCACCTGGGAGGCCTTAGGTGACCATACCTTTGATCTCCCAGTTGCTGCTCCTCCCTCCACAGGTCCAATTCCAGTGGACCTTCCCTCCCCACCCATCCGCACCGGCAATGTCGCCGGTCCCTCCACCAGCACCACCACTGAGTTCCAGGACAAGGGGAAAGGTAAGGCTGTCGATGCTGACCTGGAGCCCAAGGCGGAAGGGAGCTGGAAGAGGAAGTCTCCCATGATTTCAGGACTCTCCTCCCAACCGCCGAAGTCTGTGATGAAGACTTGCAAGCATGCGAAATCCTCTTGCTGGGTGGCATCCAAGCCCCTAGTGGACTTGGAAGATGAGGAAGACATGGGTATTCAGGTAAGTTGTCTGGTTCATCTTTGACTTGGCTCACAGTTTCTTGTAGCCATTGTCGGGTGGAGTGCCGGAAGTCATCCTTCCCCAGCTCTCCAATTCGCCTAGATCACCCTGGGTTCTGACCAAAAAGCCCTTTGGCCCCGCTACAGTAAGTCACATTTATGTGTCTGGGACTTGGGTGTATGCTCACACTGTACCAGGTGATTGCCGGCAGTCACCCGGCAGTCATCGAGCCCTCCCAGCCGACTCCCGAAAGCCCAGTGGAGGCACCCCCAGTCATTGATGGAGGTGATATTCTCATTCCCAGACCAGTGAGTACTTTGATTTATTTGAAAGTGTCCATTCACTAACACAATCCACAGAACAACCCATGCCAGGCTTGCACCAAGCTAAACTGGGACTGCGCAACTTGGTTGGACAAGAGGACTGGGAATCCATGTATGTCATGCATCCACTGCACAACAAAGAAGATCAAGTGCATCCTGGCAACTATGGGTACCCTGCCGAAATGTGTTCATGGGTCCTCTACCACCTGGAACACAAGGTCCAGGACACCCTCCAAAGCTCCCTCCAAAGCTCCCCCCACCTCCCAATCCAAGGCCCAGACTCGCAGTCAGTCTCATGGCAAGTCCAGAACTCTGGGTGTCACTGCTGTGACAACCCCCAAGACCCAGATGCATGGTCGCAGCAAGACCATCACTGCCATCAAGGCGCCTGCACCTGCACCAGCTTGTAAGTCACCTGAGTTTTGTTTCATCACCATCTGACCATTATTTTCCCTTGTAGCACCTCTGTCTTTGAGTTCAGCAGTCCCTGCTCCAGCACCTGGTCCAGCAGTCCCTGCTGCAGCACTCAACCTGCCCATGCTGGATCTCCATGCCATGGCAATTGCGATTCAGGATGGTGCAGCTTGCATCACCATTCTCAAGGCTCATGTGGCAGAGCAGGATGGTAAGATTGATACCCTGCAATGCCTCCATGAAGGCCTTAGGCGCGAAATCATCGACCGGCACCCTGCATTCCCACTTCTCGAACCTCCAGCCAATGCAACATCCTTGTTGCTTGATCAATCTGCCCCCCCAACCATGTCACCATCCGCATCTGCACTCCCCCCTCTCATTGATCTCTCAATTGGAGAGATGATGCCTGCACCCCTGAAATTTGAAAATGCCTCTGCCATTGAGGGCCTCCTGTTTGAGTACAACTGGGTTGTTCAACCAGAGGTTCCAGATACATCTGGTGAAAATGTGGACCCATGTGATCCAGGCAACCTGGTCCCAGAATATGATTCTTCCAATGACATGGATGTTGAGGTGAAGGTTGAAGCATCTTTTGAGGAGGTTGACATGGCTACATAATTGCATAGTGATAAACATATGTACAAGTTTTCCAATGAATGTTACCTCTGCTAGTCCATTTATTCAATCACTGAGTCTCAAGTACCGAGTAGTGAAACCCAAAAGTTAGAAACAAAGATCAAAACTCAAAACCTGACAGTTGTAACAATGTATGAGTTTCAAGTTTTGAGTCTCAAATCACTGAGTCCTGAGTCCCAAAACCCAAACATTGAACCCCTTATATCAAACCCCAAAATCCAAAACTCAAAACTCATCAAAATGTATGAGCTTTGAGGTTTGAGTGTTGAGTTTACAAATCGACACTCAAACCTCAAAGCTCATACATTTCGACGAGTTTCAAGTTTTGGATTTCAGGGTTTGATATAAGGGGTTCGATGTTTGGGTTTCAGGACTCAGGACTCGGTGATTTGAGACTCAAAACTTGAAACTCATACATTGTCACGACTGTCGGGTTTTGAGTCCCAAGTCCCAAACATTGAAACCTGACACCCGAAACTTGAAAGTTGTACCAATATCTGAATTTTGAGTTTTGAGTTTTGAGTTTTGAGTTTTGAGTTTCAAGACTCGAATCACCAAGTCCCAAGTCCCGAACATTGAAACCCAACACCCAAAACTCGAAAGTTGTACCGATACCTGAATTTCAAGTTTCGAGTTTCAAGACTCAAATCACCGAGTCCTGAAACCTGAAGCCCAACACCTGAAACTCGAAACTCATACATTTTTACAACTTTTGAGTTTCAGGTGTTGGGTTTCAGGACTTGGTGATTCGAGTCTCGAAACTCAAAACTCGAAATTCAGATATTGGTATGAGTTTTGAGTTTCAAGACTTGAATCACCAAGTCCCAAAACCCAAAACCCGATACCTGAAACTTGAAAGTTGTAAAAATGTATGAGTTTCAAGTATTGATTTTCAAACTTGAAACTCAAAACTCATACATTTTTACAACTTTCGAGTTTCAGGTGTTGGGCTTCAGGTTTCAGGACTTGGTGATTTGAGTCTTGAAACTCGAAACTCGAAATTCAGATATTGGTATGACTTTCGAGTTTCGGGTGTCAGGTTTTGATGTTCAGGACTTGGTACTTGCTGTGTTGACTTTGATCGACGTTGACAGGATCTGAGTCTGAATGTCATTGATGACTTGGATCAAAACTAGTGCAACAGCATTGCTCATATGTCCATATAGTATACCAATACCTCGGCCCATATGTCTAAATGATATGTATTTGGGCATACCCATTTATATAATATACCCTATGTCAGCCCACCCATATATATAATACATATTTCCTGCCCCATTGGCCCACCCATCTATCTAATATACCCTATGTTGGCCCACCCATTTATATGACATCCCCCTCCATCAGCCCACCCGTCTATCTGATATACCCTATGTCGGCCCACCTGTATATATAATACATATTTCCCCGCCCCATCGGCCCACCTGTCTATCTAATATACCCTATGTCAGCCCACCCATCTATCTAATATAACCCCCACCTCGGCCCACCTGTCTATATAATAATATCTACCATACATCTCTCTTCAGCCCAGCTGTCTATAATATATGTCTATCCTACTCTACATATTGCCCAGATGGGCCCACCCATCTCCATCGGTAATAATATTTCTTCCAGCCCATCCACCATTGTTGAGGATATTTATAACATGGGCATAGATGGGCCCACCCATCCCCATCAGAAATAATATCCCTCCCAGCCCACCTGTCAACATCGAGGATATACATAACATTGGCCCATAGTCCACTGGCCCATCTTATACAGGATATTATGTAGGTCAGGTGACCCATATAATACAGAGTTTGTCACTGAAGGGGCTCACACTATGGAGTATTGAATGAGTACTGTGAACCAATGCACCCTACAACGACAACTCACCTGTCTGTCTGAATGGTTGGCAAGGTTGTTGAGCAAGTGCTCCCTCAGGCTAGTGTATAATTGCAAGGCAGCAGTGTGGGCCTCAAGTTTAATGCATCATCGATTGAACATCAAATTCCCAAAGTTTGCACATGGAGTGGATAAAACAGTCTGTCATAGTAGTATCACTAAGAAAGAAAATGATCCAACAGCTAGTATCTATAACGCATAGTACAGGGTATCATAAATTTGCTTATCAAAGTACTTATTCAAGTAGAATGAAGAATGATAATGCACAGAAGTAGACTTAGTCAATTGAGGATCCGCTGCAGTACCCAGCCTTGGGATAATGTTGACGAATGCTCAAAGTTGTGTCAGAGGAACTACATCTCCCACCAGAGTACTGTTGGCATATTTTATGTGTGTCAATGTGTGCATCTGGGTGATGGGATCAACCACACCAATCTTAAAGCTGCGCACATAACAAATATATTGATCACACCATGTGATACGTGAGCCTCATCGAGGTATTGGGCACATGATGAGCTGCAATTCGCAGATGGCATGACCTTCAAAAGAGGGGAAAGGTTTCAGGGGTAATCAAAATGTATACAAGTACTAAAGAGCTCACCCTTTAACCCAGACTTAAGCCAATCATACGCGCTATCAATGCTGAGAATGGCAACATCCTTTCAGCCTGTTAAGAACCATGCTCAAAGGAGAGAGAGACTGTCTCAGAGGGGCTTGGCCTCAGCTCGTATGCTGTGCCCCTTACCTGAGTATGTGCCCTTCATTTCAGAGGAAGTCCGATAATGGTCCAACGAAGTCCAGAGGACTTCCAGAGGCTGGCTACTCTGGTGGAGAGTGTGGGAGGACTTCCGGAGGAGCGCAGGAAACGTCCAGAGGAGCGCGGGAGAGTTCCGGAGGAATGCAGGAAGTGCTCAGGAGAGTTCCCACTGCAAGGTAATACTTCTACAGGAAAACAGGATGGAAGGACAAGATGTCTGGAGGTCTGGAGTATGGAGGACAGGAGGTCCAGAGGTATGGAGGATGGAACGTCCAAAGGACAGGATGCCTGGAGGTATGAGGGACAGGATGTCTGGAGGTACAGAAGACAGGAGGTCCAGAGGTCTGGAAGGAATAGGGGCTACATCGGACGAAGTCCAATGTAGAAGCAAATGGAGGTAGACTACCCTAAGGTAGAGTCGGAGGGACAGGAAGTGGACCTAAGTCTGGAAAGAGGGTAAGTGCTGGAAAGGCAAGACTCTAGCCTAGGGAAGCAATCCCTAGACTTGGGACAGAGACATAGGGGACAAATCTGAAAGTCTGGAATTCCAGCCTAGGGAATCCTTCCCTAGGCCTTATGGAAAAGGATGAGACTCAGACAGACTGAAGTCCAGAAGATGATTGGCAAGTAGAACAGGATCTAAGATGAGAGAGCAGGAACTAAGATGATATTCAGACTGAGGACTCTACTGTAGTTGTACAGGGGTTATATACTAGAGGCTATCTGAGAGAATCAGTAAGCAAAGGAGTAAGGCTATGTACAAGCATGCAGAAACACATTGGTAAGTAAGACAGAACATAAGTAAATGAACTCGGAGATGAAACTAGTACAAGGATCAATCAGCAAGACGGAAACAGAGATAACCGAGAACCAGAAAGGCAGAGATGCCTAAATGGGGATAGGCGCAGGATCTCAGACAGAGGGTGGGAATAGGTCTGGAGATAGTACAGTTAATATCTGGAGGTCTGGAGATCTGGGGATCCAGAAGGCAGGACAGAAACAGGACTGAGATATGTGAGGTGGTGGATGTAGTCTGGAATCTGAGAGGAGGTAAAGTCCGGATGTCTTGCTGGACAGAATGTGCATAGGGTGGACAGGATAGGGGATCCAGGAATGAGTCAGATATGGGGTCCGGAAACAGGTCCAGAAAGCGTGGGAATATGATGGGATCTATGTCTGGCATACGGGATATGACACAGCCACCCAACACGTGCAGGAGAGGCATGCATGGTTTGCACAGGTAAAACAACACTGGGATTGTGGAGACAAACTTGCTGCAAGCGAACAGTATGCCATATTTGAATGTGCTCAAAAGGAATATTCAAGGGGTGGTCAATCAGCAATCTTCTTGGGACCCCCACCCCAAAAACTCCATCTCCTTTCCTTGCATTGCATTGAAGGAAGCCTGAGAGAGCATACCACAGATCTAGGATGTTAAATTGATCGGCGACCTCATCAATTTTCAAGCCAGTGCAGGTGGGGTTACAGTTGAGATGAATGGCAGTGCTGCCAGCAAGGAATGTACAAGGAGAGTGAGCCTGGGGAATTTCATTGTGCCTTGCAGTAGCCAACATTCTTATTTTGCTGAAGTAGTTGGAACTGGTCCGAGTGTGATTCAGTTCTTCTAAAAGTGCGGTTCATGGATCCATCGGTTCACTACTTGCCCCATTTTCTTCCTCGTCCTCGTCCCATTCAACCTCATGAAGTTCTTTGAGATCAGGATCAGTGGGAAGGCTCTTGAGAGTTGTAGCAATTGCAAAATGATGCAGTTTCTCTGCTTGATCTAAGTGATAACAGATTTGGGGATCATAATCATTGTTGTTCATGTGCCACACTGGATCCTTGATTTCAGAGATGTGTGCATGTTCAGTTGCATCTGTGGACCACTGGATGAGGGCGCTGACTTGGGATATGCTAGCAGTAATGCTCTGCATGAGCTCCAGCTTGGGTATGTGCCAATTATCAATGACTCTCTTTGTACCCATCTGAGCACCTAGTGTCATGACAGCATCTTTGTTGTTATGAAATATTGCAAGTGATCTGTTGATAGATGTCAGTACACTGTCATCAGGTGAGGGAGACTGCACTAAGTATCAGACATCCATTAAAGCATGAATTGCAACCATGAATCAAGGAGGGGCTGCACCAGCAATCAGTCCAATGATATAATGCTGTATATCATGGTGGACTCTGCCCATGACCTGTTTCAGTTTGGAGATTCTGTTGGAGAAGTGGTGATAGCCTGTGATGGGTTGCAATATTGACATCTGGAAATCAAATTCCACCACTCCAAGAACTACAAGACAGCATTGCATGTCATGGTCATAGAATTGCTTATGCCAGTGATGCAGAGCTTCCAGTGTGAGGAAGATTGCAGGATCACTGAACCACCAACCCTTCCAGAAAGGTGCAAAGACACCATTTAGCCAGAAATCTGCACATGCAGCAAAAAAGCTTTGAGGTTGTTGGGATCAGTATTGATGCTGGGGAGCTGCTTGAGAGTGATGGCATGTGTACATGCAGGGTGACAAAAGTTGTCCCCAAACTGCAGATACAATGCCAGTGTAAATGGAGAAGTTTTACCATGCACACATGCAAGCATACATGCCTTGGGAGTATCAACAATGTATGCAGCAAGGGGGGTAAAACAGTGGTGGATGTTTCCCACTGGGTCGGACATCATGATTCCAAGTTCGGCGGCTTTCATCAGGGGCTGCAAAACAATCAAAAGATACTCATGGATGAGACAATCTTCGAGCATACCCTGCATTTGTTGATTAGGGTGTAGGTACTGCAGGATAGGGAGGAGAGCCGTGAGCATGAATGTCTTGGACAAGAGCTTCATAGGAGTGTGCATGTGAATATTAGCAAGGCCTAGCAGAAGCAGGTGTGTGACCCTGGCACCTGTCATTGTTGTGACATTGGTCTTGTCAGACGAAAGCACAGTGCCAAGGATTGTTGCACCTTGGGGCAGTTGATCCTACAGTCTTGTGAGATGGTGCACATCATGAGTCCATCAACAGCATGTACTTGGATGCTCCAAGCAGTGTCACCTGTCAACCATTCCAAATACACATGCAGGAGCTGTGCTGCAGTCTTGTAAACATGATGAGGGATAAAGTCAAGTTGGTCATGAACAAGGGGATTACTGAAGAGACTCTCCAAACACTTGACTGGGTCCCTCCAAAATAGTTGAATTGGGCTTTTCATGCCATGAAGTGAGGGAATGAGTTGGCATTTCCAGCTCAGTCCCTTTGGCAGCACTTCAGCCCAGCTTCACAAATCTTTGGCGTTGTTGAATGACAGTTGTAATTGTTTTATCTGTGAGGTAATGTCATGATCAAAGCATGAAAGCAACAAGGAAGATACATACCATAGAGGGCTGTAAAAAGGTATTGATTGCTGCCATGCTAAGGGCAGAACACAGGAGGAAGTCGGCGACCTCCCACTCTTCCCTCAATGCAAATGGATAAAACAGGTTCTCCTTCCTATATTCTGCATACTCGCCAGCATCAAAAAGATCCAGAAATGTGACACCATCTTGAGAATAGCACCTGGCTGCACCCTCATACCATTCCTCATTAATTGGAGGTAAATTTCCTGTGAGGTCTCCATCTAAGTTGGTATCCATGGAATCCCAGCCTGAGCATCAAATTGCGAGTCACCCCCAACACCAAATCCCTGACTCATATCAACACTAGTATCCAAATTCTGAGGTGGATCAAGGGATCGCTGTGGTGGAACTACATCTGTGAATTCCAAGATGTCGACGATGTCATGAATGGAACTGTGACAAGATGTCCAAGGCTGACTTAGATGGCGAGTGATGCTGGAGTCCTTGGTGAAAACTTTCCTGCACTTTGGACAGGTAGGTGTTGGCATCATTGATGATGTGTGCACTCAAGTTCCCACACTTCTTTCATTCGGTCTAGGTGCATGTACATCCATATGTCCTCTCATTCTGAAATATTTACTTGTTCTTCTCCTAAAACTAACTATTATCCTCCCTCGACTCCTTGAGCCTCATCATCCCCTTCAAGTTGGCCTGATAAAGGACATCTGTGCCCTACACATTCTCCACAATTGCACCCTGTCAAGGAGGAGGAAGATGATGATATGAGAGCTTACCTATACCAATGTATTTTGTGAGCTGCACACACTTATGTGTTGCTTTGTTACTCATATCCCACTATCTGCAGGAACAAGGCTCAACCAAGTCCAGCTACTTGTTTGATCAGCCAGCAGAAGAAGAAGACTCCAACCTCACACTCGAGGCAGCCCAGGCCAAATGCAAAGTGTGTCAAGCTCAAAAACACCTGGCCAACTGCCTTTTGGAGCACCATCAAATACTTATCCATATCTCCTGCTGCCGGGCAGAAGCTGCAAACCAGCATCTATTATTGGCTGACCTCAACGTTGGATGCATGCACTCAGAGCACCAGAGGAAAAATGGTATCACAATGTTTACTATATGAGCATGACACTGAGTAGTAAGTTTTTATTTCCTATTACCACTGTTATTAATAAAAATGAAAATAAGACCTTGTAGCATAGTAAATAGTTTGTTCTCGCTGCACATATATGTATACAAACTCGCTAGTATTATATATGTCTTTTACAAGTGCTACAGTGTGTAACGGTTTGTGTCACTTGTACAGTGTGTGAGCTTGTGGGCTTGTACTTGCTTGTGCTGCTGTCCACTTGTACCCAGACTTATGGTCATTTGTTTGTGATGTCTGTGGGACCTGTGATCCTTGCGCGGACTTGTGCAGATTTGTCAAGCGTGTGGGAATTGTCGCGAAATCAATAGTTTGCTGATGCAGACCATTTTTTCTATATTAAAGATTTCATACTTTTACACTGATTTCTTCATTTCACCATCCAAAGGAGTGGTTGATCACTGTACAGACTGAATTGTAAGTACAGATCTTGAATTGTTCCTATGAGCTGTATAATGCCAGTGATTCATGTCAACAAATATTTGCAAATCAATAATAACTTCATTCGAAATCCTTGCCTCTAACACCAAATAGAAATCCATGTCGACAAAAGTAAAAAGTCTATTGCAGAGCTCGACATCACCCTCAGAACTAGAGATGAAACCCAGTTTATTTCTGTCTCCAAGTACTGCACTACATGTCAACACATTCATCACTTTCAATCATTCATCTCTTTCACTCTCGCTCATCCTCGATATCTTTGGGGTACAAAGTTACCAGCCGAGTGAGGAGGGCGACATTGTTTGCAGTTCCAAAGTATCTGGAGCACTGGAACGACCAGACCAAATTTCCACCAACCCAACGCGTAAGAGCTTCGACGTAGAGCGCAACGTCACGGTCAATATCTGCGCCCCAGGACGGCAAACGAGACTTGTCCTTCAGAAAACGAGCCATGAGCTGTTCAAAGACAACTCCGATGCAGTCCGCTGCATCTTGAACGCTTGCGTCTTTCTCCCGCATCAGAATAGTAACAATATTGTTGCTGGTGTGGCCCATGGCCTGCTCTACATTGTATGACAAGAGGTCCTGCTCTCAGTTAGTTCACGATCTTGTTCATCATCAAGAAAGCTGCAAAGGCACGCACATTTGTCCAGCACACCATGTCAACAGCTGCAAAATAAACACTTTGGAAGATGGGATCATCAAAGACTGCATCAGGTAATTCGATGTCGAGGTTATATTCTATGAAGGCGAAACAGCACCTCACAGCGCTGTTTTCACGACGAAGAGGCACGAAATTAATAAGATCGAGAACTCCTCCGGCTTCTCTGAGTTCTGCTTCCTGCGCAACAGCTTTGGTGTATCCCTTTAGGCTGCTAAGGAAGTGTTTGAAGAACTGCGGCTTCGCGGAACGGATAACGGCTTGGCGAAAACTGCGAAACCAAATCCCGTTAGTAAGACACGCGACACACAAGCCTAGATTACGCATACTCAAGAATGATTTTGGCCAAGTTAGACTCATGCTTGAAGTCTGGATCAGCCATAACTTGATAGAAGACCTCGCATGCGCCGTTCGCATCCTTGCCATTCATGTCATCGCTAAGATGATCCAGGACGAACAACAAGTTGAGGAAGTCGCAGGTTGTTCTGAATCCCTCGCGCCCTGCGTATGGGTATGCGAGGGCGCAGAGAAGCTCAGACTGGCTCTTTTCCATGATAGCGTTTTGTTTGTCGTTGCAAACATTGAAACGGGTGGCCCACGCCTTACTCTCTGCACTGCACTCCTGCAAGTGAGGGCTAGGTTTGCTAAAGTCGAAGGGACAGAGGGAGAAGAAGTCAGGAAGAGTGTACTGGATGATTGCAGAAGACATGTTACAGTTGTGAATCCAGCAGTCATCGTAGGAGTACTTATACCCGCTTCGCACTGCGTCTACGTCAAACTCCTTGTCCTTTTCGTCAAAAGAAAATTTGATATTAGGTGATGTCACTTATTTTCGTCAGCCCGACATACCCTTGGCAAACGATTCATCTAGTATGACAACAGCTGAATATACACAAGCCAGACCAAACCTGGAGAGTTGTGAAGTACGTTTCAGGTCTGCTGCGTCTTGGCTGGTTTTGGTTTAAAATTGCGTAGATGTCGGTGCGGATTTGATATATTGGCGCCCCATTGAAAATGCAACATTGACAATAACATCCTTCAGCTATAGATGGTATGACCATCACGGCATTGTCACTTACACCGGGGTGAGCACCACCATATGGCAAGTGACCAATGGATGATGAATACATCGTGATAGATCTAGCACGTTTATTCCGGCAATCGCGCAGACAGCATGTGCTACCAGTCACCAGGAAAAGGTAAGTGCTGAGATAGTAATAGCACTGAGCTAGTAATGGTCATCCCACAGTCATCGGGTGTTAGATTAATTCTACAAAATGACAGTCAAAAGCAAATTCAGACGGAGCCAGAGCACCAACACACCTACTCTAGAGCATTCTAGAGTATACTACCGAACACGTTTTCGGCAGAGGTTGCAAATTGATTTTCGAAAGGGCTGATCTACCATCTGTCTTGCGTAATGATGCCCTGAAATGAATTACGACCACAGGGTGAGCACTAGGCACGGCAGTGGCAGTCATGTACCGTGTACAAGTACACTGTTATGCACGACAGATCACCACACAACTTTTGAAATCAAGTGAGATCACCCCGGAATGAATTCTAGGACCTAATCGCGAGCCAATTTGCGGGACTCACGACGGCCGCGAGAGCCGCAATCTACATAAGAAACAAGCCCCCGAGACTCGCGATTAAATCAGCGCAGCAAACAAACACGGAGAACGTACCTTAACTTGCACCGCCGACTGAACCCAATCCCTTCTGCCCCGTTTTCGCTGCAGGATCAAGGTTGGGTTCTTTGATATCCGCAGAATACGCCGGTTTCGTCAGAGTCACCGTATGTCTCGTCATTTGCTTCCCCTTTACGGACATCTTATCTGAGCGCTCTCTGAGATTATTTGGAGGAGCGGGTTTCTGATATTGACCTGTCACAATCGGACCTTTATCTGCAAGCCGAGGATACATTTCGAGCGATGAGTGATACTTTGATATAGCACTAGCCCCACCAAATAACGAGCGTTGTATGGATAGCCAGCACTTTCCCGTTCTTTAACCTAATCAACGTTTCAAGCTGTTTGATGAAAATTCTAGAGCACGCGTCATACCCATTAGGAGCTGGAGTGGCTAGTACAATTAAAGTCTCCAGCGTTTCCTCTTGGGAGACCCGTGATGCTATTGCTTGAAGCTGAGCTTGTGTTAATAACAGAAAGGCAGAGACCTATAGCTCCTGTGACATACCGGCAGAAACGAAAAAAGAAGTACTAACACAGATGGCTAGTAGTAACCATCAAGGAAAACTCCGGATTTTGTCAAGCGCTCATAATCGAGTTCCGACCGACGAAAGCCATCGCCACAATCGCCTACGAGGGCCAACCTATGTTATGACACAGTCGGAATGTAGCTGCAACGTGTTGATAGTTGGACGGATGTGTTATCAGGCCGCAAGTTGCGAGTGAACGTCGCTCCGAGTTTTGAGTTGTCCTCGATTGCATCCTTGATTGCTACCTTTCTCCTGGGAGTTACAAGTACTTGGTCCAATTGTAGTCCGCTATTTTCCACACCACACTGGCCGTCGCATGCACCCGATTTCGCCGTTGTAAGATCACGCATCTCAAGTTAGTACCAAACACCAAGCACATCTTACCGTGACAATGCCTCTCCTTCCGCCTATCAACTTCCCGCGCTGGCTCGACCAAAACCAGCACCTACTCAAGCCTCCTGTGAACAACTTCTGCCTATACCGGCAAAAGGACTTCACTGTGATGGCTGTAGGCGGTCCCAATGAGAGAAACGATTACCATGTGAACGAGACCGAAGTGCGTCTATATGATCGCTAAGATAAGAAATTGTACCGATTTCATTTTAGGAATGGTTCTATCAGTACAAGGGTGGCATGTTGCTCAGAGTGGTAGACGGGGATGAGTTCAAGGATATCAGGATCGAGGAGGGAGAGATGTTTTTACTGCCGGGTACGTTGAAGACCCTATCATCGTCAAATGCATTGATTTTACCAAAATCACGTTAGCCAACACACCCCACAACCCAGTCCGCTTCGCCGATACAATCGGAATTGTCATCGAAGCTGCTCGTCCGGATGCATCTCATGGTGCGTATAGATTTCTACTGCGCCAGATAATGTATCTCGACGCGTCTTCGCATTCAGACTCCTTGCAATGGTACTGTCGTGATCCTTCCCATACCAAGCCAACTATCATTCACAAGGAGACCTTCCACGTCACCGATCTCGGAACACAACTGAAGCCCGTTATCCAGCGCTGGATGTCGACCGAAGAATTGAGGAAGTGTAAGGAATGCGGGAATATCGCTCCTGCGAAGTAGCACGGTCCTGTCGGAGGTGAATAATATATGTACCCCCGCCTGAACTGTTTCGTATTCTGGTTCTGGTTCTGGTGCTAGTATACATGTAAATATGATAATGGAAAAACCATGCAAACCATGTCATATTTCTCTAGAAACATATACGATAACTGGCATATCGACCACTAGTTTCACTCGGACGAGTGATTTTGACGACTTGGCCTCTCCAAAGTCCATAGTATCGTGCCACGGGGTCAGCTAGTTGTATTCGAGGAAGCTGGGTCTCCCTCAGCCGACTAAGTGGATCGCAATGTAAGAACACATCAACTCATTCAGAGAATAAAACGCACTATTTTTCAAGAAGTTGTTTTTTCTGCTCAACGGTCAACACCTCATGCCGCGGGACCAGTGTGTGATGCGTGATATTGACGAGTAGGTCAGCTTCTGAAAACTCCTCGAGCCGATATTGTTTAGACATCGCCGCAATTACCTGCAAAGCAAACGTAAGGTTGCTACTGCGAGAACACAGAATCAAGCTCGCACTTTTCGCGCGGATGGCGTCATGTTACCAGGAAAGATAATGATCCCCCGCATGATCGACTTCTCCTCGAGAATACCCAATAGCCTGCGTGTTCACCCTACATCAGACGAACAGGCACAAGGGGCGTACATAGACGAACTTCCGCATTGTTTTAACGCCGACGCTTTTTTCATCCGAAAAGAATATGAAAATCTGATCTGCTGGATTTTCTCTGGAGTTCGTGAAGAAATTGAGCTGGTTTCGACTGGAAATGCAAGTCAACATCTGCAAGTGTACAGTACTGCATAATAGCTGCAACTGACTCGACGCTGCCTCCACTGTTTGCATAGTGCGACCTGAACGTGGTCAGGTCCATGTTAATCTCTTCGTCCGAGACTTGGTACCCCTTCGCCAATGATTCATTAAAAATGCACGAATACACCAATGAACATGATTTCGCACCCTATCTTTTACAAGTTCATGGATTGTCCGATTGACCTTCCATAGTTTCGCAGTTTCGTCCTCAGCCATCTTTCAAGTCGAGGGGAGTAGCCGGCAAAAGCAGTATTGAAACTCAGACGCCCAAAGTGATCCTTGACGAGCCTCTCACAATGCCGCCTCCACCAACGACCTCTAACGGTAATGCAGCAGCACCTCCACCAGCAACGATTCCGCTCTCAAATGCGTTGATGGTAAGTCCAGAATATGGTTCTGTATGCGTGCGCTGACAGGTCTGTCCCAGGCAAAGTTGAAGCCCGCGAAAATCTTCAAGGGAGCAGTTGAACCGACACCGCCGTCAACACCTGTCGCTAGATCACATCAAGGACCACGACACATCACTGCCATCACATTCGATGACCGGGGAGATCAGGTGTTGACTGCAGCTGAAGATGAGACTTTTCGGTTGTACAGCTGCAAGACGGGCAAGCAAGTTCTTACCACACTCTATTTCCTTCTGACGACTAATTTTTTGACATCGCGCTCAGACATCTCAAAACGCTGTATTCTAAGAAATATGGGGTCGACCTTCCTCGTTTCACACATAGACATACTACCGTCGTACACGCTTCGACGAAGGAAGACGACACGATTCGGTATCATTCACTGCACGACAACAAATACTTGCAATATTTCAAGGGGCACAGCGGACGCGTCGTCTCCTTGGAAGTTTCACCTATCGACGATGGTTTCATGTCCGGCTCAGTAGACAAAACAGTTCGATTATGGGACCTCCGCGCCCCGACATGTCGCGGGCTCCTGAACCTACCTGCATCACCCATCGTCGCGTACGATTCCAGCGGGTTGGTGTTCGCAGTAGGTGTGAATCACTACTCACGGATACTCCTATACGACCAAGCAAACTACGACAAAGACCCGTTCTTGACCATAACGCTAGAAGACCCCACCCTCGCACTAGTCAGCTACCCACCTCGCCCAATATACATGACATCTCTCTCATTCTCGCCAAACGCGAAATACATCCTTGTCGGCTGTTCTGGTGATGCGCACTACATCTTGGACGCGTTTGAAGGTCATCTATTGGCCAAGTTGGAGGGTCACGTTGGGTTGGAGCGCCGACGCATCGATGCCCCGCAGACTATCGACCCCTCGAAGGGTAACAGTGGTGAGGAGGTATCCTGGACGCCGGATAGCAAGTATGTTGTCAGCGGCAGTTTGAACGGGAAAATAATCATATGGGACGTCCAAAACTTGCCTGTGCGGTCAGGCGTCGTTGATCTCAAGGCACATCCAACGCGACTTCAGCCGCTTACTACTCTTGATGGCCATCCCGGTCCGTCTAGATGTGTGAGATTCAATCCTCGGTTAGCTATGATTGTGTCCGCAGGGGCGGAATTGGTGAATATCTCGATCTTTCATCGTCCTACGCATCTTGTGCTAACGGCACACTGTACAGGCATTTTGGCTGCCAGACCAGTCGGCAGATAACGAGGAAATCGCAAAGGAACTCTTGCGAAAAAAGTAGAGATAAACTTATTGTTGCAGTATTATGTATGTACGGTGTGGACTTCATTTCTCAGACTCTAGACAATTGATATCGTGCGTGATGATAGTAATGAATGATGATTATGATACAACTTGTAGATAATTCAATGCCTTCCCCCGAATCTAAGAAGAATCGATCCCGCGGTCCTGCTGGTAGAAAACAATCAACTACACCCCGTAACCATTAGGTAGTTCACGGGGCAGAAACTACGAAAGCTTGGCCAAAGAAATTTGGTTATTCTTCGTGTCCACAGAGAGATACGCATTCTTCAAAAACACATCTCCGACCTGCCAAAGGAGTCAACGACCGATGATACAATTGAAAAGAGTCACATACCAGCCATTCCGTGTCCGTCCCGATGGTGCCAGGCTGAATCCCAGCTGTGCAGTCACCAGTTGGATCATTGACGTCTACAGGCAGCACCACCATGTCTCTGGGATCGATAGTAAACGACGCGTTTCCAAAGGAAAGCGCGACGCTTGCATTCGACGTGCACGGAATCGTACACTGCTGAGTATCACATTTGCCACCAAGCATAGCCATGACTGCTAGGGTATCCGCCGGAGGGGCGATGATGAGAGTGGTGCCAGTATCAAGGATGGCAGTGCGCCCGGTCATGCCTGTGTTTTGCCCGTTGACCGTGATTGCGTTGAGAGCGCCCTCCCAGAACCCTATCTTGCTGACATTGGGGATCGTAATAAGGGTGCTGGCGACGAATTTAGTGGAGTCCAGTCCGCCGAATGTAACTTGGCCGTCGTTAAGTTGATCGGCGAGACGTGAGATCTTGAAAGACGAAATAGCTGAGGAGATGAGACCATTGGACGCCAAAGATTCGACAGGAGTTGGGACCTTTTCATTGGAAAGTGTCTACAAAAGAATCCGTCAGTGTGTTGGCGCCTCAAGACCAACAAGTCGACTTACTGATTGGGCAAGACCCATCAACCCATCAAAAGGCACGGTGTCGGCAGAGAATTGCACACTCTCCTCGTTTGCTACGCCGAAGGTATGGTTTTTGAGCTGCAAACCCGCCATGTTGACGTTGTCCTGGCAAAGAACACCAGCAACGTTTCCAGACCCATACGTCACATTGAAATTTTGATTGGACTGAACGAAAGAGCTTGACGACTTGGAGCCAAGGAAAGTATGGTTCCCCTTGAACTGGTGTGAGCGGATTATAGCGGTTGCTATTAACAAGGACTTACACAAGTACCCTGCTGAGATTGACAAGATTCACTACCGACCCAGAAGTCGGCGGAACCAGAGTCCATAAGGATATTAAAGTTCTGGGGGGGAGTACCAATCTGGATAGTTGCAATATATCCGACATCATCTGCACTGCACGATCATCAGTTGACCGATTCAAGGGGAAGAACGACTGGACTCACTCAATAGCGAGGCCAAGAGTATTATTAGCAGTAGGCTGCTTGGCATGAGTGAGACCGCCATTTTCAGCAGCCTGGATATCGAGAGCAGAAACTCCACTACCAGTGCCGGTGGAAGAAACATTGCTTGCTGCCTTTGTAGAAGGTTTGGAATAACGTGAATGGCGTCTGCTAAAGTTGCTCCTTGCCACTGTGGTAGCGCTACTGGCACTGACTGAAGCGCTTTCAAGAATGTACATCCTCTTGTGCATCTCTGCACGGAGTTCATGTTCAGGAGGTTCTGAACGTCCGGTCATGCGCGCAAGGCGTTTGTTGCCACGGTTAATGTGTTGTTGGAGAAGCTGTGCCATCGAATGGTCAGGGGCTATGGGGGAGGTGATGATCATATCAGCTCACCAATTGTGGGTGGACGTCGGTCCGTGGAGCGTATAACCGTTTCAGTGGCATTGTAATCATCCTTGGGTTAGCCCGCGTCCTGGTGACGGGCCCTCGCCCTCGCAGGGATTGCATCAGATGGGGTACAGTTTAGAATGCATGCTAATAGCACAGCGAAAACGATTGACAACTGCATCACGCGTGAAGAACTTCTTTGCAAGTACAAAAGAGTGAAAAAACAGTGAGAGCAACGTCGACTAGCGACAACTGGAACAGTTAGCAAAAGTTGAAACAGAATTTGAGATCGACTAGCGAACTATTGGAAGAATAAAATCGGGTGAAAGACAGTACGGCGCCAGGCCAGAGTTCGTAGACGTGGAAGGTGAGAAGATCCTAAGTGGACCGAAAAGTGATGTACTTCATTGATCTACGAACGTTCTTATATGTTCGTTGCACAGAACCTTTTGTCTTTCTTTCTTGGAATCATGACAATGACATAAGCACGTGTATAGCCTAGTATAGCCCGCAGTCGACACTTTGTTGTTCCCAACTTGCAAAGGTCGCAACGGTAGCACCGCAACAAGACCAAAAAAAAAGCATATCCAGTTGACAACCTCTGACAGGCTACAGCTCAGCTTTTCACTGGACCAAGAGTTTCATATAACTCGGATCATCTTCGAGGTAAAATAAGCTATGTATTGGTTTCCCACAGGAGATGATCAGCGCCTTTCAGGGCCATCTAACACGGGGACTTTGACTTGAAGTACTGTGACTGAAAAGGTGTGCTACCAACCCCATTCCCGTGACTAGCAAAGCGCTTTCCTCACGGGCAACGACCTACAACGACCTTTTAGGTGCCATATGACAATATTGAATTATTTGTGCGTGCCAGTGCTCCCCAGCTTGCTACTAAAATGATGTATACTCCAGGAGGTGGTTGCCATCATGATAGTCGCTCATGGGCGCATGGGCACGATACCGTTCAGCCTGTGCACTTGGTCTTTTGAATCTTCTCACGGAACATCCTCTGCAGGGTCATGTCGAGCGTCTGTATCGCCATGACTTGGAGTTGTTCATCCGGATTTATGCCTGGGTTTGTCTGTTGATCGTCGGAATCTCGCACCGTCCATAAATGGGCACATGTTCACGCCATACAGTGACAACAAGAAGAACAAATCTTTATCGCAGTATCCATTGGTCTCAGCAAAAGTTTCTACCTCGACACCTTATGTATTTTACGAGGTACCCAGCTCTCTCGCGCAATATCTCATGTCGTCCTAGTATGTCTCGCTTCGGCTGTGCGAATCTGTGCCATCAACGCCTGATGCCACCAAGCCTTTTCGAGATCATGATGTTCCACCATCTCCCTTCAGTTCCTTTGGTCAGGAAAGCTCAAAACCCATCCTTCCCGTGGACCCGTTATCTTGCTACCCGTCGTCTTGCCTCCCTCTCACCTCATTTCTACCTCCCGGGCGGCATTAGAGACGCTTGATGTTGAAACTTCGGGGGGACTCCCCTTAGCCCACGTACCGCCAGTCTATGTAGGCCATCATCCATTGTTTGTCTCTTTGGGATCTGGGATGAAAGTACAATCTCCGCTCCAAGGATCCGCTTTTCACCAATTCTCTAAGCTTGACCGGTACGCGGTAGAACGGGCACAGCTTGCAAGGGAAATCCAGACCAAACCTCTATGGCAGGAGGCTGCGGCTCTATCTATCGAGGACCGACTACGACACACCGCAGGACTAAGGACTATGCGCCAGGACCCCTGGCACACCCGACCCGATATGTCCTGCCAGAGCGCCCTGCTACAGCGGAGCACGTCCACCATGCGAAGACCCTTCTCTCTAAGAGTACCAGTGAAGCCCGGCTTTGTTGGTGCTCCACGAGACGCGCCTCCGAAGTTCATCTGCCAGGGTTGGTTGGAAAAAAAAACAGTTTAAGCGAGTGAAACATCGGCAGGGAAGGGTAAGTCTTATTTTTAGAACGAAAATCCACCACTCAAAGGCCTTATTACACCCTTTCAGGAATTTCTCTCAGTACTCCGCTATGACAAATCTTACGTATGTTGCGAGTGGCGCTAGGCGTTTTCAAGGTAGCTCGCTGTAAGATTGTCCCAGGGAAGTTCGACCAGGACAAGGGCCTCTCATCCACCTGTGACTCCAAAATAAGTACTATAAATTGTTCAATAAATAGATGCAGGGACTCGTAGTATTCTGAGTTTTCCCTAGTTGTGCGCGGTAATGGTCGGGTATGTGACAATATCCTTACCGATGCCAAGAACGTCTGACTTTCGAGTTTGCAGTGAGCATGACGTTCTCCCTTGTTTCTGGGTAGTTTTGCGGCGCGTTTCTTGCACTATGTATGGGGAGCGTGGCAGGTACATCCGAAGCAGGCAATACATTGTAAGCCTGAACTACGTATAGAAGCAGTAATCAATAAGTCTCGATAGGTCCATTGGACTCCATCTTACCCGGCCCAACCAACTCATGAGTCTGAGGAGGTCTGCGGCGATACGCAGCAGGACTTGGGGAGCTCCTCTGTTTATTTGTTCCTCTTTTTTCGTCATCCAGATTGTTCTAAGTTACCCGTACCCGTACTACCCGACCCACAACTCGCCCGCGGGTGCTGCCCCGGGTCGGTACCCGGGAAAGCCTCACCCGTGTCACACCGTACTTACCATGTAGTCATCCGTGTCGTTCTACAGGAAAAAATTCAAGCATCAACGTAATGTGATCGGTTTGTGCACATCCGAATCGACTGTCTGAGCTTTAACCTTCACAAATAAAAGCGTCCGCGAAGGTCGAGCATTCTTCAGGAAGATGGAGTCCCTCCTCAAAGTACCACTCATTCTCTCGCCCCCTATTGCGATGCACGTAGCGTTCACGCCTCCTCATACCCCCACAAGTGACGATGTTGTCCACGAGAACTTCATTGAGTGGATTCTCCTTCAGGATATCAACTATGGGCTGCCAATCACAAAGGTAGCTGATCGTTGGTTCCCTACAATCATCTCTAACGAAACTATCAGGCAGTTTCCTGGGCTATTGCTTCCACAGAACTCGCTATCACTGCCTCACACGCTGTAGATCCCAGCATGTTTCCCAACGGGTTACAAGCAGTAACCGGCTCACTTCGAGCGATTCAAGACGTTTCCATCACTTCCCTTTTCCTTGTCGGCACCACACTCATCGTCATTGGAGGATTCATCCGCTGGTGGTGTTTTCGCACTCTTGGTCGTTTTTTCACGTTCAAGCTCAGTGTCCGCAAAGGGCACCAGCTTGTCACGAGTGGACCATACGCGATTGTCCGCCATCCGTCCTACACGGGAGCTGCCCTGCTCTCCATCGGCCAGTTTATATTACATGGATCGCTGTCTTCATTGGTTAGACGCTCAGGGGTTTTAGACAACCCTGCGCTGAAAGTGATTGCGATGGTACTGCTGATATGGAGAATGATTGTCGCAGCAAGCCTCATACTTAGGATCGGGCATGAGGATGAAACGGTGAAGTCAATTTCCAGAGCAGAGTGGGAAAACTGGGCTAAGGTAGTCAAGTATCGCCTCATTCCTGGCGTTTATTGAATCAATTACGCATGGGATGTAATGTAGCGCGTAATGTTGGGGAATGCGTGCTGTCCAGATGGGCAGCAGCGAGACTTAATGAGAGTGAATTATTTACTGCTAATAGAGCTGAAATTCATCTTAAAGTTTGACATGAATAACAGCAGCCCGCCACCTGACATTATTACGTAAGCACAGGAAAGCCTGTACGTGAAAGCCGCGCCTAATTGAACAACGTTTACATAAATTGTCTTGTGCCATGCCATGCCTCTGTGCGGTGATTCGCGTCTCGGGTACCGACACCAAACGCACTTCTCGACAGCTAAAAAACCCATTCCTACGTTTCAGTTGAGTACGGCATACCCCCACGAGAGTCCAGAGGGTTTGGCAGCTCCCGGGGCATGCTGTTTTTTGCAGGAGCCCGATTTTGTCCTGCAGGACAGCGTGCCCCGTGAAAAACCACACCGTCTGGTGGGCTCATGGGGCATGGCACCGTTCCCGGATGTCCTGACAATGACGGCACGCGTTTTCTACGTTCGGAATGCCATAATAATATTGCCCGGCTATGTAACCTACTAGGTACCCCCGTCAAGTTCGAAAATTCATAGTAGAACCGACAACAGAATCGACAGGCCTGTTTCTGGTTATCGAACCATGTATACTTGGTTTCTTCGCGAACAACTTCAAATTCCACTCAACATGTTCGCTTCAACTTAATGTTACAGTCATCACCGAGCAGTAAGATAGTATAATCTTATCCATGTATCCACGCTACTCGCATGCTTGCCCCTTGTTTTGTCATTTTGTTCCCTTCGGTAATGTCTCTCCTTCATTACCGTGTATTTACTCCGTACTGTTTCGCATCACCACTCTCGTTGCTGATGTCACGACGTGGCACTGTTGGCGATTAAATCTTCGGATAACATAGCTTTTGTACCATACATAGGTAGCATGTACTTGGTACATAGCCTAGAGTTTTGCCGCCCCCAACCAATTTTACCGCTTATAAACAGTAATTTACCGATTATGACTGTTTATACCCGGTAGATTGGCTGGGAGCGGCAAAACTCTAGCAGAACCGACCTACACTAGAAGGAACTGAGGTCCGACTGATACCATAAACTCCAGTATGTTCGTACGTTCACTCATTAAGTACGGCACTTATATTTATGTGTTACTAGGAAATATGACATAAGGACCACTGGCGAGAGCACCGTTTTTTTCATTGTATTGTTCCCAAAAGATGACGGACTTGAATGAACGGGAGGCCAAACTTGAAGCTCTCTCGGACTCATCATCAATTTCTCTGCACGCCAAGTAATCGCGGAATACAAGAACACAGGATATGGGTCCCTAGTACCGACTTAACCACCTTCCACCCTCTCGACTCGGCGACAAATACAGTTGCCCTCAAAAAGGCAATTAGGCTGCTCGAAGGTGCATACCACCAATTGAGCGCAATACTGGCTCCCCCCCAGCACACGGTGATGAATGTGAGTGCCCCTTGTAAACGATCTCTCTTCTGTTGCTCATTCCCCAAGTTTGTTTTGAATTACAATTGGGCTTGCATGGATGTTGCCGTGCGAGCGCATTGCAGATGTTTTGGATAAACATCCAGATGGTCTTAGCGCGATCAGGCTGGCCGAAGCAGTCAACCTCGGCAAGCGCAAGACTGCACGCGTCTTACGAGCCTTATCCCTCATGGGCTGCTTTAAAGAAGGTGACGTGCATCACAATTGACAAGGTTCTCTAAAGCCTGCAATGTATTAAACAGTCGAACAGGAGGTCTTCGCAAACACTCGGCTATCCCTCATACTCAAGTCAACAAACAACATTGGATGTTTTGCAGGACTTCATTCTCAGGACGTCGTGAAATACGCCGGAGTTCTCTACGAGAGTATGATTGACAAAGAATTTTCTCGTTCACATGAGCCCGACAAAGCGCTCTGGGTATTGGCCTTCTGGAAGGAGGGTATGAAGGTTAACTACTAGGAAATGATCAATGATGACGTGAGCTTTCGTCGTCACGCTGCCCTTCGCTTACTTGACACATTTTATAGGATGAGAAACGAGAGATGCATGCAGAGTGTTTCATCCAGGACTGCTGCATCGCAAGCCATTGCTATTTATGAATCGTTACCGTGACTGATGTAGGTCGTAAGACTATCCTTGAGATAATGTTTCATCTGCAGGAGACATCGGATCTGGCATTGGGACATTTTCCACTCCTCTGGCGAAAATGTTCCCTCATCCCAGAATAACTAATCAGGATCTCCCGGAAGTTCTTCTGGAGGAACAAAATGTGAGTTCAAACAGTCCAGTACCCGTGATCATCTTAGCGGGCACCTTATCTGTATTTGACAAGGCATGGGAGAAGAATGCTCCCGAGGCACTGATAGACGGGCGCGTGAAGTTCGTGCCAATCACATCTGGCAGGACCGCGATGCAACGACAATCCTTCATAACATTCGCAAGGTCATGGGACCAGCAGCCTGGTGCTAATTCGCAAGTCAGCTGCAGTTCAGTGGGGTACTTTCTACAAAGCCAATACCTTGTGTGCTAGATGATCAGTGCATGCTCTTGCGCACATTGAAGGAACTTGGCATTGGAACTGACGGGTTAAGCATCGTGAGTCCCAGCCTGGCTGGGAAGGGAAGCCCATACATTTGAGTAGGAAAAAACACTGAAAAGCAATAGAGAGAGCCACCGGAACTAGTAAGGTAGCGCAATGAATCTCGGCAGCCATTGAACCCCCCGAAAAACGATAGACACCAGTGGTTGAATAGGTCTGAATCCACTGATTAACTACTGTACAGCATAGACGAACAGAACACGGACAAACGCGCATACGGAACGAGTAAATCAGTGCAGGTAGTGTCCAACATAGGACGTAGCCCCAGCAGACAATATACGGTAAGTGAGAATGGACGAGCGTTGAGTTGCAGTCTATGACCCCAATATCCAACATGTTGCACAGTGCAAAAGTATACGGAATGGAAATGACATCCTTCTGGGTCAGGGAAGCACATAAACACCTTAGAATTGGCTTTCGCAGATCACAACCCAGAAGCAGAGGATGAGTGCAGTGCTCGACACCTAGCAGCGAGAGTTAGGGATCAATGGAAATTGGTTCTTGCGATTGAATGATTGTGGAATAGCAATACATCGGTAATAACTGCCACTGGACACCATAACAAAGACAAGCTACACTCGCTGTCCCAGACAGAGACAACCTCGAGCTTCTGGCCTTAGACTGCAGCAGCGGTAATGGTTTATGAAAAGTCGGGACTCCAAGATGATGCTCAAGACACACCTTCAACAAGACCTGTACATCAAACAACGTAAACTTATAACATTCAAAACCAAGCCATAGACAATCACCTTCGACATCACGGGATTCCTCGGCAACAATGTCTGTGCCACAATGCGCATCTCGTTAGACAAGATGCAAATAATGCAAGCACGCTGGGACATACACGCGAACTTCTTTTGCGAGCGCTTCTCGACATCTGTCATCAACCAAGTAAGTAGTCCATAAGAAAATGAGGCTAGCGCTGAAGAATCACCTTCGGCATTAGAAGAGTTCTCAGCAAGCTCATCTGAATGGTTTGGTGAGACATGGCGTAGATGGGACGAGTGCCCTGGAACATACACGCGAACTTCTTTTGCGAGCGCTTCTCGACATCTGTCATCAACCAAGTAAGTAGTCCATAACAAAATGAGGCTAGTGCTGAAGAACCACCTTCGGCATTAGAAGAGTCAGCAAGCTCATCTGCATGGTCTAGTGAGACATGGTATAGATAGGATGAACACACTGGAACATACACGCGAACTTCTTTTGCGAACGCTTCTCAATGCCTATATCATCAACCAGATGAATAGTCAAGAGAAAATGAGGCTAGCACTGAAGAATCACCTTTGGCGACGGGAGATGCCGCCGTCATCTGTAGCAAAGCGATGGCGACAAAAATGAAAGACAAAGTAGGTTTCATGATGGTTAGATGTAAGTAGTGGTGATCGTTAGAGGGGGTTGTGTGTACAATTGATGCGAGGAGAGGCCTTTATAACTTAGGTAGCTCGATTATCTTGCAGATCCATTCGCAGAAACCTTCATCCTATGATCGTTTTGGTGTGCATGTCGCATGCTTAGGAAAAGCCTGAGCATTCTTCCGTTCGCAACCTGTTCATTCAATGCGCTAGCACGAGGCAAGGAAGTCTGCCATCAGGGAGGCCCGTATTGTTTCTTTTTGCATCTTGATTACTTAGGTAAAACATTCTTCCGATAGCAAAAGAAAAGGTGTGGTGAGGTTCATAGTGAGAGTGGAGATGTGACTCGAAGGTCCTGTTCAACAAATCTGTCAGGTTATTTCCCTGCATTGATCAAAACCATGCAGGGACACGTCACTGTGAGGGATTCAGTAGGCACAGCCCGTACTTGCCCTTACTGGACATGCTCTCAACGTATAAAATTGAAGTCCATCTAGTGGTCAGAAGATAGAGAAATTCAGGCCTGGATGAATATAATTGTTGAGTCAACTCAGAGTCCTTGTTGTTTCGTGCCCTAGAGCATTTGAGCCGAGCAACCCGACAAAATACCAGTGGGTGGGTACTTTGCTGCCGACAAGCTAATTAGAGGAGGATATTTATCCGTTACGCCACGTACCTTCATGGCATCGTATTCGCCTCTCCGAATGCACGAGCTGGAGCATCAACCTGAAGACTCTGAAGATGCTATTCTCCTCCCCAGCAAACACGTCATTCCTGAGCACCGCACGTCAGACCCCCCGGCATCTACATGGCCAACTTGGGCCGCACTCGAACACTCTGTCATAGCAGTTATTTGTACACATGCATTGTACACCATTGCCTCTGCCCGTGTTTCCGGGCAACGTGATGCTCATGGGTTGCGTAGATTTAGAGATCATTCACGCTGTCATGAACAGACCCATGTAACCGGCACCAAAGATGCACTTTCCAAGTGCCATGTGGCACGGGTGAACGAAGCATTACTACCTGACCAAATGTGCACTTCAAGCACGTCATGCTAAACGACAGTGTAAGTGAATCTCCGTAACCTGAAGCGACCTACCAATGTAATTTTTACCGTTCCAAGACTCGATGTTCTACCAGTGGCACCTCGGCCCATCCAAATTCAGATCTTGCTGCATTGACAGCGTCGCCAACAAATCCTACACATCATCTGGCTCCCTCGCCGAAATCCAAATCTAGAATGTTACCACTCTCGCTGAGGCATGATGAGCCTCAGCCAGAACACAAGACCCCAACGAATACGAATTGCATTGATGGGCTCTTTCACGTTCCTTCCTGAGAAAGAGAAGATCGAGCAGCTACAACTCGAAGATTGCTGACAGTCGCATATACCAACGTGGTTCTCGTGTGGTGAGAAAGCGATTGTTAGCATCGAGGTTGTCTGCAATAGTTGTAAACTTGAATTCGAGCAATTACTCTCAATTCTTCTGCTGGATGAGCACTGAGTGCGGCTGTATTGAGCACAGGTTTGAAGTGCCAGACTGATCTTTTGCGTAGCTTTCGACCTGATGGAAATAGGGTAGCGAGTTTTGTTAAGGCTTAACATTATACACGGTCGCGAAGAACAAGTCGTTGCTGTTGACGTGTTGTTTGGAGTCGCCACGCGAGATCCCTGAGGCCAAATAAATGACATCATCAGGTTCAACCTAGTTTACTTGTGTAACTCAACATTTCGAAGATCAACAGCCTGATTTCTGTGAGGAAGTACTACGCTTCGAAGAGGCTTTCTGAAATGTAGATGCAACCACTTTGGAAGGCTGGTATGTTCAAATTGATACTCTCTGGTTCGGAATCTGCTCTCAAGGGGGACTGACGGCAGAACTATCAGGTACAGTGACCTTGCAGTCAATTCCTACATCTACCAGGGACCTCCAGTTTAGAATGGTCAGGCTGGCAGCCGGTTGACAAAATTCTCGAGTTCTTCCGTTAACACTAATTCATTCACCCGCGGAGTAAGTGTGATTCCGCTATCGTGGCCCTGGACATACTTAATATTAGTTGGCATCAGCACTTATTCCGTCCAATTACTATGCGAGCATCGGACATAGAAACTTTTCACCAGGACTCGAGGCAACAGATCGGTCTTGTCGAAGGTCAGGCAGTTTGTTCAACCAAGTACAACTCACAGATGGATTCTCCTGATATGCATCATAAAGCAAAGCAACTCGACGTGTCGTGTTGTGACAAGTTATTTTTCGCGCCTGCCAGCAACAGCTCAAGCTATAGCTCTCAATACTAGTGGTTTCTGGTAAGTTGAGCATGTAACTAATAACTATCTTCTGATATATCCAGTGACCTGAACTTTTCTCTCAGAGCACGTCCAGCGGCAGACCTAATACCTCACAACCTCAAACTTTGACTCTCAGACATACTGCGCGTATTTGGGACTATGTAGTGCTTTCGTCATTAGTATCATTTTGAACATCTTCACCATCCTGCGCTTGCAACACAAGTGTGTTGATGATAGACAGTACACTATGTCGGGGTTGTCTTTACAGATAGCCATAGGAGTTCATCTCACTCGGCATCTTTAATGCAGCTTACATTGGTGATGATTATCCGATCAAATTGCTCCTCGACTTGGAGATCGTCGCATTGACGTTCGAAGACTCAAAGTATTGCAGTACATCGGGGCTCACGGCCTGGTCGGAGTGGAATTTGCTTGGTCATTTTCCAGAAGGCCGTGGATTCGTGCGTCTGGGACCAAATGGTAAGCAATCATTCACCCCATTTTTATTAATACATGAGTCAGACGCTTGCCGTTCCCATGTCTGCAAATGATCCGGCTAACCCTTATTAACGGGCCCAATAACCAGTGGCCAGTGCCTTAACTTCTTGCGACAGGCAATTTTTTGCAATTCTGATACTACCTTTGATCCAGTCTACATCAATAGATCGATGGCAAGCTCAAACGGCTTGGGTGTGATGCATATATACCGAGATTGGTCGCAGGTTTATGCATACATTGAGGAGAACCAGAGGGGCCCTGTGTGGGCAGAGCACAAGACAGAGATGTAATCATAACGCGAAGTCAAGTGGGAGGATCTGATCTCGCACCAATGACGGATGGGATCAGCTCGGTAAATACTTATTTATAAATCTCAGTTGGTGCTCAGCAGTGGCCGAGTCCCAAGGCTGTTCATTGTCGAGGATTGATCTGAGTGACCGGTTGAGTGCCAAGTCAGCACTTTCGTATGCACCGTGATTCTATCATTGAGGTCTGGGACATTGCCTCGGTACTTAAAGTAGACGTCAAGCGCAGCTCATTTGTCGGATCCGAAGACACAAATGCAATAGCATGTCATATTCATTCCTGACAAATACTATGATGCAAAGCTGCAAGCCCCACCATCCAACTTCCGCCCAACAAGTACATAGACTATATACCGAGCGACATGATGAGATACGATAGCTACGTCCAGCGCGCAATAAGGATTATCCAATAATCATATGGAAGATACGCCAAGCGATAACGAAGAAAGGAAAACACACTGAGAAAAGAAGAGTATTCGATGCAAAAGGAGTGTTGATGATATGACGTGATTTGTATATACGATAGAATGAAACGAGTGTCGTAGTCGTGGGTAGAGAAAAGGTTCGTGAAAAATCAGAGAAAATACTACAGCACGGCAACAAGAAGTTAGCAGAAGTGACAAATACAGGCCAAGGGGGACGTACAGTCGTACGCTGGACTATGTCGCGTTGCGGGCAGGGACGATGTACCCATAGACCAACTTCTTCGGGTCTTGGAGATTGAACTTGCGACATCCCTTGTTAGCGCGGGCCTTACTATCAAGGAGCGGTTGGCATTTCTCCTGATGCCGATCCAAAGAGTCGGATCTAGACCACCGCTTAGCGCAATAAGGGCATTCAGTAGGACGTAGTATAGTGGATGCCTTCAATGTGACGGCCCAAATTGAGTATCGCCTCTGGTTTCGAGCAACCCTCGAATTTGCAGTGAGCCGTAGTTTTGGATTTGACACCGTGCCAGTGCAACAGGTGTTCCACGACGCGGACCCTGCTCATTTCTACAAACAGCCCGCAGGGCTGGTCTGTCCAATCGCATGCTCGTACGCAAGTCATCTCTGCAGGTAGTTCATTGGTAGTCTTGACGGACCGCTTGGAGTAGGAATCGTCGAGTTCCATCGCCCCAAATCTCCTCGTTCGAAGAAGATTACCGTCTGTGTCATGAGTCCTGCGGCTGCTGATGTCTACCGGCTTCGGGTCGTGAACAGGCATAGCCATGACCTACGGCACTGGCGTCCGCTAGTCTGTAAGCACCAAACTTGCCCTCTCTGACTTCATCCTCTTCGTCGTCCAAGCATCTGCGCTTGCGCGTGCTTGGCACGAGAGACAAACCCGAACTACCATCCTCGGATTGAACGGTATGGCGAGTTTTACGCTTGCGAAGTTTGGCACGCGTCGTCCCATCGGGAGCGGAGGAAGAAGGCTCTAAGCTGTTGTCATTACTCAGATACATTGTCGCGTCAGAGTCTGGTGCGGGCGGTAATAAGGTTTCAGCATTCGTCATCGTGTTCGTGATAGCACCAGGGTATGCATAGCCGGTATGTTCTGTTGCCAAGGGGATAGACATTTCCGTCTGGAAGTGCGCGTTTTGCCCTTGAGAGAACGGCTGTCTGGGGCCATACGCGCGAGGATCCCCCGCTGCCCAAAGCGCCAGGTCGACGACGGGGGGGAAGTAATTTTGAGCAAAATTAGGTTCATTCACATACAAACCACCATCGTGTTCAGGCTTGGACCATGCGACGCCTTCTAGCGGGGCCTGAGGGACGACAGGGGACTGCGGGAAATAGTATTGGCTCTGGTCCATTGGAGGAAACTGAGGGAGACCAGCCACCGGAGCGGAGAACTGGTTCAACGTCGGAAATGACATCTGATTATTGTGAACGTTCTGGAAAGACGCCGAAGACCTAGAAAAATAAATGAGCCATGGCGGCACTCGGTTGGGGTGGCACGCACCCTTGTTGCGCCTTTAGGAATTCATCTTCTGCGCAGACCTGAGCCCATCTGTCAAGGACCGTTAGTTTGAGTCAATGTTTGGATAAGGCAGAACCACATACTCAGCCTGCATGGCGGCTACATCGTCAGGATGAGCAAACCTTTGGACGTCTTCTGAGACCGTGTTAGTAATGGCTTCGGGTGCGATTCCAGGTTCAGAACACGGAAGGATAGACCCGCTAAGAAGATTATGAGATGAACTACGTCACCCGACTCGGGATTGAACACCAACCTATCCAACAACATTTGAAGACTTTTGCATGAGACACTAAATGTGGGGGGCATCGTCAGTATATGAAGATACCGAACCGACATGTGGGTAGACTCACATAGACATATCGATAATTTGAACGAGTGATATGAAGTAGCTAAGATGATAAGATGAAGCGTCAAAATCAAAAGGACGAGAGATAGAGAAGTGGAGGAGAGAACGTCGCCTTTTAAACCTCACAACAAGTGGAGAAACGCTAGATAAAGAACGCCTGTGGACGCGCATTGTGGCCCGACAACATATCGCAAAGGAGCAAGCGCTTGTGGTTACTTCACCATAAAAAATTCATCTGTGGCCTCTGTGAATTTCGCGTGAAATCCACTGCTTTGAAGTACCATGCATGCATCAAAATCCACAAGAGCACAAACCTTCCACAGCTCATCCTTTGTATACCTAAAATGTGACAATAATGTAAGCACTGGCGCATCCTTACTAGAGAATATAACATTACATGTTCAACAGCACAACTTCGATATCGTTCTATGGATCGCAACAATGTCATTCCTGCGGTGTGTGGTCACAAGCATACTCAACCACAACCGTGAGCTTTGACAGCGCCACTGCATCCGATTGGGACAGCGGCAAGCGCCTTCGAGCACAAGCGGGCAGCTAATATGTTGCAGCTGAATGCTGTGCGGTAGAGGGACAGCAGATGCGAAAGCGCATAACATCACAGAGGCCTGAAATTTTTGATGTGCAGAGTCAGTCGCATTTCTAGTTGTAAACGTGCAAAGACAATTACTTTCGTTGTTCGTTGCATCGTGACCTGACCTATTCCTTACCCTTGACGTTAGAATAGGATGGCATTATACAATATAGCCACTCAATGGATACCACAATACTTTTTTCAGATAGAATCAATGGTTTGACATTACCGTTTACGTGAGGATATTACGAGCTAACTGGCAATGTAACAGAGAACATAGCCTGTAATACCCTCATTATCATAATATGAGGGTAGCGTTCTCTGGACCAGACGTCAACAACTTCATTTTGGATCAGAAATATCAACTCGAAGATACATCACATATTTAATCAGCCTGAGGTAAGCATATCAACGCATGTGATTTTGGTTATCACTATTCTGTCAGATGCATGCATAATGTAAGGCTTGTGTTGATATCAGAATTCGCCGTAGCAATTAAGTAGTTGTGCCAGACTGGAGCATGAGACATTGAGAGCGGAGTCCAAATGAAGCGTACGCGTTGTTTTGGTCTGTTGTCCAAAGGCTTCCAGGAGATTCCTTATTCGGAAGTTTCTCTTTGCAAATCAGTAAGTAGGCGTTATCAGTTGAACCGGAACGTTCAAGTCTGTCTCAGACTCTCAGGGAGCTTCAGCGCATTATCGCTATTCAAGCGCAACGTACGAGTGCTCGTAATCCTAATCGAACCCTGTCGGATCTTCCGCCATCCTCGAAGTCTGGCTAGCTACCACTATACCCAAGCAATATTGTGGTTCTGCTAACCACAAGGATGTCGCTATCATGCAAGAGCCGGAGGATTCGACTGGTATTAATGCACGGGCGCTAGTTGCCTTCCGCCCTAGAATGAGAGATACACTTCAATGGGCATCGAGTCGTGCCGTAGGAAAACATCACATACTCGTTGTTTAGCATTTTCGGCGTCCATTTACCTGTGATCTACATAGAGAAGAAACAAAACAGGCTCGGACGTCTCTCGCAGGAGACCATAGCTCATTCGGGCAACATCAGTGGGCCGGGCTGGGTAGGACAATCATCCGACTTTAATAGTTGTCTACTAGTTGACATTGCCTCGTACAAAGCTCCGCCAGCCCTATCCGAACGCAATATCCAGAAATCAGTCTCCAAGCTGCGACATACTGTGACTGTGGAGTCCACCCTGAAACTGTATACTATACCCTACTGGACAGCATCAGTGCTCCTCGTTTCGCTAACTCCAGATTGCAACTACCTTGCATCGCATTTCCGGTCACTGAACTCAGACGAAGGCGTGGTCACGACCAGGAGATATGTTTTACCTATGAGCATTCGTGTTCATTCGTCCCTGGAATCGCTATGATCTCGAGCCGCCCGACTGTTCGGAGGAGATGATGATTGGCCTGAGCCTGGGTCCCCATCAGACGATCCGCTAGGGTGGTCTCCTGAAGAGAATCATCCAGCTGACTCGCATTCTCATTCGCAAGAATTGAGGTTTTTCGTTAGGGTAGCGTTTTGGCGCACTTTGGCCGAGGCAGCCACGTGAAAATATTCACCTGACTGATTCGCAGTCTTATTCACGAGTGTTGAGGTTGATCGTTCGTCTTGGACAGCCTTTTGGCGTGCGCAACAGTGTGACGGGGAGCATAAGAGGATCGCGCCAAATCCATTATATCATGGGGACATGGCTTGCGTTGATGCCACGATGGACGTCGGGACACTGGAAGTTTTGTAGTTGTATGCCTGCCGAAGGACTGGGATCTCTGGCGCATCTTCATCCATACGTAGGACTTCACTTGATCTAATATAGCATCGTTTTAACTTGCGTACTGGTTGATCATGTACATGAATTAAAGATTTAAACCATATTAGCTCTGCACACATTTATCTTACTCTCACTTTCATATCAAACTACCCGCGATGATGAACCAAATAAATTCCGCTCCCGTCAAGTGCTTGCAGCGACATTCTAGACACCAATTCTCTCTGCGAGAGCCTCGTTCGTGTTGTGTTCTCGCTTCGAAATTCGGCGCTCCAGATTTCAGTTCTTTAGCTGTGGCAGTGCTGTGGGAATTCTCGATGCCCACTATCCACCACCAGAAGGTCCAGACTCCAGAAAGAACGACTATCTTCCTTCGTCTATAAAGGGCTATCTAGGGGAGACTAGGACGCCAGGGCAACCCTTCAATTGTCACATCGTGATCTAGTACCTCCAGATCCAAGGATTATAATATTTCACCGTGTTCACTAACGAGACACGGCCTGCGATGCTAAACCTCTCAACACTCCAAACCTACCTCACACAGCTACTCTCGCCCACTGACACCATTCACACTGCACTCCTTCTGACACCAGAGGGCGCAATTGTCTCTTTTGCCTGTTCGTCAACGGGGAGCGGGAGCGACGAGAGAATTCCGACGCACATGGTTACATATCCTAGTACCAATGGACATGTGGCGCCCCCTAATGCTCACGCGTCGAGCGCCAATGGACATACTCCACCACCATGCCGGACGCCACCATCACGAGGGAGGACAGAATGTGCTACATCATCGCACGCGCTCGGTAGTGCTGCATCGGATAGTAGGTCTTCTCAAATGATGTGTTTACAGCGGTCGAAAGACGAGATATGGATATTGGCTGGGTTGAGCGCCGAGGTGTGGGCTGAGACAAGGAGTGAAGAAGGGGTTGAGAAGGGGATGGGGATGGCTGAGAGTGAGGTGAGTTGGAGTTCACGCAAACTTGTATTTCCACACGCCTACTTCTTCCCTTTATGTAAACGTTTACTGATGAGTCACGCGTAGCTTGGACGAATAGTTGTCGTTCCTGTGGATGACGCTAGCCCGGAATTACAAGATGAAAGAGAACCGCTGCTATTACTCGCTGTGAACGGTGGCGCGGAAGCTGATTGGAAGACTATGTGTGCAAAAGTGGGCCTCTCACATGCTCATTCTCTTTAACACTGATGCAGTGTGCCAGGCTAAAAAACTAGGAGCGTACCTCGCGCCCTCTGTAAACAAACACCGCGGTGCTATTGAAGCGTCTCCACTGAATCAGACGCCAGCTAAGAGCCGGACGAGGAGTACGACTACATCACCAGGGGGAGTTTTACGATAGTCACACTGGAGTCTGGAGCGCATGATTTGAAGGGTGCGACACGACGCGTTTTTGTGTGCACGCGACCTATGCCTGAACTAGAATAATAATACGGGTACCGTACCACGCAGGATGTAGTATCATCTTTAGTATAATGGAGTGCTTTGGACAAGCTCTGGATCCAGCCGGGATCCTCGGCCACCGCGGGAAAAACAGAAAACGGGAAATTACTAGTAGCTCCGTTGCATTCCCGGGTTTGATCACATCTTGGTTGTCATCGAGGATGGGGTCATGGTCGTCTTCAGTAACGGCGAACATGCGTGTAGCGTATAATGCGCGTAGAATTACACGACCCAGACACAGCAACAGCGCACTAGCTCAACCCCAGCCCCGTCCTACTCCGACAAAAACAGACCCATATGTCCTCCTCGCGCCGCACCTCGAACAGATGCGTACTTCCCTACTAACCCTCCTTGGAAGTTCCCATCCTTCCCTTAACGCCATCGCTCAATATTACTTTCTCCACCCCTCCAAACAACTCCGACCCCTCCTCGTCCTCCTCTTCGCGCGTGCAACAAACGGACTAGGTGCTGAATTCCCCCAAGTAAACTGGGCAGCAGACAATGCAAGAGCGCACCAAAAAGAGCTCGACGCGCCCTTGACTCGAAAAGACATCCTGTGTGACTGGAACCCCAGCATGCCAGACCATACCGCGTCATTCGAGAGCGCGTTCGAACTGCGCATACCCCCTCCCCAACCATCACTATATACCCCACCACCCCCACTCCTCCATCAAACTCATCCTCAGGCACTCACTCATACTTTGCTTCCTACCCAATTGCGCCTAGCACAAATCGTGGAGATGATACATGTGGCTTCTTTACTCCATGACGACGTCCTCGACAAGTCTCCCCTTCGTCGTGGCGCACCTAGTGCACCAGCTGCTTTTGGAAATAAGTTGGCCGTTCTCGGTGGTGATTTCCTTCTGGGACGCGCCAGTGCTGCCCTGAGTCGGCTAGGGAGTCATGAAGTGGTAGAGCTCATCGCGAGTGTCATCGCTAATCTTGTAGAGGGTGAGATATTGCAGATGAAAGGGAATGGAACCGAAGCTGCTCCCTCTCCCTCGTCGTCTGCGAGCAGTGCAATTGACCTTAAGGACCTTCATTCTTCGCCTTCGCCTTCACCCTCACCATCCGATAAATGGTCCATCTATCTTAAAAAAACTTATTTAAAAACGGCTTCCCTAATGGCTAAAGGCGCACGGGCTGCTGTCGTGCTAGGAGGATGTAGAGAAGGTGAAGTGTGGAAGGAAGTGGCCTATGCGTATGGGAGGAATTTGGGTATTGCATTTCAGGTGTGTTTGCACAATTCTTGACGTGTCTATTTGTGCTTTTGGCCCTTTACGTCATCACTGCACGCGTTATTCTCTTGTCTTGTCACACTGTAATTTCTTTACACTATCACTGTTCGTACTCACTCCTTGCGCAGCTCATAGACGACACCCTCGACTTTTCCTCCTCCACAGCCCAGCTCGGAAAACCTGGCTTTGCAGACCTGCGCCTGGGACTAGCAACAGGACCCGCACTCTACGCAGCCGAGGAGTTTCCAGAGCTCGAAGCCATGATCGAGCGGCGGTTTGGTAGGGATGGCGATGTTGAGATGGTAAGCATCGCTTCCCATCAACCACATTTGGACAATGCTGACCTTCGTATTTCTGTCGCGATGTGTAGGCCCTGACACTCATCTCGTCTTCTCGTGGTGTAGAGCGCACACGTGAGCTAGCGCGCATACATGCTGAGAAAGCACGGGAAGTGTTGACGTTATTGCCTAGAAGTGAGGCGAGGGATGCTTTGGAGGGGTTGACGGAGGGTGTTGTGAAGAGGCGGTGGTGAGGCCTTTAGAATTTCCGTATGTTGTGCCACCGCGTCATCCGTTTTTTTCTTGATCGATGATTAAGGGTAGCAACGTACGTACGTGGACATCATTAAATACTCTCCTCTGTCGACTTTTGCACGATTGAGAGATATAATCTTATCACACCTTATTGAATGAATAGATGTCCACTGGCCAGGATCTGGGATTTCAATAGACGACTCATCACTTGTTCGGAACATCTACCAGGTGGCCTTGCCTATCCAGTTGCATATAATGGAGATATAGTTGCAGAATTGACTGTAGTAAGTCGGGTTGACAGACATGTCTTTCATTGCAGTGTCAGACGCCCAGGGGCAGGTTTACTAGTTACTGCGCGGTTTGCAGAGCAAAGATAATGAACATGTGAAGCATCGCGTGGTAACATACTGAACACATCATCGCAGGAGCGCCAGCTCATATGTTCATTGGCCAGAGTCCTCGGTGTGTTTATGATCAGGGGCTGTGATGATAGGAGAAGTAAAATGAGATCGCAGCGTGGGATGGAATAAACAATAAGCGCCTACACGAGTTGGTATGGCCCGTATGGGCTACTTACGCCATATACTACTAACAAAACACGCTCCTCGTTATATGTGATTGCTCAAATTTCCGCCAGGAAGCCTCGCTCTTAGGGTGACCCAGCACCCTGAACGCAGTCACAATCTGAAGCATCCAAACATCTGCCTCCAAATAACACCTCCACACACTCGAGCATACGACAAACGCACTGGTTTCGGCGCTTATAGCTGCACAGGCTGCTGGCCAACCTATTGGTCACCTATACATCCCTCATATAGGCTGCGACATCCTGTCGGCGGGTACATGTTCTATTCTGCCCTCCACGCGTGCTCGGCGTAACACATCAGAAGCTATGTGATAACTATACATCTTCCCAATGACATGGAACTTGCCGGTATTAGGTCTGATTCGTACTGGCCTCGTGCTTGCCTGGACCAGTATAACACCCCACTCGCCCCACTTACTACCTTGTGTCCGAATCGTTGTCTCTTGTCTTGCCTGTAGAGTTCTCATCTCCGCGCTGCACTCACAGTATCGCAATCCATTGAGGTAAGCGAAGCTTGAAGATGACTACAATCGGTTGATCTTAGTCTAGGTCGCATCATCCATACACCCCACTTGCCACGTTGTGTCTGATGCAGCTCTGTCTACCTGTAGAGTTCTCATTACCTGTACGTAGCATACAAAGTCGTGCAATCCTTAACGGTGAGCGAAGCTTCAAGCTTCGCAGTTCACAGTTGATTGATTGTCTAGGTCACATCGGACGTACACAGAGAAGTTGCTACGTAGCCCTTCTCAGCACCAAGTTTCCCCCCTTTTGTTGGTGCTACATGTATTTTCTCCCATTCACCTTGGCCGTTATAGCCGCCCTTTCTGGAAGATTTAATCAACTGAATGCAGAGGAAGAGGCAGAAAGAGCCAGACGCGTCGCAGATGAAGAGGCGGAAAAAGCCAGGCGCGCTGAAAAGGAAGCAGCGGAAAACCAAAAAGCCAGACGTGCTGCAGAGGAAGAGGCGGAACAAGCCAGGCATGCTGCAGAGGAAGCAGCTGACGACGCACGGAGGCGTCAAGAAGAATGTGAACGAGCGGCAGCTGAGGATGCAGAAGCTCTTCGCAGAGCAGAAGAAGCGAGGCTCGCCACTGAGCGTCAATGGTTTGAAGGCGTTCGCCCCGAATGCTGCCCTTCGGAGGAGGATATCGTTCAGATGAAGACCAAGTATTTTTACAGCCCAAACTTCCTCCACTTCGCGGTTGTTGGCTCATCTGGAGTCGGGAAATCATCCTTCATCAACGCCGTCCGTGGCCTGTCCAACAATCATCCCATCGCCTCTCGTACGGGGATCGTAGACTGCACCCCTCAGGTTACTAGATACCCTGATCCACGCCCAAACTCTCGGATCATTTGGTATGACGTTCCCGGAGCAGGCACTCCAAATGTCCCTGACTGGCACTACTTCAATGCCTTGGGCCTCTACATCTTCGACTGCATCATCGTGATCATCGATAATCGTGTCATGGAATCCGACCTCGCCATCATTCGTGCCTGCCGGCAGTTCATCAACATTGAAGTGTTCATCGTTCGCTCCAAGTCAGATCAGCACATCAACAACATGGCATGTGACAGGATGCCACCAGGGTTCGACCCTTGTGATTCAGACATCGACGACAAGACACGTTGTCAATTTCTGCAAATCAAATCTGAAGAGCGGATGAGGTTCATCGACGAAACGCACCAGAATGTGCAAATGAACCTTGAGAACAAGAACCTTTTCCCTCAGAAGGTCTACATCGTTTGCAAGGACGCCATGCTTGCTATATGGAATAACTCGCGTTCTCCAAAGGCAATTGATGAGGCAGAACTTCTGAATGATGTTAGAGAATGTATGGGTAGGAGTCTTGAGCCGGTATCTTGAACGTAGGTCAGACGGATCGTTGAGGAGTGCATTTAGATTATGCGACGCGTAATCCCGTTTGTTTTTAATCTTTTGCTGGCTGGTTCGTTGATTTTTTTCTCGTTAGACGTGACATCCCATCGTGACCGCACCCCTCCCAAGTCTACAATTGCATATTATATCATGTTCTCGGAAAGAGTCGATTCGTTGCTTATAAACACAGCTAGCTCTCACCTCATCCTGACATTGAATGTGTGAGCAATCAACCCTACTTCGGAGTATAGAACACGACGTTCTCATCTTCATTGGCATGATCTATCTAGGGAAGACATGTATAAGTTACTCGTTGGATGGATTGGCGGTGTGTCCAGTACAGTTGGGATGGTTCCCTTGTCCGTGGTAGTTCCCAGGCTGGCTACGAGGCTAGGTCAAGACCGGGAAACTCACCACGTATCAAGTCAAAACAGATGGTCTTCATGACTTACCAATCACCACGAAAGACAAGTTGACTCAGTTCTCGCCAGCATGATCCACTCGGCAGGTATTCTTGCTTGGAGAAGACGACGATTCCAAGGACAGAGTCCGTCCTTGGAATCGTCGTCTTCTCAAGCTACCTGACTTCGCAGATGATGCGAGCATGGAAGATTATTGGTCTGCCCCCAGGTCTCTGTCACGATATTCTCCTCCCTGGCTGCCGGTTGATTCAGAATCGAGTGAGCTAGTGTTGCGATCGACTGTTCGCCTTCGACAGTCCTTTAATGTATTCTTGCTAGCGCAACAGCGCAGCAGAGAATACAAGAGAATTGTGTCAGACCATCATATCATAGCACAAGTCGCAGACATGGCTTGTGTTCACAGCTTGATGGACGTCAGGACACTTGAAGATATTGTTTTTATGCCCACCTAAGTATCGGCCTGCATCCAGCATCCTACAATCTCATCATCGACATCAATTAATTTCTTCCTGTGGGTCATTGCCAAGCAGTCACATCATATTAATTGTGGGTACGGAATGACATCACAGCTTTGTTTCTCTGTTCGGTGAGATATGAGCCTGAACACCAGAATATAGGACCTCCAGACAATCTTTGTATAGGCACGCCTGCAAGAACGCCGCGTCAGTAAAACGATCAATTTGAAATGATTATCTTGCAAACGTTTATTGCACTCCAAACACCCCGGCTCGCTAATATCTTGACTTCGTTCGCCAGTTTCATTGCCTCTGCCAGGACTTTATCGGTTCCGCTCTCCACACTTGTGCCAGTCAAATTCGCAAGGCGATCGACTATCCCTGCTTCCAGAGCTTCCGAAGGCGTAAAGCGATGCCCCTCCAGCGCAACTCGTCTACGTATAACTGGAGAGCCGACTTTTGCATTGAGAACTGCAGTGAAAGTCAGGGGCCACCGTGCGCCAAAGTGAATCTGGGCACTATAAGCAATCATGAAGAATTATACTCGGGGGTCCATTACCTCGTTCATGCACATCCACGCCCTTCGCCTGCTGCCGTCAGTCATGACCCGGTAATCGCAAACAAGGGAGAGCATCATCCCAGCAGCGAATGCATGGCCATTGATTGCTGCTATAGTAGGAACTGTAACGAAATAGATGAGCAACAGAACGCTACGGATGAAACAGACCACGCACTTGGGTAAGTGAGAAGACGTGCGAATAAAGGGTTCACAGTCTCTGTTAAGATATGTCTAGTGCTTCAAACTCCTCGAGTCAATCGCATGCATACCATTTAAAAAGGATAAATTTCCCTTCACAGTCTCGTAGTCAAATCCATTGCTGAAGAATTTGTCTTGATCTCTCCTTCCAACGATGATAAGAGCGCCACCTCCCTCATCTACACCGTCATTTGCTTGTTTATCACGCATAGCGCACCAGTTGTGCTCTACCACATCCAACGCAGGCCGCAAAGCCTCATCGATCATTCGCGTTGTCAGGCGGGAATCCTGCCCACCATGCAGCTCGATTATCCAAATATCTTGTTGAGCTGTGTGCGTGCTCGCTATTCAGACCTCCATTGCAACACACGTACGAGTACTTGCACTCACGGTGTGTGATAGTCAGTAGCGGGTCAGTTGTTGGAAGTGAGAGCGGGAAGGAACCCTCACTGGACATAACTCCTGATCTACGATGCTTTCTATGTAAAACAAGTTAGACGCCGGGACCTTTGGGTTGCGGATTTATGATTACTGTACCTCTGTGTATGGATGCAACCGTGGATTGAGCGTGACACACCGCCACAGTTGCAGAGTCAGTAACCTTGTCTGATTGGACGGTGAACTAGTGACATCCGAACATGACAGCATCCAACAGTGTCATCAGGCGCCTGCCATATGTCAGAGTGGCGCTGTTCAAACTTTTGCGGAGGGGCAGAATTTTGACTTAGTACGACGTTGCAGCTGCATACACTGCACAATTTTGTGTCCACGGTGTACAGCGAGCTGACGGGCATGGACTGGTTGCAACAGGAGACGATGAGAATATATGGGCGCTGGCAGTAAATAAGCAGGAACTTCGGTGGCACAGTAGCGGAAGTGTAGTTTTAGTCATTTTTGCAGCAATTTTTTAAAAATTCTACAATATTGTGCCTGTATAGTAGTACATTGGGGTTCAAATTAATCAAATTAACCCTTATTTTATCGGCGGCATATTCCTACTGTAACCCTCTAATGTGAGTCCGACTCAACGACTTTCAAGATCGCTAATCGCTCAAACTTGAGGATTCCCCAAAAAAACTTGTTCCTTCAGACTTCGAATTCATGAGACCGTCTTTGCAGGTGCTGAAGCCATTCGAGTTTAGGCGCGTTCCCTCCTTCCTGCAACAAAGTTTTCACACCGTTGGAGCGGTGTATTCGCGACTGTGTCACGCCCGCGTGTCGCGAGCAAGGCAAAGTGATGAAGAGCACTACGCTACGACAAAGCCCGAAGGATACTGAGTAGCTGACCACGCTACGGTGCTACTCAGCTGCTACTCCGCCCCTCACCTAAAGGTCCTCCGCCGTCTAGCGTCTGTCAATTCGATGTACCATATACACCCGTGATCCACCTCGTTCTTCTCATCCCCTACACAAGTAAAGAGCTTGTACCCAAATGTAAAAGTAATAGCTCTGTTACTGATTGCGATTGCTAGGGTCATCACCAGGTTCACCGCGCATATCGACTGCTGTTCCGTATCCGCTCCCCGTAATGCCAAAGTATCCAGGGTCTGCAGTAGTCATTAAGGGTGACAACGGAGGAAACAAAAATGAAGACCTACGCAGGACAGCCTAGGACGATTGCCACCACTGCCAAAATAGTATCGCCTTTCCCGAACCCGAGTGCTTTGTACATCGCTGGAGCAAACAAGGGAAATCCAAAGCCGGCTAGTGACCGCAAACAGGAGACAGCGGCCATAGCTGAGTACGAAATATTTGAGATGGGTAACGCTAGAACCAAATCCACGCACCAGAAGCGGCATGAAGCGTAAAGCAATCAATGATGTAGGTCTGGATACACTGGAAATTCAGAATGATGCCTGCCCCCACAAGCGCAATTCCCTGTCGAAACCATCAGTAGATGAACGGCACTAGGAAAATCAAACCAACAATATCTGGAGCTATCCAATGAGTATGAGCTTGAGAAGTCCAGCCTACAATCAAGCACCCGATTGGAAGTAACAGAGATCCGGGAACCATAGCGGCTGATGGTACACTGAATGAGTACTTAAGAAAGGAGGCACTAGAACAATATGACGAACGCAATCTAAACTCCGGCTTCGCAACTCCACCGTATTTACTCTTCAGATAAATGTAAACCTTGTCCATCGTTCTCGCATTTAATTGGGACGCCACTGACAGTCCTATGCCAAGTGCAGCGTAATGAAGGCCGGCGATTCCTACCGGCTGCTGGTATATGCCCTGGAAGATCGATGGTATTGTCGTCAAAAATACTGAGACCATATGAGATCACATCCATGGAAAATAAAATGCCTTACGATAAAATATCCCGTATAAATATGCCATGTAAACGCCAAGGAGTTGCACGATGGGCTCATAGGCAAAGAGTGCAAAAGGGCGGATGAGCGACTTCGCCATGATGGTCCTGCCAACTATATAGAACATCGTCCTCAGATATCATGTTGCGGGGATTGCAAAAGGACTTACGAGCGATCTTGACCTTCGAAAACGGTACGGATTTCTCTGTACGGCGCTTTTTCGGCATCCATCGATCTGCGAATCCGCTCTGCCTTCCTTTCCAGTAAGAGAGGCGCGTAAGCTGTACAATTCATAAGCATCAGGGGATCGCGACCAGTCAATTACTTACTCTCTTGAAGTGTAAACATTCCAATGATTTGAATGGCTGCATCCACAATGGACGTAGACCAGAACTATCGGAGAAATGAGAACAGTCCTTCATCGGTGGAAGCATCACATACCACCCATCTCCAGGTCGAATATTGAGCCACCCTGAGGAAATTTAGATGTACGTCGTTGAACTTAGAATAGCCACAAACCAGGCTCCTGTGACAGGTCCCACGACGGGGCCCAATAGTGGAGCTAAGGAGTAAATGGCGACAGCCTTTCCTCGTTCATGTGGTTGCCAGCAGTCCCCAAGAAAGCCTCCGCCAATCTGAAGAGGGAAGCCATTCAGAAGAGATACTTCCGACTTAAAAAACTTCAACTTTACCGACAAAGGCGCGCTGCCTCCGATGCCAGAAAGAAATCGGAAAACAATAAGCTGGGATTCTGACTGTGCGAATCCACAGACAAGATTCCATACTATCATCATGATTTCAAGAATGAGAGTGAGACTATGACCTAACTTGTAAAGGTTACATACCGAGATACCATAGATTTGCCAATTGCAAAACGCGTGACCGTCCATAAATCTCACTCAATGGACCAAGAAACAATGGTCCCATGGCTGGTACATAGTTTGATTGATTAGTGGGGTATCTGACATGCACCAAATTGATTTACCATATGCAAGCACGAAGATAGACGTTGTGAGTGCAAGTATAACATCATTGTCAATGCCGAAGGAGGAAGCCACTTGGCCAGTAGCGGGCGCAATCATAGCGGACGAAACTGGACTGATGAAAGTAAACGATGATACAATAATTGTTGCGGCCCATTTGCGTCTATAGCTCCAACTGTGCAAGAACTATAAGTACAACGACCATGCTGCTCTGCTAACACAACGTACTTTTTAGGATTTTCAGGGTCATCGGGGCCGTCCCAGTCTACAATTAAAACACCTGTATCATTATTCGTTGTCACAAGCAACTCGCTATTGCCAGTGTCATACGGCGTCTGAGAATGACTCTGTTCTGGTATATGATGGACTGCCAGTGATTTCGGCGCGGGAGACACCACGCCTGGTATTCCTTGTCTCACATTAGTCATGGACGCAGGGATTTGGTTTGTTGCGGACATCTACGACCGATACCCACTGCATAGTCCGCCTACTTATAAGTCGATACAGCAGCCGGTTACTAACTTACTGTCGACCATTACATGAAAGGTGCTTACTAGAGACCAGAGTTGAGTAAACAGGCCTCTGTCATTGCGGTGGTGCTTACCTTGAATTAAGTCTCGATTGGACGAGACCCTGCAATCGCTTGACTCCGAGTCATTTTAGTTTACTGCATTAACTAGGCCGAGCACTGGCACACCATCGGCCGATGGTTATACTATGTAATACGGTGACAGGAGTGACAGCTTCAAGGCGATAAGGGCAACCTAAACAACAAACTGACGAGATGTTGCCAAATGCCTCAGCTTCCCTGTCTTTGGCCCATCGCCGAGTTTCCGATTCCACGTAATGGTAAGGTCCTAAGGAGCACTTTACATAACGGGACGCCAGGTGATGTCTGTAATTCCGATGAGTCTAATTTCAGACGTGTTAGCCCACACGCTGTACCCTATCCTATGTCCCAAAGGTCCGAAACTCACATGCCGATTCACTCCAGGATTCGTAAAGGGTACTGAAGTCGGTGGTCTAACGATTTTTTTATGTCAGTCATCACACACAGGGCCGAGTTCATAGCCGGTCCGAATTGTATATGTTTGTTTTTCATTGTCAGCTCTATCGCGTCAATACATTCTCTTCGTCTATTGTCAATAAACCACCCAGTTCTACATCATCATCGCATTCAACTTGTCATGGCTGCAGCTTTGTCGTCTTCTGCTTTGTTATCGTCTTCCCTCGCGCCTCCCGTTTCGCTGGTTGTGTCGGATCAGGAGTTCCCTGACACAGTGGAAGACATTGGTAGGAGATAAATTTCATCTGACAGCCGTAAAAATACGATGAGATCAACATGATGTGAATTAGTTTGAATGTGGAATGCGATGAGAAAGAAATAACGAGTCCTGGCCGACCGGAGGGCGAGGACTACTGCGAAAGTGGCGGTAGGAATTCACTGCTATATTGTTCAGTGATGAATTTATACCACCACTTTTGCAGTACACTAGTTTAGGTGATTGTCAGGTCAACATCTCCGACGTCCCAGTTGCTCTGCTGACACAACCGGCCTCTGGTCAAATGGTAAGTGTTTCGTCCATCTCTTACTGCTCTCTCACCACACCTCAAACTGACGATTCACGCAGTGACAACTGATACTCCTGCTTCGGCTGGATTTTTTTTCTCTGTCCACAGTGCTCGTTTCTGCTATCCTCGTGCAATATTCCCATCAATCTCCCAAAAGCAAAGGCTTCATTGCCACTGTTTACTGAGCATAGTATTTTTTTTCTCCCTCTTCCAAGTTGATGGGTAGTCATCACAAGTGTCAGTTTACTGTCGATATTTCTCTATACAGATTTGATGGTCACCGACGACACTACAGTTACATGGTCAACAGAGGAACAATGATACGGAAGGCGGTCACGGTCCATGGAGGAGCAGGAAGCGAGCAGAACAGGAACGCTCCATGCCTGGTATTTACCAGTTGTGTTGCCGCTTTGTGCTGACCTTCAGACAGCTGTTAAGATATCTCTGTCGTTGACTCTATACACTTGATCCTATGAAGCTTGGTTGCGCCTGGCGTTCGATCCTGGGTTCCATTTCGCAATAACTTCAACGGTACATCACATTGTGACATTTATATATTGCCACATCCACCGTCCGAATGCTCCTCGAGGACGGTCATGGCAATACAAAGACCACTCATCGAACCTTGTATTCGGCCTGTCGCTCAAGCGCTCAAAGCGGACCTCGACCGTTTTTGCGAGAGACGGTAACAGTCTTTACTCCCCGTCTTGCGACCGAGGCGCCTAGCGCGCGCTACTGCGGGGTCCCTCAGTCCACGCTGAGGTTTACTAGTAATGCGCAACGCGACTGGGCCTCGGAAATCAGCTTATACCAACAACCATTTGGCTGGAACGCCCCAAAAGCAACTGTAATACCTTGATACTGCCCGTGCAGCAATTCCTGGAATCGCAAACCACGTATATTAACGCACTCGTCAGAAACATGTGGACATTATGAATGACTTGCACCGTACAATTTTCACTGCAGGTCAGCGTCACCTTTTGATGGCACATACGTGTTACTGACCGATGTTAGTTGCATGCACTGCTGCCACACATCCAGTCGCTTTTGACGCCCAGATTCCTCCCATCATGGGTCTACCAGTTTACGCAGGGAACGGGGCTATCGCGTGTTTAACACCAGGACCCAATCTTGTATTCCTCCAATCAGCCCACAAACTGCACTTTTGGGACTTGGTTCAGGAATATGAACTCTACCTTTTGGGGTAACGCAAAGCCGAGGTAGCGGTTATCACCATGCATCAGTGGAGTATGTTTGTTAATGAAGTTTGGGTGATCGTTTCGTGCTGCTTTGAATTTGTATGTTGCACTCCTTCGAGTAGGAGCCCCAAGTTTGTTAGCCACGAATGGCATGGGCGTTGCTATCAAAGATGTTCGTTCTCGTGGACCACTGTATGCTACCAGTTAACGTCCAAAATGTTTCACCGGCTCACCAACCCTGACAGATGGCAATGCGGCTCGTGCATACACAAACCTCAACCAATTTCCCCCCTTTTCCTCCACCTACGCCTAGCCAACTTAAATCTCAGGAACTTATCATGGATATATTCCAGTGTCGCAGATCTTATGGGTCATAGGCAACATGCAGAGTGCATTGACTGCAGCCTGGAGCTCATATCAACTCATGCTCTAGCGAGATTTGTTGTTGTTGACATTAGACTTTTACCTTTTAGATCTTGCATTGCTTTTCCGACGTTATCACCATCGACATCACATGTAACGCTTTACTCTTGGCATTTTCTTGCTTCTTGATCACACGAACACTGTACATGTCTTTTTCCCGGTTTCATTACCTAATCTCATAGTCCTTCGTATATAGTTCCATATCACACTTCAGTCTTACTGAGCGTGTTTCCCCGCTAGTTCTACTAACGCGTATATAAAGCTGTCATCATGAATGGAGCATTGGTAAAGTTTCGAACTATATCTCCCATACTCAAGGACCTTGATCGTGTGAGTTTTAGTTCGAAACTTTGCTTCTGAGGGACGACTTCTGCAGGACTAAGCAATACTAGTGGTACTTATGCTAGAGTATTCAGCGTCTTCATGCATTAATAAACCTATGGTCTGACAACTGTATGTATCTTCGTTGCTATTGGAACTTCGGCCCTTAAAAGCTTCAACCGTATATTCCACACCACTTTTCGGCTGACTCCCCTGACCCAAACAGAGCATCTGGAGAGCGCTCCCTCCCATCCAAAGGTTCAACCGACGCGTACGGAAGTGAGTTGGCACAAATTGTATCAGTAAGCGATTCGCAGCAAGGATACTCGAAGCACATGCAGTAATATCACCCAGAACGATGATAAAGTAAAATTGGAAAGACCTTCCGACGTCAAAGTCTGCTTCGTTCGTTCAGGGGCGGATCAGAAGTATGGCCTGGAGGATTCTGGGTAAAGTCTTCAAGAACCAGGCATGCTCGGGAGCAGATAGCGTCCAGAAGGTCTTGTAGGTCTCCTTTTGGCCAGGCGTCATTTGCCTGTACGATCAGTGAGCCTCTCCCACAACAAAGAAGCAGGAAATGTTGCGCACTTGAACCTGAACATGTAGACTGCCCTTCATAGTCCATATGTGGATTATTCTGCCAGTGAGTTCAGACACGCCGAATGAACAGAAGCGAAAAACTTCTTACGGAGCTAAAGACGTTAGCCTGACTGAAAACAACACAGACTCCAGCTCTATTAGCGGCTCAGCGCCATGCTCTCCTTTCCATGACAACGGAAGTCGCCGCTCGATGGAACCAACGTTATTGACGGAACTCTCGATGTCTGATCTTTCCGACAGGGCATCTGGTTGATATGCCCTTGCAGCCTGGACGTGGGGCATACAGGGATGCGTAGAGAACTTGGTGTATCTTTTCTCTATGGCTTGGACAATTTGCAGGAGCTGCCGTCTGGGTGAGACTATGGGCGATATTTCAGCCATCGAAATTTGGATCGGTACATGCGTGCGGGAAGATATGAAATGCGTCTTCGTATCGTAGGGTAGTTTCAGATGTGGAATCAGCGAGATGCTGAAATTTCATCAGCAGATTTACATCTCTCGGTTGAGAGTACTCACGCAGAGGAGTTGCCTGAAAAGTGGTAGGCATTCCATAAGGAAGGTGGAATTTGGTTGCGGGCGAGCAGCACCATGCAGTATGCAGCCTCAAATAAATGGGACATCGAGCAACCGACGATTCGTGTTTTGTGGACTAGCCTACGCGTTAATGTCGGGTCGAGAACTCGCTCCAGTCTGCATGTCTTCCCGGTGGCACTTTGTGACATCCGAAATGGACGCGAAGCCAAAGGTATCTGCATCAACAAGTCGAAAGGTGTCTAGGACAAACATGTAAGAAAAACATACCGTACGGACCGATTCGGACTCTGGTAGTTGCTTCAGGAGCTCGATACCTGCGACGTCCCAATCTTCACGAGGACCACCAGTGGCACTAACAGGGCCGAGAGGCAGATTATGCCATTCTGTCCCCCAGGGTAAGTTCTCTGCAGATTCGGTAGCATCGTTCGTCATCCATTGAAGCATGAGTGCAAAGGCATTGAGTGTCGGGCCACCGTCCACGATGGCATGCGGGCCATGAAAATAGAGGCTGTGTTTGTTATTGTCGCCCAATAGAAGATAGCAACGAAACCAGAGAGGACTCGCGTTGTGGGGTTGATAAGGTAGCCTCCGTTGACTGATATCTTCGACTGAAGCGTTGACGTTCAAATCTCGTTGCACGGTGCAAAAGGCATTGTTCATCCAGCGCGTAAGCTCCGATAGGCTTTGTACAGGCGCATATACCCATGACCTCGGGATAGGACCCGCAATATCGCCCACTATGTTGGTTGCGATGATGGGACACGAAAACCTGTGTTCTCCGTGAGGATACGTCATACACAGGGTAAGGTAGGAACTATTACCTCAGCCTAGCGAAGGCATTGCGAGCACGTTGTTTCACCTCATCCGCAGCATATAAGCTCTGAAATGTGAAGCCGACACATGCGTCAGTCATACTAAAGAAAGAGTGAGCATATGTTGACAATAAATGATCTTAATCGGCTACCCATTAAATAGAACACTGGTTCGATCATCAAACAGCTCAGATCCTAGCAATGGCCTTTGCACGAAAAGGTCAGGATAAGGGGATAGGGTATTTCAAACGGCAAATACCTCGTGTAGAATGGGGTTTTGCGACCAGATATGCGCATCCATGTCGGCTCTGGATAATGAGGGGCGTTCATTGCGGCGATGGATCCTCAAGCGCGCGTCGACGCTTGGCTTTAAATAAAGCTGCGCATTCGCGCTGAAACACCCATAATTTAATATTTCTAAGGGGGACAAGACTTGTGGCGCGGCTGATCGGAATGCAAGATATGAAATGTGAACCACGCGTGAGACAAGCCATACCAAGTTAGTAAACGTGCAAGGTGTGTATTTGATCAACGTTCAGCAAAAAAGATCATGACAAGGCAAGGGGTGCACAAGGAACAGAACGTTGAGGAGCGACTAATGAAGAACGGTAGTGCCGGCCTGCTATTTCTCGGTTCATATCGGCGTTATAGGTGCATGACTTGCAATTAATGGTCCATGTCTCAGTTTCGAATGGCCTGCCTAGATGACAAGAAGATTCGGTCCGTTGTATCCAAAGGGCGCATGACAAACACATGGCAGAAACCTCGTGGCTGGAAGCGGATCATCATGGAGCCGTGAAGTATAAACAATAACCAAACAATCCTTAGCTACCGCGACCATGTCCGAGTTCGCAGACAAAGCCGAGCTTATAAAATGTATGAATCCAAAGTACTCTTTAGCCAAAATCTCTGCTAATCTACGTGTCCAACCCGCCAGCAAAACTCCGAGAACGCGAAGAGTTTGTTCGTGAGTCCTGGGTAAAAGCCATGGAAGCTCGACTTGTACGCGACGAGCTCGTGAAATGTCACCGGCTTGAGGGTGTTAACCACCTAGAGAACTGCAGATGGCTGTCAGACAAATATAATTTGATGCTCAAAGAGAACAAGGTACGTGACATGCGCACATTCTCACTAATACCACTGAACGGACGTTCGTGATAGGTCAAGGGCTACAAAAAGATTGATGTCTAAATTGTCCTAGTGCTTCTTAGAATGACCACTCAAACTGCAACTACACAGCATTGATCGATGTTTAAGTGGGTGTCCTCGGTGTTGCATTGGTAACCATTCTCTCCCCAATAATGCGCAGAACTTCGCGACCGCTCGAGAAACATAGAAGGCTGAGAATGGTCAAATTGTGAGGGAGAGGAAGAATTATATTTCCACAAAGCGTCGCATTCCTCGCAGCTCTAATCCGCTCCTAGCGACGTCAAAACTCTCAGCTTCGAAAAGGGATCCAAAACGCACGGATGAGTGATCAACAAATGATATCGAGGAAGGTACTAGTATTCGCAAGGCCCAGTAGGCGATACTTCCACTGATATCAACATCTGGGACTCTTCCACACGCCGCACAAGGATTACCGCTGCCGTATAAATTACCCAGTAGGATGCAAAGATTGTCTAGTAGTAGACAATTGTTTTACTCGGCCCATTAATGCTTTTTCCCCTTCCTCGTCCTCTTTCCCTCTGTGCCGTTCGCCTCACTGCTCGATTCCTCGCTGACTACAGCATTGTCGGGCTTTGTCTTCTTTCCCTTGGTCTTCTTGAGGTGATGCTCAGGAATCCACTCTTCCTGGTAACCACCTGAACCACTTGCAGTTACTGTGCCGACAGGTGCGCTAACCTGAGTTGGGCGTTTGCGTTTCGGCTTCTGTAAAGGGATGTATGCATTATATGCTGCATATGAAACACCCGCAAGTGCGGCGAAAACTACGAGGTAAGTGGAAAGGCTAGTCGACGAACGCAAGGTGAACACCAGAACGAGGAGATTCAAGACAATTGCTCGTACAGTTTGAAATCCAACCATGATGGCTCAGGCTCAACAATCGTCACAACTGAGTCGTAAGCTGTCACACGGTATTTGTCGTCCTGAAAGATGCGTTTGCAAGTATGAAAGTGGCGGGTTTCAGGTACTTACATCAACGGTGTGCTCTAGCCAAAGGTTGAGTCTCAAGTCTCCCGGCTGGTTCATTTTGAGTAAAAGCGCAATAAAGAATAACTGGGTGGTCACACCTTGAATCTGGAACGAAACTCGTCAGCACAATACACTTCCAAAAGAATTTAAGAGAACTCACTCAGAGTAGAAAGAGTAAGGAATTTGTAGTTTTGAACCCTCGAGCAGAGGGAAACCATACGTCAGTGAAGACGTCTGACAAGACAAATGTTAGGTAACTCAGAAATCGGCACAACACGACGACGACGAACATTTTTGATGAGAGTTCCAGTTTCAGGATGATGGAACGACCCCGCAACCGATTGCAAGGTTACATTCTTGTCAGACCTATTCTCAACCACGAGGAAAATCTGGTTACGCTCTCCGTTTACCACGTCTGTTATACTACGTGTCAAACTTTGCGAACTAGAGCGAAAAGCACACCACGTACGGCCAAATGGGTTGCTCTCGGGGAATGTGGTTTCGATGACGATCTCGGGATCATCCAGAGCTATACAAGGGATACGTTTGTATTCTTCGGTGGAAAAGCGAGTAAACTCACAAGCAGAAACTCCCAGTGCCATCAACAGGGTGGCGAGGCTCAGACCACGCGCAATGTAAATCGATGGGCGCATATTAGATAAAGCAAGATAAATGAAAGCAAATGTAAATGCGTGGAATGGTCAAGTGAGTTTCGAACGGTTTCAAGACGTTGAACTACACAAACGTTACGTCTCCTATGAAATTTGACTCTAGGGCAGGTTTCTCACGTTCACGTGGTCCGACACTGCATGCAGACACCGTCCTGTTCAATTACTTGGACAAACATGCATCGTCAGAGAAGAAACGAACGTGCGGCATAACAGCTACACAGATCAACCTTCTAATGTTCCTATCATACGCACTAGTGAGCATGTCAACTGTATCCTTGAGGAAATAGTTTACGCCTTTTCTCGGATGGCTCTTGCATAGGTGGGGGAAAGTCGGTCGGGTAAGCTGAAGAAACCGGTGTCTAGTCCAGAAAACGATTGCTTTCCCTTGTTTTCCGGCATAGACACTGGTTTCTTCATTAGATGTTTGAAGGACATAGCATGAAGCTATGATGGTTGTATCTTTATGACATCCAATGACTTGCATCGCCCTGTAGCTCACCGGCGCGGTGCACACCATACCGTGTGTCCATTGTGATCAGCTCTACTTCTTGTTGTGCTTGTGGGAGGTGCAACATCATATCTAGTATGTCCAGTTGCGGCTGCTCAACAAACAGGAGAGTTTGCAGGGGAATGATGGATCACGAGAGATGATGTTCCCAGTCCGCTTTGAGCAGAGTGGCACTAGCTAGCGGATTGAGGTACATACGGTCCGATTGCATGTTTGGTAGAACCGTCGCGATTGGCCAAGGAACCGTGCACTCTGATGAAAAACCTCACCTTGAGGGATGGCCGGCCTGTTGGTACGGACCGCTCGGTCCCTAGCCATTGGCGCAGTAGGCACGACAGGTGCTTGTGAATGCACACCCCACACATAAGTTTGGCACGCACATGCTCAAGTTGCTCGTGAAAACTTGTTTCAGTATGCACTACTACCAGAGTGATGCGACCGTGACTATATGCTGACCTGTGGTTGTAGGACCGACCAAAACGCGCAAAAGTATTACATGCCCTCAGAGAGACAAGCATTTAGCCTTCTCAAAGCCCCTGCTAGGTAAAGGTGACTCATGATAATGAGCCCTTGTAGTGTGCATGCTGTGACCGGATGCCGGCAAGTGGACACGGTTGCAGGGCATCTCACACTTACGGAACATTACATCTGCTCGCGAAAAACCAGTACTTGTGTTAGAAGACAAGGGAACAGCCTGCCCTTGATGAAATACGTCCTAGTCATCGCTTATATAAGTGAGTAGCGTCAGGATCGAGAAACGCCATAGTAACACCGCCCGCGTTAATTGTATGCGGTAGTCTGCAGTGTCATATGAAATTGACGAAATGCATCCGTGTGTTCGATATCATTGTCCTACTTGTAGACTACAGTAGACGCTGACAAGAAGTCACTCGATTGCTTTCATTGTCATTGCAGGCGTCGAAGAGACGACACAGTTTATCACCTCGCACTCAAACAGCGAACAAAGCGACGTTGCGAGCACGCTCTTTGTTTCCATCATTACCTTGTCACAGGGGCTCTGTTCTAAGGCCTGGTGGAACTAAGATACATTAGCAAGATATCAGGTAGTCAACGCCCTCAAGCCTCACTTAATAACCAACAACACCACAGGGGCGGAGTTCCACAAACTCACCGCGCGGATCCAATCCATCAGGTGGTCGACCATAGCCATGGTCCCACCATCACATGGGCAGGAGGTAGCGTGGCCATCCACCTCCATATGACTGACTTGTCACCAATCAGGGTTGACTCGAGTAAGCGACAGGACAGTGCGACTAATGACTGCGTCAGGAACAGTGAAGAGAGCCCACAGTAAAGGTCACCAACCTGCAACTACTCACGCACAGGACCCACGCTGAAATAACTGCATCGGCATGATCGCCGCTGTAGCAATTGCCAAATCAGGGACCAGTAGGCAAGCCACGGACAATCATTAATCAATTGGTCAACGCAAGGAATGCCTGCGCCGTCGTATTCCCCGTCAAATAACCTGCGCCACAGGATTTTCTTCACGAACTCCGACCGAGCGAGGTGGTGGAAGTAGCATGTTACATGTGTAGCAAGACGCCGCGTGCAAATGAGTAGGACATAAGATACTGCTTGACGGAAGCGGTAAAGAACAATTATTGCACTTGTTAGACACACTTGATTGGAACCTGATGGTAAAAACGAAAAGAGAGAAACCAGGGAATTAAACAGGCAGGAATGACTGTGAGGCTTGTACATGACCAAGATGGATTATCATAACAACAATTCCAATGTGAGTGAGGGTTGTGAGGATGGGACGATAGCGGCGGAGTGTGTATGCCGGCAGGCAGGATGGTGGTCGGAGTGCGTGATCAAGTCAAGGAAGTTCTACAGCGTGGATATAGATAAAGGGCTACAACTCTTCAGGAATGTTATAAGAAAAGTACGGATGGTGCAATGCGTCTCGAACGGTGATTCGCTGTGCTGGGTCAAAGGCAAGTAATCGCCGCACAAGATCCACAAATTGTTTGTTGATCTGGTCGGTCGGAGGTATCACGTCCTGTGAGGAGTCGTTAGGGGAAGTCCAGCCAGTCCACAACTGGTCGTCCTACCTGAAGAGGTCGGGTGGCTCGCACGTCCTTCTTGCTCTGCCGCGAAGCCTTCGGCTTCGGCCAGTCCAGGCGTGCACCATCCTTGAAGAACTCGGGCTTAGCCCGCGCTCCGAGACGGGCGAACCGATCGGGCATTTTACCCATAACCATCTCCATCATTGCGAGATGCTCCAGGTTGTCATGCGTCTGATACAAAGCGACGCCAGTGTAGAATTCAACTAAAATGCACCCTAATGAGTAGGCGTCACACGGGTATGACCACCCTAAACCTGAAATGAATTGAAATATAAATATGTGGCGGAGAAATCTTGAAGACGATCTCACTCACCAAGAATAATCTCAGGCGCACGATAGTGCCGCGTGGAGACGACGGTTGAGTGGTACTCTTCCTCAAAGATTGCCGATCCAAAATCTATAAGACGAATGTCTGTTGAAGAGAGCATCCTTTTCGTCCGTGGTGGTGCATTACGCTGACAAAGCAGGTAAAGTTATAAAACTCTGACACATTTGGTCACATCAAATCTTACCTTGCCAGGTACAGGCACCACAGCTAGTCGATAGTCGTTGCGTACAAGTAAGATATTTTCCGGTTTAAGATCCGTATGAATCAAATGAAGGTCATGCAGGACTGACGCAGCATGAGCACAACTCTAAGACGAAACAAAGGAGACGAAGCACTCACAAGCCACGCTGCCAAGCAACTGCCGGGCAAACGACTGTATATGGTTTCGAGGGAAAGGCGCAAATTCGTTTTCCTTCAAAAAATCGTACACACACATGCCAAGTAATTCTGACACAAGGCAAATATGGTTTCGATGGTCGAACCAGTGCAACAGATGAATACATTTGCTAAAAGATACGTTTAAAACAAGTGGATGGTTCGTTGTTGATACGCACTGGACGTTTGATGGATCGCGCTCCTTCAATTTCTGGAGAACGCGAATCTCGATCTTGCTGGCATCGCGATACTTCGGTATAGCGCGTATAATCTTGATCGCCACCCGGTTCTGGTTATGGATATCAACTGCTTCTACAACCTTACCAAAGGTCCCTTGCCCCAAGAGACGAACAGTACGATCTAGAAGATTCATCAGTTGAAAAGATATGATCGGGGTAAGAGGGTAACTCGCATCGATTATAAATAATATCATCTGGGACAATAATGTAATGGCCCTCCTTATCATCACAAGGAATGTTGCCATTGACAGTCTGAGCGAAACGTGAGTATGGAGTGGAAGCGATTCTGTAGAACGAACGATGATTACGTACATCAGCCGTGGCAGCCCCGCTGCCGCTGGCCCATGATTTGGTCGACGCCACGGGTTGCTGCTGGTGCAATGCAGCGGCTGTCTTCTTTGTGAGAATTGCACGGGAGTCATCAGCAGGCTCCCGCTTCCTCTTCTTAGGCGCTGGCGCCACGATCACTGCGGACGAAGTGCTAGCTGAAAGGGTCTGTGCCTCGGCAGCAGCACGGGCCCTTGTCCGTATTGGAGCGGAATATACTGGAGGTTGATATGAGGCCGAAAAGACGTTTGTGTGGGTTGTTGCGGGCGATATTGTAGAAGGAGGAGGAGTATCTTCAATGACTATGACTTCACGGACCCTGCCTTCCTCGTCGACCTCTTGAACTTCACTGTAGCTCACTGTATACTGATGTGCGCGCTTTCTCTTGCGAGAAGTGACTGGAGGAGTGGGCATGACGATGGGATTTGGGAGTGCCCTTGAGCTATTGAGAGTGAGAGATTGCGGAAGATATTGAGGTAACATTGGAGCAAGCTGACGATGCAGAGCTGTCTGCATCGTCAAAACTGATGTTGTAGCCGTGGTGGTAATGGTAGAGAAGGAAGAAGGGACGTTGAGGGAAGGAGATTGAAATCCAGCGTAGGAGCTGAACGGTGGACCGCTTTGAGAGAATGTAACGCAGGATGAAATGGTAATTGTTGTGGTTTATTTATTGCCAGTTATAAAGTTGGTTTAGCCACTCGCTGATAGCCACAAACCACAGCGCACGGACAGCTGTGGTCTGTCAAACGCTTAAAACTGAGCCGGGGCCCTCTACGGAAGCTTCTGCTAAAATTCTGCTACAGGGCTTCCTGTGGCCGCCGGTCCAGTCGTTCCAAAACAGTACCCGGCATTCTGCGAGGCCATGAGCTAGCTCGAAATCCAACATGGAACTATTTCGGAGTCCTATCGTCCTGTCGCGCGGTGCAGGGCTTGATATATTTATATTTTGTCACTGACTCAACCGTGTCACTGTCATATGGATGGGCAAAATTGATATCCCATTTCCTGTAATTAGGTCCACGTTTGTCCCGCTTACGATCACTGCGGTCAAAAGTTTTACGAATTCCCTTCTGTTACTTACTATCGACCTTATCATAAGCCACTAGCCTAGAGCCGCTTCAGTGACACTCACAGCATGACTACTGCCTGTGAGAGCAACCCGCAAGTGCTCCATTTGAGCCTCGATTGAGTAACCGACGACGAATTGCACGGTAAGTACTACATTTAATTCCATCAGCATCAGACGGGCATTGCACGGGTAAAGGGGGTGCCGATTTGCATATGAAGGATCCGAAATAACCAGCATGTCATCGTGGCATTACACAAAGAATCCAAGCTGTTTAATCATGGGCTATGCAATGATTGCAATCAGGAACCGAGACGCGAACGACGGTACATAGAATTAGTAAAGGAAATGCCATATTTGGACTAAACTTGGATTATGCTCATAATTATTTGTCATAAGCTTGACCAAACCTGGCCATGAAACGGGCTTAAATTTATCTATTTTACTAAGAAACGTGACTATAATTTATGTCACGCGCATGTGTCACAGAAGGCCGTCGCTCGCTGTGGACGACGTCGACTGCGAGTCAATCCCCCTTTGTTACCACACAGCTCATCGTTGCTGTCGGCGAAGCAGATGCAATTATGCGGAGTCTTCCATTTCCAGTAGCTGCCACGTTCGACCTTGAAGTACCAAGTGAACATGGAACACCGTTCAGCCCCGCCAGCGATATTCCTATCGATCCTGCACTCGCCGGGCCACTGCCCATCGACCCAGCTATCATGGGCGATGAAGCCGTTCAATTAAATGTTTTGGAGCAGGTAAGTTATGCTTGATGATTCAATATGTCATACCGCGCAGGCGCCAAACGCGTCGCGTGTTGTAATTAGAATTCTTTTGCAAGACGGCTCACAAACTTGCAATTAGGGTCCGCCCGTGCACATTCCAGAGGATTTCATTCCGCCCCACCCTCGACACTATTCTCAGGAACCTTCGCAATATGACCAAGGTCCCCGTGGCGATCCATTTGCGCCCCAACCTGCACCTTATCTACATATTCAAGAAGAAGTCGTTCCACCACCCGCCAAGCCACCAAAGAGAAGGCGAAAACCCCGGCGAGAACCCGAGTGCGGGTTTTGTCAGGGGGATGACAAGAAGAACAAGGAGGCTGAACCTGAGGCTATGGTCACTTGCTGAAGAATGCGGCCGCAGTGGTACGTGCAGTTACCCAGGCCGAAATTGAAATTATGACAAAACTTACAACTAGGCCATCCGAGCTGCTTGCAACTTGGTGCTATCGCAGATACCATTCGTTCATATCCTTGGAAGTGCATCGAATGCAAGACTTGCGAAATTTGTCAAGAAAAAGGTGATGATGTGAGTAAGCCTCCTTAACTGTTAGAAATTACTTATATTCATAACGATACAGGAGAGAATTCTGCTATGCGACTTTTGTGATCGAGGTGTGTTTTATACGTCATCTGTATCTCGGACAATGACTAAGTTACCAAATCAATCAGGGTGGCATATGGATTGTATGCAGCCTCCCCTGGAAGAAATGCCGCCCGGAACATGGCACTGCCCAATGTGCCCCCCATTCCTCCTTCCTTTGGAATCCGAAGTTGCATCCACCACAAATTCCGATCCCCAAAATGGAGACGAGGCAACTGCCGAGCCTGAAGTGGATGTTGAAGTTGACGATGGTGATGACGATTCGTCTGAAGACTCTTCGGACTCTGAATCTGAATCCGACGGTACCAATACTGTGCAAGCACCAACCCCCCGCCAGCGACCCAGCCAGCGAATAAAGAAGCCGCCGAAGCGCAGAATCGAACACTCAACCCCACGGCCCCTTAAACGCATCCGCCTGCGCTCGCCCGTGGCACACCCGCTCGTCGTACGCCTGCGAATCCCCCCAAAGGGTAAGGGCAAAGAACGAGAAGAGGACCCCGACAGAAATATCTTCGAGGATCTGCTCAGCCCTGCTCATAGGGACATGTCAAAGACAGATATCACAGACTCTGACAGAGCACGATTTGATAAAAGTTGTCTGGCCGCCGAGGTTTGCTCTTGCCCTCTCGTGCTCATGAACAATGAGCTGACTCTTCTACACAGGAAAAACTTGCACCTCCATCTCAATCAGCACCTCCAGCTGACACACCTGATCCTCCGATAGCCGGCCCTTCGTCTCGTCCCCTACGGTCTCATACTCTCCAACACATAACCATACCTTCTTCAATACCAGCTCGCTCGCCAGTGCCTTCCACACCTGGCACAATTCCGCACACACCATCCACTATCCCTGCTACCCCGTCAGGTTTCCCAGCGCCTCCCTCCACATTACGTATCCGGACCATCCGCTTTGGGAAGTATGACATCCACCCGTGGTATGACGCCCCCTTTCCTGAAGAATTCTCAAATATCCCGGATGGACGACTGTGGTTCTGCGAATTTTGTCTCAAATATATGAGAAGTGGCTTTGCTTTTGGTAGACATAACGTGAGCTAGGCCCATGACACGGGGGTATACTGTGAGTGCTGACTGTTTCGCAGATGAAATGCAAAACACGACATCCACCAGGCGACGAGATTTATCGCGATGGTGCCATGTCTATTTTCGAAGTGGACGGACGCAAGAACAAGATATACTGCCAGAATCTTTGCTTGCTGTCGAAAATGTTCCTAGATCACAAGTCACTCTTCTACGACGTCGAGCCATTCTTGTTCTACGTTATTACAGAAACCGACGACATGGGTGCACGTTTTGTGGGGTACTTCAGTAAAGAGAAATGTTCTCCGAAGGACTACAACGTCAGTTGTATCATGGCGTTGCCTGTGAGGCAGAGACAAGGATGGGGAAATTTCTTGATTGACTTCAGTGAGCACTCGTAAATTAAGGTCACAGCGATACAAGGTTGACATTTGATTTCAGGTTACCTTCTCTCCAAGAAGGAACAGCGTGCGGGATCACCCGAGAAGCCACTCTCAGGGCTTGGTCAACTGGGGTACAAGAACTATTGGACCCTCGCACTCATGCGATACCTTCATACATCACCGGATAACCCAACCCTTGAAGGTATGTTTCTAAGCTTCCCAAAATATCGAGCGTGTTGACGTTCATTACCAACAGCTATCAGCAAGGGCACATCTATGACCATCGAAGATATTTATAATACCCTCCACGACCAGGGAATGATCTCTGTGCAATCTGCTACACCGCCTATGAGACCTACACCAGGGCAAGCTATCAAGTTCCCACGAGGGCGCAAGAACGGCATTGCGCGGCGTCATCTTCAGCGGCAGAGCACGCTAAACAAGGAAGAGGAGGCCGGAAGCAAGGCCAACACACCTTTTGTCCCCCCCACGCGGTACCAGATTACCTGGGATCCCGAGAAGGTGCAACACTACCTTGAAGCGTGGGAGAAGAAGGGGTACATGAAGCTGAAACCAGAACGGTTGAAATGGACGCCGTTTGTCCTGGCACGGGCAAAAGCTGGCGGGGAAGTTCTGCAGGTGGAGCTGGGTGCTGGCATGGGTGCTTTGAACGGCGTTGCGGAAACACCAATTCCAGTCACTGAACAGGACAAACAGACGCCGGCCCCCGGCCCTGCCGAACCCTCCGTCGGCATATCTGAGGCAGCGCCTACAGAGACTCATTATGTCTCAGACACTCCTGCAGCCCGCCTGTTTGATGACATCATAGCCAAAAACCCTGAAACTCCTGTACCAAAGAAGCAGTTGCGGAGTCGCGTTAAAGGAGGCGAAGTGCCTCGATCTGTCTTCTCGCGAACGCAGTCGAGTCGTAACACGATCACGCGCACTGCCCTCCAACGACATACACGTTCTGTATCGGCTCGCCCTATTACTGGCATCGATGGTGTGGTCAACGGTACTGCCCCTCAAACCGATGAGCTGGCAGAACAATCGAGTCCTGATATCCCTGCCAAACGGCGACGAGGACGGGCACGGATCAAGCCACCGGATGATGCGTTGTCAGCGGTGTCTGAGTCTGGGAGGATGACTGCTTCACCGTCACCCTCAAGACCCCTGACTCGAGTCAAACGCAGGAGGATAGAGTCTCCTGAATCAGAAACCCTCTCAGAGCGTGCGGAAGATCATGCTGAGCCGCCTGGTAGTTCTACTCACTCCAACGGTCACATTAACCCCGTCAGTGAGGTCGGTCAGGAGGATGTCTCTCATCATTCATCCGGATCATCTGGTTCTGTCAATACTGGTGCTCAATCTCTTCGAGTGGAGACGACCTCATCTATGTCAGAACTAGATACACGATCCTCACTTGCTCAGTCGCAACCACCAGATGACGAGATTAAGTCGGAGGAAGCGGATACGCCTCTCACCGGCATAACCAGCCGACACAGCGTACCAAGCGACGATACCTTGTTCGTTGTGGAGACTGCAAATGGGGTAGGGACTAAGGGCTCTGGAGGCTCTGATATCATCAGAGCCGTGCACTCACCCACTTCTCAAACTACCGGGAGGGAAAGTGCTGGTCAGGACTCAGTACCCAGTTGTTCCGCTCCAGCACTATCCAACGATCTCGATCAATATTCTGATCTGGATGCTGAGGGTGAGCCGGACGACGAGGTTGGATGACAAGTTACATAAATTCTGGTCACTACTGCTACTATATCATGATCTCTAGTACTTCGTATCGCTACATACATTGTTTGTACCTTCCTTGCTACATTGCCGGAATCAAGCGGAAGAATATTCCTCAATGTGAACTGGAACTACCTGACACGACTGCTCCAGGCGAACTGGCACACAGTGGTGATTTGTTGTGTGACCGGTTGTTTGGCGGCGACTTTAGAACCAAACAGCCCGCCTTTTCTCAAGCCGAGCCACAACACACACGAGCGGTTCACGCCGGTTCATTGTGGTTCACAGTCTGGCCTATGGAAACTAACAAGTGAGTGCTAATCTTGTAATGTCCACACCCCTTCTACTTGCTTGCGGTCGCCGATGTGCAAGATGTAGGCTCTGATGCTTATACCTACGGCAGCGACCCAAGCATGGCCTTTGGGCATCTTCAACGAGACCCAAACCTGCAGACTAATGTCAGCAATGTCTCGGTACGCTGTATGTTGACTCGAAGAAGCCTTAAGCCACTAATCAACTCCAATGAATGACATGCAGAGTCTGAATCAAGCGCTGGGATCGCATCTTAACTCTACCGTAATCAATGGGCGTCCCCAATTCCATGATGGCGGAGCATACAGGCTCTCTGATTCACCACCGACAATTCTGGATTCAAATGGTGCTCCACGGTCTGCCCAGCCGATAGCTGGTTCTTCTCATACTTCACCCATTCACGAGTTTTCGGTACTCCCAACCAGCGAAACTCAATCTACTAGTGGGCCCAAGCGTAAGCAGACCGACGGTTTGGCACCCAGTGGTTCACAGTCGGGCAAAAGACGGAGAGAAGGGGACGACATGGGTGACCCCTTTGACACCGATGCTGCGCACGGTTCTAAACATTGGACTGACGACGAGAAGACGAAATTGTTTAATTGGCTCATGGGTCCGGGGGAAGACAGCCACTGGAATGCGCTCCGGGCTACAAAGAACTCGTGTCTTCGCGAGGTGTGTAGTCACTTGAGACGGTGCACTTATATCTTACTTACTCGGATATAGTGCGCCATTGAGGTGTTCGGTGGCAAGAAGACTTATCAGGCGCTAAAAGGCTGCTATGAACGAAATTTCAATTTATTTAAACAGATCCATGCATTCGAAAGTTTCCACGTGCAATTGGGGAGTGGTCCTGTCAGCTTTACGACTGAAACAGACAGGTTGCGGGAATATGAACGGCGATTACAAATTGCTCGCAAAGGCGGTTGCGACGTCGGTAATGTGGGTGCCAAGACGATTGACCATTGGCATAGGTCAGGCTGGTATACTTTGTTCCACAGAAGGTGAGTTGCCTTCCTCTTGATTACGAGTCGATCTAAGATGTCGTAACTAGATGGAACGGCGATCCTGCTACTACACGTCCTGCAAACCGCCAAAATAATGTCCTAGGGGCAACTAATACCCATGGCGGCGAAGATGATGATGACGATTCATTAGAAGTGACGGAATCAATTCCAATTCTTCAACCTCAGATTCAACCTCAGAGCGCACCATCTCATCCTCATCCTCAAGTTCAGCAGGTTCATTCACAAGCGCGCCCTCCTACCTTCGTTTTCACGTCACAATCTTCCATTGCAAACAAGACTAATACCAACGAGCTTCCGATACAGGAAGCAGGACCATCAAATGCCTCAAGTCGACCCACCTTCCCCACCGTACCGTCGCCAAGCAGTGATGCGTCCGTTGTCAATTTTGCTTTACCGCAAAACATGATGGCTGCATGCTTGCAGCTTTTGCAAGCGCAGGTCCAGCACAGCAAGCTCAAGCTGGAATATCTTAGGAGACGGGAGGAAAGGGAAGAAAGAGACAGCAATACCCGCAAAGATGCTGAACGTGCCCGACTGGAAAGAGAAGCTGCCGAATGGGAGCACACAAAGGAGACAGCTAATGTCAAGCACAGAGCCCAACTCGCAACAGATGTATTGGCGAATCCGGTGGTAGACGGCTCTGTGCGCCAGGCTGCGGCCGATTATCTTAAAAGACTATTTGCTTCGGACTGATTCGGACTCGGAAGAACGTATGGACAACAAGTACTATATAGTACCGGATTCTGAAAGGGTTCGCCATTGTATCACAGACAACTTGGTGGGTACATTTCTTGTCAGTAAGTAGCCTATCGGTTTGTCGATTCATATTTACATGGTTGTGTTGTAGCTGAGTGTGTTTCATAATGAAGCCAGCTACATCATTCTGATCCAAGATAAATGTATTTGTCTAAAGAATTGTTCGCTGACAATTTATGACTAGCAGATGCTCAACCATGCCCGATCGCAAGATCTAGGGAGCATTCGGTTAGTATGTATACTATACTGCAAGTACTGATGAAGTCATATCGCTCAGTGATCGCGGGGTGAGTGAATCTCTGGCTACAAGCAACACAACTCCCACAAGCGCTCAGCTATCGAACATCTAGAGACGACAGGTGGGTTCAGGACCTGGTCCATTTCTTGTCAGCTTTCACGCCATGTGCAGAACCTTCTCCATCAGTCAGCACCACGGTGGCGGAAAGTATCTTCTCTAAGAAGTACAGCGTCGTAGAAGCACGAGATGCACCCACCCAACAGGTGGCCATGATCCACCTGTCACAACCCTAGATCGAACGACAGACGGAGGATGCCACTGTCGGATGGAGCAAAAACAGGCTGAACAAACGACTTCTTGTAGAGTAAGTAGCGTTAATATTAATGCGGTCATCCGCGAGAATGAATGCTGATCTCGGGGAAGTTCAAGGAATGCACCTCGTCACCTCAAGTCTCTTCATTCCATCACTGACGGGCTCTACCGGCTGCACATCTTCTCAGGTCTTTTCATTTCTCGCGTGCTTTACATCGACTCTGGCGTGGCAGATCACATACTACTGCCATCGAACGGACAGAGCCTGCATATACTCTTCAGAAGATATTGATATTGAGCAATGATGCATGGGCGCTCGAAATGACGCCGACTTCCTCCAAGCGGGACGAGAAGGATCTCTGAGTTGGAACGGGGAAGTACTTCATGCGTGATTCTGTGATTCACTCCGAGTCAGACCTCAGAAGTTAGATGGGTCATCATGCCCATGATGTGGGGTGCATAGATAAGTCGTCCTGCCGGGATGTCATCACCATGTCAGTGACCCCGTTTATTCTCAAGAGTTAGACATCATGTGGGGACTTGCAGGGACCTTTGAAAACCCGTGTTCCTCTTCCTGTCAAGTACGTATTAACATGGTTTAATATGCGAGGCCGCATTGGCCGCGTCCCGCGGGAATCTCTATGGAGGAGATCTGCGATCAACAAGGTTCAAAATTGATCCTCCGCTATTAGCCACTATCCTTCAGTGCCATTATCCAGGACCTTCAGTACTTCCCACCGGGGCCTGTCTCCATACCAATAAACAGTACAGCCGTCGGGAAATTATATTCCTACAGCCGTTGGAGCACAAGTGTACTAAAGGGACAGATATTGGCTTTTCATAACTGTCAACTCAATCTGTAAATATGATATCTGGTACAGCTCTCTGCTTGGTCACATTTATTGCTTACATAGCTTGGCGTAACGCACGGCGGTACACTTTGAAAGACATCCGAGGGCCTCCTTCGCACTCATTCTGGCTAGGTAACACTTGGTCTTCGTTTCAAAGCGTGGACATCCCTCATACGTCTGCAGGTAGCGAGAAGGTACATCAAAACGCTAAACAAGTGGGGGACCTGGAATTTCAATGGGCTCGCGAATATGGTCCAACTTGGATGACCAAAGGATGTTTGGGGGTAACGTCACTAAGTCCTCCGACATTCCACCACTCACGAGTTCTTTAGGAGGAAATTCTCTGGACCGCAGACCCCCGTGCTCTGCAATATGTCTTTCATACGTCTGGTTATAGGTTTTCGAAGAGAACCACTGCCATTGAAACGACGCGCCTCTTCACGGGGGAGAGTATTTTGACTGCAGATTGTGCGTTTGTTACCTTTACTGTCTCAGTATGCAGCTCATATCTTTCAGCGGTTGATCATCAAAGGCACAGGAAGATCATGAATCCTGCTTTTGGTGCTGCTCAACTTCGAACATTTTTGCCCGTTTTCCGTCGTTCGGCAGCTCGGGTAAGATAGTTAAGAAGTCTCACGGAAAGGCCGCTTATGTTTTTATTTAGCTCTCACAGAAGTGGAAAGATATGATTCAATTAGGAGAAAAGTCTGATGGATGTACAATAAACGTCAATGAGACCTTGTCCAGAATGACCTTAGATGTCATCGGCGAAGGTGTGTGCTCGAAATTTGTCTCATAGGTATTGTATTCATATTTGTGGGTTGCAGTTGCTTTTGACTACCGTTTCGGAGTCCTCGACGACAACGGAGTAGATAATGACTTGGTGCAGGCGTTCAACAATCTGTTGTATGTCTCGCAATAATACTCTGAGTCAGGCCCTATGTTAACCCACGAATTCAGCATCGATACGCTGTTGTACCAATCTTCATGGGATATCATCTTTAGGTCAACCTGGAGATTCCTTCCTCAACCGGTTCTGAAGTACTTGAAGTATTTGCCTTACAGAGAGTACCGCCGTTTCGCGACATACCTGCAAACAGCCATTCAAACAGGAAGGACTATCATCAATGAAAAGGCGGCTGATACCGAAAAAGGCAGTAAGGACATCATCAGTATTCTCAGTATGTTCTCTGCGAAGGTATGATTCATGTATGATTGCTCACAAGCTTCGGTGTCTTAGTACAGTCAAACCTTGTGGAAGATGCACGAGCTCAGTTGAGTGAACGAGAAATATTGTCGCAGATAGCGTGAGTGATAGATAGCATCACAAATGATATGCCAGTTAATGATTGCCGCATTCTAGCACATTGCTGGTCGCAGGTCATGATACTACTGCCTCGTCTCTCACGTGGGTGCTATATGAGCTCTCAAAGCACCCAGAGGACCAGCGGCGCATCCGTGACGAGATTAAAGAAGCAAGAGCGAACTTGGAAGCTCGTGGCGATGATGATTTGCTGCCTAATGATTTTAATAATATGGATTTCACCAATGCAGTTATTAAAGTTGGTCCGCCGCTTGTTTCCGACATTCTATTCTCATCTTCATTTGTCTCCCAGGAGGGACTCAGATTGCATCCTATAGTTCCTACATTGATCCGGGAGGCAGATTCGGATGATGTTATACCACTTTCTCAGCCAATTGAGACCAAGTCAGGAAAGATTGTTAATGAAATACCCATCTCGAAAGGCCAAGGCATCACAGCATCTATTTGCACTTATAACAGGTTGGTTCCATCGGTTATTGAGTTGTTTCTCCCCCACTTAGATTATATTCCTCAGGCTCCAAAGTGTTTGGGGAGAAGACGCGGATGAGTGGAACCCAAGCCGTTTCCTGGACGATGGCAGGGAAAAGTCGTCGTTGGGAGTTTTCGCCAATCTGTGTGTATCTTCATTCATTACACTCTCATGAGCTAAATCAGTCCAACACTCTCAGAATGACTTTCTGTAAGTTATCAAAGTTCTTGCTCCCCCGAAAAACAATCTCACGTGTTTCAAACCAAAGCGGCTGGTCTCCGTTCTTGTATCGGGTAAGTAAAATAGTCACTGAGTATTATTTATTCTCATTTTCTGTGACTAGCTGGCGTTTTGCGTAAGTTCATGATCAGATATACTGACCATTGGACTCACTCGTGAACCACAGAGTTCTTGAAATGCAAGCCGTGCTTGTGGAGCTTGTCGAGAATTTCGAGTACCGATTCCCCAAAGATGTGGAGATCATTCGATTGAATGCTGGACTCATGACCCCTATGGATGAGGGCAAGATGCATGAAGGTATTCAGATGCCCTTGGAAGTCAGTGTCATTGCGTAAATTTGATAGAGGTGATGGATGCGGAAGATAATGTCAATAGTTTGGATAGCGTATGCCTAACACCAGTTCGTTACCTCACGTAGTCTTTTTGTATTGGCGTTCGATATACAATCAATGATCATATTGGAGAATGGTTTTAAGTTACTGCCGTGCCCTCATTCGCCACATGGGCGGAAATCAACTTGATCCATTTCGCAGTTCCGCGTCAAATATTATCTGTAACGCCCGACAAGACCTTGTCAAGTTCAGCACTACTGGCTGGAGCTGACGAGTCCTTACTGAGACTCGGTGCTCTCCGAGCTCCCAGAGTCACCGCACTTTTTACTTGTGGCAATGATTTGCCTGCCTTGACCGACCCAGGTGGTCTTATCCCCTATTTCCGTCTCGCCTTCACTCTTGCAAAGAACTCCGACTGGCGCCCTGACTTGACTCGGGGTGGCTATATTGACAATCGGATCACAAGCACGGTCACGGATTCCAGTCTCGCTCGACACCTTCTCAATTGCACACCTCGCGCGCTCGCACTTGCACTCGCAATGTAGTCTAGGTATGAGTCAATACGCCGACGAGTCTTCACGAACCTACGTGCAATGTGCGTTCCTTAAAATGGCATGCTGGATCTTGCTGTCGGCCTCGTAGTCGACGGAAGCCGCATATGAATCCATGATGTATTCGCTACCGGAGTGAATATCAGAATTACTAGTAGCCTCGTCAAGAATTAGGATCGGCGTCTTGATTCGATCCCTGATTATGCGGCGAGGTGTTGCGGTTGCGGTTGTCCAGGCACGTCACACCATGATGGTCGCGATTCACCTTGGATGGAGCTGCTCTTTCTTTGTTGTTGTGGTTGCTTTGTCTTTCCTCCCGGACCGCACATTCCGTTCGCTCGTCTCCTCAGCTTTGCCTTTGCTGTTCTCTATTGCCATTCTTTATAGGTTAAAGTTGACATCACGTTTCGAGTTGGTAATTGAACCTGAGGCCTGGCGTCCAACTATCTATCTCAATACCGTAACGACATGGTCGTTCAACATTCAACAGCCTGCCTGTCAGCTAATGGTCGATTCTAGCCCAACCGCTGTTGTTTAACCTCAGTTTCTTCATTAGACTAAGGTGGTCGAACAGGGAACCGTCGTTTTGGGAATCAATTGACGGCAGTTTAACTTTCTGTTCGATCTAATTCTTGCTTGAAACGCAAGTACATCTATCTATTGACATCCGCTGCCTCTCCATTTGGACATATCCTACCCGCGCCCCAGCTACGCCGTGCCATCAACTCCAACTCCAACTCTAGTACAACTGTCAAGTATTGCGAGTGCACGTGCTGTGCAAAATGTCTATCAGCTCTGATTGCAGTCTGCGGCGTTCTCCCAGGTAGGTTAACGAGACAGAGGCCCAGCTGAATAGTATCATATCTGCAGTGCCGTGGCGGGTTTGAAGAATATCGTATGTGAGAGATTGGTGATCTCAGTTCCAGATGGTATGGGACCGGGAGAGTTTGGAAGACAAAGTGCGGAGGCCGCCCTAGATCTTCGGCCCTACATGATCAGACCGCCTAACCACTGTATTCATTGACTTTCGCTTGTATTTTGTTCATTGCATTCCCTTTCAGTGTACATATAATCTTTGCATAACGTAATTGCAAGCACTTTAACTGTATCTTAAGATAACCTGCGGATCTGTATGTAGTCTATAGTCTAGGCACGAGCCATTACGCCGTGTGTTTGGACGCAGAAATAATGTCATCGAGAGTGATAGAAGATTGTTCGCACATTCCGTGGAATATACTATCCGGCATGGCGAAGAGATTAATGGGGCTATCGAATTCCTGAATGAATGGTCAGTACGGAATAGAACAACTTAAAGACACGTGGACGTACAGCAATCATCCCAGCATCCATTACGCATATCCTGTCGTATCCAATGATAGTCCGAAGACGATCTAGATGTTTGCTTCAAGTCAATGTAAAGCGACACGTATTCTCGAACTTACGTGCAATGCACAGGATTGTGCGTTCTTTGAACTCATTGGCGATGGTATGCTGGATCTTGCTGTCGGTCTCGTAGTCGACGGAAGCTACATAGAAATCCATGAGAAGATATTCGCTACCAGGATAAATATCGGAATCACCCGTGGCCTCGTCAAGAATTAGGATCTTGGTGTCATTCACGAGAGCTCTCGCAAGCGAGACAAGAGAACGTTGTCCGATCGACAAATTACCGCCCTCGTCGTCGATAGGACTGTCGAGACTAAATCTAGGCGCCGACTGCCCTTCAGCAGGGGACGATTCCGAGGTAGGCGGAAGATCACTGTTTGAATCCACAAGATACGCCCGCTTCATTGCATCATAGAGCTTGGCATCATCGTGCAGCCCGAAAGGATCAAGGTTAGTCCGAAGAGTACCGGAGACTAGTGAAACAATCAGTTAACAGGTTCCCATGTTTAGCGCGTTATCACGCACAAAGAAACTGCAGGCATGTCGCATAATCAGCTCAAGTTCAAACAGACGCTATACACGCCACTTACAGCATCCTGAGGGATGATCGACAACCCTTTTCTGAGCTGCGCTAAACCAACGGTCGAAATGTCCACACCATCAATGGATATCGACCCTGATGCTAGTTCTACCATGCGATAGATAGCGGTCATGATGGATGATTTCCCGGCACCAGTCCTACGTCCCATAAGTCACAGGAGTTACATAGAACAAAAAAGACACTCACCGGCCAATGACACCAATCTTCTCTCCAGGAGAGAGTGACATACTCAGGCCCTTCAGAACGGGTGGTAACTCCGGGCGGTATCTCATAACCACATCCTTCATGACGATTTCGCCGTGAGAAGGCCAGTCGGCTGGCGCAGGGCTGTCTTCGACTTCATGTGCGGCTTCCTGTTCGACTTCTTTTGCATAGTGCACGACACGCTCCACGGAATTCATATTGTTCTCGAGTTCAGCAACTTGGCGGACCATCCATGTGAAAGACTGAGTGGATCGTCAACTGAAACTCGAACAAAACGGAACAACGGGACACTACCTGTTGCACCATCACGATATACGAGAGCGTCACGCCAGTTTGCCCCGGAGAGATGCTGAATCGAATCCCAACAGTCAATAGCGCGACAGCGAGAGTGAGTAGCGAGCCGAGGAAATCAAGACGTATGGCGAGCCATCGCTGGTTGACAACTGTCAGCCAGTAAGCACTGAAAAACATCAGCAATGATCAAGACCGCGTGTAATTACAGTTCTTACCGATTTTCGACATCAGTGAGCTGGATATTTTCTACGCGGAATCGATCCAGTTCGCCGTAAGCGCGAATGGTAGTCAAGCCCGATAATGACTCAGAAAAGTGAGAATAAAGCGAGGATCGCAGGAGTGCATCCAACCGCTGTAAACTTCCGCGTCGGTAGGAATTCGACAAACTTCATCAAAATGACCGACCTTCAACTCACGTGCACTCGCACGGTAGAACAATGCAGCATAGTAATAGCCGATTAAGATGAAGAAGGCCACGATAAGGAAATATGGTATGATGATGGATATGAGAATGATTGCCCCGATGATTTGTGATGCTGTTGATGTGAGCATCCTGAGGGAATCTGAAAACGCGAGATTTATTCTCGTCAGAAATGATCCACGAAAGGACTTCGACACTCAAGTGCTCACCGCCAATTAAATTATCCACAGTATCGATATCTTCCACTTTATGTCAGAAAATCCGGATGATCGACACCTTTTGGAACATACCTTTGGTAAAGCGATTCATGATGCGACCTAAAGGCGTTGTCTCGAAGAAACTCATCGGGGCATACATAACTCGCTGAATTGATCTCTGGCAAAAGGAGTTAGGATCAGCGTCCACAAATAAGTAACGAGGGACTTACCCTGTGCAACTGTTGGGAAGCATAGTAAGTGAGTACTGCAAAAGTACCTCCCATCATGAACATTGTCAACGCCTGGGAGATACCAAGAGCAGCATAGATGCCAGTCTGCATTGACAACCATCAGTGGTGCGTCGGTCATGCCCAACAGAAGAACTCACATAGAATCCTGCCGATTGGTGCCATTTTCTATAGAGGTAGTGAGCACTTAAATTCATAGGGGTCTGTGACATCCACGTACTCTTCTTCCCAGTAAACAAGCCTAACGAACTACATTAGTGAAATGACCACGAGATGCAGAAATCACATACCAATACGAAGACATGACACTGGAGCATTGCATGAGGATTACAGAGAGCAGTAACAGCGGCAAGAGCACAGAGCCGTGAGCTGCTGTGAGGTACTCTCGGTATACTTCCCACTTTATGGCACCAGTGTTGCGCTCTTCCTCTTGCATCATCGCTTTCCCGGCGGATCCTTTCTGAATTTTCTTGTCTTCGATCTTTTCACTCTCCGCTGCTTTCTCTTCTTTCTTTGTAGAATCCTCCTTCGACCCAAATTCTGAGACAAATTTAGAGAATGTACCGTCATTAGCCATGAGTTCGGCGTATGTGCCACGTTCGGCAATGCGCCCGTCAACCAGAGTATATATATAGTCGACCTCAGGAAGGAAGTGGAGGGCATGGGTAACCAGGATGCGAGTTTTGTCTGCATTTTTCTTCAACACATTCTGGAATACTGCCTTTCCGACGTGGGCATCTAGAGCTGACAGTGGATCGTCGAAAATTTGGATGTCGGTATTGCAATAGATCGCGCGACATATGTTGATGCGTTGCTTTTGGCCGCCAGAGAGTGAGATACCCTGTGCAAAGCATCAGTTAGTAGTCCTGCAGGACGAAGAACAGACATTGCCTTCTCGCCAACTTCTGTAAGGTCGTAATTGGGCAACATATCCAAGTCAGGCTCTAAGCATGCATCTCGGACGGCCTTCCAGTAACGCTCCTCTTCAAATGGACGACCGAAGCAGATGTTTTCCCGGATGGTTGTATTCTATTTGTCTCTTAGTCGCCGATGCCAAAAGACTAATCAGTGAGCATACCTGGATCCACGCGACTTGGGCACAATAACCAACGGAGCCACCGAAATCGACGCTTCCAGAAGTGCGCCGCATTTCGCCAATAAGACCTTGAAGGAGGGAGGTTTTTCCCGCGCCGACGGCTCCAACGATGGCAACGAGTTGGCCCCGTGGAATTTCCAAGTCAATGTCCGTAACTTTGAAGATATTTTCATTGTCTGCAGGAGCTGGTAAAGGCGTTGAAGGGAATTTTTGCTTGCCCATCTTGCCGCCCTTGCCCTTCTTTTTTGGATCCTCGGGCCGAGCGGGCGGACTATCCCATGTAAAGCTGGCACCTTCAGCTCTGACGGCGACGTTCATGTCGCCATTTGTGACGAGTTTCTCGTCAAGCGTTTCTGCTTCAAAAACAACCAGCAGCCTGTCGCATGCTGTGGCTGCGTCAGCAATGCTGCTCAGAGACAAGGCTGGAAAGGTATGTGAGATTACAGACTGCAAATGTCAATTTATCACGCACGTAAAAACATCAAAGGCATGCGGGCTAAGTTGAACAAGGTCAACGAAGTGAATATATTCGCCGCCGTAAGACTGTGTCCAGTCAACGAATATGTGACAAAGGCAATGACAGAAGCGATACTTGGGAGAGAAAGGGCAACGGCATTCATCGCAGCTCTCATGATCAGGAGGGTGCGGATATATCTGAATGGGAAATAAATATTAACCAATACCCGGGCAACAGGTAACAACTTCACGTACATCATCTCGTTCCGTCGATAGTCAGAAATACGCTTCAGGAATGGAACTTCCCAGGAAAAGAACTTGATGACACGCATGCCGCTGAGGACCTCTTGTAATATCTTAGAACGCTTATCTGTCCACACCATGCTTTTCATGCGAAGGGAAAAGAGGCGTTTTATAGTATATGTCTGGACGGGAGTCGCGACAACGAGAAGCGCAAAACCGGCGAGTGCACTCGGGCCGAGATTGATCAATAGCAAGACCAGGCAAATAGTGAGCTGAATCAAAGCCGTCCATGACATGTGGAAGTAACCCAGGCAGAAGTCTATCCGGGAGACATCGGTAGATATGTGGTTGACCAATTCGCCATTACTTAAGTGGACGCGAGCTCTCGCGCTGAGTTGAAGTGATTTCGAGTATATTGCCGTGATAAGACCGCCACGAAGAAGGACACCACTGGACATGCTACGGTAGAAGAAGTGATTGGTGCACCATGACGCGATGAGTTGTAAAGCCAATAAGCCAAACGCAAGGCCAATTCCCTCGCCAATAGAAGGCGTCGATTGACCAGTTAGATGGTTTGTGTAAGACACTGTGGCAAAATTGATGATCGCCTACAGACACCGGCATGAGTGATCAGGGAAGAAATTTTGCAGAAAGGTTCTGACCTTGACGACGAGGGGACTGGTAATTTGTGCTGTGTCGCCGATGACTTTCAAAACACCAGCAGACCAAAACCACCAAAAGATACTGTCATTCATCGCCAAAATGAGACTTGCTTTGCGCTTTCCGTCCTTTTCCCTCCATTGCTTCTCGCGTTCTGCGCGAACGCCCCGTATGGACCACCATAAACCCTTCAACCCTGGTCCGATTTCACCCTTAGCCAAACGTTCGTTGTATTCAGCAGCCTTGTTTTGCCGAGTCTTGAACGATGTTAAAATGGCATCGGCAATTGGCAAGGCGCCGCGTTCTTCCTGGAGTCGATAAAGATCGGATGACTCGAGTGGACGAGCATAGCCAAGGGAAAGCAAAGGTGTTATCCAGGTGAACCATAGAAGACTGGCGAAGCCAGCTGTGGCCTCAGGGATTAAATCTGCGTCATGGATAGATTTCTTTGGGGGAGGAGGACTACCATTCTTCCCAAACAGAAAAAACCTAGGACACAAGGAGAGATCATTAATGATGTAACAATGTCATAGCGGAAGGTGGAATGCGAATTACTGACAGCCCGCAAGCCTACAACCGCAACATCTAGTACTCACCGAGATATAAACGATTTCATGTTTCGACCATTGGCTGACTCGGACTCCGATTCAGATGCCTGACTCGGAGCCTTCTCAGCGGTATCGATCTCAACATCTTGGAACCTGACTGGTTTAGAAGGCTCCATCAGTCGGTGCAGAAAGACAAGAGATACTAACCCTGGACCCTGGTAATTGGTCTCGTGTTAAGTAGTACTATACTTGTACGTACAATGTGCAGTTATCCGAAGCATGTTCGTTATACTGCTGACTAAATTTTCGGGCCATCACGATTCGGCTGCTTACGAGATTCAGGTTATAAAAGGCTATAAGCCTATCTGAGTTTCAATTCATGGTCCAACGGATCCCGACTCCCGAATTAATTTCCATTTTAAAACTCAGTACCTGTCCAATGGAAAGACATACCGTTGAGGCTTTACCAATTGTTCTCTCACTTGCATGCGCATATCGTGGAAATTATTTTGTATGTTTCACATGACAAAAATAAGTGTTTCCTCGTGCATACTACCCTGGGCTTCAACCTGCAACGTTACCGAGCCAGCCCAGCAATCGTGACTTGTGAGCATCGAATCTTTGCATCCTGTGATCCTAATCATCATCAGGGTGTTTTTGCTCAAAAATCCTTGTATAACCGCCACAGCAAGAATGACCCGTGTATCTATCAGGTGATATTCATGTAGTTGCTGCCTGAAGCGTCCATTACTAGTACTGCCACTACATTCGCCAATGACTGCTAGGGAAGCGCAAAGCTAATCGACGAAGCTGGAGAAGGTGGTCCAAGCAAGAAACCGGTCTCCGCGGATGATGCAGCTGACAGCGTGGATAACGAGGACGATGACGACGACTTGTACGGAAGTATAGAAGCCGCGAGACGCGTCATGATGGACATTGATGATTGATCAATAGACGGTTGTCAGACCTCTCAGTGAGTACGTTTCAATTATTGTCAAATAAGGCCGTTCACCTCATCTTATTCCCTTCAGACTCTCAAGTTTCCGTGATAATATGATTTCTATGCTCGATTTTCTCTTCCATCACATCGCCACTAATACTTTGATGATCAAAGTTCACGCCTTTATGATTCGTTCTCTCACCACACTACGCTTTGAGTAGTCGCTACCTTGATGTAGTGTTGACTTTGTTCATCACTTAATAAACATACATAATACATTCTGATATGTGTACAGCTTTGAGCGAGGTGCCATTCACTACGTGGAATTCCACCTGTGACAGATACATCCTCTATGACCAGCTCCATGAGTTCGAGGGCGGGGCAGAAGTATACGTTAGAACCTGATGCGTGTACCATGTCTATAGCCCTTCATCGTAAGTCACACGCACAATTCAGGTGAAACCTCACGTGCCAAGATAAGAGTTCATAATCGTATCCCTCAAATTTTTGCAATCTACGGGTGATCTCGCACTGTCTGTTGGCCCACCACTGTGTGGCGCAATCACCTATCCATCATGGAACCTCCTCAACCTTCACTGTGGTAGGCAGCGTCAATATCGTAGCCCGCATCATGGTTGTGTTCAGCTCGGTATTGCAAAGTTTACATGAACGAAATCGTTGTATTTGTCAATTAGGTTGTAAGCACGCTGGCTTACTAGAGTTCCCATAATCTACATGAATACTGTCTGCGATACTGAAACATAAGCTTTCAGTATCACTGCCTTTTGGCGTAACAGTTAAGGGACGACAGTCTTAGCTAAGTTACATAGTGTCTCAGGTTCGATCAATCACTGCGATCGATGACAGGTGTCCAAGTTGTGCTTCATCAGCGGTGAAAAAAAAATTGTGCATTCAGCGCACCTAAAATGTCACCGTTTTGTTAGGTAGGACGCATGGTCTATCGCACGTACGATTATTGTGATGCCGAAGTCGATACATAACTTGAATGAGCTAAATAATTATGCGGAGTTGCGACTGAGTGCCGCTGTATGACATATAGCCAATCGCGCCTAGTTTACAAATTTGCGGTTGGCGCACAGAATCCCTTGGCAAGAGTTGAGCAAACGTTTAGTGCTGCTCTGGAATTTAACTGGAGTCGATGCAAATGCAATCGACCACAATGCAAAGAATTAAGGAAAGGATTGATCATCACACGAAGTTGGTACATGTGACTTATCACGATCAACTTCAATCCTCCACTAAAGCTTGCCAACGTTGACATTGACCAGTGAACAGGGCTCAACAGGGTCGCTAAAAACTATCGTGTGTACGCGTCCCGGAGCCTCCGCAGAGATATCTAGGAGGACGCGCATCTATCATTTGCACTGCATGAGAATAGACTATGTGTACTGACCTCGTACGCCGATGAAAGCGAAGCCGTATCTTTCTCTGATACTCTCATTCGTTGAACCCTTTCCAGGTGGCCGGCGCTTCTTAACATAGATTTAAAATAATGTGCCTGAAAGTTCAATGAGCGAGAATGGCACAGGTTGGCTGGTCATCAAGTGTCATACCTCCTGTTCTTCAACCAACGTCCAAGCGTCTCCAGTCCTCCCCGCTCGAGCAGTTCGACCAACCCGATGCACATACTTTCTTATATCCACCGGTGCGTCATAACTGACTACGTGCGATACATGACTGATGTCGATACCTCTTGATATGAGATCCGAGCATATGAGTCTAAAGTATGGTCAGTACAGAAGGTCGCGGGAACAAAATGTATTAAACTTCCAGATGGACCTCTTGAGCCTTGAATTTCTCCAATATGGTCCTGCGTTCGTTAGTAGGAAGATCACTCGAATACGACCGAACCGCAATTGGATTTTCATTGGAGGGGGTAGCAGCCTCGAAGAATTCGAACAAACGGACAAGACGAGAGGCCGATTCGGACGACTTGGTGAAAACAAGTGCATTGCGGACGGAATGGTTGTATACAAGATGAAAGAGCATTAATGGTTTCTGAGGGGCCTCGCAAATTATCATGTGTTCCTGTGATTTATGAGTGAGCTTTTGGCAGGATTAAATTTGTTGTCGCGTACCTTTAGTGCTTCGGGCATGGTGAACCGTTCCGCAATAATGTTGGGAATACCATCGATTTCGGATTCTTCAGATAGACCTTGCACAACAAAGTACTTTGGATGTCGGAGATCCAGAGCCGCAAGCTTTCCCGGGTCACTGGTGAGTGTCGCGGAAAACAGTAATTTCTGACACGAGACGTCTTTCTTTTCATCGATGTCAGTATGTAGGTCTACTTCCCTGTGAAGGCGAAGAAAAGCGGGTGCAAGAGAATCACAAAGAGGGGCTTGCGTTTTGGTTTCACTTGTCTCAGGGACCATTCTGGGCGGTTGCGTGGCGGCAAGAACTTGAGCCAGCCAGTCTTGGAATGACTGAGCAAGCAATCGATCGGCTTCATCTATTACCTAGAAAAAAAACGATCATTCAAGAAAAAGTATGACAGATCAAAGAGGCTGACCAAGAATCGGAGGTGTTGTAGCGAAAAGTTGGGTGTTCCGTTGAGATGATCGATAAGGCGCCCCGGGGTACAGATCAGAATGTCAACTTTACTTGATCCACCAGAGAGTCTTCCGCAAACGTCAACACGGGTACAAAGCACGGATTAGCGTTCAGAGGGGAACGTACTTGGCTGACATGTCCGCAACTAGTTGCGACTGCTCATGAGCGAACGAGTGCTGTCCGGTGGCTGTACCAATCTAGGTCCATATTCGAAATGTAAATTGGCTAAGGATCAGACAAAAACAAGCAAACCTTCAAACCTCGTCCTTTTGCGATCGCCTCTACTGTCTCTCTAACTTGCATGACTAAATCACGCGTCGGTAGAACGACAAGAGCACGGAGGTGGGTTACAATTCTCGTTGACAGAACCTGACCCCATCGAATCAATCAAGACTTCCGAAAATTGCGCGAATCATTACCTCAACAATTGGGAGCACATATGCGAGTGTTTTCCCACTTCCGGTTGGTGCAGAAACACATACGTCTTGTAACAGGTCAAACGGTGAGTACAGTGACCTCCGCATGGCGGAAGAACCTAGCAGAAAAGGGAGGAGTGCAGTCTGAACTATAAAGTTGTCAGGATATGTGTGCAAGTGGATTAACAGATCTTACCAGCAAATAGTTCAGTAATCCCTAGTTCTATGAGGCGCCTTCTTGTCCTTTCCGATAAACCAGTGCGAGCATCATCTCCTTTGGGTATTATGGGTAGTCGAGAGGAGGGATTGACAACTTCAGCTTGAACTAAAGCTTGATCAAGACCTTGCAATGCGAGTATAGATTTAGGCGGTGCATCAGGTAAAATCGGAAGGGGGAATACCGGGAGAGACATCTGCAGTTCGGGGGACTGTGTCCGCTGTTGGATAGGAAGCGGTGGAAGACTCATACTCAAAATTGTCTCACGTGATCTAAACCAATATTCAGAGTGTTTTTGCCAAGGGTTTCCTCAACATCCAGCCCTTCACTGCTCGATCCGCTACCCCTGATGGCACAACGCACAAAGAATATGCTCACACGCGCAAGCATTCAATGAAGGGCATACAAGTGGTATCGAAAATACAGGGTAAGAGACTAATAGTTATCTTACAACGTGACAGGTACTAGCAGTGACAACGCCAAAATGAGAGAGAATATGAGATCGACAACTTGAAAACTCTACAGTAAATGATATCGTGAGGGAATGCGAAACAACAGTATGATCAACACAGAAGGTAATCCTACAACTGACAGGTGCTACGTATAGTGACCGGGATGAAACAGTATCGAAAATCAACAACTCGAAAACCTATACCATACAAAAGCAGTACAACAACCTCGCCGCATAATCAAGGATCGAATTAAGACGCTGATCCTAATGCTTGATGAGGCTACTGGTAATTCTGATAAATATTTACTCTGGTAGCGAATGTATTATCATGGATTCTTATGTAGCTTCCATTGACCACGAGACCAACAGCAGGATATTCAACATACCATTGTCGATGGGTTTAAAGAGCGCACAACCCTGTGCATTGCACGTAAGTTCGGGAAGACTCGTCAGTATAGTGACTCATACATAGGCTACTACATACAGAATCGCGGGCTATCTTACATACATTTTCACGTTATGCAAAGATTACATACTGGAGAGGAATGAAATCCACAAATTATAAGGTCAATCTAGGTAACGTTAAACGTTGAGTGGTAGTGGGGTACAGACGTTGGGGGGTAGTCAGGGACAAACGTTGAGTGGTAGACAGGGGCCATGGTCACTGGGGACCAAGGTACGAATGCATTTTGTTCCCTAAATTCTCCCAGCTCCATACGGCCTGGAACCGAGACCACCAATCTCTCGGATACTACAATATTCTTCAAACCCGCTACTGCAGATATGATACTCTCATCTAGAATTTGTTGTTGTTGCAACACAACAAGAGCTTTGGCCAACACCTCATTGAGCGATTCGAGCTCAATCCTCGAAGCATCTGATGGCATGTAGCACTCCGTGCCCTTGACAAGATCTGGAAGGCTCTCAATAACATCATCCAACTCATGATGAGGGTGAGATTCGAGAATATACCATGCACCCCTCATCAAGTCCCACAAATGCATGGTTGTGATAGTACTAAAGCAAGATGTGGCCTGCCCTGGGGGAGCAATACGGAGGGAAATCCTGGCGAGGTAAAAGAGACGACGAGCTTCTTCGCTAGTGATGTTGGTAGAAGAATATTGATAGGGGCGAGGGGGAATTGAGAAAGAGCGAGAACGAACAGGAAGTCGAGGAGGGTGAATGATGGGAGTTTGAATGCGAGAGGGAAAGCTGAAAGTTTGAATGCTAGAGGGAGAGGGAGAACGAGAACGAATGGGAGAGCGAGAGCGAGAACGGACAGGAGAGTGAGAACGGACAGGAGAGCGAGAACGGACGGGAGAGGGAGAGGGAGAGAGAGGGGAGAGGGGGGAATGAGTGGAAGTGGAAGAGGGAGAGGGAGAGGGGGGGGGAAACGGGGATGGTGAAATCATGAGGAGGGGGCATGGTTATAGTGAGATTGCAAGGACGTTGAGCGAGATGACCAGAAGTGAGTGTGCTTGTAATCCACTTTTCAATATAGCCATCCTGGATCAAGTGAGGGTGCCAGTCGGTGTTCTTTGCAAGAGTGAAGGCGAGACGGAAATAGGGGATAAGATAATCTTGGTCGACGATGGCTGCCAAATCATTACCGCAAGTAAAAAGTGTGGTGATGAGGGTTGCACAGAGCTCAGAGAGCACTGAGTCTCGTAAGGACTCGTCATCTCCGGTAGCAGTGGTGAACCCTACAAGGTCTCGTCGGGCGTTGCAGACAATATTTGCGGCGTGATGGCGGAGCCAAGGTTGATTTTCACCCATGTAGCGAATGAGGGCATGGCAGTAACGAGTATATCTTGCGATATTGTCAACCTTGGGCGCAGGTAAAACAAGGAATACAAGAAGCTGGATTTCGGGCAGGGGAGAGATCGCCAGATCGCTACCCTCGGGCCATTCTGTGGAGCTGAGCAGGTTGAATGCATTGGTGATCTGGAAATTGTCTTTGTCGCGTTCGTTTGGGACCATGGGACAAATGGCCTTCAAAACGGTATGGGAGAAAGGATGACTCGGATGATAAAGAGGTTCATCCATGAACATGCGGGCGTCTGCTCGTCGGCAGGCAGCACTTCGGCAGGCGGCACGAAGTGCGATATGGCGAAATTTGCGTGACTGGCCGTAATTCAGAAATGGAGCGATGCGGTCTTGGATGAGGTATAATGGTTTTATCCCCACATCACTGAACAAGAGCAGAGCATCTCCGGCTGCGTCAACATCATCAATTTTATAGAAGTGCCCTGCGCAGTCCAACAACCAGTCAACTTCCGGCAGATTGAATTCCAATTGGAATTGACCATTCCAAATTAATCTGGCATCATCGCCGGGATAAGCAAAATCGTCTGTGCCGCCAGCCACAGCCATATGCAGAGCAACACGGGTGTTTGCCTGGAAAGATAATTTTAATTGTGGATCAATGTTGGTGTTACCCATTTGGCGGTAGAAAATTCTACATTGTTCCAGTGCCCGAGGCAGATACAGGGCACGCCACCGTCCCCAGAGATTCCACTCTCGCGTGGTTGTGTGGAGCATATACCTCACATCATCATCATTGGAAGAGAAGTAGATCAACGCTTTCCCATATGCCAGTGCGTTGTCGGGCAGTATCGGAATGCCACGCTTGTCAAAACATGCCTTGAACATGTCTCGAACATCTGTGCATAACGACACGAGATTCACGTCTGGCAGCTCCGACATTGTAGGTATCAGTTTGATCACCGACCTAACAACATCAGGGTTTCTTGAAGTCTGCAAGATCCACGTCATGGCGGATTTAAGAGGATCTTCATCTCGATGCTGGAAACCCGCACGTGCACGAAAATGACCAAAGACAGCTCGGATGAGTAAGGACATGGGCGTCTGGAATGGACAGTCGGGATGTATCAATGTCACCACAATGAAGAAGGCATGACAAATGCCACCAAAAGTGGTTATTGCAATAACAAGGATGGAGGTGGGTCGTTGTTGCGTCCACAGCATGGCTCCCAAGGACAGAGCGAATAGAAGCAGGGAGATCTGTAGGAGAACTGGTAATGACCGCAACACATTTTCGAACTGCCACGCCTTTAGCTCCAGAAACTTGCGGTGCCTCTGCCGACATCGTTCTTCAAGAGATCCACGACCAAACCGGGTTGCCTTATAGTGACCCAGCCATTGCTTGCCCATGACAGCGCCATAGGCAGCGAAAAGACTAAATGCAAGGCTCGCATACGCAAGTGCCTGCATCCATAATTTGGAAGAAGAGAGACCTGTAGATGACGGAAGGATCGTTGGCTGAGTAGTAGAACGACCATCTGACGTGTTCTGGATAAGCTGCAGCAACAAAATGTTGGTGGTGTCAACAGGATCTGGCTGCATTGCAATGATGAACGCGGTATTGACAGCGGAGAATAGGCCAGCCTGTCGATTACTCGTGTTGGATAGTTTTGAAATCATGACTATTGCACGTACGAAGAGCAGAACTATCTGCAAACTTTGATTACACCTCTTTAACATGTCATCGTCATACTGGCCGGACCTAGTTTCGTAGTCTGCCCAAAATTCAGAAAGCGGATCCTTTGCTTTCTCCTTGGCGATCGTGGAGTTCTGGAGGACCTCGAGAATCTGCTTGAGAAGGCCGATCTGAGAACTTGAAAGTCTTGGATGATGGCAGTTAATTCCCAAGTCTTCACAAACACCGTGACCTTGCTATGAAAAGGTACTCACTGTGGATCGATTTTCATTTCTGTGTTCTCCTTGATGGGTGGTATCTCAGCAGGTAGTGACCACAGCTGGTCGAAGTCGTGATCCATTGGCGAAGCCTAAGAATGAAATCGTTCAAGAAGGTATAAAGACTCCAACTGAGGAATCGAACGCTGAATTCAAGCTGATTTATAGTAAATGAGCGTGACAAGCGCCAACTTCCACATAGAATTCTAAAGATTCAAGGCACGAACTTACCAAGGAGGTGGACTTCATCAAAACTTCATTGTCGGTACTGCTATCTTACACCCACCATCATTTTGCACGAACCTGTCGATCTTATAAACCAGAAGCACGCAGACCTCTTGGCTTCCTCAAACATGTCGCCCTTCCATTCGAGTTGGTGACAGGAGCCATGCGGAAAGGGTCTTCATAGGCACCATTCCTACTAGTATCCTACATGCGAAACTGGTTTATCACCGATCGTAAGCGCTTGCAGAAGGCCCCTTATGAATAGAAATTTGAATCGACCCGCGTCTAGGTCTGTGGGGGGATCGATATGAGATTGATATCTGATATTGGTACCACTGCACTGGCGAGCGCCAAGCGGGGACTTGGTACAATGAGCATGTCTTCGATAAGAAAATTGAAAGTCGCCGCTCGAACCTTATTTTACTTACATATCGGTTGTGCAGCGTCCGCCGCTCAGCGCTACTATTAGCGCTCATCTGTCATAGTACACTCGGCATACGGAGAATGCACAGACCTCCCAGCTTCATCCTGAAACATGGCACCCTTACCTTCAAGTTGGTGACGAGAACTATACGGAAAGGCTCTTCATACATAGACGCCATTCTTGTACGCGAAATCGGTTTACCGCCAATCGAAAGCGCTCAGTGCAGAAGGCCTCTTATCGACAGAAATTCGAATTGGCTTGCATCTTGATCTGGGGGGATCATGGGGGATCCATATGAGATTAATATCTAATATTGGTATCACCGCGCTAACTCGGAGCGCCTCGCTGGGATTCAAGGCGGTAGTACGTGGGACAACTAGAGTTGCTGGTATCATCAGCTGCCAGTACCTGTTATCGTTCGGACCTTTCTCGGTTCCTTCGACTCCAAACCCTGAGGCTTGAGCACGCAAACTTAGTAGTCCAGACACCCTTGAAGCTTGAGGCACGTCATTCACAACCAAAAGATCCCAGACTCTGCTCAACATCTTTGCTCCAGCTTTCCTCACTGAACAACACAACGGCCACAACTTATCCTCACTCACTATGCTTCCCTTCCCTCCATTTTTAACGTCAGCTTTGTCAGTTTGAAGGGCTATTCACTGTATCCCGTATATCCGGTCGCCCGGTAATATGCGATAGTACTGTAGGTACCTGACAGGCAAGATAACATTTACTGTGTCTAAGATTCTGAATGACCACGTATCTCCACTCGCATCGGAAATATTGGGATTCACCTACCACCCTCCATAGACATTAGGCGTCCTAGGACTAACCGCTCTTCTGTGAGAAGGGAGCTCTGGCTATAGACGGTCTCCGAGAACTCACACCGCCACCCTCCGTCCCAAGGTTCAGTTCCGTATCCAATCTCCTAGCCATTTCCCTGTCCGTCTCCTCCACCCGCCTCCTATGCTCCTCAAGTGCCTGCTCACGATAGGCAAGTTCGCGGCTTAATTCTTCTTGCCGTTACCGTTCCTCAGCGACTCTTTGCTCTCGCTCGCTCTCCTCCTGTGCACGCCACACAAAAGCAAGATCTTCTTTCCCTCTGCGATGCTCGGCTTATTCTGCTTCAAATTGAGCGCGAGTGAAAGCAGCATCGGCAGCCTCCTTGTGACGAATCTCTTCTTCCCTTTTTCAGCGTGCTTCTTCCTCCTCATCCGCTCCTCTTCAAGCGTCCGACATAATTCCTCTTTGCGCTTCTGATGTACCTCTTTGGCCCTTCGATGAGCATCCTCCTTGCGCCCAATCCTACCCTCTTCATATTTACATCTGGCTTCTGCCTTGCGCAGTTCTTCGACTCTTCTACGCTCCTCCTCTCGTCGTTGCCGCTCTTCCTCCTCTCGCTGCATCTGCTTCGTCTCCAATTTCAGTCGCTCCTCGCATCGTTTTTGTTCCTCAGTGTCCCTCCATCTCAGCTTGAGGCTGCCCTTCCTCATGAGAGTTGATCACACAGTCAGCTCTCCAACAAGTCGTTCGCTCAGACAACCCTGAACTCGGACTTGGTGCTGAGTATAGGCTGTATAGAACTTGACAAAGTATGATCCACTGTACACTCGGTCACATTTAAATTGTACCTGAAATCTCCATGATAGGTGTATTGCTACGATCATTGTTGATACTACGGTCTGCAAGTGTTGGTTCAGTAAATGCGAAAAACGGAAAGGGTTTCGAGGAGATTCAAGGACAATGGGAGTTGAACTGCGATCACCATGGGATGTTCCCTCCGTTGACTCGGAAACGTTGCACAGCGCGTGGATGGAGTTGGGCGAGCTAGTACATATATTAGCTCCAGTCAGTGGACCGGGAAAACATCAAAGTGCCTCGAGGCGCATTTGGATTCTGAATGTGCAATTGCTATAGAATTGATATGGGGTCTGGGTATTATTCTGGGTGGACTCCATGTCCATATCTTGCTGATCCGAATCATCACCTGCGCGCAGTCCACCCTATCCAAAGGTTTCTAAAAAGTGTGGACTTGCGCCTGAGAGTGACCGCACTCAGCAATGTCTGGCTTGCACACGAAGGTCATGGTGAAGTCGAGAAAGCCTCAGAAAGGGTATAGTGGCAAGGGTGTAGCGTGTCACAGTGGCAACTTGAAGTTCAGCGTGCAGCTGCGGGGCTGCAAGATTCATCCATGCATAGCGTATGATGGCAGGATGTGGACCCGTACCTGCCCATGATATTCGACAATAGATTACATACAGAATCACAGGCTATCTTACATACTACATCACCACGTTACGCAAAGACTACATACTGGAATCCACACAATACAAGAGCAAACTGCATAACGCGATGGTTAAACAATCACGTAGATTCACAGGACCAAAAATCTGGAGCATCGTCCTTTGCATTTAGTTCTCTAAACTTTTCCAGCTCCTTACCATCTGGAACTGAGGCCACCACTGACAATCCCTTGCATACGGTATTCTTCAAACTAGCCACTTCAGATATGATACTCTCATCTGGAATTTGTTGTTGTTGCAACATATCAAGATTCTTGGCCAACAAAGCATTGAGCGATTCGAGCTCAACCTTGGAAGCATCTGATGGCATGTACCGCTCCGTGCCCCTGACAAGATCCGGAAGGCTCTCAATAATATCATTCAACTCATCACCAGAGTAATGTTCGATGATATACCATGCACCCCTCATCAGGTCCCACCAATGCATGGGTGTGATGGCTCTGAAGTAAGATGAGGCCTGCTCTTGTGAAGCAATACGGAGGGAAATCCCGGCGAGATAAAAGAGACTATGAGCTTCTTCGTTGGTGACGTTGGTGGAGGAATATTGATAAGGGAGAGAGGGTATGTGATGGCGAGAGGGAGAGGGAGGAGAGGGAGAGGGAGCACGATAAGGAGAAGGAGTGCGAGTGCGAGAGGGTGTGCGAGCTGGAGAAGGAGTGCGAGTGTGAGAGGGAGTGCGAACTGGAGAAGGAGAGCGAGAGTGAAGAGGGGGAATGAAGGGAGAGAGAGGAGTGTGAGAGGGAGTGCAAGCTGGAGAAGGTGTGCGAGTGCGAGGGGGTGTGTGAGAGGGTGTGCGAGCTGGAGAAGGAGTGCGAGTGCGAGTGCGAGCGCGAGAAGGAGAGCGAGAGGGAATAGGGGGAATGAAGGGGGAGAGAGGAGGGGGAATGGCTACAGAGAGATTGCGAGGACGTCGAGCGAGATGATTGGAAGTGAGCGTGCTTGTAATCCACTTCTTGATAGTATAGCCATTCCAGATCAAGTAAGGGTGCCAGTCGGAGTTCTTTGCAAGAGTGAAGGCGAGACGGTAATAGGGAGTAAGACGACCTTGGCCGTTGGAGGCAAACAAATCATTGCCGCAAGTAAAAAGTTCGGTGATAAGCTGGGAGGGCACTGAGTCTCGTAAGAACTCATTAGCTCCGGCAGCAGTGATGAACTTTACGAGGTCTTGTCGGGCACTACAGACGATATTTGCAGCGTAACGGCGGAGCTGATAAAATTGACCTCTACCCATGTAGCGAATGAGGGCACGACAGTAATGAGTATACCTTGCGAGATCGCCAACACTGGGTGCCGGTAAAACGAGGAATACAATAAGCTGGATTTCGGGGAGGGGAGAGGTCGCTAGATCGCTATCTTCGGGCCATTCAGTGAAGTTGAGCAGGTTGATTGCATTGGTGATCCGAGAATTGTCTTGGTCACATTCATTTGGGACCGTGGGACAAATGGCCTTCAGAACAACATGGAAGAAGGGATGACGATGATGATAATAAAGTAATTCATCCGCGGTCGTGTAGCTGAGACTTTGGCGGGCAGCACGAAGTGCGATATAGCGAAGTCTACGTGACCGGTCGTTGTTCAAAAATAGAACAATGCGGTCTTGAATAAGGCGTAATGGTTTTGTCTGCATGGCACTGAACAAGAGCAAAGCGTCTCCAGCTGCGTCATCGTTATCCAGTTTATAGAAGTGCTCTGCGCAGTCCAACAGCCAGTCAACTCCCGGCAGATTGGATTCCAATTGGAATTGACCATTCCAAATCAATGTGTCATCATCGGGATGAGCAAAATCGTCTACGCCAGCAGCCACAGCCATACGCAGAGCAGCGCAGGTGCCTTTTTGGAAGGATGACTTTAAATCTGGATCTTGAGTGCTGTCCATTCGGTGGTAGGAAGTTCTACATTGTTCCAGCGCCTGAGGGAGATACAGGGTGCGCCAGCGTTCCCATAAATTCCACCCCCGTGTAGTTGTGTGGAGCATCTTCTTCACATCGTCATAATTGGAAGAGCAGTAGATCAATGTTCGTCCATGTGCTAGTGCGCTGTCGTATCGTATCGGAATGCCACGATGGTCAAAACATGCCTTGAACATGTCTCGAACTTCTGTGCATAACGACACGAGATCCACTTTTGGCAGCTCCGACATTGTAGGCATCAGTTCGATCACCGACCTAAAAACATCACGGCGTCTCGAAACCCCCAACATCCACTCCATAGCAGATTTAGTACAATCTTCATTTTGATGCTGGAAGCATGCACTTGCACGAAAATGACGAAAGACAGCTTGGATGACCAAAGAGACAGGCGTCTGGAATGGACTGTCAGGATGTATCAATGACACCATGATGACGAAGGCATGGCAAAGGCCTCCGAAAGCAGTCATTGTAATAACAAGGATGGAGATAGGCGGTTGTTGCCCCCACAACGTGGCTCCCAGTGACAGACTGAATAGAAGCAGGGAGATCTGGAGAAGAACTGGGAATGATCGCAACACGTTTCAAACCGCCATGCCTTCAGCTCCTGAAACTTGCGGTGCCTCTTCTGACATCGCTCTTCGAGAGATCCATGACCAAAACGGGTTGCTTTATAGTGACCCAGCCATTGCTTGCCCATGACAGCGCCATAGGCAGCGAGAAGACTAAATGCAAGACTCGCATACGCAAGCGCCTGCATCCATAATTTGGAAGAAGAGAGACCTGTAGGTGACGGAAGGATCATGGGCTGGGTAGCAGAACGACCATCCGATATGTTCTTCATAAGCTGTACCAACAGAGCGTTGGTGGTGTCAACAGGATTTGGCTGCATTGCAATGATAAATGCAGTATTGACAGTGGCAAATAGACCAGCCTGCCGGTTACTTGTGTTGGATGCTGTTGAACTAGCGACGTGTTTCACGTACGAAGATCAGGACTATATCCATATTCCCATTACACCTCTCTAACATGTCGTCATCATACTCGTCAGACACAGTTTTGTATGTTGCCCAAAATTTAGAAAGCGCATTCTGTGCTCTTTCCTTGGCAATTGTGGGGTTCTGGAGGACGTCGAGAATCTGCTCGAGAAGGCTGGTATCAGATCTTGAATGATGGCAGTTATTTAGTCTTCACAAACACCATGAGGTTGCGATGAAAAGTACTCACTGAGTATCTGTCCTGGGACTGGCGGTTTGTTGGTATGGGACTGGCTCGTAATACGGTTGTGCATTGGGCGGCTGGTTGGAGAAGTAATAGGACATTGCAGACAAAGCCTAAGGATGAAATCGTTCGAGAAGGGAAAAGGATCCAACTGAGAAACCGAACGCTGAAGAAGTTCATAGTGACAAGCGCCAACTTCCACATAGAATTCTGAAGATTCGGGGCACGAACTTACCAAGGAGGTGGTCCTAGCTTTATCTCGAAATGTGTCACCTGCTCTTCCATAGACGCCATTCTTACCACTGATCGTAAGCGCTTGCCTCTCATCGATAGAAGTTTGACTCAATTGGCCCGCAGGCACCTGAGTAACACCTGTTCCTACACTTGTTAGTAACGTACATAGTATAACATATCTGAGGGGGGGAAACCTACGCTGCAGTACTTAGCACTGACTTTGAGAAAAATCAAGAGGGCGGCCTATCTGATCGATTTGTCATCGCCCCGGATATCTCCCGCCATCTGGGGGTCCATATGAGATAATATTGGTGCCACCTCGCTGACTCGGAGCGCCTCGCTGGGATTCAAGGCAGTACAACTAGAGTGTCCTGTTATCATTCAATCGGATCTTTCTCGGTTCCTTCGACTTCAAACCCTGAGCACACGGCCAAATTCGCAACGCAAATTCATCAAAGTTATATTCAATCGAAGTGAAAAGTATGCCAACTCGCCTCCAAAATCAAAGTGCGTGATATCGTGGCCTAAATATCCATCCGTTGTAAGTTAATCTGGAGCAGGTTGGGTCCTAGACTTATCGTTGCGACTCGTATCGCCAAAAATTCATTTTGTCAGTTTTGAACGACGCCCACATGAAATGAAGCCATAGTAGTGAGGAAAGAATCCTAAATACGAGATAGAACGATGGATGCAGAGCAATACAGCATGACATGATGGACACAATCACCAGTCGTAAGATAACATTTACTGTATCTATAGATCATTAACTTATAATATTATTTATCTCATCTCTACTCGCGTCGAAAATATTGTGTTTCACCTGCCACCTCCACGGACATTGGGAGTCCTAGGACTGCCCGCTCTTCTGCGAGAAGGGAGCTCTGGGCTCCGAGAACTCGTATCACCATCCTCCGTCCCAAGGTTCAGTTCCATATCCAATTTTCTAGCCATTTCCCTATCCATCTCCTCCACCTGCCTCCTACGCGCCTCCTCGCGCCTACGTTCCAACTGCTCCTCAACTGCCTGCTCACGACGGGCAAGCTCACGGTCTAATTCTTCTTGCTTTCGTCGTTCCTCTGCGGCCCTTTGTTCTCGCTCGCTCTCCTCCTGTGCACGCTGCGCAAAGGCAAGATCTGCTTCTTCCTGCCTGCGACGCTCGGCTTCTTCAGCTTCAAATTGAGCACGAGCGAAAGCGGCGTCGGCAGCCTCCTGCTCATCGCGCGCCTTAATGCGAGCAAGCTCAACTTGCCACCTTCGTTCAGCCTCCTCTTCTTCTCGTTTACGGCGGGCCTCCTCTTCTCGTTTGCGACGAGCCTCTTCTTCCCGTTTGCGACGAGCCTCTTCTTCCTGTTTGCGACGAATATCTTCTTCCCTTTTGCGACGTGCTTCCTCCTCTCGCCTAATCCGCTCCTCTTCAAGCCTCCGATGTGATTCCTCTTCGCGCTTCCGACGTTCCTCTTCGGCCCTTCGACGTGCATCCTCCTCGCGCCTGATCCGATCCTCTTCTTCTTGTTTACACTTAGCTTCTTCTGCCTTGCGCAGTTCCTCGACTCTTCTACGCTCCTCTCGTTGGAGTCTCTCTTTCTCTTCTCGTTTGAGCCTCTCCTCCTCTTCTCGTCTTAGTCTCTCTTCTTCCTCTCGTTTGAGTCTCTCTTCCTCCTCTCTCTGCCTCTGCTCCATCTCCAATTTCAATCGCTCCTCCTCGCGTCGTTTTTGTTCCTCAGCATCCCTCCTTCTCAGCTCTTCCTCCTCCTGCTGCCCCCTCTCTTCTTCAGCAGCTTGAGGCTGCGCTTCCTCTGCCTCGCACTTCCCTGAATCTGCCCCCTCGGGAGCCGTCCATTTATCCACCACCTTCCGTGATTCTTCATCCCTGGTGTGTTCCTCCTCCTCACGCTTCTTTTCGTCTTCTGGGACTGTAAGTACGGTAGAAGAGGCAGGAGGCTGGGCCAGAGGGTTCTGCGAAGGGGGAGTTGGACTGGGTCCCGAACCATGTGCTGGCGAGGCGGTCGGTGCAGCGTTCTGATATCCTTGCACTGGGGGAGACTGTTGCTCCCCTTTTGCTACTGCCAGGGTCCCCTGCGTGCTTCCAGGAAGTGGCGGTGGTGGCGGTGGTGGCGAAAAATATGATGCTCTAGGAAGAAGTTGAGATTGGGGAGCAGGGACTGGGGATTGCGCGGGGGGAGGTGGAGGGAAATAGGATTGTTGTTGGTATGGCTGCTGCTGGGGCGGTGCGGGAGTGTATGTCTGAGGTTGCTGTTGGGTTGGATGAGTATATCCTTGCGGCTGTGATGGGGGGTGTGGTTGCTGGTTGGGAAGTGGGGTGTATGACTGAGGTAGAGGTGGAGGTTGGTATGGTTGGGCCGAGTAGCTCTGAGGATGAGGGGATGGTTGTGGCTGATATTGTGGTGCAGGAGGCGGTGCTTGATGAGGGGGTGGCGGGGGCTGATATTGCGGGGTGGGAGATGGAGTCTGATGAGGTTGATACTGGTAAGGCTGCGGAGAAGATGACGAGTATTGTTGTGGTTGTGGTGACGGTGACGGGGGATAATTATAGGGCGTATAAGATTGCTGATGTGGTTGAGGAGGCGGAGATGACGTTTGATAAGGGGGAATGTATCCTTGCGACAATGGAGTATATTGTTGAGGAGGAATATATCCTTGCGATGAGGGAGAATATTGTTGGGGAGCTTGGCCCGACAGGTAATGATTGGATTGCCATTGTCCTTGCTCGCGCTCTGGTTCTGGGGTATGGGGTTGTGCAATAGGAAACGAGGGCTGGTAATGCTCACTCGGCGGATCGTCTGTCGTGATAATGGTTGTACGAACTCCTAGAAGTTCTGGAGGAAGCTCATAAGGACGTTCTTGGACAGGAGTCTGTAACAATGGTATTGGAGTTGGTGGAGTCGTATAGAACGAGGGCGAGTCACTCGTGCCTCCCATAGTCATAGCGGGAGTCCCAAAACGACCTGCACGTCCAGCAACCCCTGGGCGCAGAATGGTTGGCAAATGACCAGGCTTTCTCTGGGGTACCAAATCTTCTTCGGGAAGGGGGGGTAGCGCATCAGTCTTACTAAACTGTCGGCCAGGGGGCGAAGGGGATGGCAATGAGGGCTTGGGCTGGCCTCTAGCAGGAAGTAAAGATGCAGGTAGCGTACTGGGGGGTACATAGCCTGGGTCACGGAGCTGCACAGGAGTAGGGTTCAGGGCAGATGGCGGTCCACCCTTGTGTGGTACAGGATTATACGACTGCGGCCGTGTAAGACGATCTGATTGTTTGAGCTTCGATGGTCGACGGCTAAGAGGAGGAGGAGTATTTGCATAGAATGTCATCTCGAGGTATAACTCGCCTCTCGCTCCTCCTGATGTTTCGAGAGGAACCCAGTCTAACAAGATAGATTAAGCATAGATTAAGCCAGGATTATAAGTGTCTCACCATCAAATTCACCAGTTTTCAAAGTCGATTCGATATCGACAATCCCTTTGCCTAGGAGCTTATCCTCAGCTCGAGGCTCGTCCTTCCAGCAAGACACTTCCAGCTTTCTGTTGACCTTGTCTTTTCCAGCATCGGCGAGAACAGGAAAGCGGAATTCTTCATCCCACACAGGATGCTGCCCTCCCTTGGGGTCTGGCTTGGTTCGTTGAGTCTGGCCAGAAAGGGCCGCTTGTGCATATGGGTCCTGCTTGTAGAAAGAAGGTTGGTGCAGATGACGAGCTTTGAGGATGACGACGACTAGCGTCCCAATTTCCTTCGATTGTGACATGGAGCAAGTTAAAAACAATTAATGATCACAACCGTATTGGCCGTCAAGTTTAGCTGCATCGCCTGCTATCATGTGCTATGTGAGTTAGTCACTAACATTGTGACAATTTAAGTACGTCACAGTAAGTCGTGACATGTGACCCCACGCGTTTCTACAGCGGAGTTGGAAACGCGTTAATCGATCGCAAGACGCGCACAGTCGAGCTCTCCAACCACAGCTTAATGTCGGAGAGAGCAAAGCGCGCAGACAGGCTTGCTGCTCTTGCAGAACTAAAACGAACTCGTGAAGGAGGCGCGCGCAAGTGGAAGGTGCGACATCATTGCCATTTCGCTTGACATGGGTCCTCAAACGCGTCTTCCCAGGCTCAAGAGGATGTGGCTATCTATGATGAGGTCACTGAGGATCAGTATAAGAGCATCGTGCGAGGAAGGTTGCAGAAGGATGACTTTGTCGTGGACGATGGCGTGAGTGGTTATATGGACAATGGGATGGACGACTGGACGGGCGCTGAGAAGACGAAGATGAAGATGAGATGAAGATGATGACCGAGCACGAGACAAAGAAGAAGAAGAAGGGTGAGTTTTATTGTGTATCTACACATTTAACGTCTGACATTGGCTTTTCAGCGAAGAAGGGCAAGGATGCTACATCCAAGCCTAAAGCGAAGCCAAAAGCACCACCGCCCGCTGCCAAGCCCTCTATTAGCGTGTACCGCCCGGCCGTCTCAGCAGAGCAGGAAGAAGACTTTATGGCCAATCTCCTTGGAGGCTTAGATGCTGTCCCAGCCCCAGCTGCAAGGAGGCCAAAGAAACGCAAGCCCTCCCGTTATCAGATCATGAAGACGTGAACTATTCTTCTGATGGTCTCATGGAAGAAACTGCTTTCAACCTGTCATCAAGTGATTTCGAAGACAACTTTTCAACTATGATGAGCCCTAAGAAGAAGCCACGTACAACGAGTGGTGCTGGAATCACCCCCGCAATCGAGCGAATGTGCAAGTTGGGTGTTCATAGTGGATCGGAGGATGGTTTTGACACTCAATGGACTTTGAGGACATGGACATGGATGCCTTCATGGATATTGATGACGAAGATCTTGATCTCAAGCCGGCCAAGGGGAACAAATCTATCCTCGATGGCCTAGAAACTAAGCCCAAGGTCAACATTCCCTCTCCACCCACTAAAGCAGAGCCGCCTTCAGCTCCAACTTGGCTATCTGTTTACGACTCCCTTGCTGTTACTTCTGATGAAACCTTGGGTTCTGGTTCTGCCTCCTCAACTTCTAAATCATCTGTCGACGCTCTTGAACCCGATGGCACCCTCCACTTTTTCTGGCTAGACTACCTTGAGCATAACGGCAAGCTCTTTCTCACTGGCAAAATCAAGGACAAAACCTCCTCGATTTGGGTATCTGCATGCCTTGCCATCGAGGGGCTTCAGCGTAATTTGTTCCTGCTCCCGCGTCCGCTACGCGTTGAGCAAGAGGAGACCGAAGAAGGCGAGTTTGTGATGCAAGAAACTGACGTCGTGCCGAGCAAATCGGACGTGTACGAAGATTTTGAGCGGGTGCGGAAGAAGCTTGGTATCAAGGGATGGAAGGGGAGATGGGTTCGGAGAAATCATGCGTTTGATGAGAAGGATGTACCAAAAGAGGGCGAATGGATGAAAGTCTTGTACTCTTTTGAAGGTAACCCTCAGTTGCCGAACTTTTACGAAATACTTACTGTATGCGGATAGAGCCCCAAGTCCCCATGAACGCCTGTTCGCCTAATATTGCTCGGATATTTGGGACGAATACTAGTGCGTTTGAGCTTTTTGTGCTCAAGCGCAAGATCATGGGGCCATGCTGGCTTTCCATAACCAATGCGGTTGTCGAGAACAAGGGTGTAAGGCTGTCTACGAAAGGTCCCTCAGCTTTGAGTTGATGATTTCTTCATGCAGATCTCGTGGTGCAAGTTTGAAGCCACTGTCTCAGACCCCAAGAACGTGACACCCATGGCAGACAGCGCTCCAGAACCTCCCCCTCTAACAATAATGAGTCTCGCAGTACGCACCGTTGTCAATCATCGCGAAAACAAGCGGGAAGTTGTGTGTGCCACGGGCCGCATATGGCGAGATGGTCAATTATCTTGCACCTCTGCTGAAGAACATTACTGACTTGATAGCACATTATGTAGTTCAACTTGATGATCCCACACCCCCGAGCAGCTCCCGTGCTCTGTGCACACGCTCGTCCGTCCTCTCGACCGCTTCCCTACGAAATTTGAAGCCCAGGCGCGAGCAAATGGAAAGGGCATGATCTCACCAATGAAGAACGAGCGGATGCTCCTCAACAGCTTGCTTGGTGCCGTTCTCCTTCAATTGCAAGGTTTCTTAATTGTTGACCGGATATCTTACAGTCACGCTGCACAAAGCAGACCCCGACGTCATTGTTGGTCACGACTTTCTCGGTGTCTCCCTTGATGTCCTCCTCGGCAGAATGAAGGACCTCAAGGCGGAGCACTGGTCACGCCTTGGGCGGTTCAGGCGTTCGAAATGGCCACCTATAGGACGTCAGGGCACAAACATGCGCTTTTTAACTGGGCGCCTGCTTTGTGACCTCGCCAGCGATGGTGCACGGGTAGGTTTCACATCAGCTCCTGCCATACAGTGATTGATGGATTACCGTCAGAGCATGATCGCCTCCACGACGTGGTCTCTCACCGAGATGTGTAAAACTCATCTCAAGTCGGACAGGCAGGACATCGACCCAGATGACACAGCAGCGTACTTCGATGGTACCGTATCATCCCCAGACATGCTCATGACATTTGTGCGGCATTGTGAGCTCGACGCTCATTACCAAATGGCCATCGCATCGAAGGTGCAGGTTTTGCCTCTGACAAGACAGCTCACAAACCTTGCTGGCAACGCATGGTGAGTTCTTTTGGTCGGTGATTTGGACATCAATGGAGTTTGGTCTTAGGAACAAGACGTTGAATGGTGGTCGGGCTGAACGGAACGAGTACATTCTTCTGCATGAGTTCCACCGCCTGAAGTACATCTGTCCTGACAAGACATATGGCAAGAAAGCGCCAAAAGCAGAGCCCGAAGCAGATGACGCGGATGGCGAAGGAGGCGGTGGCGGCAAGTCGAGCAAAGGCAAACGGGACAAGTTCAAGGGCGGTCTCGTGTTTGAGCCGAAGCGTGGACTTTGGGACAAGTATATCCTCGTCATGGACTTCAACTCGCTGTATCCCAGTATCATCCAGGAATATAACATTGACTTCACTACCGTCGAGCGCTCGCAGGAGGATGTAAGCGACTAGACTATTGTTCATGCTTCGATGCTGACACCTGAGTGTAGGACGACGATGACAAGATACCAGATCCACCGCCGCCTGAGGTGCCTCAGGGCGTCCTTCCACGACTTATCGCAACACTCGTCAACCGGCGGCGTCAGGTGAAGTCGCTTATGAAAGATCGTTCTATATCGCACGCAAAATTACTGCAGGTTCGATAGTCGTTGCCATCCCTTTGACTACTTGCTCACACTTGGCCTTCGTCACAGTATGACATCAAACAACAAGCATTGAAACTGACAGCAAACAGTATGTACGGCTGTCTTGGTTTCGAATACTCGCGATTCTACGCCAAGCCTCTCGCTGCCTTAACTACTTTCAAGGGTCGTGAGATCCTGACACACACCAGGGAGCTTGCCGAGAGTTTACAACTAGACGTAAGTGCATCTCCGATACGTGTCGGGGGATTTCTCTGACTCATCATAGGTCGTCTACGGCGACACTGATTCAGTGTTCGTCAACTCCAACGTGACAGAACTTTCGGAGGCGCTAAAAATCTCTGCCGAGTTTAAGAAGGCTGTCAACGATCGATATAAGCTTCTAGAGATAGACCTCGACGGCGTCTTTGCGCGTCTCTTACTCTTGCAGAAAAAGAAATATGCAGCTTTGAAGGTGGAAGAGGGATCACGGACATCCACGGAAGTTAAAGGTCTTGATATGAAGCGCCGAGAATACTGCGCTTTGTCGAAGAGCGTGTCTCAGTAGGTCGCGCTTTGTTTTTGTGTTGACTTGGTTCGACTCCGCACCTTCCAGATACGTTTTGGAGCAAATCTTGTCTGGCGAACCAACGGAAGTTGTGGTGGAGAACATTCACGAGTATCTTAATACCATCGGCGAAAATGTTCGCAGCGGAAAGATCAAATTGGAGGACTTCATTGTATACAAGGTACCTTCAAAAACTCCTTTCGACGTTTCTTGGTCAATCTCACGTGCATGACTCAGCGCCTAGGCAAGAACCCGGAAGACTACCCCGATGCTAAATCTCAGCCTCATGTACAAGTTGCTTTGAGACTAAAAGCAAAAGGTGGAAGCGCCCGCAACGGTGACGTCATACCCTATGTGTTCTGCGTCGCTCCTGGTGAAGAGACCGTGAAGACCGCACAAGCAGATCGCGCCAAGCATCCAGACGAGATCAAGAAGGCCGCAGGGGAACTCACGGTGGATTACGAGCACTACCTTGCGAACCAAGTCCTGCCACCCATTGAGCGACTGTGTGAACCTATTGAAGGGACGGACAGGGCACGGCTGGCCGAGTGTCTTGGTGAGCGTTGAAACACCGATGCCTGCGAACTAAACTCAATGTTTATAAAAGGACTGGACCCGGGACGTTATCGCATTAGTGGAAGCACGCCGGCTGGATCAGCGCTGACAACACTAGACTCCCTCGTCTCTGATGTGGAGCGGTTCCGCGACGTATCTCCGTTCCTTGTACGCTGTCGCGGGTGCGCGGGGCAGATGGCGTTCCCCCCGGTCTACGATCGAGATGTATGTGACCGCATCCCCATTTGTGCTTAGGATTGTCTGACATCGAACAGGCGTCGATTCTGTTGTCATCAGGGCCGACCTGTCCCGCGTGCAGCGCACCGCTGGGTTCGGCGAGCCTGCAGACGCAGCTTGAGGTGCAGATTCGGTCGTTTGTGGCCCGGTACTACGAGGGATGGGTTGTCTGCGAGGATCCAGCATGCGGGTATGAGACGCGGTCGATGCGGATGTACGGCTGGCGGTGTGGAGCGTCGGGGGGCTGTAAAGGTAGAGTGCAGTTCAAGTATGGGGACACCGAGTTGTACACCCAGCTCCGGTATTTTTCGACATTGTTTGACATTGAGAAAATCATCAAGGCTGCACAGGGCAGCGCGAGAAAGGGTAAGCATGAATGCAATTTATCGACCGACCGAGATATCTGACATTTTTCCATACAGAGGAAATCGTGGCTGTTGCAACAAACAACGACCCATTCCTCAGGGCGATGTCGAAGACGGTGGACAAATATATGGAACAATGTGGACGATGCTGGGTTAATCTTGGAGCATTGTTTTCTAGCATGAACCTCTAAGTTCGGGTTTAAGCAATCGTGGATATGATATTCATATTGATAGAGTGGCTTAGGTTTTGCCTTCTGTCTGTTAACATGAGAACTTTCTATGGCAACCTCTACACTCGGGATGAATTGGTTGCAGGATCCATTCAGATTCGTGATTTTTGGGCTACGTTCGATTGAGTTGCCTGATTCAAGGTCGTTTGGACATTCCGCAAAATATACTATCGGGCGTGGGCGAGGAGATCAACAGGAACATCGAATTCCTGAATGAATGATCAGTGTGGGATAGGATGCAATGAGACATGTCCAAGCATCCATCACGCATATCTTGTCGTATCCAATGTGTGGCATTCAGTTGTCGGTCTCGTAATTCATGGAAGCTACATAGGAATACATGAGAATATATGCACTACCAGAATGTTTATCATAATTAACCGCAATCTCGTCTGCAGGAATTAGGACATTGGTTCCATTCACGAGAGCTCTTGCAAGAGAGACAAGAGAATGTTGCCCGATCGACAAATGACTGCCAGCGTCGTCGATAGGACACAGCTGATGATGTTTTCTGGTTTTTCCGTAGCATACAAAATGGGATTAAAATACTTCATTACGGATGAACGAACGGGTGAGACTGTTGAACATGAGAGCCTATGACGCTCAGAAACTCTGCGGCACAACGAAAGTTCGCAAGCTGGTCTGACGAATGGCGTGGGCAGCTCAGGGGGAGACTCACTGAATGCATTTCCACCCCTCAGTGTCCAGGAAAAATCATGTATATTTGACTAGTTTTCGAAAGGGCCAGGTACTTGTAGTCACAGTTTGCCATGTACGCCTGTCTTTAATATGCCTGTTTTCAAGTGTCCTTGGTTCAGAGCATGACACCACTCCAGGATGCAGTCTACAACCTCGTCTTGGCACTAAATATATTGTTAGCAGTAGCGACTACGATCAGAATCGAGATTCACATTCGTAAAATTGTGATCGGCCTTCTCTATTAAATGGAGGTTGTGGGTTCCTGGCGTCCTGGCACCAAGTGCCCGAGAGTAAATGACCGCGTCATATCTGACACAATGAGAATTTCTCCCTGTCATCCGCTATCAGTTCGTAAACACTCACGCTGGAATTGCCTTATCGACGAGACCATGTAATGTCAGAACATGGATTTGATTCGGAAATTTGTCCCAAACGATTGCAGTATTCCACTGAGAAATCTCCTCTAGATCGTGTGGATAAATCCTTTCCACAATTGCTTGTCGAGCGACCGTTACGGTCCGCTCGTAGTAACCTTTGGCATCCTACTGTTCTTTGTAGGTCTCGGCAACATCTAGAAATTAGGATCAGATGACCGACCGTCTGGACTTTGAAACTCTTGAGCTAACCGTAAACTCGCTAATCACGGTTATTCAGTTATTTTGCAGCACGCGGGAGGCTATTTCTCTCACATGCATTCGGTAACGGCCTGACACGTTGACCATGGCACGAACACGTCGACCTTCTTCGGACGTGCATAGCCAATACATCCCAACCACAGAACCACGAGAATGGCCCACCACTACATCAATCTCGTACCCATACGTATTGCGCAGGTAAGAAACGACCGTCACGAGATCCTTGACGTCTTTCATAGGTCCACCTTGTGTCCGTTGGCCCCCACTTTCGTGACATCCGCTGCTCTATATGAGTGGGGATTAACGCCAAGACGAACAGTTGATGGACCGAAAATCAAATCTGAATGAGTCAATCAGGAAACGTAGTGCAAGACGCTTTTGGAACAAGTAGTCTTTATGCCTGGAGTGAGATAAGAGGACAGGAGGAGCAGAAATAGTAGGAACGTACCCCATAGCCCCATGGAGAATCTAGAACATACAATGAGCCAAGTAATTTTGCAAAGATTGGGATGACGCCGATCAGCATTATACCAGGGCGATCTTTCTGCCATGCGTGGGCTCTTTAGGTGCCAGTTGTTCCAAAATCCCAACCAGTTCGCAATCCTCTTGAGAATGCGGTATACGCAGTTTTTTGGACTTCCTGCTGGCCATTCAAGTTGTAGTATTACCGTGACCTAAGTAAATCGGGGAGTCAGCGGGAACATGGTTCATCTACTGGATATATGTCCAAACGATATTTCGCACGATTCTAACTAGGTTTTGGAAATCACTGGCATGGCACTGCGAGTCTGCTCGAACATTTTCAATCTGGTATCGCACTGTGAGCCTCTCCCTGGCCAGGCCTTCAACTAGAAAGGAATCGTTCTTTCTGATGATAATCTCAGTGAGTTAGGCAATGAAACTCTTTCAGTGCTACGACCTTTGAAATGTTGTCTGAAAATCTGACGAATTTCTTTTAGGCTGCTGCGAGTCTGGTACCATGGTACGAAGTGCATCAGTGATGGATGAATTTGAATGTGACTCACGTGCGTGCGCTTCCTCGAACCTCGGCGCTATTGTTGACCGTCTGTGTACATTGAGGCTATACTAGGCTCCGAGCTACATTTCAACTTCTCCGCTGCCCACTCGTTTCCCCGTGTCCAGATCCCACTGACCCGAAGGCTCTTGTCGTGGGAGCCAGTGATGAGGAGATAGGTACCACGGATGTAAAGCTATCTCGTTCACCGGTTTCTCATGACCCTTGAGCGTCAATTCGAGATGAGGTATTTCCTTTTGAGTTGGCGTTTGGCGCTTGGGACGCTACCTTGTAATTGTGAGTGGTGGCCGCCATCAAATCTTTTTCGGTGTCTCGGTCAGCAGGAGCGTTGACGAGGGAGCGGTCACTTGCACGCGCTAAGGTGAGTAGGCGCTGAGTTGCATCTCCTACAGGATACTATCCCTGAATTCACATGTCAGCCTTGCTGTAGGCACCCGGTGTCCCGCATACAAGTCAGTGATACTTTCAGTACTTGTTTCAGTTTCAGGAGTACTGTCTCGCCATGTTGTGGCTGATTCAATTTTTCGTCCCATCAATTTCTTCTCGCATTGATCTTGTACTAATAGGCGACCACATGAATGCAGCAAATCATTGACTTGATGGCTGCGGTAATACCATAATTTCAGCCTGAGGGAGAAGCAACTTTCATTCCTGCCGGCATTATTGGCTGGCAACTACTCTTTCGGTATACTCAATTACACGACTCGTCCTGACCACTATAAATTAATTCCGTCTACAGGTTGTTACGGGCAAGTATGGCCACCACACGGACGCGCAGCTTTACATATGGGCCGGCCCATATACGCGCGAGATTATGCATATAAGCTGACATCAATACGGGCCGTACGGCCTATCATCAAGCGACGACAGGACACTTTTGTTACATGCATTCTCATCGAAGACCACCGCTAACATCATTCTTTCCGTGTTCGCGCACTTTGTATGGTTCACGACTCTACGGCGAGCTGCTGTTGTTTTCGCCTGCACAACCGGCCACATTGTCAGGCAGACCTCACTGGCTTGGCATGTCTAGCTTGAACCCATCGATGTATCTTAACTAATCTTAACCAAGTGGTTGACGGATTTGACTCCTATATCGTGCAGGTTTGAAACCTGCCGCCGATGGTTTTTTCTCTATGATCGTACCTTGGGCATGAGCCCATGAAAAAGTCTTCGAACATCAACCATACCACTCATGGCCAAGTGGTCAACGGATTCCGAAACTTGCTGACAATAGTTTTTCTCTATGGTAGTACCTAGGGCATAAACTCATGGAGAGGTCTTCGAACGTCAACTGCAAGGCTCATAGCCAAGTGGTTAACAGATTCGAAATCTGTTCCTCCTAGATGGTGCAAGTTCGAAACTTGCCGACAATATTTCTTTTTTCTACAATCTGAATGCTGCGTATCATAGTACAATGGTAGTCGTTTATTGGGAGCAACATCGAATTGCATGTGTCTTCGAATATTCAGTACATGCACTGATATCTACTCTAACGTAAGATTTCGGAAAGGACAGAAAGTCTAGAGCTGGCAGCAGATGAAATTCGACCAATGCGTAAAAGACACGGGAGCCACCTAGTGAGAACTGCAAAGCAGCCGATATCTAGAACATGTTCAACGTCCGACGGGGAAGGCCCGGGGGCCTGTTTCTGGTACTATCATGATGCTCCGTCGATCACATTGGATATCACTGCTGGTGGCATGCTGCTGCTTGATGCACCAGCGCGGACTAGCAGGCGAGGAGGACGTGGTGGCTGCGCCAACTTATGCCTTTTTCCACTGTGGGCAAGCTAGCGGTACGCTACGAGACAATATCAGCATCATGATATGGATGTCGAAAGGTCAGGATAATTTGCATATTTGCCTCGCATCGCAAAGACGCCCACAAGAGAAATCCTGTGTGCCGGCAAGGAGTGGGTCCCTGGGGAGAAGAGAAGATACAATTCATATTCCGTACCCTTCGGAACGTGGCGCTAGTTGTGGTGGCAGCGCAGTTGTTGCATCCAGGTGGTGAACGTGGATATCCGATCAAATTGTCAAAGGATAGTAATACGCGTACCGACACTATGGCACTGTACCATATGCGAGAACTCTCGTGCAAGAAGTCCTGATGATTGCATTCGACGTTTGGCATGTTGGCAGTGGCAATATGTCGTACATACAGCATGCTGCGGACCAGTTGAAATGTGGCTCGAATCCTAGTACAACCGTTGCTGAAAATAACAAGGTTCGAATTCAAGCGCATGGCATACGTGAAGAGTCACATCCATGCACTTCCCGCCACTGCTTGCTGCGCTGAGACGCAGAAAGTCCCTACTTGCTACTCAAATGCCTCATGTATCTTAGGGGGCATTCATAAGTGAGGCCCTTCTAGGCTAGTGGATGGGTTAGACACAAGCATTTTTGCAAAAGATTCTAAATTCGGAGTGTTTCTTGTGGGAATGGTTTAATTTACCAGTAGCCGGCTGCCGCTCATGCTCGTGCACAACGCACAGGAAGGATTGAAGCATGGCGTTGGCATCACTGGCAGTACCTCGATGTGCTAACATGATATCACAATCATATAAATTCAGAATTCATTCACTGCGGGCATGAACTGACTCCACCTCTAGTCGCATTATGAAGGTCAGTACAAAAGACTTGAATGCTCCTCAAGATATAGCCTTAATGGATGCAGCTTTGCCGCGTGTAGCGCCCGATCCCATGTAAGTTCCATTCATGTCCTCTTTGTTTCCTTGCTTCGACAAATTTTTATGCTCTCCCCAGATACCGACATGCGGCACCGTCGGGACCATGGCCATGGATGATCTTGGACGTTGACCTTGACACGAATGATATGACCGACCGTGACTCGGATGTCCCGGATCAATCCTGGCCGGGCTACCCTCGGAACCAGTTCAGGAATTGGACCACAGATCAAGTAAAGCGAAGCAAGATGTTCGAAAAGTGTTCAACGAATCAATATAGCACTATTTGCTGGATGGATGTGCGTGAACCAGACGGGAAGTTTACCAAATCAGATGTGGGAGGAAAGGGTGACACTACAGTGGTATCGACTCAAGATCCGGACGAGTTTTGGGAAATGTTGCAGGGGGTGAGTCTCATGTGAACTATGGTATACTTGTTAACCAAGTTGTGATTTGCAGGGACCAGAAAACATCCGAGTGCGATCGTTGTTTGTGGATGATTTGACGCAACCGGTCTTGCGCATGTTGGGGACAAGGTATGTGACACCTTTTACTCTTCTGCTTGCTCTAAAGCCTTGTACATAGATACAATATCGAGCCATTCTTTTTCACGTCCTCCATTAATTGGATACCCTCACGATACCAGGAAGCACCTCGTCATCGAGAAGGAGATCGTAAGTCTAAACCTTCTGTTTTGAGTCGCATGGCTCATGTGCGTGATAGATATCACTATTACCTTACCATTTTTGCGATCGCAACAGAAATCGCAATCATCGTGCCCCCCCTCATCACCAACTGACCCTGAATGGGGCATCACGACCAGTAGGTGGCTCATCACCTGTCATAGCATCCGATTTACCTCCAGCAGATACCCCGATCGATATCCAGGCTCCTTTTTCAACAGGTGGTATGTGTATTGAGGTCCTTATAGTATCGCATTCCCCTCAAATGTCCCTCCTAGATGGCCGCATGTTCTTCATTGACCTACTTGCAATCCACATGGTCCGCGACGTAAAAGAAAACACTATCATATCCTATCATCCCGAGTCTGCAGGGCGTCGAACATCTGCGAAGCATCTCTGCCGGCTTATACAGCTTGTGGGGGAAAGTGTGTACTGGCAAAAAATATTCAGCCAGTCCAAAGACCCGACATTCCTCTTTCTTGCAATTTTATGGTATGCGCTATATGCATGGGATGAGTCCCTTGATTTGCTATACCGCCATGTTATCGACCTGGTATGTAGCTCTCGTGCAGCGTGGAAGTGATATTACTCAAGCACGTCCAGGAATTACAAGTACTGCATCTGGACAACATCTCACTTACACATGACCTCCATGTCCTTGAAGCACGTCTTTTGTACTACCAATCGCTCTTGCATAGCTTCAAGATATCAGTAACATTTATTAAGACGACCCCCAATCCAGCCATGGAGTCCCATGGAGTTACTAACAAAGAGCGCAGGGACTCTTTTGCACTTATGAAGAAGGAGTGCAATAATCTACTCAGCGAAATCGATCGTCTAGAAAGGCAACGGACGATGCTGAGCAATCGACTGAAGAATGCGATGGACCTCGTGTTTGCGATCGTTAATACTGAGGACAGTAGGCGGATGCAGAGATTCTCATACCTTACTATGGTCTTCCTACCAGCAACTTTTATTGCGGTAAGCTTAGAGGTCTCGTGTACAGATATTTTCTGACTGCACATGTCCTCAGTCTATCTTCACGATGAACGTTCAAGAGATTAACAATGGGAAACAAACACTTGGTCATTATGTGATAGCCACCGTTTTGCTCACGGTTTTCACGGTTTACATCGTTGTCATGCTTCAGAGACAGAACTGGGTCCACAGACGCCAGGCTACCTTGCTGCAGCGTGCAGTGTGGCCCATTCATTTACTCTGGATAATCAGTCTCCCTCTACAAGACGTGTGGGTGCGACGGTACAGGAGGTCTCCAACGGTTATAGATGTCACGGCGTGATGACATTGATACGGATTCAAACATATGCATACATACAGTAACATACCCATAAAACACTTCATGCTACATTCATTATCCTTGGCGGAAGGATCCAGCGCACAAAAACCACATCTCTAGCAGCCACATTGGGACAGGAAGAACCCGACTTCCAGGCCGAAACGCTCCTCACAGCCATGATTGTGGAAAGCGAATGCCGATCTGATTAGTGGGCTCAAGGGCACGATGAGCTGGAAATTCACGGTGATATGATCCAATTATTTTCAAACGATACATATCAAGCGCAATCCCCCCTAGACATGTTGAATTACCAACAGTCAACAGTACCATGGTGAGAGTCAGCAACGAGCCGGAAAATCAAGACGAAAGCCACGAGCCATTGCTGATCAACAACCAGTAAACCATCAAGTGATAGCGACTCGTGGAAACAAAATGAGGATCGCAAGAGTGCATTCAATCACTAGCAACAAGAAACTCACCAGCACTATCAGTGTAAGCAATATTCTTGAGTTCGTCGTCACTTCAAAATCACTTGTCTAAAACGATTGAGCTTCAGCGATAGTTAATACCTAGCATAGAGTTAATTGGGGCGCAAATATTTATTGTTAGACTAGTTGTATACCCGTTCGACCATGACTGGAAGTTGTCCTTCATCATCAGCAAAGTTGGGAGCGAGACTCCTTTTGCAACCAGGGCTAATTTCAACCATTGTGAATGACCATCATGACAGTGACTGCCTGCCTTGGAATAGGATGCCAGTGTGTACCTTATGGTGTAGACACCTACACTTGATGCTAAAAATTACAGTCGCCCATCTCCATCTTCGATGGACTGCGCCCCTCCAGCTAGCGGGAACAGCGGACCAGCAGGGAATACCCTCATGCCGGGGCATTCACGAGTCCAGGTGTCGCACAGGCACCCCTTAAACTAGTTAGTATTGTCTGGTGTATGGTACGTTGTCCCAACAGATAGAAGTCGGAATCAAAAAAAAAATACCACGGTGAACAATGCAATTCCGAGGCAGGCCTTAAAAGAAAATAAAAATTCGTGCCACTGCAACAACTTCTTCATCTATATCAAGGGCATTTTTTTCCAGCAAAAAAATGCAAAAATCAACCACCAGTTCCCCAGCTACCACGGACTCGACAGAAAATGACTGCGTCGCCAGTCAATACAATACCAGACACAAAACGCCCGCCCGCACCTATACCATACATTGTGGCAGGCACGGGTGTCCAGCCGTTTTCGTGTATGGCAATGGTACCGACTGGCTCACAGTCAACTGCCTCGTTGATGCCCACTATCCCGTCTGTACAGGGCAATTCCATGGGCTCACCCCCTCATATTCCGCCTCCAACACCCACAGATCACAGCTCACGTCGAACCCTCCACAGTTCACGCCTGAGAGCTGGGATGTTGACAACAGCAATCGTGATAACGAAGTCATCGTGGGACCTAGTAAGCAGAGACAAAAGGAGGATAAGCGGAAAGGAGACCTGGAGAACGACGAATACACCGAGGATGTACAACCCACATCTGTCTGGTGTCGCGGATGTCAGAAGGCCATTAGCCTTGATAAGCGCTCCAGGTACTATCCTGGATTGTGGGTCAAGCACCGGGGCAAGTGCCCGGGTATCCTCAAGATGGAGGTGAGCTAATGTCTCCTACAAATGGAATGAGTAGCTAACTGAATTATACAGAAAGATAAACTCGCCTTGATGAGAAGAGACTGGATTTATTCGTCAAATCCAGAATCAGGCGCCGGGTCATTTGACATGCGGGATCAAGATTGGGAAGGGGAAGAGGACAAGGTGATGGGATCCAGAAGTAAGTCAGTCCTTGATGGGAGTGAACACTATGATTCACCGCGAACTCCAGCGTCGAATGTGCGCCTTCGTGAGGCTTGCTGGGAGAGATAGATGATCGAAGTACTCGCACGCTACGAGGGATGGTCCAGCGAGGTTGGATCTTATATACTGTGGGTGAGTGTCAAACGCGAAAATTCAGAACGTACTTATCAACCCTTTGCTTTGTGCACTTACTAGTGACTAGGCTGTGGCACTAGTACCGGACGTCCACGTCCCTTTCTTGTAAACAAAATATTGTGAATTTCGTTCAAAGTACAACCTCCCATCGATGTTCTTGCCAAGTGATAAAATCACTAGAAGTGTGGAAGATAACGATCTTTTGAGCGCAATCAAGCTCAAGCACGGTATCATGGTGATCCGAGTCGACACCTGGGTATTGCTGGGTTTGAGTCCTCGGAAGGAACCGGCACTGCGGGAGCTTTGTCTTTGTAGTTGCTTTGTCTTTCCTACCGCCGACCAGGCTGTACATTCCGCTCGCTCGAACCTACAATTTCCTTACTCACTTCGGGGTCACTCCATATATTCCCGCTATTTGCAGCTTAACGTTTACATCATGTTTCGATTATCAAAGTTGAAACGTTGATAGTTGAATATGATGTCCAGCTATCTATCTCGACACATGACACGGTCATTGAACAGCCCGCCTGCCAGCTAACGCTCGGTTCCAGCCCAACCACCACTGTCAACCCCACGGTTTTCGCGTTAGACGAAGCCACGGCGACAACTCGGCCGACGGTTCTTCAAAGCTTCACGATCTAGTTCTTACGGTCTCGAAGTCTATGTGAAACACAAGTATATCTATTGGCAGCTTTTAGCGCCCGCCGCCTATCCCTTTAACTATATCTTGTTCGTGTCCCGTGTTCCGTGCCCCACCCACGCCATCCACTCCTTGATCCATAACTGCCAAGTATCTCGAGTGCCACTGCGTATGAAGTCTATCAGACTCTGGTTGCAATCTGCGACATTGCTGCATCGGTCCAACGAAGGAGCGCCATGTTCACACGGAAATGACACATTTGTAGATTGGCTTTGAATCACTGATCACGCGAAGTGCAACGCTATCAGCAGCTCCTGGAGAACGCATCATCCAACCGAGGGTGTCGTTGTCTCCAGGCCTCTACAAGACATCAGCCCCGGCAATTTGGATTTGAGAGCCATGACGCCTTATCAGGGCAGACATCCCTCGACTGCTTTCGCTGCTCCGGATGGCTATTGCGATTCACCAAAGCTATGCCGATTTACGCGTGGTGATTTTGTGCCGAGGTTTCTGAACGCTGGCTGGCATTTGTGATTGAGAAAGTCGTGGGTGGTTTTCCTTCTAGTGAGAGACACGGCTAAATATTGATAATAAATATAGGTTACGCGCCAGATGAGTATCGAGCGTTGACGAGATGACAAGTACGGTCGAGGAGTAGTTGGGTGGAGAAAGGCAGATGTACAATTTATTGGTTACGGGTTAACAGGGGTAGCGACGCTCAAGTTAGCATATGATATCATTGGGCGGGTAGTACAAATATAGATCAAGGTTGTAACTAATGAAATGCAAGTCATGTCAGAAGGAGGCTCGTGCGCTTCAGCTGCACACCCTGTATTAGAAGCTGTGGTGATGACACATGTACAACATACCAGCTCAAACTTCCAGTGCACTCTTGACCTAAACGCCCTTTGCATTTTGGTGGTAACCACGTGGAAACCTGCTGAGAAACATACCGCCGTGAGTAATGATTGTGGACTTTGTTGGATGAAAGCTGAGACTGTACTCGGCAGTCAAAATGCCTTCACCCACCATGGAGATGCAGGAGACATTGAAGATAAAGCCCCGCCAGAAATTCGAAGGACACACCACATGGGTTGAGGGCGCCATACATCTACCAGACGGACAGCGGATGATGACTTGTTCAGATGACGGCTCGCTGCGGGTATGGAACCTGAAGAATGGGAAACAGATAGGAAAGGACTGGCGGGACGGGGACGTTGAAGTGCAGGCCATAGCGTTGTCTCCGGACGGGAAGAAAGTGGTTAGCGGGAGTAAAGACAGTGCACTGAGGTTGTGGGACATCGACACAGGCAAAGTCATTGCAAAATGGATGGAACATACAGAGTCGGTGAGATCTGTCTGTTGGAGTCGAGATGGTCGGCGAGTGTTAAGCGGCGAATCCTCCGATGGGACCGCACGGCAGTGGGACGTGGAGAAAGGAGAAATAATTCTTAGTCCGATTGAGACAAGGTGCACAAAGGCGTTAGCAGTCGTCTACTTGCCAGACGCGACCATGTTCGCAACAGCTGGATCCTACCACTCGACTCCGGATCCCGGACCACACGAGTACCCAGTCAAAATCTAGGATACGAATACAGGCGAGCTTGTCGCCACTCTCGAAAGACACCCAAGTTTTGCGTCTTGCCTGACTTGGACCAAGGATGGAAAAACGCTTGTCTCCGGGTCACATGATTACGTGATTACAACATGGAATACCAAAACCTGGAAACAAATCGCAGTGCTGCTGGGTGGGCACACCAGCCAAGTCTTGGCCGTTGCAACATCTCCAAATGACCGCATTCTTGCAAGCACATCCTTGGACTCCACAACGTTATGGAACCTCGACAACAACCAGCCCATCAATTCGCTCCACCATATATTTCCAGTGGGCTGCGCGTCGTTTCCAGCAGATGGAAAGCTGCTAGCCACTGGTTGCGATGACGGAAACGCATACACATGGGATGTTTCTGCCATAGTTAGAGAAGCTGGCCTTCAGGATCTCCTGTTAGATGTAAATGTGAGTTCACATGCTTTCATTCTCACTGTAATGCCTGAACGCGCTCTTCCAGGGCGGCAAGTCACTGTCAGTACTCCCTGTACGTGACACTCTTATAAATGTAGGCTGATGCTACGTGACGTCCGGTCCAGCCGATCAGGGTCTCCAATCGGATACCCCAAGGTTTTTTCGACGACTCACCACACCGTGCTCACATACGTTATTAACCTCTCGCCTAGTAGTGCTATTCTACAAACATTATACTCTCAGTTTTCTGCACGACTCCGCGCCTACAACACGCCATTCCGGCCTTCATTCTTCACTGGGCTCGAAACTTGTTTTCTGAGAGATAGAGCGGCGCACAGCTCAAACTGCGCGAGCGTCGCTCATCAATAGTGGACGTCCCGTACGCCAAGGGCAAGCGCGTATGTTCCTGCCCTCCCTCTCGAATATTTGAACCCAATCTCATATCATGTACTAGAGGAATGCACCAGCACGAGAAAAACGGCAGCCAATCATTCCGTTGAAATCCACGAACGCTGCAGGCAGCTCGCGCCCTCCCAATAGCAACTTAGCACAGTCATTCAGCGGCACCACTCAGGCCCAGTCATTTTCACAACCACAGGCTGCCGTCTCCGTGTTGTCCACTGCACCTGCCCTCGTTGCTACGATAAAATGCCCTGTATGCTGGACTTGCTTCTGGCTCTTTATGTGTTGTACCTCTCCTGAGTATACTGATGGTCATCATTAATCTATCTGGCCCATTTTCTCGTTCTTTACGAATATTTCCTATCTCATCCCTCCAATACATGCAATGGTGACGTTCAGTAGGATTTCCATAAACACAGCTATGCACAAATAAAATGTGGTGAGTTCGAGACACCTATACGTGCATCATACATGTCAGTTCAACACCATATTTTCGTATTCGAGAGACTGGGGGCGATCAATTGGCCATCTCGTACATGTCCCTGGCAAAACTCACAATAATATTCTAAGGGGTTGGCCGCGAAACTAAAATTTGGAACAAATAACTGCAAAGCTTCAACTCGAGTGTTGTGAATCTTATGATTATCTCCCCGCCATTTTCTACGAATCATGTTATCGCAAGCATCCTCATGTATCGCGCTGCTATCTTATCGATATATGTTGTATATAACTCAAGATTTCTGTACGTTGCTGTCCAATGAAATTGGAAACGCATACTGTAAGGGATTTTGTCAGGTAAGTATGAGGGTCTAGAATGACATGTCATTCACACCTGTAAATTTGGCCCTCTGCAAGGGCCATGCTAATTTGCCTGTCAACCGGACGCCATACCCTAATTCCCGGAACCCTAGTCTAGTTGGATTCTGGGTAATTTATGGGTGACCTGCAAAACTCTGGTCTATAGAGGTCAACAGTGCGACGCCACGTACAGGTCACAACCAGGATGCTGGCCCGTCCTATCGGGATCCGAGTGGCCGATCAAGTTCTTCCAGTTAGTGGTAGACTGGTAGTATTCATTTCAACTCTGCCTCGGGACTTAGAACGGGCGATGATCCATAAATCAATGGCATTCATAACACAATCACTTTTGGCTTCACACCCACCCAACCAGACTCAACCTTTTGTTCAGCAGTTTGAACTTCCCTTTCACTGGGAGAGAGGACGGTGCTTGACCTCCAAGACTGGATGTAGGGGATTGGCCTTCGGCCCCACCTCTGCGATCCTGTTGGGCATGATATATAATCTCATGGTGGTGACCAGAACGTGGCAGACCGGTATCCCGTGCGTAAATGCCATAACTTTTTCTGGGGCATGAGCGAGCACATTGATTCACAGCCTATTGTGACGATGCAGATATCATCAATATCGTCACTAGGAAGCAGGGGCATCATGATGAGCATTGGATGTGGTGAAACTTTATCTCGAAGAACCCACCGAAAGGCCCCGATGCGACGTCACGAATGTACGGTGTGATCGACAACCATACTACTGTGCTGTTGGCACTAGGCTACAGGTGTAATTTTGCAGCCACCTCTCTCCTAACTAGCTGTCATTCATCTGTCCCAGAGCTGTCGCTGACTTTCCGTATGGCCTCCAAACGCTCAGAAGAAACCGTGCAAGACGAAAAATTTGAAGAAGAGTTTGTGCAGGACAACAAGGTCTCAATCGTCGAAGAGTCCAGGGAGGATAGCATATCCTATCATCAGCTTCCAACCCATCAGCTCGATACTGGTAATGAGTATGCCAAGTTTCGTCAGAAATGGTGGCAGTTGTGGTGAGTGAACTACTTTTGCAAGTAATGTCTTCCCTCATCGAGCCGTGGGCAGGTTACCTAAGGACCTACCACCTCCAGTTCCCCCGTCTATGGAGGACGCAGCGGTGCGCAAACACCCCATGCTAATTCCTTAAAAGACCCTTCTTATAAATAACATGGTGCAGCTGACGCCTTTGGCCGATGCTTCGATTTTCTCTCAGTTCACTTACACCTGGATTACCAGTTTAATAGTCGGTTGTTGATCTTCTATCCAAAAGTATACTGTTCTAACGCATACATCCAGGTTCTAGGGTATCAACGCACACTACAAGCGCCTGATCTATATAAAATAGATCCATCCCGAGAGTCAGCCGTCCTTGCCGCTAAACTCGAAGCTGCATGGCAGCGGCGCGTCGCCGCAGCAGCCGATTGGAACGCACGTCTTGAGAGGGGAGAGCTCAAGTCGTCTGTGTTGAAGCGTACCAGTTGGGCCTTGCGGGCAATTTACACCAAAAAACAGATACAAGACGCAACTTGGGCCGAGCGACGTGCGGCATTTCGCAAATATTGGCAAGAACATGAAGGACGGAAAGAGGCTAGCCTTACATGGGTTTTGAACGATGTCTTCGGTAATTTATTCTGGATCGGAGGCGTGATCAAGGCACGAGGCTTCCTCATAATGGTCGCTGTCATAACAATTTGAAACACCATTTAGCTCTTCGGTGATACCACGCAGCTCATGAGTTCTCTTGTCGTTTGGGTAATACCAATCTGTCTTGGTTGTGGTGACTTCTGACAAATTTGTCCCCTGCAGCAAAACATTGTCTTTGCAGAGGAGCGTTCCGCAGCAATTGCTGCCGGAGAACCTGCCCCCAATATCGGTCGCGGTATCGTCATGGCTTTTGGGCTCTTTGTGCTTAGCTTGACCCAAAGCATCTGCACGTACCAGGTGTGTAAAAAGTTATGAGTTGAAGGTGAACCAAATCAAACTAAAGCACCTCAAGTTCTACTGGCGTTCAATGGCAACAGGCATATTGACCAGAGCCGCACTTATAACGTGTATTTATGAGCGTGGGGTGAACCTCACAGGCAAAGCACGTGTCAAACTCAGCAACGCCACACTGGTCAACCATATTTCCACGGACGTGAGCAGATTGATGCCGCTGCTCAGTGGTTTGTGAGTTGCAATGTTAAGCATATGCTCATACCGTCGACTAATCGTAGCTCCTCCCTTACTAATAGCATGGGGGTGAGTATCCGTCACTTGACTTCCGGATTTTGAAATGGCTCAACAACGTCAAGCCTGGACCGCGCCTATCCAGGTCATAATTTGTCTGATCATTCTGTTAACCGAAGTTTGTTGCTCCCCACAAAAAATTTAATTTGTTCTAAGCATACTTCAAATTAGCTCGGACCGTCTGCGCTCGCTGGTTTATCTCTATTCATTCTTTTCTTTCCACTTCAAAGGTGGTTAATGACGCTACAACACCGTATGCGCGTGGGGTCAATGAAGTGGACTGACCAGCGTGCCAAAGTTCTACTAGAGGTACTTGGTACGTAGCCTTGGAGCAGCTAGAATGTAGAATGTTCGGGGATGCTGAAGAGGTGCGCAGGGGGTATACGAGTGGTCAAGTACTTCTCCTATGAGGTTCCTCTCCTGAAAAGTAAGAAGCGATGACAAGAACCATTAAACATCACACTCACGAACCCTACTCAGGGATCTTCGAGCTAAGAAAGAAAGAATTGCAGGCCATCCAATGGATCATTCATGCAGCATCGATGAAGTGCGTTTGGATCTATATGACGTGACGATGTGTTATTGATTCTTAATCTGCTCCAGCCTGGCGGTCTCACTTTTGCTCCCAGCCCTTACTGGTACGCTAGCCTTCGTCACATACAGCTTCACAATGCACGACTTCAACGTTGCTGCCATTTTCGCACCGCTGAGTCTGTTCCAGGTGAGATGCTGTCCAGCGGCATACATAGCTGTTCTAAACGATAAACAGATTCTCCGGCAACCAATGATGTTATTGCCACAAGCTCTGTCTGCGATCCTTGATGCATTTAGCGCGATCCAGCGGCTCACGCATGTTTTCCGTGCAGAGCTTATTCTAGAAGGTGCTCTCGTGATCAACACGGACCAAGAACCTGCGCTTGTGGTGAAGGATGCGACGTTTGAATGGGAGTCTTTCGAGAAAGAATCTAGTAAAGTTTTCAGCTGGGAGAAGGGCGAGGGTAAGGACAAGAGCACGAAAGATGACAAGTTGAAGGAACAGCCCACTCATGGAAAGGACGCACTCTTTAGGGTCAAGAATGTGACCATGACAATTCCGCGAGGTCAGCTGGTCGCCATTGTCGGGTCTGTCGGAAGTGGCAAGGTAATCTCACCAGGCGAATATTTGAAGCGGCCACTGACCCTGCGAATAGTCCAGTTTGTTGCAGGGATTGATTGGGGAGATGAGGAAGGTCTCCGGGTATGTTTCATTTGGCGGTCGCATTGGCCATTGTCCGCAGACCACATGGGTCCAGAATGCAACCTTGGTGAGTATGGCATCGCCTTCAAAGAGGGAGTACATCTCACGTTTCACCCCAGCGCAATAACATCACTTTCGGCCAACCATTCGAGGAAAGTAGATATTGGCGCATTGTCGAGACCACTTGTCTACTTCCTGATCTCCAGCTGCTTCCAGACGGGGATACGACCGAGGCATGGTGGGCGAATTCAACTTGATAACACTGCTAACACTCTATTTCAGATCGGAGAAAGGGGGATCAATCTCAGCGGTGGCCAAAAGCAGAGAGTGAGTTTGTGACACATCTTTGCCTCAAGACTCGATCTGATCTTTCAATCAGGTCAACGTCGCTCGTGCTCTGTACTTTGACCCTGATATCGTCATATTCGATGACCCGCTTTCGGCGGGTAAGTTATATAGTTTCTCTTGTGCTTCTTATGGTGATAACTGGCCTCAGTGGATGCACGTGTCGGAAAGTCCTTGTTCCAAGATGCCATCGTGGGAGCCCTGCGAAATTGTGGTGTCACCGTCATTCTGGTCACACATGCGATACACTTCCTCTCTCAAGTAGATCACATCTATGCTCTGAACAATGGCGTCATCACAGAGAGCGGAACCTATGAACTAATCTCCCTCGGCGGGGACTTTGCGCGTTTGAACCTCGAGTTCGGTGGTCGTGCGTCTGAGGGTAAAGATAACGACCGAAGAGAGGAAGTCACTCCGCAGACAGGCGTCACTATCGAGCTCGCGAAGTTGAAGTCAGAAAGAGCCAGAGAAAAGGCTGCTGGCAGCGGTAGACCTGAAGGTCGCTTGATGGCCCAAGAGAAGCGGTCGACCGGCTCTGTGTCATGGAGAGGTGTGCTCAAGTTTATGTGCCAGTGATATCATGAGTTGACAATTTCGCAGTGTACTTGACGTACTTGATTGCAGGACGCGGTCCTATCACAGTACCTGTGGTACTTTTCTTCATGGTCATGATGCAAGGAAGCCAGGTCTTGAACTCGTATACACTAGTTTGGTGGGAGAGCAAGTCGGTTTCTTTTCATCGACTTGTCAGCTCCTTTTTGAGATTATTGCGCAGCAAATTCGACCGACCAAACTCGTTCTATCAGACGCTGTATGGCTGCCTCGGGGTTTGTCAAGCGGTCTTTACATTCTTGTTGTAAATCGGCTTCTCTCACATATGGCGGCATGTTGAGTTGACGCAACTTCCTAAGTGGTGCTGGAATGGATTTCGTTGCCTCTTATGTGTCTCGAAACATGTACCAGAAGTCCGTACGCAATGTCTTGTACGCACCCATGTCCTTTTCCGACACTACGGTGAGTGGTCATGCATAACAACGTAACAACAAATGTCGACCATTTTCCTCTAGCCTATGGGCCGAATCCTGAGCATTTTTGGCAAAGACATCGACAGTCAGTATCCTGTTAATTTGTGCTACCCCGCTTCACTGAAAATTTTCGCTCAGGTATTGATAATCAGTTACCAAGTGAGTCATCTGTCGTTCTGTGGTAAATTGCGACTCATGCACTATCTAGAGACGATAAGAATGTGTATGCGAGCCGCACACTTCGCTTATGGCGACTAATTGTGGACATCCAGCTTTCCTTTCGTTGTCCACTGTTATGGGCTCTATGATTATTGTTGTTATCCTTGAACTGTACTTCAGTCAGTACATAGATACCATTCGCTTGGACGTGACTCACGCTTGTCCAGTTATCGCTGTCTTCTTCATTGCCATCGGTTACGGCTACTTCGCTGCCTTCTATCAAGCTAGTGCCCGTGAGGTCAAGCGCTTGGGTCCGTTATCGTGTTTCTGACCTAGGCAGCCACTGATTTCGTCCATAAGACTCCATGCTTCGCTCTCTTTTGTATGTTCATTTTTCTGAGACCTTGACTGGACTTCCCACCATCCGAAGCTACGGAGAAATGAGCCGGTTCGTTGCCGCCAACAGATATTACGTTGATCTGGAGGACGGAGCTTTATACCTCGTAATCACAAACCAATGGTGAGTAATCTTCTACATATATGATAGCGGTCGTCGGCTCATCGCCTTTCCACAGCTGGCTTGGCCTAAGATTGGAGTTCATAGGATGCATGTTAGTCTTCTTTGTAAGTGAGTTTTTAACGGGAAGGATGTCTGGCCCACCTTACACTAATATCTTGATAGGTTGCTCTTCTTGCGGTGGTCGACGTCTCCGGGATCAACGCCAGCCCAGATAGGGTTGGTACTAACGTATACCCGTAAGTCTTCCCATATTTCCATCACAGCTTACGATGTTACCCTTTCCATATCAAAGTCGTGCTGTCAGTATCGTGCAGTGTCATGATCAAACGGACTGCGGACGTCGACGTATGCCTGTCCTTATCTCGCTTTATTGGCTACTCAATCGTTGTTTGCCTCAGAATTACATGAATGCAGTGGAACGCTGTGTGTCGCGATGTCGCGAATTTGATAACACCTCTACACTCCTTTATATCTTGCAGTGGTGGAATATTTCGATGGCACCACAATCCCCCAGGAGGCACCACATGAGATCGAAGCATGCAAACCCCCGGCTCAATGGCCTAAACATGGCGCCATCGAATTTAACAATGTTAAGATGGCATATAGACCAGGCCTTCCTGATGTATTGAAGGGCATCTCGGTCAAAGTCGCAGGAGGTGAGAAGATAGGTGTCGTCGGAAGGTCAGCTGCAGTGGTTCATTGGATCTGCATATGTGTGTTGATGTGGCATTCCGTTGGATAGGACTGGTGCCGGTAAATCTTCCTTGATGCTTGCGTTGTTTCGAATCGTCGAGTTGTCTGGTGGTTCAATTACTATCGATGAGTACGTTGGTCATCACTCATGACGAAGATTGGTTTTTACCCTTTCTAGCATCGATATATCTACGATTGGTCTTGAAGACCTCCGCTCCAGGATTTCCTTCATTCCGCAAGATGTTTGTAAAGTTTCCTTGTGTTAACTAAAACAAAGCTGATGTACTAACTCGATAGCCTCTTCTCTTCAGTGGTTCGTGTCGTTCATTTACATGCTCTTGTTTGAAGTGCTAAAGGAGCACCAGGGACCATCCGATCCAACCTGGATCCATTCTCTCAACACAGTGATGTGGACCTATGGGATGTGCTACATCGATCTTGTCTTGTTGATTCTAGCGCCACCTCGAATCCCTCATCTCACAGCGATGACATCTTGAGAGAGCATTCTTATACCAAACGCCACGACCTTGACAAGACGATTGAAATAGAGGGGGCAAACCTTAGTGTTGGAGAAAGATCTCTACTCTGTCTAGCTCGTGCGCTGGTGAAAGATTGCAAAGTCGTCGTGCTTGATGAGGCGACGTTAGTAGTATGCTTTCCCCCTGGACGGTGATGTTGACATGCTTGTTTTTAGAGCTTCTGTCGATCTCGACACCGATAGTAAGATCCAGCATACTATTCAGACATATTTCAAGGACCGTACGCTGCTTTGCATTGCTCGTGCGTTTTATCGTTTGGCTCTTTGCAATATTGCAATGTGATGGTACTTCAGACCGGCTTCGAACTATCATTTCGTACGACCGCATTCTGGTCCTCGACGCTGGCATTGTTGCAGTAGGTTGTTGTGAGCGTCTTTCAACAGCTGGTACTCACTTCTATCGAAGGAATTTGACACTCCATCCAATCTTTTCAAGAGGGAGGGTGGGATTTTCCGCGGAATGTGCGAAAGGAGTGAAATCTCCTTGACGGATATAGAGACGAGTTGAAAGTTTTTGATGGTAAAGCTTGAGGTTGATCCAAATTGCAATCTCTGCTCGTGCTGTTCGTCCAGTATACCGTGGCATTTCCGCCGATAATTATTTATTGATCAATGTACTTGGTAGATCCCTACTTGTACCAGGACGATTCTAGGGCTGATGTCTTGCTTCGGTCGGGGAGATGTCGAGATTGGAGATACATGTACATTTTGTCCGAAGCAAACGATGAAAACAAGCAAGCACGAATACAAGATACACATCAACCCAACAGTCCTTTGACATATTTCAATAGTTCCCGTCCCTGCAAGATGTGCAATTAGTCTTCGATCGAGACTGCCTAGTTGTGCACATAAACTCACCCCTTTGCTCTTTACTCCCGCTACCATAGCTTCTACGCCTTCAAGCTCGTCATCAGTGCCATGCGTTATTTCACGATCACCTCCGAGAAGTGATAAGCGTGCATTCCGCTGCCGCTCACTCAATCCGTGTCGAAGCACAACAGTCAGCACAGCACGCCACCCCTCGATTGCGCCATTCGCTGCTACATTTGCAGAAAGAGGTGAGGTAGAAGGCATGGGCAGTTTCGGTACCACCGTCGAGGGAACGACGAATGGGCAATACGATCGATGTTCATTTAACACATCAAACTGCCTCTTCTTCGTCGATGGTTGTGGTAGCGGGCTGCTGTCTAGTGATGGAGTAGACTGAGGTGTGAATGCCCAAAGGCCGACGCGTCGTTGGCACAAGGAACAATGCAGAAGAGATGTATCCCGGGTGCTTCTCCCGATCTCGCTCAGCCGCGGCATACGCGTGCGCAAAGGTGTACCCCCCAACTGTGAGACACTAGTAAGGGGGGAAGAGGGCCTCGAAGACGGCGAATCTGCCCGCCCGAACTGAACGGTACGCGAAACTGATGAAGATCTAGATAGAGTTGGGGAAGCTGGTCTGGACATGGTAGCTATTCTAGAAAATGATGGTGTGCGATTACGTTCCGATGGAGGAGCAGGCGGAGCCAATGACCAGCCGAAGAGGGCAGTCACAATTGCGGTATCAGATGGCTCAGGGCCTGCATCAACGTGCATTGCTGACTCATTCTCAGATTCGGATTGCGCCTGAGGAGGTTTGACTGAGGCAATTGCTGAACGAAGCGAGACAAGCTGAGAAGCCGACTGACCGAATGAATAAGCACCACACAGGAAAATGCTGCAGTTTGACTTACCAATGGATATTTAATCACGACATCTGTCAACAGAGGCTCTAGAGCGAGCGCATTGGATTTGATGTCCCGTGCCATGGCAGCGGGTGCTTGCAGCGGCACGCGGTAAATCGACGCTAATGAATTGGGTGAGGAAGGAGACAAGGTGCAGCTCGACAAGAAAAGCTCACAATCACACTGCCTACTACGCCAAGGGCATCCGTCCTTGTGCATCTCTACTAACTGGATGCGCTGCTTCTCAACAAGGGCATTGGCTATTGTACGAAAGAAAAACGTTCAGTAGTGTACCTTGTCATTTACCTACCTTCTAAACCTTACCGGCTTCTCGTGTCATGCCGTCTCGCCCCGCGACAACCCATGAAACGTCGCAAATCCCACACACTAGCCTGTCTTTGCTATCGTTTATCCAACCGCACTTCGCTGCAGCCACAGCGTCAATTTGGGGCGGCTTATTTGCGTATGTCGACAACTTGTAGGTCGATAGACGGGATAAAAATGACTGAGTGGAAGATGGTCGGTATTCCGAGGCGAGCGATGCCGATGCCGGAAGGCTGGGGTGTGCAAAAGGGGTGGCTCCTTTACTCTTGGAGCGTGCCAAGATCGCAGCCAGGTGAGGAGCTGCCTTAGAAATATCATGCTTATCCGGAGTACTGTTGAGAATAGAGCAAGACGAGAGCAAGTTCAGAGACTTCCAAATCCTAAACCGCAAAATTTGACTGACTCGATGGGTGGTTTTGGTATGTTGGTCTGGATCCCATGCTTGGCAAGCGTAGAATAGAGAGAGCGGGTCATGTGTGGTCGTTTGGGAGCTGTTGGCCTTTCAGGTAAAAGTTTCATTGGAGCTACGGCACTGTCGAGGCTTTGGAGGGCATCGTCGAATTTGCGCTAAGACATGCTGCTCAGTAGGGGTCCATTAAGTTTCGATACTCTGCTTACCTTGGTAGCTCGGATAGACATCGATGAGCTCGTAGAGCCTGAATCTAAACCGTTGACAGAAACAACTTCTGTAGTTATCGACATGTCGAAGAGTGGAGTTGAGCGTAGATGATGGTCGTTTATAAAACAGAGTGCCACCGACACTGCAAAATGAAGTAATACAGCAAGCACAGCCACCACAATAAGTGAATTCCGAGTCAACCTGTTTAACCGGAATCGGTTTAACGTCGTTTAACTGTAGACACCTTGTTCGATACACCACATAGTTAAAATTGCTGTGATCGCAACGCAATACCGTGCAATGAACAAAAGATGGTACAGTTTTCAACAGTCCCCCTCCAAAGTGGCAGCCAAAGTCTATTATGATCTATCATTATGAACATGAATGGTATCATCCCTGCGGCCCGTATTACTTTCTGCCTTCATCCACCCTCTCAAACGCGCCACTGACCGCCGCTCTCTCTGCAATGTAGCCTTTTGCTGCTCGATCTTCAAAATCTCTACCACCATACGCGCAGCTTCCACGTCATTCCGCAGATAAAATGCCTTGATAAACATCTTGAGCATCGGCTTCGCATGCTTCTCGAACGATATGTAAGGCGGAAGCCTCGACAGCGCGAGTGTCCCACTGGTGCGCAGAAGCGGAGTGCTAAAGGGCAGATGGGAAGGGGAATAGGTCCCTGCAGGGTATCCACCACGAATCATGTGGTTGAACAGCGCGCGTAAACGCTGATAATCGAACGCAGTCCTCCAAGCCATCAGCGCCTTCAAAACGATGTTGACAGTTATCCTGTCAGGCGCAAACTGTTGATAGCTCACGAGGTTGTCGAGGAGTCCCAAGAGTTTCCGAACACGTCTGCCGTTTCTCGGGACCGGACGTGTTAAGACACCGTGCAAAAGCGTGTTGCCTAAGATTGTCCGGCTTTTGGTGTCCACCCTGCTTGCAACACGACTAAAGGCGACCTTTGCAGCATGCGGTCGCCTAGCGTAGATTAAACCTTGCAGAACTTTGTTGTACACTGGGCCATTGCTCATAACGTTCTTGAATGAAGTCCCCGCTGCCCAGAAACAGCCACCTCGAAACAAGGTATACGGCTTGCGCCCTTTCATGGATAGGCGTCTACTAGTTGTCACACAGAGGCGTGTAGTGACCATGTAACGTAGGCTGGTAGCACATCCCCCGCGTGCGTCAACTAAAATTTTCTGCATTCGCAACGCACAACGAAATTGCTTGCGGCGCAAAAAGAGGCGAACCAGCCGCAGCAAGAACGAGAATTGAAAGAAGGTCGGTTGAAATTTGATGACGTTAGCAATAATAGCCGTGGTCTGGAACCCCCTGCCGCGCGTGCATAGCTCGGCTAAAAGAAGTTGAAGATGCCCACGGAAGTGAATTGGGGGAGGGGAAATCGCGTAGAGTTTGCGGAGGGAAATCCCAACGTCATCGAACAGATCAGCGTCGTAATGTTGATGTCTCGTCTCCCTGAGGAAACGAGCGATACTGCTCAGGAGGCCTCCTACTTGTACTCGGGAGAATCGTTTGTGCTTGAGAAACCCCACAGCATGAGGAGGCGGGAGTGTCCTAGCCAGAGTATATGCGGTATCGGCATCAATGTCGCGTCCACTGCGGACAGCAATGTTGTACAATATGCGGGCGAGCTCAATGTCACGATGAATGAGGTCCTTGACAGCCGCAGATGCGACAGCACATTGGTGCTGCAGGTCAGAGGAGTAGGAACTCAACGTCTTTATGACCAATTCCGCTCCACACCCACGGAGTTGCATCAAGGCAGCGAGATGCATCGCTGCCATTGCTGTTAATTGGGGTCCCTCTACGGTGTCTGAAGAATCACCGGTCCAAAGTCCGAAGTTTGTACTAGATTCCAGGCACGCCACGAATAACTTCGGATCTGCAACTGCACCGGAGAGGCGAAAAAGAGAAGTCGCGACAGCACGTGAAATGAGGGTGGGGTGCGATTCATTGTGCACGAGGTGCAGCCAGGACTCATGAAGAGAACGTATCATCTCTTGTATACGTCCGCGGAGAGCACGATCGTTAAGAAGGGCTGGACCCGCGGCCCGCATAACCTCTTCGAGAATCGCAAGGGCAAACAGGGTCTGCCACACGGATGCACCTCCATCTAAAGGAAAATCAAGCGATGAAATGGGAATTCCACCGCTGTTGCAACTATACAGCGGTGAACACAGAAGCAGATTGCTTCGCCGATGGGCTAGTGGAATGTTGGATGAAAAAGCCTCATGCAGTAACTCCGTGATGACTTTCGTATGGGGGGAGGGACTTGGCACGGGCCACGGAAATACCGAAAGAGCGGACGTGAAGGTGGTGGCATCAACAGGAACAGCCATAGGAGCCCTCGTAGCATCCCCACAAGGCGACGGAAAACAGGTGACCCGAATTGAGATAGCTGATAGAATGGACCTCAAATGTGCGGTGTCTGTGTCATGAACTATCCCCAATAAGACTTTCAATACTTTCGCATGAAGAAACGGGTGAGTGAGAAGGATGGAGGTCATCGCATCAATGGCCCATTGCTTGTGAAGAGGGTCCGTGCTCGACAAAAGCGCTGTCAGGTATGGAACGTGAACATCTGGATCAAAAACATGTCGAGAAAAGTGGAGGTATTGTTTTCGGGCGCGGAACAGAGAGCGATCAAATGCGTGCGTATCTGCTCGATTTGATTAGACCGGACTACGAACAAATGGGATAAATTATCTTACATCCGGGCTGGCCATCTTTGGAGGGGGAAAGGCTCGCCAACTCGGCTCGCATCATCCAATATCTATCTGAATGCACCAGTCTCATGCCCCTCTGTTGCTTTAATGATACAACCTCCTTCACAAATGCCCAATAGTCACGAGTTACAGGACCATCTTTCACATAGGGAAGGAGTGAACTAGTATACACACATTTTCTTGCTGAGTCAACAGACAAGGACCCAAAAAGACCAATCAAAGCGCTAAGCATTCCTGAGTCGAGCTGCGACAACTGGCCCCGCGCTTTTGCGGAAATATAAAATGAACGAATAGTATTGGGTGTCGGCCTCCTGGAAGGGTCCAGAACCAGAGCAGGGGACGTTAGGATTTCCTGGAGAGCACTTATGGCGCGAGTGTTATTGGACGGGCTAGACTCCTGAAGATCATCTGATGTCCTGAGACATCGTTTGCCCGTGTCCTGAGTCCCTGTACTGCGTGGCAAGCATTCTTGGACATGGGCGCTAGCAGAAGACAGTAACCTAAAATTGAACGACGGTCAAACGTTACGCGTTTAATATTACAAAATAAAAACTAAAAACCTGATTCTTTGAGCACCGTCGACGCCGCCCAAAACTCGGACGGTCGACAGACACCATCGCAACATTCCATGGCATGGACGAATTGGGAATACGACGCGTTACACGTCACGTTACAAAGCGAACATAAGGATCGGAATATCCCGGCGGACTTGGAACCTTGTTTTTTGAACTGCAAGGCATTTCCCGGTTGATCGAAACTTTAGCGGAAACACCGGATACACATTCACATAATTCTCATCCAGTCGGTCGCCTTGAAAAATCCATTGGCACGCTGCTGGTGCGTAGTGCTAGATCAGAAAGTGTTATTTGGCTGACGGACTTTTAGAGGTCAATTGGGAGGCACTGATTTTTACTTGAAAACAATCACATCTGTATATTCATGTGAGTAACATAACTTATCACCCTGTCTTGACATTTATTCTAACGAGTGGTATATCAGAAATCACAATGGGTGCTACTCGCGCGCAAAAGGAAGTTTACTTCACCAAACTAAAGGAACTCATCTCCAAATATCGTGCGTTCCAATAGTTTTACTTCAATCCCTTTTCAATGACGCGCCCGCAGCCTCCATCTTCATCGTCAACGTTGACAATGTTAGCTCCAACCAGATGCACCAAATTCGTGTTGCCCTCCGTAGCAAAGGTGTCGTCTTGATGGGCAAGAACACCATGGTTCGCCGTGCTCTTCGCACTATCCTTTCGGAGAACCCTCAGTTCGAGCGTCTTCTTCCTCACGTCAGGGGTAACATCGGTTTCGTCTTCACCGATAAAGACCTCAAGGAGGTTAGGGAAATCATTGTTGCCAACAAGATCGCCGCCCCCGCTCGTGCCGGTGCTTATGCCCCCAAGGATGTCTTCGTCCCCGCCGGAAATACCGGTATGGAGCCCGGAAAGACCTCCTTCTTCCAGGCCCTCGGTATCCCCACCAAGATCGCTCGTGGTACCATTGAAATTTCGTCTGAGGTCCAAGTCGTAACCGCTGGTAGCCGTGTCGGCCCATCCGAAGCTACTCTCCTTAACATGTTGAACATCTCACCGTTCACGTATGGTATGACTGTCGTCCAGATCTTTGACTCTGGAAACGCGTTCGCTCCCGAAGTTCTCGATATTGACGAGAAGGTGCTCATTGACCGCTTCATGTCCGGTATCCAGACCATTGCTGCCATCTCATTGGCCCTCAACTACCCCACCGTCGTCTCGGTCACGCACTCACTTGTTAATTCGTACAAGAACCTCATTGCTCTGTGCTTGGCCACCGACTACATGTTCGAGGGTGCCCAGAAGGTCAGCTCAGATTCAATATGCCTAATATTGAGATGCTTCAAACATACACACTGAAAATGCTGACTTTAACGGATGCACAAATCTTGTTTCTGAATTTTTGTCGAGTTATTTTGAGCAACAAAGCTAATTCTTCACGCAGGCCAAGGAGTACTTGGAGAACCCTGACGCATTTGCTGCCGTCGCCGCACCTACTGCCGCTGATGCCGCACCCGCTGCTGCTGAGGCTGAGGTTGAGGAGAAGGCCGAAGAGAAGGAGGAGTCTGACGATGACATGGTAAGTTGCTCTTGGTTTGCACAAATGGAAATAACCTTACGCGATGGTCTGCAGGGTTTCGGTCTCTTCGACTAGATTATGCATCGTGTCATGTTATTTACCGTCACGCACATCATCTAATGCACATGCAGGCTGATAAGATCAGTCACTCGTGTTGATCAAACGATCCCCAAATATATATAAGTCAAAAGGAACATTGCGAGGCGCCTATTCATGCTTCTACGTAGACTACACATAGCTTGGAGATAATCATCCATTCATCGTTACACGTTGATCGATGTGTGCGTTTCTTAGTGGCTGTTGTGGTGGCACCATTAGTATGGGCATGAAAGTCGAGCGCTGTTACAGGAACCGATTGATGGACCAAACCTGGACTAGTAGAGGACCACAGCAGATTCAGACATTCCCATACGGTCATGACGCAGGAGACTGGAGTGCATTCAGCATAAGCAGTTAGAACTCGACCAACCGCCAACCAGGTCAATCGACAAATTGTCGACGAGCCTTCTCTTCAGCCATCGATCTAGACATTTTTCACGATAGGATTTCAATCACACAAACGTTTGCCAGCCTTTTCGCTACCCTTCTACCATTTTGTCATAACAGATCCGATAATCACCCGTATTCGGCCTCTCCTACATGTTTTCAAGGAGATCTGCTCACTTATAAATTTCATCGCTCCATGGCACCCTCTATCTTTCCAACCTCCGCCGAAAGCTTTGCAGATATGGAGGGCAAACACCTCATCGTCGTCGCCAACCGTCTACCCATCACAATCACGAAAGATGCTTCAGGCGAATACCACTTCAAAATGTCTTCTGGAGGGCTTGTATCAGCCCTTTCCGGTTTCAAGAAGTCGTTGAGCTTCACCTGGATCGGTTGGCCGGGTTTCTACATTCCACCGAAAGACCGAGCTTATGTCGACAAGCGTCTCATGGAGGAATACTCCTGTCAAGCTGTATATCTTGACGATGACGTTGCTGAAGGGCATTACAACGGCTTTTCTAATTCTATTTTATGGCCACTATTCCATTACCATCCCGGTGAAATGAACTTTGATGAGGAGAATTGGCTCATGTACCGTCAGGCCAACTTCCGATTTGCAGAAACAGTACGCTCGCAAATCACACCCGGTAGTATGGTATGGGTGCAGGACTATCACCTTATGCTCCTTCCCATGATACTACGCGGCCTCGTTGACGGGTCATCAGGAGGGGAATACCAGAAACAAGAGCTGACGAAGATCGCGGAGGGTATTGAAGAGGAAGTTAACATCTCTTCTGAGAGAATACCCGACGTCAAGATAGGGTTCTTTTTGCACACACCCTTCCCCAGTAGCGAAATTTACAGGTAAGTGATCTTCCTTTATTGTTCGATCACCCTGTTGACCCTGTGTCAGGATCCTCCCTGTTCGTCGCGAAATCCTTTTGGGTGTCCTCTTCTGCGACCTCATTGGCTTCCACACTTACGACTATGCTCGTCACTTTTTGTCTTCTTGCACGCGCATCCTTGGTTTACCCACAATGCCCAATGGTGTTGAGTTCGAGGGCCGCTTAGCTCACGTTGGGACATTCCCCATTGGCATTGAACCTTCTTCATTCATCAAGGTATGCATCACGACGTAAAATTACATGACTCGTTAAAGTTAACAACGTGCAGAACCTAGAGAAGGACTCCGTCAAATCTCGCATCGCTCAACTAGAACAGCGTTTTAATGGAGTCAAAGTCATCGTTGGGGTTGATCGTCTCGATTACATCAAAGGTGTTCCCCAGAAACTCCATGCTCTTGAGCTCTTCTTAACACAACACCCTGAGTGGATCGGCAAAGTTAGTGTGAGATTTTTTGTGAATGCCTGGTTGACTTACTCGCATCCATCATCAGGTCGTGTTAGTTCAGCTTGCCGTGCCATCTAGACAAGATGTCGAAGATTACCAAAACCTACGGTCAACGGTAAACGAGCTTGTTGGTCGCATTAACGGTCGTTTTGGTACAGTCGAATTTATGCCGATACACTTCATGCACAAGAGTCTAGCCTTCGACGAGCTGTGCGCACTTTACGCGATTAGCGATGTTTGTTTGGTGACCAGCACGAGGGATGGGATGAATTTGGTAAATCTTCTCAGTTCTTCACCTGTGTGGTGATCCTCTGACGTCATCACCATCAGGTCTCGTACGAGTATATTGCCTGCCAGCAGGCTCGTCAGGGTGCAATGATCCTCTCAGAATTCGCCGGAGCCGCACAGAGTCTCAACGGATCAATCGTCGTGAACCCGTGGGATCCTCAACAAGTCGCAGACGCGATTCACGAAGCTGTCACGATGGATACAGAGACGCGTGCTGAGAACCACCGCAAACTGTTCAAATACGTCAATAAATACTCCGCGGCCTTCTGGGGCACGAGCTTCATCAAGGAAATGAGCAAGCTCAAACAAGACGATGTGGACAAGGAGGGTCAAGCCGAGTTGAAGCCGAAGAATGACGAAGGCGCAGGTAGCGAGCTCGTTGGCGGTCAAGTGCCCACGCCGCAGGTGGTAAGCCCAGGTGCATAGACATCTGGGAAGGCAAGTATCATAACTTATATTTAGGCCCTGGGTCGGATAATCGCGTTGCACACTTTGCGCCTGACTTTGGGTGCCATACGTTGGCTGTTCCATATGATTATTCCATATCTTCAGTGGTTTTCTAGAACATAGATGGGGTCTCACATTACTTGACGCTGGAGAGTAAAGTACATAGTAACATGAGGTAAACACGTTTTCTGGCATGCATGCTCGCGACCGTTCGTTTATTTCATGAATGCCTTCGAGAATTTCTCTTGCAAGTACGAAACACCTGAGCTAGTGACGGAATGTCAGGGGTTGTAGATGGGCGCTCCGGTCGCCCCTACGTCAGGTTTCTCTGTAGACCTTCGAGAAAGGTGTAAAGTTGCTCGCCGTTCCTTTGAGAAATGAATTAGAATCATCACGTCATAGGCCCTCAGGCCTCAACCAGTTACTTGTTTTAGCCCAAGCGGCTCAGGGTTTCACTTTTTGTTCGAAGTTGGCTTCTGCTTGAGCACCTTTAAGAACTTCAACAAAAACCCTTTGACACGAAACAGGGCGCAGAACCTGTCAGAGCGTATTACTATTAACACCCTCATTCTCAGCGGGTGACTCACGATCGTAGTGTGAATATTGTGAAGTGGCATGTTCTAATGTACAGTCATGCCAAGGACTTCGTTGTCAACGGGCAGGGGCGTCGAGTCAGCTGAGCCCAACGCACTTCCAGAAACCATACCCTAGTCTTCTCTGGATCCGTAAAACAAGGTTCGAACTCAAGCAGTGTTCTGATGAGCCTACCAAGCAAAGCTCCAATTTTGTCACCGGATGTTTTCCTATGTCTGTCGGCGTAACGCGCGAGGTCGAGTCATATGTTCGATCGAATTGTTTTGGATTCGAAATACAAGTTATATAACCCTCCAGCGCAGCAGTGCTGTTAGATAGGCCCAATTAACAAAAGGTCCAATTAACGAACTAGTCCCGTGGAATGGTAGTTACTTACGTCGGGAGTTCTGGGGGTCTGTATGATTACTTCCTGGGTAAGCCAGACGAGCCCCATGAATAGGCATCCCAGCCCTCGCCGATGGCTTAGGCTATGCATCTTTCCAAAAGCACACGCCACTGTTAGGAAACCGTAATTCCCTTGACCGCCACTATTAGTATTAGTATTAGTAGTCACATCATCCGCAGGTGAAACACTTACCGAGATTGAGTTCAGGTCACCGGGTCGGATCGCCAACTCTTTCTGTGTCGCAAGAAAGGTATCAGTCAAGGGCTTTCAGCACAGCAGGGTGATATCGTAGGTCCTTCCTGATCGCAAAGATGGGTATGGGATGGGATTCCTTGGGCGCCCAGCACGTTGGCGATCCACGGGCTCCGTTTGTATGACCACTGACTCATATCCGCGCCAAACTAAGAGCTGTTTTTGCACACTACGCAATGCGCGAGCCATAACTTGAACGTAGAGCACCGTCATGATCATGTTCACCGATTGCAACACGATGAAACCGCCATCGCTTATTCAAATGACAGATCCTGATACATTAAGTTCAAGTCAACGTCGTGTTTGAGGATCGGATGTGGTCTGAATAACGCGCCTCCCAATGCACGCGCCTGCCGGAACAGGCAGAAGTGTGCGTTCTAGATTCCTGTGCAGTTTCATATGTAAGTAGTTTCAAAGTAGTTTTTTCGGTGTTCCTGCGCTAAACCATTTTCGCCAAGGACATGCATGCATTACGTCCTCATGTCCGCTCTTGTCTTGGTGATCCCATCTTGTACACCTGAGGACAAACAAGTCCAGTACCGACACTGACTCGATCAATATCACCGTACAGGGGTAGTTCGAGGAGTACAGCCAAATTATGAATAAGTCGCAGTCCCGATTCCCTGGAGATGATGTTTGGATTATCACGATGATCACATGCGCAGCGACTGCGCAACGTGCTCGAATTATCAGATATCCCGACGGTGTGATTTTCCATCAGCCGAGGCGCATGTCACAAGCAATTGGCGGGGGTATGTCCCATGGCTGTGAATTGGATTTCGATCAGCAACTCGACCACGCCAAACAGAAACAGGAATATGTGGCAACGTTCCTCATGGCTGCCAGCTACCGAATCTATTTTTTACGCTATCTATCGTGAGGGGCTTAGCTGGATCTTGGCCTGTGGCCTGAGGCCTCATTTAGAAAGATCAGAATGTTCTGTTTGAACTAATCATGATGTTGGCTTTGTCGGTAACGACGACCCAGGACAATCCTTACGGGCATGGATGCGGTCATGACTTTCTGGATATTGTGTGGTGACGTGACATGGTGCCTGCCAACCACGGATGGGAACCTTTGTTTCGAGAACGACCAAGGTCATTTGAGGGATATGGAATATGGAATATAAGTGACGCATACCAATTAATAACGCATTTCGGTGCGATATCTTCCTTGATAGCAAGGCTGGCCAGCGAAGTAGGTGTGTATCATATTTAAAGCGATAGGAAGCCTTCCACAGGCATTTTCTAAAAAGCCGCAATGTTCCAATGGAAAAGCATGGCGGAGGCTGTACAGATGAAACTACCAATTCGGGACTTTTGCTGGCAAAATTTTGAAATATACAAGGCGGGATGTTACTATATTTGGCGATGCAATTGGTAAAACGGAAGTACCCGATAATATTACCTTAGACTAAAAGGTGATTAAGGTTTGGTTCCGACTACCGACGAGACTAGGTCACAGTTTAGCCAACTTGAAGCTACCGACGTAAATATGCAGACGTACTACGGGTCGGATGTGAGACCACGGGATGGAGAATAGAAACACAGCGTTTCACGAGTTGTCTGATGGCGACTAACTTAGTTCAAGTCCCTAAACGTCATGCTTGACACAACACCACTCATTGCAGAGGTGCGGCGGCGGCGACCCAGCAGATGCACTAGAGTCTGTTAGATGGGCTATGCTATGACTGCTGAGATCCACGGCGCTGGATCAATTCATTACATCTCCATATGCCTGCGGTTGAGGGTGCCGTTGTCGATCGAAGCGCAAAGGTGAATGGAATGCAATTGTACAGGGAGATGACAAGGGGAGTCTGTATAGTGGGGTGGTCAGAATGGACGAAGAATATGATATGTTCGGCTCGGGCTGCCGGTGTTTCGAGAATTCCTTTGTACGGGAAGCGGGCTTTGTGGTCAGCGTGGCAATGGTCCCGCCTAATATGATCAGGATTTTATGGTGCGGGCTGTGTTACAGCGACCGCATGCGAGGGCCGCTGGCGGAATCCTTTTGTAGTATCACCATGATCGGACGGTGGATGAGTTAGGACGATGCTTTGTCTCTCTCCACAACACTGAGCGCTTAGTTCAAGGTAAAAGTCAAACGCACGCGTCTGAAGGACCCTAAGAATGGAATGTGACCAAGGTATTCATGTAAGAGGATTTCTGAAATGAAGTCCGCGATGAATCAATGAGGACTGCAGCGTGTAGTGGCCACAAGACACGTTTGAAGCAAGTAAAGGGGTTACTTTCCGTTGTATGAACGCTTATCAAACTGATTAACCAAATGAGGGGTTGTAGCAAATAAGGCTGTTAGAATTCTCAGTAGAACACGACGGAGATGCCCCTGAATAGTCCAAGCGCCAAGGAGATGTGATCATCCTGGCACATTGGTTGTGCGTGTTTGAAAGAAGTTGAGAATCTGGAGTGAACGTTGGCGGTGGGGTTTGAGTAAAAAAGAGGTAATTTGATAGCAAGAGATGGTTTATAATGACGTCGTTGTCCTCGGAAAGCACAAGAGATTGACGTGAGATTTGAAGGTCATAGCACGGGAGCCTTGCAGTAGGATGTGAGTGAGCTCGACTACGGCGACGGCAGTGCCTAGAAAGGAGATGATTTGCGAACACATCCATGATTACAGAAAAGGAAATTGTTGTAGCTGCACATCACATCCATCAAGTACTACAGCTTGTCGAAGATCAGTTAAATGGCTTCATGGGATATGTCTTGGATATCTATCCGACACATGTATAATTGGCCAGTATTACACAACATGAAGGCCTCCTAATTGGTGCCTTGAGATCAGAAATTCCACATAGAAACTTCCGCACCGCCTCATCGAACAGGTGTCACGTTCATTTATATAATCCACCTTTCCTTCCCTCAGTTGGAACTTTTTCCCTTCCAGCTCGAAACAGCAAAACGTCTCATGGCAGCAGAGGGGAACATACCTGAGATAGTCACAACTGACCTTTCCTCAAATCATACAGTAGTCCCTTTATTCGCTTCACCGTCGACAAATGCTTCTTCCCGAGCACAACCAGATTCGACCTTGTTGTCCCCTCACCCTCAATCACAGCGTCGAGTCTCACTAGACTCTCGCTCTCATTCCCCATCACCTACTATGGTCTCATCAAATGACGGGGCTTCTCTAGCTGTTCCTCCGTCTCCCACATTATCGGCTCAGTCTTCTGGTCATTTCCCTACCTCGCTGTCTTTGAGGGACAACAAACCAGATGAGGGCAGCGGTTATACTTCCCTGCATTTGCTCAGTCCTTCGGTGAACAAGGTCTTGATTCATCAGCGAAAGCCTAGCAATGCAACTTTCACAAGTTCCCATGAGGGTCACAGTAGCCTCGACGAAACAGAACCAGACCATGGCAGTGGCGATTATGGCATGGTTCACCTTCATCCAGTTAGATCGGATCCCCCAAGCACAATGCATTCTCCTACCCACACCCACGTAGACACCGCCTCCGTCCTCTCCAGGTCCATGCCCGCTAAATCCGATATTTCCGTTGAAAATATCGTCACAACAACTCCTTCACCCGACGCCAATCACCATAGGAATCCTTCTGACGGCCACAAATCACTTCAAGCCAACGGCGACGTCTCGAAGATTGAACTCATCCAAGATGATTTGGTCGACCCCCGTCCATTCAAATTCAGACCGGTCGAATTGGCCAGTCTTCTCGACCCGAAGAATCTCAACGCCCTTGAGGCTTTGGGGGGTACCGATGGCCTTCTTGACGGCCTAGGAACCGACTGTTCCCGGGGTTTAACTCTGGTCCGCACTGCAGACGACCGATTAGGTGCTGGAGCAGGCGCTTCCCAAAGGCATGACCGGGAACCTTTGTCCGTCCCCACACCCCACGATCACATCGAGGTTGAAGTTGCCGACAACCCCCATTCGGCGTTAATGGAAGATCGCAAGCGCGTGTTTGGAGAGAATGTTCTTCCCCAACGAACCAGCAAAAGTCTACTTGCTCTCATGTGGCTTGCCTTGCAAGATAAAGTTCTTGTACGTATATACTAAATCGTCAAACTCAATCTTCAATCTCCTTGTGTTTCAAGGTCTTGTTGTCTATTGCAGCGGTTGTTTCACTCGCACTTGGCTGTTTCAAGATTTCGGGACCCCTCAGCCTGCCGGCGAACCCCCGGTGGATTGGGTGGAAGGTGTTGCCATTATGATCGCTGTTCTTATCGTCGTAAGTTGGCTACCTTTCCTCTTATCAATCCAAAGCTCAAATTTCCACAGGTTGTCGTCGGCTCAATAAATGATTGGCAAAAGGAACGGCAATTCAAGACCCTCAACGAGAAAAAGGAAGAACGTGGGGTCAAAGTTATCCGCAACGGCATCGAACGTCTCATCGACGTGAAAGTAAGCTTGTTCTCATTTAGTTCAACGCCGTCTCATTTTATTTTTCTTGTGCGCACAGGAAGTCGTGGTCGGCGATGTAGCGTTATTAGAACCCGGGGAAATTGTCCCCTGCGACGGCATCTTCTTAGCCGGGCACAACGTCAGATGTGATGAATCAGCGGCAACTGGCGAGTCGGATGCTATCAAAAAGGCGTCCTATGCAGATTGCCTGGCCCTGAAGCAGGCACTAAGCGGTGTGCGCGCTGAAGGTGGCGCCCTCGGAGGGGAGCACGTATCTACGCATACGGACTGTTTTGTCGTCAGCGGCAGCAAGGTTTTGGAAGGCGTCGGTAGCTACCTTGTCGTAGCAGTCGGCACGAAAAGCTTCAACGGCAGGATCATGATGGGTGTGTATCTCTTCATTCACCAAGATCCCCGCTAACCCCAATTCCATTAGCTCTTAGGACCGACACCGAGCATACCCCGCTTCAGTTGAAGCTCAATGTTCTGGCTGAATTAATCGCGAAGTTAGGAAGTCTTGCCGGCATCGTTCTCTTCTCCACTTTGATGATCAGGTTCATCGTGCAACTCGCTACGGGCTCGCCTGCCAGGTGACGAATTTCGGCTATGACATTCGCACATTCGCTAACTGGTGTGCTACAGGTCTGCCGACCAGAATGGCATGGCTTTCGTTCAAATTCTCATCATCTCGGTCACCTTGGTTGTAGTTGCCGTTCCAGAAGGTAAAGGGTCTACTTTTTACGTTAAATGTGCTACGCCTTAATGAGCGTGTTTATAATTAGGACTTCCTTTGGCTGTGACCCTGGCTTTAGCATTCGCCACTAAGAGGATGACGAAAGAAAACCTCCTGGTACGCGTCTTGGGCTCCTGCGAGACGATGGCCAACGCCTCCGTCATCTGCACCGACAAGACCGGTACGCTCACTCGCAACGTCATGTCCGTGGTCGCAGGCTCCGTCGGGATCCACGCCAAATTCGTGCGTAAACTCGAAGACAACCAAGCACGCACAAACGCAAATAGAAGCCGAAGCCCCAACAGGAACTCTGATTCGAAAGGCCCCCGGGATGATTTCAGCATTGACCAATCAATGCTTAGTACCGTTCTGAGCCGTCCCCTTATTTCGCTGTTCAATGCGGCTATCGCTGTGAACTCCACTGCGTTTGAGGATGTGGAGAAGGAGACTGGGGAGCGCATCTTTGTGGGAAGTAAGACGGAGACGGCGCTTTTGATCTTTGCGAAGGAGCTTGGGTGGGCAGATTATAAAGAGACGAGGGATGCGGCGAGGGTTGTGCAGGTAATTCCGTTTTCTAGCGAGCGCAAGGCTATGGGCGTGGTGGTCAAGACCGAGCATGGATATCGCTTCTACGTCAAGGGCGCTAGCGAGATCTTGACAAAGCTGTGCAGCAGCCATGTCGTTGTAGAGCAGCATGGGAGCTCTCGCCCCGACGCCGAGTCCGACGACGTCGAGGTGGCCGAGATCGGTGGCGTCTCGGAAGAGAACATCTCCAGGACTATCATTTTCTATGCGAACCAGACTCTGCGGACTATCGCCCTGTGCTATAGGGACTTTCCGTCTTGGCCACCACCAGGAATGCAAGCCACGGCAATCGACGAAGTAGGCATATTTCTGTGATATTTTGACATACTCATTGGTTCTAGGTGCCGTACGACGTCATTGCTCAAGACATGACATTGATCGGAATCGTCGGGATCGAAGACCCACTTAGGGACGGTGTTCGAGAAGCAGTAGCTGATTGCCATAAAGCTGGTGTCACTGTAAAGATGTGTACAGGTGATAATGTGCTGACGGCGCGTTCGATCGCCACGCAGTGTGGTATATACACAGCTGGTGGTGTCATCATGGAGGGACCCGTCTTTCGCCAGCTCGACGAATCACAGATGCTTGAGATCGTTCCACGGCTCCAGGTCCTCGCTCGCTCGTCACCTGAAGACAAGAAGATACTGGTGGAGAAGCTTCGCGCACTCGGGGAGATCGTTGCTGTCACTGGCGACGGCACGAATGACGGACCCGCTCTCAAGACGGCACACGTAGGGTTCTCCATGGGTGTAGCGGGGACAGAAGTAGCCAAAGAGGCGTCCGACATCATTCTCATGGACGACAACTTTTCTTCCATCGTGAAGGCCATCATGTGGGGTCGTTGCGTGAACGACGCGGTCCGGAAATTCCTACAGTTTCAGATCTCCACCAACGTTACTGCCGTGGTGATCACATCGGTAACCGCCATCGCTTCTAATTCTGAAACGTCGGCGCTGTCAGCTGTTCAGCTGTTATGGATCAATATCATCATGGACACGTTCGCTGCACTTGCGCTCGCTACGGATCCGGCGTCGCCGGCGTTACTGGACCGGAAGCCTGATAAGCAGACGGCACCGCTTTTCAGTGTGGATATGTACAAGCAGATCTTTTTGCAGTCTGTCTATCAGATCATCGTCATCCTGCTATTCCACTTCCTTGGCATCAAGATCCTGGGCCTTGCGGATACGTCGGGGAATGACACCGTTGTGCAGACGCTGGTCTTCAATGCGTTTGTTTTTGCTCAGATATTCAACTCGGTGAATTCGCGAAGGCTGGATCGGAAGCTCAACATCTTTGAAGGCATACCCAACAATTGGTACTTCATGATTATTACCCTCATCGGTAGGTCGAGTCATGTTATGTCTGGACTACCTTCACGCCTGGTTTGCAGAGATCGCTGTGCAAGTGGTCATCGTGTTCATTGGTGGCACCGCGTTCCAGGTGACGCGTATTGGAGGCCGTGAATGGGGTATCTCACTCGCCCTTGGCTTCGTATCCATCCCCCTCGGCGCGCTCATCCGTCTGCTGCCCAACGGACCCTTTGAACGCCTCTTCATCCAAATGCGCTTACTGCCCAAACCCCAAGGCGATCTTCCCAAAACTCGCCCAGATGGTGAATGGAACTCTGCGATTGAACTTGTGCGTGATAATCTCGCCACGTTCGCTAACCTGCGGGGCGGGCGACTTCGCTCGTCTTCATTCGTTGTGAAGAGTCGTCAGGCTAGATTACACGAGGATAAACGTGTCCCTCTGTACGTGCTAGTGTTTAGTTTGCGAGATGGTATCCTTAATTTTTTCTAGCCCTTCGTTGATGACCATGGTCCCGACGCTTATTGCATCTTCCATCGGAGCTGGCTGGGCACCACAATCACGCGGTAGTCTATCGGACCCTGCTCGTTTTGATCCATCAAAGTCCTCTGCTGCCCTCTGGGAAGGCAGGCTCCAAATCCACCCCGATACGAAGCCAGACGATGCACTGTATCGCACAAAATGGGGTTTTGGAAACCGTCCGTCCGCGGTATAGTTCTATTAGACATTGTTTGTTTGTTTTTGCATGGACTAATGGGGGGTCCCCGCCACTTGGAGGGGAAGGGGGGATCTTTCCATGCGGTGTCGTTATCCATTATTCCAATATCTATATCAGGCGACAAACCCACAGTCATAAACGCACAGGCTGTTATCGGAATGCCGTCGTAATCGCGCCTGTTCGAATTCGCTGGTCGATCGTTCTGATGGAAGGGGCCGCCAGGTGGCTGGATCACGGCCATCGCCACGACTGGAAAGCGTGACGCATGTGTGCTTCACTCATTCCTATCATATCTGGGATATCATAATCTACCCCTGCCTTTCACGTTTCGCTCCCACACTCACGACCAAACATGCATATGACACGCATCTGGTGATTTTCACGCATTCTTCGTTATGTTCCATGCATTTGCCAGCCAAGTACTGTTACGCTATCCCCCTTCATCTTACCGCCTTTCACTCAACACCTTCATGACGTCTTAAATCCGTGCATTGACTTATATGACAATACACGAACAAATCTGCGCAGTTTGAAGGGCTGGTGCATCATGCAATGTTAGAATTATAGACCACATATTACACCACATACATTCACATTTTCGTACTGTATCCATACTCTTATTCTTATCATAAAATACATCCTTTTGCCGATATATACTTATAACAAATGATAAATCTTTTCCCAAATGTCCAAGATTATCTCATCAAACCGAAAGAGGTAGTGACGTTCTAGCTAGAAAGTGGGCTGTCAGGGACAATCGTATTCCTCATACTGCTTAGTACCAGGTCGGGGCCCTGTGCTCAATGGGGGAAAAGTGTACATCCGGTCACTGATCTAGCACAGACACAGCCCGACAACCGTTTTCAACCACCACAACATTGGTGCCGAGTTGCGTGTCTGATGACCCATATGCGGCCCCTGGGTCCCAGCCAGATTAGTCCATGCTGGAGGTAAAGAGTCGTCAGAGGGCGCAAGATGGCGTCCTGAACGCATACGTTAATTCATTGCTTGGCACTGGTACAGCATAAATCAGCTGATGAATTTTAGTATGATGGAAATCCTGTGCAGAATGCGATCCCACGCCAGCATGTCCGTCTGGGACCGTTAAACTTCAGGCCCTGGCTTGGAGTAGTGGCGGACTGACAGGATAGGTTAGCTGGTGGATCTGCTGGGAGCCCTGCATGAAGAGCGTCTTATTTTAAACTTTATCACAAAGAAACCGAGTGCCGGATCCAAGAGCAAGCGTTAGTATTCTTAGGGACTACGACGTGACAGTGGGACAACGCAATATATTTTGTGAGCAAGCATGAGGGCGTAGCTGTGAAGAAAAATGTAAGTGTTGAGTGACAACGCGGATCTTGTGTTCATAAAAATCAGGTGCATGCATTGTTGACACCATAAACATTGGGCACCTACTAGTACTGAGACGCCGTTTTGTGCGTGTGGTCATGAAAGCCTGTCATCGAGTGGCTCAGCAACTCACATGATAGAGATCATGCTCTTAACACGCGGTGGCATTCAGTACCAGACATACACTCTCTAGCCTGTATGTTGTTGTTGGCTGTCCTGTTAGCTGCATCAATCGAGCATCCAGGCGGTCTCAGTGCTGGCCACAGGTGGGGACCAGAGCTAGACCATATAGACTAGATCAAAAACGTTGGTAGAGCTGTGTAAATTGATTGCATATGGTCCGTGATCATGTATGAGCAAGACCAAAGACCAACCTTGCAGTACTCAGCCAGCGAAGTGCAGAGTAATCTGAGTCCGTATATTAGGGCCAGGATCCGAGAAGTCGATCGGCGGCAGCCTACGTCGTGGTTCTGATCAAGGAAGCACTAAAGCCCGAGGCTAGCTCTACTCTCCCCGAGGTAATGCAAATAGTCAAGGTTGGCATGAGTGCGTCAGTACTGCCGCGGCCGAGAAGCGAGAGACCCTGATAATCGGTTCATAGTGGTGCAAGTTGAAGTCCATCTCCCGATATAAACACAACACACCACAACTTTGTTTCTTACTCAAATCTTTTAAAAGCTTAACCGGTGTTGAAATATCATATCCGACGTCGTAGCTGGTCTACTTGGTTTACTTGTGGCAGAGTCACTCGCTGTTTCACTCACTGTTTTTCAGACAAGCAGTCGTTCTACCAGCTAGTACTGTGTCAAGGATCTTTACCGTCCCAACATGCAGAATCAGAAAACTTTGAAAATGGCAGGTTACATGTCGTCGTGCTAACATGTAGAATTAAACAACTTTAGTGATGACGGGTTGTCTGTTGTCGTGTCAACACTCTATAGCACTCTGAAGTTCTGGTCGAGTCTACATGCTCAGAGTCTATGCTCATATCCCCCGCCTTCATCGCCAAGAGTTAACAAGAGAGTCTATGCCAGATCGCAACAAACTGCTGAGGTATCAAGCGAACGCAGCCAGTGACGAATAGAATGTAAGGAGCGTTATGACCGTGATTGTTGTTTGCTCTATGAGTAAGGACGGTGCGAGGGAAGACAGAAGCGCCGGCAAAACCAAAGACGAGCTCTTCCCAGGGCTTAAGCAAAGGTATTCCAAATGTAGTCTCGAGCATGATTTTGCAACGCCATTCACGCCTGCGGAAGGAAGAGGTGCAGAGGTATCTGGGAGGACGGGCATGCATACCCATGGTGGCGATACAATGGACTGACGCGGTGAAGGCTGTTTGCGTGTTTGATTTATGGGTTTTTATTTGCACAACGCCGAGTGAGAAGAGATATTTCTGTGGGCTAGAAAGGAAAGAAAACTTGAGAAGTATATTGCAATCTAATAACTTGGAGGAGTATCATTGGCCACGTGGCTGTTGTATTGATGTGCGCACCAATAATTGGTCCAGCAATAAGAATTTGTTGTAGTCTGTATGAGTATACAAAGGAGGTATACGTAGGTGAGTGAGTGATATAGAAGGTATGAATCCAGAGAGATAGCATAGGACAAGATCTGAGAATGCAAATGTGTCGGTAAGTAAGCATCACGTCGAATGAAACACTAGGACCCTCGCACCTCTATGAATAGAAAATTAGGCACGCACTATAGCTCTTTCAGCCCGGGAGTCTCCACCCATGAACGAAACACGTCTCCCTCCTGGCCCCAGAGGTAGTATATGGCCCGTCGTTGCATGACCATGACATGCTGCGGCAAGTATTGGAACAGTCCAATCATCACCAACATCGTCAAAAGCGAAAATATAATCACTACGGACGAATCAGGGAATCATGACATAGGCAATTCATGAGAAGATAGGACTCACAGCAGAGAATTTTCTCCCAAGGCTCAAGCATAGACAATGCTAAGGTCGACTCGAACTTGACTCTCTGCCTCCATAAGTAGTTCTTCACCATGACGAAAAATAGTTAGGAAGTGATTATGGTCGAAGAGCAGGCAGACAAGGGTAGAAGGTAGTTCCGCAAAAGAAAACGAGTGCCTAATAAGTTACAGTCCGCCTTCAAGTTAACCCAATTGGCAACGCAGAGGACGGAAAGTGGCGGAAATCGATTTAGAAAGTCAAGATTTCTTGGCACGTGGTGCGTTACAAGTCCCGCACATTTGTCAAACTCAGGTCGTCAGCTAACTAAGTTTTCTCCATGTACCAGCTAACCTGGTTTAGTGTTGTTGGCAAAATTGATTGTGCCCGGTCCTCGGCAGAACTCGCGCGAAAGGAGTGTGGCAAAACTTGGTAGAACTCTATGGTATCTAGGACTCATGGAGATGTAATTTACTAGTCTGAAACGGGCACTTGGGCCACCACCATCACTTGAACCAACCAACCACCCATAACACAACAATTCTATGATGTCTGGCCAAAGTGCAGGCTCATTATGGACTGTTGTCTTGTTAACTACTATTTCCTGTCTTCTGTAACCCAAGCATGTTTTGTCTCTGTGTACTGTATGCTGAAATGTAGCCCAGATATAACTATTTCAATGCCACAGAATTCATTTGATTGTTTCTGGTTCTCTAACTTGGTAAATTTAATAAGTAAAACCTACTGTGATAACTACATAACATTTTTGCCACATTTACAAGAACACAATCTTTGCCAGTGCAATGCCAGTGGAGGAATGTATTGACAGGAGGTTATTACACTATCAGCAACATAAACAAACCAAATTGAGGTTGGTTTCATTGTCTTTACACACCTATTTGTCTGATTGCTTAAGATTATGCCATCACTTCTGTGGTGATTTACTGTTTGTGGGTTGGCTCAAGTGGTGGTAGAGCACTGATAAGCATGGAAAACATAGATTCATTTACAGCACAGCTAAACACAACTTGATGCACTTGGAATTTTTAATGGGATATCTTTGAGTATATCTTCAAACTCAGGTCCAGACAGATTTTGAAAATAATTACTTATTGTGCAATGAGGGCTTAGTGCTTCTAAAGTTTTCTTAGCTCAAGTGCCTATTTAAGACTGTATTTGAATTGAGAACATGCAAAACAATGTCCCTAAAGTAAGATGGTACATGCTAGAGGGTGTCCCCTTGCATCACTGATCAATGGCAATTTTGAGTGCCTGGAATGCACATATTGCAGTAACCTATCTCCGTATTATATGAGTGAACAGATGTGCATAATATCCCATATGATATGGGCCAGTAGGACCATGGGCCAAAGGTAAAAATATCCCTAACTATGACAGATGGGCTGGGAGGGATATTATTCCTGATGAAGGCAGGTGGGCCCATGTGGGGAATATGTAGAGTAGATGAGTGGGCCAATGGACATGAATATTCTATAGATCGATGGGCTGAGGTAGTTGGATATTATGTAGATTGGGTGTACCAATGTAGATGTGTATCAGATAGATGGGTATGCCAAGGGTACTTGTTATCACATACATGGGTGGGCCCAGATGTATATTATATTAGATGGGTGGGCTGAGGGCAACAATATATTATATTAGACAGGTGGGCCGAGGGTGACAATATATTATATTAGATGGGTGGGCTGAGGGTGGTATATAATATAGACAG